CATAGCCTGAGTTTCCTACTAGTTTCAGAAAGTAGTAAGTCACAACCAGAAAAATTGAGGAGGTGCCACCCTTCATCTCAACAATATCATCCACTTCAAATAGGATGGGGGGGGGGGCTGTATACCTGCATTTCAGGGGTTTGGACTAGATGGCCCACAGGGCCCCTTCCAACTCTGATTCTATGATTTTGCAGCCTCTGTCATCTTCAGAAGCAGTATGCCTCTGAATGTTTTGCTTGTGCACTTCTCATAGGTATATGGTTGGCCACTGTGAGAACAGGATGTTGGACTTGGTGAGCTTTGGGTGTGAACCAGCAAGGCACTTCCTATGTTCTTATCTTACTCAACAATAGTTATCTATGGTAGTGTCAAGAAACGTTTTCTGGACCCATTCATAATGATCTCTGAATATTCAATCACAAAAGTTGGTACAACTCAATGGTGCGACAAAAATACTCTTTTTGGCTTTTGTTGCAGTTGTGCTCAGTTACTAAAGCAAGCAGTGGGTGACCAAAGGTATCTTGGCAATAAACTACGTGGAGTTCTTCAGAACAATGTGCAAACTGTTTATTCGGAATAGTGAGCGATACCGTGTCTCTTCTGGAGCCTGTGGTTGGATGAGTCTCCACCATTGCACTTATACTTACGTAGTAATAGTACTGTAATAATAACACCCCCAACCAGGAATTGCCAGCCTCTTATCAGCTAAACAGGATGCTCCCCAGAAACTAATCCCACATCCCTGACCAGCAGACCAAGTGGTTGGGCCTGATGAGAGCTGAACAGCAGCTGGAGAGCACCATATCGGCTACATTTTGTGTTTCAGGCTGGCCTTTTTGACTTCTGAACAGCAAAACTATGAAGAACTTGTTAGTGTTGTATACAGGATGTGCTACTTTTGCTGAGGTTTTTCTGAGCGTCACTGACTCGTGTTTTGAATATGTAATCATAAAAAGGGGGGAGACAACTATTATTATTTTTATTACATTCATATTCCACCTTCCTCCAAGGACCTCAAGGCTCTGCCCCCCAGCTTATTTTTAACCTCTAAACCCTGTGAGGTGTGTCAGGGAAGTTTTTAATGTGTGATTTTAGTGTATTTTTGTTTCTGTGGAAACCGCCCAGAGTGGCTGGGGAAACCCAGCCAGATGGGCGGGGTACAAATAATAAATTATTATTATTATTATTATTATTATTATTATTATTATTGGCTGCTAGACAGGAGGTCACCCAGTGAGCTTCACAGCCTCCCAGGTCTGCAGCACTGCGCACTTACCTGCAAGTCAGCACACCTGTTTATTCCACTTGTGCGCTAAATGTTGGGAGCGCCCGAGGAAATCCTTTTAACCTCTTGTGTCTGGCACTTTTGATTTATCCCGGGATATCAGCTAGCATGCCCTGGGGCTGTGCGCAGTGGGGTGAAATCGAACACCAGCTATTGAACTCGCAGAGGCGGCCGCGCAAGTTGCCGCTTCCAGGCGCAGTTCCAGCGGGATGCCCAGAGTGCATCTGTACGGAGGTGCGCGCGCGGTTGCCACTGGCTCTCTTGGGGGGGAGTTCTCACTGGAACTGGCAATGGATCCCCAGAGCACGTGCAGGTGGCAGAGAGACCCAGCTGCGATTTTCCCCTCGCCTACCCAGGTCTTTTTTGGCACGACAAACTCCTTGTTATACCATGAATGTCACCAGAGCTGCCAACTCGCTGGGGCCCTGGGTGCCCGAGCACCCACAAAAATTCCCATGAAGGGACCGGGCACCCACAAATTTCGGTTCACGCTACATGGCGCTCACGGCCCCGGGCTAAGTTCGCCCTCCTGAATGTCACGTGTGAATCGGGCCCCTTCACGGAACTCGCTTCTCTACAGGCTGCTTTAGACGCGGCTTTTCCTACGCGGAACAAAACGTGTTGTTTTCCCCTCCGGGAGAGTTTCCTGCGCTTCTCCTGGGAGGAAGGGGGATCAAAGTGCGAAGAAGCGCGCCTTCAAGTTGAGCCACCATCCCGAGCGGAGCCACTGCCAGGCTGCTGGCCCTTTAAATGTTCGCGGCCGGCCCGTGCTGCCTTTCGCTCGGAGACCCCGCGCGCGCAGCGAAGAGGTGAAACCAAGATGGCGGCCGCGCCGTGACTGAGTCTTGAGACAGAAGGACACGAACGGCCAGCGCCTCAGCCACCCAGCCCGCCCACGGAAGGGCCCCGCGCCTCGGCCCGCTGCGTGGGAAGGAGCAGGAGGAGCGCCGCGGGCGACGAGGCTCGAGCCCGGGACTCGGCACCGGCGGCGGGAGCGGGAGCAGGAAGAACATGGCGGCGGAGGAGTCGGGCTGGGAGTTGAGTCGCCGCTGCTCGTGAGGGGAGCTGATGGGGGAGACCGGGCCGTGAGGCCGCCTACGCGCCCCCGGCCCGCCCGGCCCCGCTTCCTCTCCCCGCCCACGCCCAGGGAGGCAGGCAGCGAGGCAGCCGCAGCAGCAGCACCGTTCCGCCGCCGCCGCCGCCGGCTTAGGCCGCGGCCTCCTCTGCGAAGAAGGGGCGGCTCCGTCTCGGTCCCCTAGTCTGGCCGAAAGAAGGGGCTTTGGGCCTGGGAGCTCTGCGCACAATAGAGCCGGGCAGAGGACGAACCGGTCCGCTCTGCCCGTTGTTTCCCCCCCGCTTCGCCTTCCGCTCCGCCCTAAATACGTCTCCCCGGTCTATCCTTACGGGTTTCCCTTCCCGCCGCTCCCGTGGCACTTTTCGGTTTTTTTTTTTAATTGGGGGGGGGGACCTGTCGGTTGCGACTAGCTGATCCCCCCGCTTACCTTTCCTGTCACCACTGATCCGCCCGCTTTCTTTCTCCTCCCCGCTGCTCTGTCACTTACGCCTCCGATCTGCGCCCCGCTCCTCCACTTCTTCATGCCAGCCTGCCTTATTGGCACACCCGGTTAATTTCTACGCTTTTAGTCACCTGTGTAATTCGGGACCCTTTTCACACCTTTCTTTTAAGACCCTCCTCGTCCTTCTGTTTCCCCCTATCAACTCTGCCATTGTTACTTCCTGTTATCTCGCATCCTGCAAGGCAGTGCTGCTGCTTCACTGAAGAAGTTCTGTGTCCCCCTAAGACTTGCTTCCCTTCCCCCCTTTCCTCCCCCCCCCACTTTTGCTTTGGCCCCCTTTTGGGGGTGATGCAGCAGCTACTCTAGCAGTTGCCACAAAGAGGACTGTTGTGGGACACCGTCTGAGACTTTTCATTCTCTTTCCTGCTCCCCTTCACTGAGGGGGGCAAAGCCCCCCCACACACCAGCTCAGTCAACTATTGTAGTCCCCTGTGGTGTGACAAGAGGCAGGATGACTGATACCCGGAGAAGGGTGAAGGTTTATACACTGAATGAAGATAGACAGTGGGACGACCGAGGCACTGGACATGTGTCCTCTGGCTATGTGGAAAGGCTGAAGGGCATGTCCCTGCTAGTCAGGGCAGAGAGCGATGGTAAGTTTGGCTGAATGTGTGAACATGTGCACACCAAAAGTATTAATCCCTGTGTTCATCTTAGTAAGGTGGGAGGTGGTAATCATATCTTGGAATTGAATTTCAAGTGTTGGGTGATGTATATGGGAGCCTGAAACCAGGTAAGTATTAATCAACATATGCTGGCTATCATGACAGATGATTCCCAACAATGTGCTGTTGTTAAGTACATAACAGTTGTTGCAATATTCTGCTGTAGAATATTTGGACCAATAGACTGGCCACTGTGCCTAGATAAAAATTAAGTACTGATTGGCATATTTTGCTCCTAAAATCTTAGGATGGAAGATAATTACAAAAATTGCATTAATTTTAATGACTGTATATGCTGTCCTATAATCCTTGTTATCTCAGCAAGTGTGTGGAAAGATACTGACTTCTAATTCCTGCTTTCCATAAGAACCCATTATCTCCTTACATTCTAGAGAGAATCCATAGTTCATGTTTGTCAAACCCATGAACTATAGATTGTCAAAATTATAAGTTGAAAAACACACTTACTTTTTTAACATGATTGCTGTGGTGAGATTCTTTGTGAAAGCATATGAATAATTTCTTTATGATAAATTAAGCTTCAGGATCTGCCTTGTGTATCTGCTCAAAGTAAATAAAATGTTTTTTCCTTCAGGTTTTAGGCCAACAAAAGAAGTACAAATCAGTTGGGGAACACTTAATAGCAATATGGAAGTTGAGTGAATCCAGTGTGTGCTGCAGTATATACAAGCGGTCTTAAATTCTATTTCATCTTTAACCACATTTTTTCCCCTTCCTATTTTTGTTTTGTTTTTAGCTTGATAGTGGCCCTTTTAGGTTGGGGCCGAAAAACATATTCTTTGTCTTTTCTGAAACTAAGTAAAAATGAAAGTAGACTAGCTGGGGGGAAACCCCTAACAAATAAATGCAACTGGTTTTCAAGAGAGCAGTGAGACTTGCTGATAAGTTTGTGCATACTATTTCAGTCTTGCAGCATTATCCTTTCCATATTTACTGTTAATTCAACCCCATTGATAGTGCTGGATTCAACTTAGCTGGTTAGTTCAAGGACTCCCACTAGTGCAGTGGGACTGCACCCCCCCCCCGCCAAGCCCCCCCAAATCTGCTCTGGGGCAAATGCTTGTACTTACGGAACAATTGTACTAGCACAATGTTGAATTCTACCTGTAGACTCATACCATTAGTTACACTAAGTTTGCGTGTTAACTCAGGGAATCTTTGTGACTGATTAGAACTTAATATTCTTAGTTGATTTATCAAAAGTGTGCCTCAAATTATCTTAGTCTGGAAGTCCATTTTCCAAACTTTAGAAATGAAGTAAAATGCAATTATTTTATTTCTTAATATTACTTTTAAACTTTTCAGACTTTAAAATACACGTAGGTCCCGCTTACCAAACACAATGCATTCTGTGAAATCATTGATTAGGCAAGCATTCACATAACTAGTCTATAATTTCCTATGGAAATTCTAATGTGGGATTTGTTTGCTCCCACCCCCAATGGTTTCTCCCTGAAATGGCTGTAGCCAATCAGCAATCAGATAAGTGAATCTGTGGAGTGTATAGCAAGGTTTGGGTGTAATTATTTTCATGGGGACATGAATTTTCAGATAGTGAGCATGCAGATAGTAGGGGCAGCGTGTAAAATAATGTCAGTGAAATGTAAACATTAATATGGATATTGTGGAAGTTTTACTGATTGTACGCAAGTCATGCTTTGTGATCTGCAAGCTGAACCTAGTCCAGTTGCATCTCAGATGATGAGCTGTTTTGTTGTCCTAGACAAGCAGCAGAAACAGGAAACTTACCATGCCACTAGCAGGCAGCAATACATGGCTGGTGGGCTGAGTTCGGTGGGGTATGTCACAAATTTTGCCCCTACACAGCATTCTGGAATAGGCACCTTGGAGATTAAGTAGAGAGCTTTCTCACTCCCAATGTATTGCTTTGTAATTATTTCTAGAATTTCTTTTTCAGCTTTGCTTTATATTTTCTGTTGCCATATTAATATTTTTATGTCTCTTGCTGTGCACCACACTTATTATTTGAATAAGAAAGTTATAGACATAGGACCTGGTAGCAAGTGATAGATAAGACCTAGTATCTGCATCTCTAGGGAGTAAAAAGCAGTAAGTATACCATAGTGTTGTAGTCTCTCCAAATGGGGTTGAAGACAGGCAAATTGGTGACAAAGGCAATGGGATGGTCCTGGTACTTGGGATACGAATCATGTGGTATTAACAAAGTCCCCCCCCCCCACATACCAGGTATATACACTGCATCACAGGAGCTACTACCATTAGGAGCGTTTGGGGGGGAAACATGCAAATGGCCTAAGCCACGTGGTTGAAATAGTCAAGCACATTTCAGCAGCATGGAATTTCACCATGCTCAGTTGTCCACCCCAGTGCTAGCAAAGTGATGAGAGCCAAGATAAGGTAATGTGGAGAAGGGGTAAGTGGAGTATAGTACTAGCCATACTAGATCAGGCCAATAGCCTATATATTTGTATATATGCTTTGACATTGACTTGAATGATATATTGTCAAGGGAGTTTAAAATGTACACCCCAGATAAGGCTTTCTTCTAAGCAAAAATGGCCAACATATGTGGGCAACTTGATTCTCTGGGAAGCCAGAAATATCTCATTTCTCCTCTGCAGCACACACACATTTTTGGCTGCATGATAAAACTGGAATGAAAGGAAAGCCTATTTTTTATTGCATTTTTCCTTACTTTATTATTATTATATATTTATGTATTTATACCCCACATTGACAAGGACTCACTTACTGTGACACTTTTTCCACTTACTGTATAGTCATTTTCCTGTGCAAATCTGCATGTCTACACAGAAGTTTACTGAGTTCATTGGGGCTTACTCCCATGTAAGTGGGTATAGGATTGTAACCTGTGAATATTGCAAATATCTCTCTAATCTCTTATACTACTGTACAGTATATGAGGTAGATTTAGTGGCAGTTATACACTGTTGGGCAAATAACATATGTCCTGTCTGTTTTTGAACCCACCCTGTTTCTTATGTTAAAAGAAGAGGACAAAATGTTTTTAACATTAGTCCATATTATTCCCTAGTGAAATCTTTCCATGCCCTTAAATCAATTTTATTGAACACCTGTTATCTCAGTGAACTAAGGCAACAGCCACAACTAAACACAATATATTTGGTAATAGTGTTAATCATTTAACCATTAACTTAGTAACTGAAAAGTAGACTCCTACTAACTGAAATTTGTGGAAGAGATGAGCTTAAAAGGTAACTTTCAGGTTCCTCTTCCATTTGTTCAGTCAGTTAACTCTAGGAGAATATTCTCTGCACTCTCCTGGGATGATAAACAAGAGACTTGGTCTATGCAGGGAACAAAAACTAGGCACTGTATCTTTCTTTCTTTTTTAACTATTTCAGGCATTTAAGAAGTGTTGAATCATCAGCTGCTTTTACATTTTAATGGTACTGCTTCTCTCCCCCCGCCCCCGCCAGTAATAACTCAGTATTTGAACTGTAAACTTTTTCTACCCTTCAGATGTGTCCTCAGAAGTATGTTCCCTTTGGCTTCAGCCATACACTACTTCTTCCTAGTTGCTGAATGCTTGAATTTGTTACTTTTAACCCATTGCCATGATTAGTTATAGATCTGTACTTACAGGTAATACAGAACCTTAATGCAACAGTTTGTTTCTCCTACTGCTATTGATGTGGTTCATATATAATACAAAGCCAAACTATGGCTTTTTGCAATGCATGAACATGCAGGTTTCTGATGAATAAATCACAACTGCTTTGCTCTTCCTTTGATCCTGATGCTGCTGCTGCACTGCTATGAGCAAAGCCATGGTTTGACATGTAAACCAAAACTTGGTTACAGCTTCTGGTTTCTCTGGAGTGAGAGAAATCCTGAGCCTGTGTTCTGATGATACACTAACCCAAACTATGACTTAGCTCACATAAGTGCAGATGCAAAGTGCTTTTACCAAGCCATGGATTGGCTTCACATTGCATGCGAACTGATTTGGATTTTTGGATTTCTGTGTTCGCATTGTATACCTCTAACTAGACCAGAACAAGTCTAAATTGGTGTCTTCAGCTGGGCTGGGGGGGGGAATCTGTATTTCACCACAAAAATTCTGGAAGCTTGATAATGGCACCTAGAAATTTGAAATTGTTCAGCCTATAGAAAATTGAAATACTTACCAGCCCTAGAGTCCAGTACAAAAGTGGAGTGTAATATATGCAGGACCTTTTAGGAAGGTTGCAATAGCAAGCCTTGCTTTATTTCTGTAACAGTGGCTAGTTGGCTACCACTCTTTCACAGTATAGCAACCTTTCTATTACCCATCCTGAAAGGTTTTACAGAAGACATGAATTGTATGGTTTATGCCTGTTTCCTTTCCAGAATGTTTTAATACCTTGAAACCTTCTTTGAGGGAGAGGAAGTGTGTTTTGATATTAACCTAGGAAAGTTTGCTTTGCACAGTTGAGTCTTAGAAAAATCAATATAACACTAACTAACTGCTTTTAATTAAAATTATATATTACAGGATTTCAGTGCTTGATAATCATTAGAACGGCCTTCACCAACTCGTGTCCTTCTCATTTTTTGGGATGTATGCACTGATAGGAGTTGTAGTTCAAAAGATCTGCAGGACACCAGGATGGTGAAGGTTTCTTTAGAGAGCTGTTTGCAGAATCAGTAACCATTTCTTCACAGGAATAGTTGTGTATACCTGGTGAATGATTATTTTCAGTTTGCTTTGTATAGATCATATAAATGCTGCTTTATTTCTAGGGGAGGAAATAAAACACTTTCCCCCTTCTTTTTAGGTTCTCTTCTTCTGGAGTCCAAAATCAATCCTAATACTGCTTACCAGAAGCAACAGGTAACAATTTAGTCAGTAGGAAATGTTTGATGGAAATATGATAGTTGGGTCTGCCAATTTCAAGGTGCTTTCAGGCTGTCGTGGCTTGGGTTATAAACTGCTGCTATGACCCAGAAGTGTATCTGTTGATGCTTCACTGGCAACAATGTAACAGTAACATGGTAATTGTTTGTGCCTCCAGCTTAATCTAACAGTTCAGTTATCATAGAACCTTTTGATGTATGGCAGTTTTCCAGAATTCCTTATATCATTCCTCTGTACAATAGTCTTGTGAGTTAGGTACTCTTGAGTGTAATGAATACAGTGAAGTCTAGTGAACTTCACATTAAACTTAACAGATCAGCTAACACAATAAAAAAGCTGCACCCAAAAAGGGAGATTTTTGGACTGATTGACAAACCAAATAGTAACCAGTTGCTTGGATAAATTGTGATTCACCAATGGGTTCTTAGGGAACTCCTATGTAAAATTGCAGGACCATCCATACCAAATTACTAGTAGATCACCAATGTAACACTGTCTTTTAAGTAGCATCCAAGGAAGTGTATGCTTCTCAGTCAGATTACCCAAGTAAGGCTGCAGTCAGAATAATGTATACTCAGAAGTATGTCCCATAGAAATCAGTGGGGCTTGTTGCCAGGCTAGTAGGATTACAATTGCAGTCTCAACTAGTAGACAGTGTAGGGCAGTCCTGTAAATATAAAGATTTTGTGGATTTTCAAAAAGCGTGCAGCGAAGGGCCTTGTGAAAAGTTCATTAAGAACGTAGCAGTCATTAATTAGTCTCTGTGATCTTATGGGTTGGTGACTGATTAAAAAACAGGAAAGAGCATATGAATGAGTAAACAAATTTCTGCAGAAGTCTTTTAGTGTAATGCTGTAGGGAAAAAAGCAAATGGAGATAATAGGAAAAGAGTGGAAAATTAAACAACAAATAATGCCATTACCAAAGTTGATGTTGTTTTATATTTGAAATGTGTGCATGGAGTTCAAAACCCTTGGGAAATTGTAAAAAGGATGCATAAAGGTTGCTAAAATTATCAGATGGATGAATTGTTCTATGAAGAGAGTCTAAAAAACAATACAGATGGGAGTGTGCTTATTGGTGATAAAAAAGTGAATAAGAAATATTCTTTATGAAAGCTGGCTTTTAATCAAAATGAGAACGTAGCAGGTGACAACCATAATTTCATGCAAAGCATGATATAACACAATGTTGCCCTATAAAATTCATCTACTTGCCAAAATATAGATGATGTTTTAGATCCAGCAGCCATAGTTTGCTCAGTGGCAACTGTATCTCATATGCTAAAAACACTGCCAGCATGCTTTGCATGTGACTTTCTTTGCACTGGCTTGGTATCCACTGACAATCCAATGTGGGAATTTTTAGTTTGTGTTTTTAGTTGTATTAAGAGTAATAGGCAAGTGAAACACTTTGATTTTTTATCTCAGACATTATTGGATCAAATAATTCATCTTTAGAAAATGTTCTGTAATGTTAAATATAGCTTAACTAAACATAACTCTTAACTTTTAAAGGACACACTGATTGTGTGGTCTGAAGCAGAGAACTATGATCTGGCACTTAGCTTTCAAGAAAAAGCTGGATGTGATGAAATATGGGAAAAAATATGTCAGGTAAGTTTTCCCTCTCAAATATTTAAATATTTGTTCCATTTGCAATATTAAGTGAATATTTCCTTCACCATTTCCTTCAGAAGCATCCAGATTATTTAAAACCTGAAATGTGTTTAGTGCATAGTCAGACTTCCATTCAAACTAACATATGGGCTAACTAAACAAGAGGGCCAAATACCTACAACTCCTGATTGTCAGCAAATATGAAAACGAAAATATTCCACTGTTGTAGAACACTGGGAAATCATAAATTACCGTAAACCTTGCCATTAGGAAGGTAGTAAGATAGCAATAGCAAAAGTAGAATTAAACTGGTGCCTTTGCACTTAACAAATGGGTTTTTCATCAAGTGGATAATACCATTAATAGAAGAGGAGATTTTTGCCTGTTCCCCTTTCCCTCTGCAGCCCCCAAAAGTAATCTCCAGAGAGTTGGGGGACCCTCCAAAACAGCATGGAAGGTGCTCTGAAAAGCTGTGTGGAAAAAGGGGAAAACTGAAAACTATCATTTCCATTAGCAGAGATATCTGCTGATCGAAAGTCCTTTTGCAAGCACAAGAGCATTTCATTGTTTTTATTTGTTAAATTTCTGTCCTACCCTTCCTCCCAAAGGAGCTTGAGTTGAATTCTACCCATACAGTTAATTTGGAGTAGCAAGAATATTTGTACATAAGTATGGAGGGCAGGATCGGCAAGATGGCCCAGTTTAATTTGTAACAGTAGCCCTGACCAGAGTGTGGATAACTAGGTGGCAGTTGCCCAGGGTGGTACTGTTTGCATTTTATTTTAATGTGCTGTCCTTCATCAAGAGAGATTCTTGGGTGGTTTAGAAAAATTGATGCTAATACATTCAAATAGAAAAACCAAATATTAGTAGCCAAGCATTATCTAGGTAGGAACAGTCTTCTAAAATATTCAGGCTCATTCTATAGTGTTGGTTAGAGGCTGAACTTAGTATTGTGAAGCAAAAAAGCTCCCTTCAGTTTTTAGTCCAAGATAACAATATCTGAAGACAAACCTGGTGCTGCTTGCATTGTGATGCTTAGCTGCCATGGTGTGGACTTTTCTGTAACAAGAACTTTCACCCACCCGGTTGGTTCTTGTATATTTTTTTCAATACCTGATATTCGAGGTTTAATATTTGGTTTTACCCATTTCCACTGGATTGGGTACAGTTCCCTTTTCTCTGCGATATTGTTTAAGATTAAATTTATGGTAAAAGTGCTTGGATTGTCTGCATCTCTGTATATAGCTGTAGGCATCTGGCTGTGAAAGCTGAAGAGGTCCCCTTTGGTTTTCTCTCACTTTAATAGGTTCAAGGGAAAGACCCTTCAGTGGACATTACTCAGGATCTGGTGGATGAATCTGAAGAGGAACGCTTTGATGATATGTCATCCCCAGGTCTAGAGTTGCCATCTTGTGAATTAAGTCGACTAGAGGAAATTGCAGAACTTGTGGCGTCTTCGCTGCCTTCTCCATTGCGGCGAGAAAAACTTGCTCTAGCACTGGAAAATGAGGGCTACATTAAAAAGCTCTTAGAAATTTTCCATGTGTGTGAGGACTTGGAAAACATTGAAGGACTACACCATTTGTATGAAATTATTAAGGGAATCTTCCTTTTGAATAGAACTGCACTTTTTGAAGTAATGTTTTCTGAAGAATGTATAATGGATGTAATTGGATGCCTAGAATATGATCCTTCTTTATCACAGTCACGGAAACACAGGGAATTTCTGACAAAAACTGCAAAATTTAAAGAAGTTATTCCAATATCTGACCCAGAATTGAAACAAAAAATACATCAGACATACAGAGTACAGTATATTCAAGATATGGTTCTACCTACTCCTTCGGTGTTTGAGGAAAACATGTTATCAACTCTTCATTCATTCATCTTTTTTAATAAAGTAGAAATAGTTGGTATGTTACAGGTAAGTCAGGAATTGTTTTCTTTAATCTTGGATGTTGTGCAGATTGAATGTTGTTTCTATCTAGATTTCCTTGTTTGGAGCCTGCTGGCAAACCTGGGGCATTTCCTGTACCTGGAAGATGCAGTCTAGGATGCTGGGTCTTACAGTTTGGCTCCTGTTAATTGGTTTAATTAAAAACTCAAATACTGGATTTTTAATGAATTTTGGGTAACTTCTAAACTCTTGAACATAGTGATGTAAAATTTTGCCGGTAACTTATCAAATTGCACCTCTGCATTCCCTGTGAATATCATGCAAATACTTAGCACTAAAAGGCCAGTGGAAGGAAACAGAAACTAGCACAAACCTGCTATGACCTAGTTGTCTGAAAAGTGACAGAATCCATCCTCTTAGAAGGGGCTCCCATTCCTGCAAATTTGATTCAGTTCTGTTTGAATATGTTAAGATACAAATGCATTGTGATTTTTCCCAATGGGTAATACAGCAAAGTAAATCTTTGTTTACAAAATAAAGGAACCCTAAAAAGTAGGAATGAAACAAAACATTGCATGCCCACAAACCAAAATGAATCCAAACTTTTTTTGTCTTTTGCAGAGCCTTGGTGTTTGTTAATTATATGGTTTCAGGGGATGTTGAGAACTGCAGAGGCCCAAGAAGCTGAAGGGAAACAATTTCTGTTTTAAAATGAATTGTAACTTTTAATAGATACAGTTTCATAGCGCCGAAACTGCTGTAGTATGTAGCGAAGTCAGGTGTTCTTGATATGCCAGGAAAGCCCAAATTACACATCAGAAATTACATCATACCGTACTGCTTTGTTGGTCAGTGCCAAGTTAGACAATTTCTGATCTATTGTGGGGATTGGGGTTGGGGGGGGGAGCATTGTGTATGCTTTGAATACTTTAGGTTTTGAGTTTTTTGGGTTTGCAAAGGGCACTGTAATTGGGGGACAGGGAGAGTACACCTAATGGGTAAGATGAATGGATGCCACATGTGAATATTTAGGAATTAAACGCTGTAACCTATGAACATTAGAGTCTTTTAATACTGGATTACAAGGCACTACCATATGGTAAATTTGCTCTTGTGTGAAAAACTCGGTGATTCTGTGGTTCTGTTGCTTTTTTATTATTAGCTTAGGTAAAGTTGGAGATAATGAGCTGACCATATTTACTGAAATTAGCAAATATTTCAAAGAATAGGAGAAATATTTCAGGTAATAAAATGCAGTTTAAGGCCTGATGTAAAGTTTTGTGCATGAGAAAGAAGAGTTAAAATGCTACGGCTATAGTGCATAACAAACTGAACTTTTTAAAGAGTTGCTAATATAACTTTAAATATCAGTATATGATACTGTGGTGCAAAGGGGCCACAGTTGGACAATTTAGACTATATTAACAGGAAGATTAACGCTTATGCATTGTACAACTTGGGAGTCAATAAGACTGCATTTGAAATAGTACAAATTTTGTGTGCTCCAAGCGGAAGTATGTAAAGGTAAATATAGAAGGCAGCTTTTATTGTGAAAACATTAAGATGCTAAGTATAGCTGTTCTACAGAAGTAGAGAGGTTTGGAAGAAATGTTTTAACATTTGCGAACAGAAAAAGAAGAGTAGAAGCAAGCACTGTTCGTAGGACACTCCTGCTTTAGGTAGTGGAAGACGTGATTGTTGCTGGTTGCTTTTTCACCCTGCAGCCTCCCTGAAAACTGTTCCAGAGGGTTGAGGACCCTGCAGAAGAGCATGGGTAGCGACATGGGCCTGGAAAGGGAATTGCCTCCCACTTTCCTAAATGGAGAATCTCCATTCAATCTCAGTCATGGGGGCCTACACAGAAGGGAAACTCTGAATCCAACCCAATTAATGGATAATCCTATTTTTTATCATAACCACATGGTGCACATGAAACACTCCTAATCCTGTACTATTTGGGAGCTGGCTTTTGATGATCAGAGCTAAGCTTCTCAGTAGTAATAAATTTTAAGTATGCTTTTCATAGGTACATTTAAAAAATATTGATATACATCTAGCCTTGGGAATGGGCTAGAGGTATATGAAGCCTTATTTATTTAACTAACTAACTAACTAACTAACTGCCCTAAACCCCTAGATCGCAGGGCAGTTCACAACATAAATTGCTACCTGTTTGTGGCAGCGGTGCGGGGATGTTGTTTGCTTGGAAAAAGTGAATGTTGTAAACACCTTTTCATCAGTTGATCATCGAATGTTAAATCCAAGATGTATGGGTGGTAGTTTTACTTGGTAGACCTGTTGAAATCAACTTATGTTCATTAATTTAACACCACCCTTTGTTAACCAAAAATAAATAGTTAAAAATCATAAGGATAAACTGGGAATCACTTATGATACAATTGCTGTGTCTGTTAATACAGAGCTTGCAACCTAGACTTTGTTTCAAACAAACATAATGTGCATTTACATAGAGTGCAGTGGGTGATTGTTAACATTTATCAGTGGTGAGATATGCACTTAACAAACTACTATAGTTGAACCTTGTCACTTTTAAAGTTTTGTCCTAGTGGACAGGATAGCTACCAGTGCTTGATTGTTAGGTCTTATAGCTATTTCACCTACTTTTTGTTGTTGTTGTTGTTGTTGCTGCTGCTGCTGCTGCTGCTGCTATTGTTATTATATTTAATTTGTACCCTGCTCATCCGGCTGGGCTGCCCCAGCCATGCTGGGCGGTCTCCAACACATACAAAAACACAATAAAACATCAAACATTAATAGTAACAATCTGATCCAATATAAAAGTCACAATAACTTTAAAATAAACAACCTATATCAAATAAAGCAATATTCAATAATCCATTAGAATCTAATAGAATACAGTTTATTAATATTTAGCAACTATTTCTATGTGAAAAAAGCACACTTGTTCCATGAAGTATGACTTATAGTATCCAGGTGACGTGGATGGGCTAACTAATACACACAAAGGCTTTCTAATCTGATTACTTGGGGGATGGAGAGAATTTTTTTTATATTGTCATACACATTCATTTCCTACAAGAGATTGGTGCAATAATGCCTTATTCACAGGTTCCTGAAACTGCTTAGAACGTGTGTTATTCAGAAGAGCAAAATTCTACTTATGTCTACTGTGCCTACCTTGCCCTTTGTGCATTGGCTCTTAAGTTGTACCTGTCCAGATTTAAACACAACATGTTAACAAAGATGCGAGGGGAAGAAGTGTGATACCACTTCCTATTACATAAGTTTATGTGCAAGTGGTGTACAATTTGTTAGCAGGCTTGTGTAAAGAATATGAAATGATTAAATGTATGGAGTCATTTTGCGGGGGGCTTTGACTTTGACTCAGGCTGTGTAAGCTCACTTGCAAAGGCTAGGAAAAATGTGGTATTAGATGGGAAATATTCTGTCATTTTCTGTAGACAATGTGAATATTTGATTTCCACCATCGAGACAATTCTTTTTTATATTTTGCACAAGTAATAAGGTGAATGAAACATTTCATCTGAAGTCAGTGGGAGTTTGCCCTTAAATCAAGTTTTGCTTTATATTATTGTTAAAGACAACGTGTACCAGTGAGGCATAGCTTTGTCCCTTCAAATGATCTGATTTGTAACTGGTGTGTTTGGTTGGAGAATATATTATAGACCTTTAGTGCCATTTTGTATTTCTAAACATAACATTGATATATTATAGGAAGATGAAAAGTTTTTGACAGACCTGTTTGCACAACTTACAGATGAAGCTACAGATGAGGAGAAAAGACAAGAATTGGTAAGTGTTTTGAAATGAGCTTAGTAAGGCAATTGCTGCATTCTGTTTCTTGGTGAATAAAGTATTGTTTTCTGTGTTTCAGGTAAACTTTCTTAAAGAGTTTTGTGCATTTTCTCAAACATTACAACCTCAAAACAGAGACGCTTTTTTCAAAACATTGTCTAATATGGGCATTCTTCCAGCACTAGAGGTCATCCTAGTAAGTTTGCAAAGTTTACTTCTAAACTTGTATGTTCTTTTCATTGGGGTATTTTTGAGGAAGAATTCCATGTAGCACTGTGTCAATCATTCCATCAGGGCAAGCATTTTGCATTGCCAGAAGGAGCAATCCCCCCTTCTTCATGTTGTTGTGGTGGTTCTTCTGACTCATCTGAGCTATTGTTGTTTTGTTGTTGTTTTTTTGGCTGGGGGGCAGGGGGGTCCACTGCACAAGCGCAAATCTTTGTATGGGCTTCCACTGATGGGACTCATTAGCTGAATTCTGCCCGTAGTCTGGCAATTAAATGTTTGCAACTTTTTATGTACCATTTTGGGATACTACATTATCTATAAAAACCATGTAGTTTTATATATATCCTGTCCTGTCATACTCCAGGTAGGGGAATGGAAGAGGGCAGCACCAAAGCATAGGCAAAGCATCAAAAACCATACTGGGCGGTTTAATCAGATACACAAAACGTGCAAGAGGTTTTGGTTTCAACCTTCCTTGGGGGCAAAGAATATTATAAAATAGACTTCTTTAGTAAGGCATTTTGTCTCAAAAGTGAGCTAATTAAAACAATGAAACTAAGTTTTAGACTACCTTTCTACTATAGTTTAATAATTTGTTTTTTGACTGCAGGGTATGGATGATGCACAAGTGCGAAGTGCAGCTACTGATATATTCTCATATTTGGTTGAATATAACCCATCTATGGTACGAGAATTTGTCATGCAGGAAGCTCAACAGAATGATGATGTAAGTAGGTGGCTCTTACCATTTTCAAAATTACATTTCCATTAGTAAAGTATGACAGTGAAGTATTTCAACAACTGAAGCTTGGATAGATGCTTCAGTATTCTTTTACTGATGTGTAATTGTATAAACTCAGGCAGTTTTCTCACATATATGTTGCTGGCTTCTGCAAACCACAGTTTGCACATTAGGAGCCAGTCTTGGAAGTTTGTAGTCTCTTCCTTTTGCCTCTTGAGCCCAAATCTCCCTCTTGCTTGCCATGTCAGCTTTTACCATGGTTCAGAGTTACCTCTGCATTGGCACTAATTACCATATATACTCAAGTATAAGCTGACCTTTTCAGCACATTTTTTATGCTGAAAAAGCCCCTCTCGGCTTATACTCGAGTGAGGGGCCTTTTGGGCTGCTGCTTCCTCTTTCGCCTTTGCCACTGTTTGTGGCGGAGGAACGAGCACCCCGAAAGCAGCCCTTTTGGGCTGCTTGTTCTTCCTCCACCACTGCCGCCACCACCAGGTTTGTGGTGTGGTGAACCGGCTTATACTCGAGTCAATAAGTTTTCCCAGTTTTTTGTGGTAAATACGGTAATAATGATACTAAGCAAATTTCCTCTAAACCTTTATTTGCAAGTCCTGTCTTATAACCCCAGGTTTATTTGGAAATGCTAGTTGCCATTAACCATGGTTAGCATTGATACAGATATTAAATTGTCTTGTAAACATTTCTGCTCCCCCACCCACAAAGAGAAGCTGGCAGAGGAGGAACCGTGCACCCTGGTTCCTCCTCTGCCTTACCTTTCTTTGGTTTAGAAGCTCCAGATGGTACATCATGCTGCAGCCAGACTGCTTCTGGGAGCTTCTTGTGGAGAACATGTGACAGCATTGTATTAAAACTACTGCACTGGCTGCCAAGGTTCAAAGTTCTTGTACTAATTTACAAAGTCCTGAACAAGTTAGTTCCAGTGTACCTCAGGAATCTCTTGAACTCCTTATATCCCAGCCCAATTGCTGAGATCATCTGCAGGCATGTCGTTGGTTGTTCCCCAAGTTGGTGAGGCACATTTGACAACGATGAGAAACTGAGTCCTTAGTGTCTTCAGACCAGTCCTTTGAATACTCTGCCATTAGAAATTTGACAGGCACTTTCTGTGCCAACTTTTAAACGACTGCTGAAAACTATTCTGCCAGGCCTGTACAGGCAATCAATAATACAGTGGTACCTTGGTTTTCGAGCGTCTCAGAAGCCGAACCCTTCGGAACCTGAACGCTGAAAACCTGGAAGTAATTGCTTCTATTTTCAAACATGCCTCGGAAGTCAAACGATTTCCGCTGCATTTTTTTCTTTTTTCTCCATTGACTTTGCCGACCGCCCTTTGTGCTTTGGTTGTCAAACGTTTTGGAAGTCGAATGGTCTTCTGGAATGGATTATGTTTGACAGCCGAGGTACTGCTGTACATCCTTCCACAAGGGTTAATTGATATGTTTTTAACATTTTAATGGTTTTTATGTTTTATTGTTGTAAACTGCTCTGATATATATTCTATGACATAGTGATATATGAATATTTTTATAAATAACTAAAAAGTAGTAAAACCTCATTCTTCATACAAGTGCAGAGGGCTGCTGGAAGAAGAGAGGAGCATCCTCTGTTTCTGTGCTTGGTGCTCTATTGCATGCACTGTGTAGAAATAGGAGGAGGAACAGAGTTCCATGTTTCTCCTCTAGCTGCCTCTACATATAATTTCTTGTTGTCTGTGGTGACCATGCAAATGGTGATATGCGGAGGCTGTTTTAAAATATGGTTAAAGCCAGCAAGGGAAAGGAGATTCACTTCAGAGAACTGAGAGTGGGGGAAAGTAAACCAGAGTTTTGTTCCTACTGGGCCAGTGTCTGAGGACTGATTCACACTTTCCACTGATAGCCTTTATTTGGATACAGAAACCACTGTAGAGAAATCACTCTTAAGTGCGTCCCTAAGTAAAACTTGTGTGGAGAAAAAACCCCCTGAAAATGATACCATGAAGCAGCTACAAATCTGTGAATATAACTATGCACAAGTCATATACATGATTATTTTTGATAACAGTATTTCTTTGGATGATATAGTTTTGTTTTTACATTAATATATTAAATTTTTGAATACGTTTAATACAAATTTTTATGTTGAATTGTTTTGCTTTTTTTAAAAAAAAACCCATTCAATAAAATCTCTAAAGTGATATCAGTTGAATTGAGAGATTGATATATAGTATGTTAGACCCCAGAACATATTTTTAAAACAGCAGTAGCAATTGAGTGTTTCTATAAATAGGATGCAATTTTCTTATAGCATGTAGTAAAGAGCATTTAGTAGCTAGTGATTATGCCATACCACCCCAAATGGCTGTAGCATAGTGTATGTTCAAGGATCTTCCCATAACGTTCAATGATGCTGCATACTATACAACCAAGGCAAAGGTTTAGGACCAAATATATAGTTACATGAAAGCAATCATTTTTATATAAGTCAACTTTTAGCAGCAGGTCCTACTCTGTTGGCTTAGATGTAAAGGTGTTTTGTGTGGGTGGAAACTTCCATTTGCTCACACAAGGTGGTCCCCAGAATTCCACCAGTTTCCCCCTCCTGTTGCAGCTTCCCCAACTCATCCCTTGCTGATCCAGAAGGTCCTGTGACCTTTTGCACACCAGTTTTTAAGGGCCACTGCGGGACTGTACCTGGGAGGAAAGGTGGCAGTAAAGCTCCATAGTGCTTCTCTAGACCCAGACCCTTTTCTGTGTTAAAACCTGCAATAAATATTGTAGCTAATACTTTACCTTTTAAAAAGAGACCAAAATATGAAGGGGAAAAAATCAGTCTCTCCCCACTTACTTGGTTTTCTGTATGTTTAATAGAGCTTCTGAACATGATTTTGGTTCTGCAGTTGTTCAGTGACTGTGGACCATCTTTAGTGGCACTGAGTGGTTTGATTTTCTCCATGTGCATGTCCCTCTTGCCTCCCTCACAGAGCAAGTGCTGGAGAGAAATTATTGCAGCTGTTGCTGGGAACCTTGTCCTCTCTATTCTTTGAATGGGAGAAGGCGAGGAGACTTCATGCCAGGCCAGTGATGCTCCTATTAAGAACATCCTCCTATTTTGTGCTCAGCTACAGGATGATGTAGAATATCTCTGCCTTTTTCTGGGTTGGATTCTTGGAGAAAATGCAGAGAAACTTGATGCAGTACAGCCTCACTTGCTTCTTCATGAGTAGGCAGCAGTCTGTCAGTTCCCTACTCCTCACATGGTAGTGATGCATCTATTGGAATTTGGAAAGTACATTTATATGTTAGAGTACTTGGCTAGCATCTGCATAGCTGCTTCAGGTAGGCCCAAGGATGTGTATCTATCCTGTGGGGTTGCAGACGATCCCATGTTTTTTGAAATTTTCCTCACTTCCAGAAACAGCATGAGTGGCTGCTATTATGAAAACACCCACCCACAGTTCCTGCTTAGATCCAGGCTTTTGTCTAGAATTGCCTCCTGGTGTGTCTTATTTTGCATCTTAGTTGTTACTAACCAGTTCATTATTTAATTTTATTTTTTAAACCAGGATATTTTACTCATTAACCTCATCATAGAACACATGATTTGTGATACAGATCCTGAACTTGGAGGAGCAGTCCAACTGATGGGTCTATTGCGTACGTTGGTGGATCCAGAAAATATGCTAGCTACTGCCAATGTAAGCAAGTATTTATGTGCAGTCATAATATACGCCCCCAAGTTATTAAGACACTTTGTATTATGTGCATTAGGTATAAATTTATTTATTTTTTTCTGCAGAAAACAGAAAAAACTGAATTCTTGGGGTTCTTTTACAAACATTGTATGCATGTCCTCACTGCACCACTACTGGCCAATACTACGGAGGAAAAGCCTAGCAAAGGTGAGGCAAGAAATCTTTTGTTGAGGCATCATTTTCCCTATTAAAATGCTTTGGCAAGAGTTTTTTTTTCTTTAAAAGCGTTATACAAATAATAAACTGAATTATGCAAATAATCTGAACAAATTTCGTAACCAGCAAAATGACAGGGTATTTGTGGATGGAATGGTGTGAGGCACATTGCCCTGTTTCATCCTTATCAATAAAATCCAGATCACTTACAGCTGGGGGGGTGGGGAGGACAGTTTTTATTTTCATCAAGCAGGTCTTCCAGGTGTAGCACTTCAGAGCTTCCCATAATAGTGAAAATTCATGTAATAGAGATCTGAGCTTAGTCTTGGCCCAGTCACTAAGAATCATCCCTATACCTTTGTGCATAGCCCCATCCTTTGCAGTCATCCAGCACCTCCATGTGCTCCTAGCAAATGTGGTTTGAGTTTAAGGGCAGGTAGTAGATCACTGCATGCCTGGATAGAAGGCACTTAGACTGTGTGTTTTTCTGTCCTCCATGTGTGCCTATGGGACTGGATTGTTCTTGTACATCTCATAAAATTCATCAAAATTGAACATGCAGCTTTTACACTAATAAAAAACTAAAAGATATCAAGTATGTGGAATAATGTCTATTATGCAGTGATTTGTCTATGGTGCTGGAATCAATTAGTATGTTTTGCTTTATATGCCAAACAAGTGGAACAGAAAATTAAATAAGCCCAATCTGATTTCTGTTTTTGTTTATGTTGCAGAAAATAAATTGTGAGTTGTTTTATGTATCAAAAAATAATTTAAAATTTGTATATTTTTATGTGATTTTTATGTTGTCTGTTTTGTTTTAGATGACTTTCAGACAGCCCAGCTATTGGCCTTGATATTAGAGTTACTAACTTTCTGTGTGGAACATCATACATACCATATAAAGAACTACATTATAAATAAGGATATCCTTCGAAGAGTGCTAGTACTGATGTCTTCAATGCATGCCTTCTTGGCACTATGTAAGTATTTTCATAAAAATCATGGGGATTTACAAATAGTCATGTAAAACGCATAATCACAGACAGCTAATAAGAGCCGTACTTAAAATCCCAGAAACTAATTAATCAGATCCAAGGAGTATCGAGACAAAGCATACTAATAGACTGTTAAGTAAATTAGTTGTGGAAACAACATAAAAAAGATCTGAAGACCTGACCAGGTGAAGAGATGCATATAATTAAGTATCAGGAAGCTGCCCTGCCACTACCTAGTAAAGCGTATTCCCAGAAAGGGGTATTGGCAACCAGGCAATAGTTGTCACACATTTCTGGATCCAGCAACAACTTCTTAAGGTGGGGATAAACTGTCTCCCCCATTGCAATGAAGTATTATTCACTCCCTAGGCCTTTCGGTCATTTTTTTTAGCATCAACCAGGGTTGAGGGAACAACCCTTCAAGCAGCTTGGTCACATCATCAGGTTGCAGTAATTGAAACTGATCTGACAAACTTGTCATTTGTGTTGAGCTGCTGCATGTCTCAACCAACCCAAACCATCTGAACTTTTTGTCTGGAGGATCAGCCATTGTGGTGCTTCCATTTGTTTTGGATTGCAGCTCCTGTCAACACGGCCAATGGTCAGTGGTGATGGTCCAAAACAAGTGGAACATTGGCCTTGTTCACACATCATGGTTAGCCAAGTTAACAAGTGTGCTGGCTTTTGGAGAGGAGCTCACAGCTGCTTTGCTACTCTCCTGTCCTAGCACAGCAGCTAAACCAAACTTAGTGTGTCCAAACCCAGGATTGTGATTAAGGTCTCTTCTCCTTAACCACTACCTGTAATCAAGGTTTATCCTATGGTCACAGTTCATGGTTGAGGAAGAGAGACCGTAACCATGATCCTGGTTTCAAGACAACACACTATTCCAAACCTTGGCTTAACTGCTGCACTATTGCTGTGCTAAAGACTGAAGAGCAGAGTAGATGTGAGCTCCTCTGCAGGAGTCCATTCGTGCAGTCCTGGTAAGCCATAGTTCGGCTTACCATAATAAGCAAACTAGAGGACTGGCTACCTCTGTTTTATGGTGTTATCTGTAACATAGTGACTTTTCTCTTTTTCATAAAGAGTTTTCTATGATACTGTGGCAGTCCTTTGTCAGTATATTCTCATCTGACTGATCTTCAGTGTCCTTGTTTCCTTTTCATCATCACATACTACTATGTAAAAGTGTTGTGAATTACTTAAGCTGTGAGCCGTTCTATTAAAGTTGGGGTACTGAGGATGTTGTTATTGGAAACCAAATGTGAAAATTGCTTTTAAATAATGATTTTTCTTCATTAGGTGCCCTGCGTTTTAAAAGAAAGATAATTGGGTTGAAGGATGAATTCTACAACCGCTATATAATGAAAAGTTTTTTGTTTGAACCGGTGGTCAAAGCATTTCTCAGCAATGGATCTCGCTATAATTTGATGAATTCTGCTATTATAGAGATGTTTGAATTTATCAGAGTGGTGAGTACCACTTTCTAGAGAAGGGTGGATGTTAACACTGCAGGTGCTGGTGTCAAAAACATTATTAACTTGTGAGTATGTTGTACAGGAGGGAGTTGCAGATAAAATAAGGTAACTCCAAGTATCTTCTTGGAGAGAGAAAAAGAAAGTTTGCGGAATGTTGGAATAGGAGGCCTTTCAAGGCAGAAATATTTATTTTTTATATTGATCACCTCGTTAGCACTCTAGGTGATGTGCGGTACTTCAGTTTAAAACCTAAGTGCAAATGGTGACTGTCCAATTCAACACAAAAAACCAGACCAACACAGTAAAACCTAATTCTAATGACAATCTAATCACATTAATATTCTGGAGTGCTACAACAATTTCGCAAAAGCTAAAAACAAACTACCATCAACTGTTTTTAACAACTACTGATGTTAAAAAATAATCTTTGGAAGATATTTTTTTTTAAATATTAAATTGGTGTTAAAAGGCCTGAGAAGGGAAAACAGTCTTTGATCAAAAAAGTCATTCATGCAAGTCACCAGGCAGGCATCTGGAGTGCATTCACTAACAGAAAGAGGGCCACCAACAAGAAAGCCCTCTTTCACTCTCTTATAGCCACCCGCCACACTTAAGTTTGCTTATCTTAAGGCTTGGGTAGGTACATACTCACCCAATAGTCACATCATATTGATAGTGATAGAAGCATGAGAGATGGCACTGCTTCTTAGGGGAAAGCATTTGTGGTCAGCCTTGTTTATAAGTAGGAGTAAGAATGTACCAATGAGGGCAATTACTGTGAGTTGGGACATTTTGAGCCATTACTTTTGATACCTATATAGAAGTTGAAAGGATGGAAATCCACCTGGTTCAGAAGATTCAGGGCCCCAAAACAGAACTCTTCAAACAAATTAGATTGTAATGCACTCCAAGAAAATAATGAGTGCCTAAGGTGCAGTACTGATGCAGTTACTTGACTGAACACAAAGGAAAACCCATCTCTTAACTACCCAGGGATAGATGGAGTAATGGTGGCTCACAGTGGGTCATCGCTACTGAAGCACCAGGATGTTGAAGATGAAGTTTTTGGCCTGGAATGTGGTGCAAACATTTTTTAAAATTGCAAGTTAAAAAGTGTTTGCAGATTTATTTTGTAATGTTAAAAACGTAGCAGTCTTCAGCATAGATAATCTGAGCAAAATTAAAATTTGCATGTTCTGGCTAATAGATATCTGGCTAGGCATCCTGCTCAAAGAGTGAAGGAGTTAGACTTCAGTTAGAGTTTATTGTAACAATACATTAGTGGCCATCTTTTGATCACAGCACCTCTTTCATGAACTGTAAAATTGTCACTTGTAATTTTCAGTTCCTGGAAGAAAAACGAGAATGGTTTTCCGAAATTTCACTGTTGGCATATTGTCAGAACCAGCTCCTGAGTCAGGATTTTAAAAAGATTTCAAAACCGTTCAAACATTTTGTTGGACATCATAACTTTCCATCTGTTTACTATTCTTTAATCATAGAAGACACTTTCTAAGCACCAACAATGTGTCAGGGACTGATTAAAAACATGGTTCTTCCTAAAATTTTATATTTTGATTTGCTGCATACTTCCATTTGCTGCATTTTCTGTAATGACGGCCATGTTTACCTCATGCTGCTTAGTAGTTGTTTGGATGAAAAAATGACTAGGGAACAAACTTAGAATAATTCCCTTAAGCATTTTAAAATAATTTTTTTGTGGCTTTTCTATGCTTCTACTTTTTAACATCTTTAATTGGAAAAAATAACTTTATTTTCTAGGAAGACATAAAATCCTTAACAGCTCATGTAATTGAGAATTACTGGAAAGCACTAGAAGATGTAGATTATGTGCAGACATTCAAAGGTTTGAAATTGCGTTATGAACAACAAAGGGAAAGACAAGATAATCCCAAACTTGACAGGTTAGTGTACACAAATTGTTATTGGCTCTTTCATAAAACATTTTCCTATTGAGGACAAACTAGGGAAAAATGAACAGCACACTTTGGTTCTGTTTCTCAGATGGCTGCTTTTAGTGTCAGTTGACTGACATATTTTTAAGTGAAGATCATTAAGTGAAGCTATAAGCCACTGTACTGTGTTGGAAGGATTCTTTAATTAAGCCATATCAGGATATACAGAGAAATATACATCTCCATACAATTGACCCAGATAATCTCTGGTGGATGACTATAACACACATGCTTATTTCCCAATGCCAGAAAAAGACATAAAGCCCTGGACCTTATTCTGTGATGCAGTACCAGGTAGGCTAAAATATTGTTCTGCCGGCTGCCAGCTTCATATTGCAGGTGTACTTTGTATGCATATCCAAAGTTTGCAAATTATTTGTGAGAGTGTCTCATTGCCCAGATCAAGCAGTTAAGTCTCACCATTTGTGTACCTTCAAGGTAAGAAACCCATCAGGTTGGATTCAAACTACTTGTGGGCAGAGTTCTGTCCACAAGACTCTGCCATTGGAACAAGGGTGGGAAGTGATTTTGCTTTCCCCCCCTTCCTCCTGCAACCCCTCATGTCCCCTTCAGAATAGCCTGGGAGATGGTGCTGGGGGCTGAAGGGGGAATCTGCAAAAATCCACCACCATCTCTGCTTTCCTCCAACAAGAGCCTCTGTTTCATCTTTATCCATTCCGCAAACAGAAGCTGTCTGGATACAGCTCATCAGTTGAAAGCACAAACTCTGTCTACTTTATCCCTATGAAGAAATCACTATTTCAGGCAAATTGTATTATCTAAAAATACAACTTCTTTGGAGAGGGAAACCCCAATAAAAAAGTGTGTGCATTGATTCTAGTTGTTCGGTTTATATACTCACATACACACATGGGGACACACACTAACATTTGCATTCATTCCTTTTGGTGTTTGGATAAAAACCTTTGGCAGCCAACTCTTTTTAAAACATTCCATTTTGATAGATTTTCATCATAAAGGTACATGTAGATTCTTCATGTTGGTCCCTCCCAACACTATGATTCTATGTATTTTTGCAATTAAATAAGGTGCACAATTTTTTTGTAAGTTGTCTCATTCATCTCAGTGCATCTTAGATGAGCGTCTCCCTGGTGATTTTCAAACTTCAACATGTTTTACAACTTACACCTACAGTACGTAGCTGGCGGTCAGAAGTGCCCTATTCTTTCATTAATCACCTGCATTAGAAAGTCATACAAGAGATGAGAAGATAAAAAGGCATGGAAACAGTGTCAGGAACACACACCTAAATGAAATAGTGGTTTCTTGATGTGCGTGTGGCTTAGCTTAATGCTAAAGCACATCCACAGCTTGCATAGTGATTGTCCTAGTATATTAGTTTCTAAAAATATTTCTTTAGGCATTGTATCACGTAGTTGTGTGAGAGAAATGTAAAGGTTTCGGCACAAGGCTCATTTTTTAAGCTCTTGCTTTAGCAATATATGAAAAGTAATATTTTTAAAAAATCTTTTTTCATAGCATGCGTTCCATCTTAAGAAACCATAGATACAGGAGAGATGCAAGGACCTTGGAGGATGAGGAAGAGATGTGGTTTAACACTGATGAAGATGATATGGAAGATGGGGAGGCTGTGGTGCCACCTTCTGACAAAAGTAAAAATGATGAAGATATTATGGATCCTATAAGTAAATTTATGGAAAGAAAAAAATGTAAGTAACTGGGTGGGATTACTATATTTCAGCTTTAAATAGATTTAGCTACCATAGGGCTGTAAATGGATATTGTAAGGTTTAAATGGACATAAGGCTGTAGCTTAGTGGAAAAGCATCTGCTTTGTAAGCAGAAGCTCCCAGGTTCAGTCCCCAGTATCTGCAGGTAGGGAGATAGACAACGCTATTGTGTAGTATAGTATAGTATAGTATAGTATAGTATAGTATAGTATAGTATAGTGGTATTGTATTGTATTGTATTGTATTGTATTGTATTGTATTGACAAAACTAAGCTAGATGTACTTTGACTGTGTAAGGCTGCTTTCTGTGTTTCTATTGAGGAAGGGGTTGCCCTCCAGAAGTAGCTGGACTACAACTTTTATCATCCCTGGTCATTGGCCAGTTACGGCTGATCCATCAGGGCGAATAGAACACTGCCCCACCAAGCTTAACCTCCCCTTAGCCAGACCACATCTGCCTGCCTTCTTCCTTCCAAACGGTGTTGCCCTTATAGAACTCATCAGGAAGGTGGATGGGGACAAAAGTAAAATTAGTTGGCTCTGCCTTTCCTTGGTACTAGATCCACCTACTCTTGGTCTTTCTGACTTCTATTCTACTAGTCCAATGGGCACCAGTCCCATTGGCCATCCTGACTGGGGCTGATGGGAGTTGGAGTCCAGCAATCAATGAGAACCGCAAGTTCTCCATCCCTTTAATGTATTCACAATAACTTTTTACACCAAAGGCCAGTGTGTGTATGCAGTACAGCTAATTAGGCACAGAGCTGCCTCCTGCACTTTTAGACAGTAATAAATTCGTACTAAAATAAGCAGGAATGTAACATAAGTATGATAATAGTACTTTTTGTCTCCTTTAGCCTCTTGGATTTCATAGTGGAACTTTTATTAAAGCTGTACTTGTTTTAAATTACAGTTAAAGAAAGTGAAGAAAAAGAGGTCCTTCTGAAAACGAATCTATCTGGTCGCCAGAGCCCAAGTTTCAAACTTTCTTTCTCTAGTGGTACAAAGGCTAATCTCACCAGCCAGTCATCTGCAAGTAATTTGCCTGGGTCTCCTGGGTCCCCTGGATCTCCCGGGTCCCCTGGATCTCCTGGATCAGTTTCTAAAAGCACATCTCAGATGGCAGCTATAACTACCAAGGTACTGTTTTCACTTGACTCAAATCATGCTGTTATCAGAACTATTCCATGAGACGGCCAATCTCTGAATTTGCCATTTGGGAAATCCATAGGTGATTTGGATGGAGTTTGTGACTATCTCTCTGCCCCATGCTTTTAATATGGTCTATACTTAAAAGTAAAGAAGACTTTAAAAGAATAGTTGCTTTTGTGCATAGATGCCCTTTAAAATATATACAAAACATACTGCCTTCAATAGAAATAATTTTAGGGGAATTCATCTTGTTACAAGCAAGATATTTATTAATTAATGAGTTTTTTACAATTGTTTTGTCCATTTAGACTCCTAACAGAGTTGCTTAGGAAATACTTCTACCTCCCCCTGTACATTGACTGAGATTTGGGATCAGTCAAATCAGGGAGGCACAGCTAATTTATTAACAGAATGTATTCTGTCCTTTGGAGCCAAGTCCAAGTGTAAACACTGAATATAAGCCATATGTTAAATAAGATACATGGTAAGAATTATGGCATTATTTTAAACCATAGCAGCACAGCCTTCCTGCCCCATGCTGCTTCTAAGCAGAGTACTTGGTAGGTAACTATGTCTATGTAGAACCGCCAGCTTCAGTCAGCCAGGTCTCTTATCATACATACCAGGCTAGTTTCTTCTCCTAAATTAAATCCTATATGTTAGGTGTGTGGTCTGTGTAATTCTAAGTCATTTAAACTAGGGTTCAGTGAGTAATTTGGTGTGAGAAAAGAGGACCAGAATATGGGGAAGTTTTAGTGCCCTAAACTCTGTTCCCCAATATTGGCCTCTTACTCTTCCAGTCCTATGCTATTCCCAGTGCTGTCTATGGTTCCACCACTGTGCAACATGTTCCAATCATTGTTAGCATTTGTTTACTTTTCATATCTCAATAATTTTTGTACTTTTATGTATTCTTGGAGCAACTTCAGAATGCCACAAAACAGCCACTTGTCTCAAAAATCAGCCAAGTATTGCTAAGCCCCAGCACAGTTCCTTAAGCAGTTCAGTTGCTTCCGATGCTCGTGCATGTTGGATGTTAGGATAAGAATCATTCTGTCATAGAGTTGATAGGGGACCACAAGAATAATCTAGTCCAGCCCCCTGCAATGCAGGGATCTTTTGCCCTGCGTGGGGCTAGAACCCAGAATTCTTCCCCTAAATTGCACTCCATGTAATAAGCAGTATTTTATAAAGTGAAGCATAGTTATTTATTTGTTTGTTTGTTTATTTATTTATTTGTGCCTAGTCTTGTCTTCTGAGAAACTCAAGGCAGCGTACATGAGGTTCTTTTTATCATTGCAACAAACCTGTGTGTAGGTTTGGCTAAGAGATGGTGACTGGGCAATGGTTGTGACTGAGAGGGAAATTGAAGCGTGATCTCCAGTCTTATTCTGACACCCTAAACACAGTGTTTCCCTTGAAGCAGACTTTACTATGACTGCTTTCTAGGATTGCAGCTTTGAAATGTGTACTTTTAAAATCCATCAAAGATGGTATGTCTTTATCTGCGAAACGCTGTGATTGCTTTGACCCACTAATATATATATATATATACATAGTAACATCTGATAGTGTGTTTATACTATGGGGCTGGTCTGCATGCATCTGTCATATATACATATATAATGTTATACTATCTTTTCCCTCCAGAACAGCCCATTGTATTTCTGGGAAGGGGCTATTGGGTTGTTGTTTTTATTTTTATTATGTATTTTGTGGTTTTATATCTTGATTTTATTCTGTGAATGGCCCTGAGACCCCTGGGTATAGGGTGGCGTAAAATTCAATTAATAATAATAGTAATAATACCCACATTATTAATCTTTGCTTGCATAGCACTGTGTGTTCCTTTGTATGTATTAAGCCAAGTACAGCTGCTTTTAGCTGCTCATCATACCTGAGCATTGTGCCCCTTAATTGCTAGCAAGAGTCATCTAAGTATGTATATTTTGGTTAAGATAATAACCTCTTGCACAGTATAGGAATTAATGGCCATGCATTGCATTTATGTTTTTGTCTCTGAATATTGTGAATTTGTATCTCTGTGTTTTACATATATATATCAACTTATTGGAGTTTTAAGCAGATCATTTTAAGTCCATTTGAAGGATGAAACTCTGGAATAGCTAATGTTTGTAAATCTTTTTTTCTTTTCAGGGAGGCCTAGTGGGGCTTGTAGATTATCCTGATGATGATGACGAGGATGATGAAGAAAGCATACCTTTATCACAGAAAGCAAAGCTAGAGTCCTCATAATGACAGCTCTGAAATTTAATATCGGTTGAGGGATAAACAAAGTTTCCAGAGGGGGAAAAGTTTATAATTAAAAACTATAATTTCTAATGAATTACTGTGTATAACACAGATCAACTTTTAAAACATGGATTTCTGCTAGTCAAGTGCCAATTTGAAGGAGCAGAAGAAGAGGAAATACTATGCTTTATGGAAAAGACATGCCTTTGACCTCTCCAGCTTGGACCACACATTGCCCTTTTCTCAGGGAAGGAAACGGAAAAAAATATATATGTAAAAGCCAACAGGGCAGGAGTTTTGGTAGTGGAACTCTGGATTGGCTGTTCAGTTTGTTACAATCAGAATATGCTTTCTTGGACCATGTACAAGACTTTGAAGAAAATGCTTTTTCTGCCCTAATTCTTCACTAGCTAAGAATGCCAGCAGTTTCTTTGTCTAAAGAGACCTGCCTTTGAAACCATACATTCTGAACATTTTAGTCAAGCTACAACAGGTTTTAAAGAAAAACTCATTGGGGGAGGGCTGAACATAAGTTTCCTCTTTTCTTTCTTTCTTTTTTTTTTAAAAAAATAATCTGTTCCCTTTTGCCCTTTAAACTGCAGATTTTTGTTTGGAGCTAAGGGATTTGTCTATCCCTTGATTAAAGATTGAATGGAATTCTAGATGTGGTCACTTTTGTGTCATATTTTTATTTTGCCCCGAGTGTATGCTTAGTTGTTGAGTATATATTTGGGACCATTAAAATTTTTTTGATGTAATATAATCTCACTGTTGTGCTGGTACCTGTTTCACATGTGTAATTCTGTTCTGCATCACAATTCTTGATATGTTTAGGATTTTATGGGAGATGGTATAGTTTTTATTGAAAAAGAGCAAATGAATCTTGCCACAATGTGCATACAAAAGCAATACTATTTTGTGACTAAATATTTTATATTAAACTTTACATCATCAACTGTCTTGAAACAATTCAGGGAAATAGGTTGTTTTTAAAAAAATAAAAAATAAAATAAAGAAACCTATAAATATGAAATTAGTATTCCAAAGAGATTTTGAAATTTCCTAGCTTGGAACCATGCTGGTACATTTAAATCAAATTTGAAATGGTTATTTAAGAGTACTGACACATTTGAGTTTTTAAAATAAAAACAAATAGAAATGAAACAATTTACTGCATTAGTGGCATTATTTAAAAACTTCTGACTCCCTTTGGAATACCAGTTTTACTTTCACAGATTATGCTGGGGCTTTGAAATATTAATGTTGATTCAGGTTATTAATCTATTCTAGTTCTTGATAGGAAAATATCGGTATAACACTGGCTATCTTTTGTCTGCTCATTGCAAACTGGACTAAAACTTGGATTCCATAAGATAGTTATAAGGACTGAATTTCCATTTGCTGGAAACGTGTTACTGGTTGCTTGTTGAGGAGGTAGAGAGAAGACTACAATTTAGTATGTGTTCTATTGTATAATTTCCAGAGAGATTTCTCAAGTTGGTATAGTAATAGTTCTTGGGTGAACATGCACCTCTGTCCCTTCCTGCAAAGAGAAAATATCAAGTAGTTGAAAAGTATCCTATTCATTGACTCAAAACACCACCATCTTTCCAGGAAAAGTTCCGTTCACTTATCTCTACAGAGGGGGAGAGTTGCTCAAGTTCAAGTTTTGAGGTTGATACATTCCCTGGAAAGTATCGAGTCCCAGTATAACCCAGTCATCCCACCATCTAGAATCAACTTTCAAGAGCTGCTTCAAGCAGCACTGATGGTTTTACCCGTTTTTATATTACAGAATATCCCTTTATGGCCTTTAAGCCCTGAGGGGTAGTTTGAATTGTATAAACTTGTATCTGAGTGGAGGTTTTTGATGTTTTTTTTAGTGCTCTCTTTGCTCAGTATGTTCGACATTTGTTATAACATGGAGTTCTCTTAATATATTGGACACACTTAAATTTTTGTTCTTTATCACACTCTACCTCAGTCAATAAAGGAAAAAGTAGGCTGTCTTTAGCATTAAAACTTTTTTTAGTAGGCATTATACTCACTGCAAGGAGAGCATCACATTGCTACTTCTCTTTCCTACATAGGCACTATTAAATAATCTGGATTTGATCCTGTGCCATATTCACCTGATCCTTGTGTTCTTCAGTTAGAATTTTCAGCACCTTGCCTAAGTGTTTCCCAAGCTTTCTTGGGAGATGTTCCAACATTTACATTGATTCAAAATTATTTTGCTTGTTGTAATGCAAACCTGTGGTTTTACCATGGACCAGATAGCCAATCACTTTCAACCTAGCCTAGCTTTGCAGTGTCCAAGTCTAGTACTCTGCCTGTTGAGTTAAACTTTGCTCTCCGCACAGCACCTTCCCCAGTTGGCACCGATGGAAGTTCTGAGACTGTATTTTGGATTATGATTTGATGTTAGAAGCATAAGGTGAAACTGAGCTGTGTGGCTCAGCCATGCGGCGGGCCTGCCAAGAATACAGAGGAGTGGTTTTCCTTGGATTTTAAGGAAAGAAGGTTGGTGTCTGTAGGGAATGCTGTTTGAATGAGAGCAGGAAAGTTGAATAGATTACATTGATTAGCTCGGAGCCCACAATAAATGGGATATGGATCCATCTTCATAGGTGTGAGTTTGTAGTATGTCTGCTATGAATTACTTAAATCACATGCTCCAACAGTTCCTGAGGATCATAGTATATTTTCTGAAGCACATCAAGATACCAATGGATTAAACAAATAACATCCAGTATTGTGTGTGTCTCCATCATGTGATAATAGGGGAAGGGGATTAGCTAGTGTGCTTGGTGCTCCCAGGAGGCAAAGTGCAGAGTTTTCAGACCACCCACATACAAGTAATGGAGATAGGAAGCTTACAAATTTCTTATCCTTTTTCCATACATTGAAAGATGGGGAATTAAGAACTGGGTTACAAATATAAATGAATTTCCTTCCGCTGATTACCTACTGAAGATGTCTAATGCAAAGGTGGGTAGATTAAAACCCCTTCATGAAACACCATGTTTCACCCCTATGAAAACTTTTCTGGAAATTGTAACCGTCATATTTACCTTTTCTTAATGTTTGGTTACAAGTACTACATAAAAAGCCCAGCTGATGTATTTATTCATAGCTGTCCTATTACCTTACTGATTTTTGTCTGGACAGAAGGCCAGGAGTAATACGTTTTTTAAATGGGATCTTCTGCCACGATTATTTTGGTCTACTGGTGTACTGTTCAACCAACTCTCTTTTCTCTGAGCGATTATGCGCACACACAATCTGACATGACAACTGTTCCTCTGCAGTAAGGAGAACCCTCCTACGGTGTCAAAACTATTTTAGGGTTAGTTTGGTCCCATGTGGTAAAGGGAATTGGTACCACACATGAGTATGCATGCCATACTTTATTTTCGGGGGTGGGGAAAAATCTGCCCTGCTTTTTGGCTTCCCAAAAGTGCTCCTTCCAGATTACAAAAACACAACAAAAATGAGAGACTAATGCCAGCATGTTGTAAAACTGTGGCCTGATAGATCAAGCAGACGTGTGATAAAAGCTTCCTAATTGGGCAAGGCAAGGCAGCTTGCAGAGTTATAACCATCATAGGAAGTTAGGATGTGGACACCTGTATGGACCCACCACCTTCCGCTTACAGAATCTAAACATTCTAGTAAGCTAGAGAATTGTCACCATTGTCCTCGTCACGTTTTGGGTGCTCAGTTGGAAACATTTTGCTGACTTGTGCTTGCCCACATACATGAACTCTAAAAACCTTCGAGCTTCATTTAAATGTCAGTAAAATTACAACCCGGCCTTTGCCACTAAGGATGGGATTTATTTCAAAGAGCTCCCCTAGCTTTAAATACATTTAATAAATAGAGCTGCTACCAATAGCTTCTCCTTGGTTGTGATTTCCCTGTTCTCCTGCTTCTGATGATTGAAAAATTGGTGTTGGGAAGGGGCACCTTTTTTCTGTCCCACTGCTTTGCCAAGCCCATCCACTACTACTTTCCAAGAACCGAGATTCTTTTTAGAGGACACATGAATGGTGAGGCTTTGTTAATGCTTGGGACTGTTGCTAGGAGACATTTGGAGAGAGGCGAATAACTCTGTTTACAGTTAGTGCAAAGTATATGCCAAAATGCCTTCACTTTGGAAATCCCCAGTTTGTGTCAGCTGCTGTGAGATGGCAACAAGGTGCTTGAGAAAATAACAGCATTAAAACGTTTTTTTTCTTTTCAAGTGTTGTTTTAAATTTCAAACAGCTTTTCTGAGTTCTGCACGACCTTTTTTTCTATTTAAAAAAAAATCGTGGGAATCGTATCCGGTTCATTTAACTCCAAAAATGTAAGGGTGTACTCAGTTGTGTTCTTGATTTACAGCTTTCACCTATCTAGGGAGACCTATAAATCTTATAGAATCCTCTTCTCTATATTGAGAGAGAGGGAGAAACCATTGAGTTCACACCAGACAAGTTTGTATAGAATTTCATCCTAAGTCTGCAATTGTATGTAATAAACTTCCTGGGAAGTAAATCCTAGTGAATAACATGACACACAAACATGTAGCCTGACAAAATCTCCTGGGCCCGCTGTCACTGGCAAGATGTCCCAGGAATAGCAGAGTGTTTGGTCCCTTGGTCCTCCCTTTGGACCTCCCTCAGCCACATGCAAAGGTCCACAGTCAGTGGTTCACATGGTCTCCCTCCATTGTCCATTTCTTGGTTCTTGGTGAGTTCTGCATGGCGGTTTACTGTTTGCCTGCAGCTGAGCAGGAATAAGATCTTAGCTCTTTAATTACAGTTTGCACCCCATGTTTCCATAGATCAGGGACAGGCAACCTGTGGCCTTCCAGATGTTAATACTGCTCCCACACCCCTGAACATTGGCCATGCTGGCCTGGGGTAATGCAAGTTGGGGGTCTAAAAACATCTGGAGGACTACAGCTTCCTAATTGCAATGCCCACTGTGCAATGCCCACTGTGGCCAACACCATTAAGACTACAAAATACAGTAACAACTAAGAGAAACCAAAATAAAAAAGCAGAAAGAAAAAGGAACATTCAGCCGAAAACAAGCAATGCGTAGTAGTGTAAGAGGACAAGGAATCCAGCAATACAATTAGCCAGAGCCCTGCCAAACAAAACAAAACTTGGCCCATCCAGCTGGCTTCCATAGTTATCCCAAATGGTGCCATTGCCATGATTTCTGCACCACTTGTGACTGACTACTTGAATGTCCATTTTAAAACAAAGTTTGCCATGGTCACCAGAGTTGCTTTTTTTCTTTGGCTTTAATGTGCTCAGTGAATGGTGTTTTTCAGCCACTAGGTGGTGGAAACATTCTTTGCATTGCCTGGTCATGGGGAGTGACAGACATTGCAAACAATACCTGTTTTTCTTCTTCTTTGTAATACAGAAACTACAATGTTTCAAATCTTGAGTGTCAGGACTATACAAGTTATGCAGATGTTAGAACTGTACTCACAAGGGTGCCCCATAGCTCACTTTATCTATCCAACACGTGCACTGAAAAGTAGAACATGATCAACAACAAAGTAAGTAGTGACAGAATGCTTAAAGAAGATGCTAGTTGCATTTTGAAAAGCAAAGAGATGGGGTAATAGCTGTTTGAAGTTTATTTAGCCACATACTGTTCAGCATTCAGCTGCCACTTGAATGTTCTTCGTACAGTTCAGTTGAAGAGCGCATATGTTTTTGCCAAGTATTTTCTTGCTCTTCTTTCTGTCCTCTAGAGCGTTTCATAGAATCACAGGAGTTGGAAGGGGCCCCAAGAGTCAATGAGCCATCCCTGGGTGGGTTCGAACCACCAACCTTCTGGTTCAGAGCCTGACCCACTGCGCCACCTCAGATCTCCTGACACTTTGTTGTTGTTGTTTAGTCGTGTCTGACTCTTCATGACCCAATGAACCAGAGCACGCCAGACACTTCTGTCTTCCACTGCCTCCCGCAGTTTGGTCAAACTCATGTTTGTAGCTTCGAGAACACTGTCCAACCATCTCGTCCTCTGTCGTCCCCTTCTCCTTGTGCCCTCAATCTTTCCCAACATCAGGGTCTTTTCCAGGGAGTCTTCTCATCTCACGAGGTGGCCAAAGTACTGGAGCCTCAGCTTCAGGATCTGTCCTTCCAGTGAGCACTCAGGGCTGATTTCCTTCAGAATGGATACGTTTGATCTTCTTGCAGTCCATGGGACTCTCAAGAGTCTCCTCCAGCACCATAATTCAAAAGCATCAATTCTTGGCGATCAGCCTTCTACACTTTGTTAGAACACAAAAGTAAATCCATGCCAGGTCTGCTGGCATAATTTCAAAGTAGTGTTATTAACTTGCAGTGGTCATACATATTTTTTTCTGACATTTCTCCATGCAGTTTATTTAACTGCACTTCTCCATGAAACCAGATGAGTCAGACAAAGGGCAGCAAGGAGTTTAAAAGGAAAGAACTGGCATGCATTTTTGCCTTAAGAGTTAACCAATAACTCCCAAGCCAAAATCAACTGCAGTGCCTGCTAACCACAGATGCAGAAGTATGAGCTGTAGTAAGCTGCAGTTCAAAACCAGCAATTCTATCTGTATGTACAAGGCAAATCGAAGAGCATCACTCTTTGGAATTCTTAATAGTTCCCTAGCTTCAACTGAGAATACCATACAATGCCAAGGACATGATGATACTTACATATAAAATAAATATTTTTAAAGGACATGCTATTGCCTTCTAATATCAGTTATTCTTGTTATTATTAGCAGGGTTTGTGAATGCAACAATCCAAATTTATATTTGTGTGTGCGATTTAATTTTCATTCAATTGCATTTCCTCCCCCTTTATTTTCATAGGAAGATGAGCATAAGATGAGCCTGCTGGACCAGGCCAATGGCCCATTCAATCCAGTATCCTGTTCTCAGAGTGGCTGACCAGGTGTCTCTGAGAAGCATGGAAGCAAGGCATGAGCGCAACAGGACTTGGCCCACTTTTGATTCCAAGCAACTGGTATTTAGAGGCACAATGTCTCCAACAGTGAAATCCAGTATGCCTGGGAGTGTCTCCACCCCCATCATTCAGCCTGGACACTCAGGTCCAGCTCCGAGGGCCTTCTGGCAGTTCCCTCATTGCGAGAAATAAGAATACAGGGAACCAAGCAGAGGCCCTGTGGAACACCCTCCTATCAGATGTCAAGGAAATAAACAACTATCTGACTTTTAGAAGACATCTGAAGGCAGCCCTGTTAAGGGAAGTTTTTTATTGTTTGATTTTTTTATCGTGTTTTTAATATTCTGTTGGGAGCCACCCAGAGTGGCTAGGGAAACCCAGCCAGATGAGCAGGGTATATATAAATAATTGTTATTATTAATCGGAACTTAACATGGATAGAAACCATTGATTTCCTTATTTCTTATATGCTATTGAATTACATGTTTTGGATTAACTAAATAAAAAGAACTATTTTTTTTAAAAAAGAAATAGTAAGCCCCACTGTGTTAAGTGGAGCTTACTTCCATGTAAATGTATATACGTGTACAGACTTAGTTTGTTCAAAAATAATTCACCTCTTTACTGCTCCTCCCAGATTTGCTCCCAGCATAGCGGAAAAAGGAGAAAGATCACCTATTTATTATTATTTAACCTGTTCAGAGTCTTGAAAATGAGGCAGGCAATCAACTTTCAAAAAAAGAAAGAAAAGTGTGCCAAGAAGTCTGTGGTTAAGAAACACTTGGCTGCATCATCACTATCAAATGTTATGTGCATCTGTACAGTAATTCCCAATGATTAGCCCTCCTCCACTGCAAAAGTACAGAGGTGTGTCCGAAATGCCAAGAGTCTGTTGTAACAAATTGTTAAATAATGTACAGCAGAGATTCATATCTCCAGTAGTGCTTACTTAGTAAAGTGTGTAGAGAGCCAGGAATATACAAACAGGAAGCAATTTCCCACTTAGTTTATATAGTCTTTAAGAGACTGAGAAATTAAAAGTCTGCTATTGTCTTAGGAAGATATGGCCCACCAGAATTCCCTAAGGCATAAATGGCCACTAGAATCAGTCATGACAAAGATCGAGAAAAATACACCTGAAGGTTTTATACAGATGATATCTTACCACCTCCAGGGTTAATTTATATCTACGGCTCTGTTAGGGACACGGGTGGCGCTGTGGGTAAAACCTCAGTGCCTAGGACTTGCCGATCGCATGGTCGGCGGTTCGAATCCCCGCGGCGGGGTGAGCTCCCGTCTTTCCGTCCCAGCTCCTGCCCACCTAGCAGTTCGAAAGCACCCCTAAGTGCAAGTAGATAAATAGGTACCGCTTTATAGCAGGAAGGTAAATGGTGTTTCCGTGTGCTGCGCTGGTGCTGGCTCGCCAAAGAAGCTTCGTCACACTGGCCATGTGACCCGGAAGTGTCTCCAGATAGCGCTGGCCCCCGGCCTCTTAAGTGAGATGGGCGCACAACCCTAGAGTCGGACACGACTGGCCCATACGGGCAGGGGTACCTTACCTTTTTATGGCTCTGTTAAGCCTTGAGTGCTGGAAAAGAACTCTACTGCTTTCAGTACTACCATCATATGTGGTGGGATTGCCCAAAGATTTGATACTTTTAGGATAAAATGTTAGTGGATGTTGAGAGTTCTAACAACTAAAGCAAATATTTCAGACCAATTATAATGAGGTATCTGTAAAACAGAGACAAAAATGGGCCTAAGCAAATCCATGGAGGCAAGCGGAAAAAAACCTGGATTGACAATAGTTTATGGGAAGGAAGGTCACGCATAATAAAATAAAATAATTAATGCATAAGTCCCAATGCTTTCAGTGGAAGTTGCTTTTGAGTGTCCGGGTGAGCAGGTAGAAGCGAGTTGCAGAGATGATGCCCCAATTTCAGTGGTCAGACTGGAGGGGCTCACCACCGTTTGGGGCAGAGGCCTATATGTTTGGTCTCTGTTCCTTGTTTCAGCTCTCCCACTCCTTAAGAAGGTCCTCCTGGTAGCTTATCCACTTAGGTCCTCTGGTTTGGCGATGCTGTTTCTGAACGCCTGATCGATCCATAATAAGACCGTGGGACTTCCTTACCTTGTTTCCCCAAACTGTACTTTCTGCAGGAGCTGTAACAAGGTTCGAATTATTGATTTATCCCATTTCTACCCCACTAATGAGCTCTCTTTCTCCCCACATGGACCCTGTGAGGGAAGTCAGGCTGAGAGTCTGTGACTGGCCCAAGGTCACCCCATCAGCTTCCTGGCATGGAGGGGATTTGAACCCTGGCCTCTCCCAGGGCCTGATCCAATGCTCTAACCACTACACCACCATACCCTCCAACATTTCTTCAATGAAAACAGGGACATCTGAAGGAAAAGCGGGACACTCTGGGATCAAATTAGAAACCGAGGCAGCTTCTATAAATCCGGGACTGTCCCTGGAAAACTGGGGCACTTGGAGTGTCTTCACCACACTTGCTCCATCCCCCCTTGTCTCCCTTTCCCAAATGATTCCCAGGACTCTGGGGTTAAATCCCCTATATACCTACAGGCTCGCTCGACCAATTCCCTTTGTCCTTTGGAAGCTTTTGGCATGAGTTCATGTTTAAACACAATAGGCCAGCCTAACGCTGCCGTCATGTTTGCAGAGACCACGAGCCCAGAAGAAAAACATCCTGCCGCTCCGAAGAGGGGAATCGAGCCTCCACTCGGGGGGCTTTCGTGGGACAGGGTTGTTTCTGCGCTGAAAACCAGAGCCTGTAATTCCTCTCCAGTTTAATCAGCCTGCCCGCCTCCTCCTCCTCCCAGCAGATTGTTGGGGACGCCTCCAAAGTGCGGGAGACCAACCCAGGCGCCTGGGACTGAAATCAGAGGCGCGTGAGGCCACACTTTGCCTTTCCTTTTCGAGAAACCCCAAGGGGCAGCCGGCGTCTCATCTGCTCGGAAGAAGTAAAGACTAACTCGCTTCCAACGCGGCTCACATCCACAGAAGCGACGGCGCGCCCCGCGGACCCCGCGCAGCTCAAGGGGGCCCGGATTCCCCTCGCGCGCACTCTGTTCTCGCGGCGCAGTTGCTCGCACCTTCGCAGCCCAATTAGCCCAGAGGCACCTTCCATTGGCCAGCTCCAACCCTTTACCCCAGGCTCTCATTTGCAACCAGCGACGTCCATCAAAGTGGGTGGTTTGTGTGTTTGTGTGTGTTTGCCCTCCCCCGCTCCCCTTTCATCTTCAGTTGTAAAAGAGTTCCCGCTACAGGTAATAACTGCGCGGCGCAGGAGGACTTTGTCTCTTGCCTGGAAAGAGGGAAAGGGCGAAGCGCTCTAGAGCGCACAGGCAGAGCGCCTGGGACGCGCGTTCTGCTTGGCTTCCAGAAGGAAGAAAACTTTCGGAAGCTTTTCTCAAAAAGAGATCCCTTTTCCGTTTGTTCCTTTCCCCACCCCCGGCCCGTCTTGCGCATCAGCAGCCGCCACGAAAGAGGAGCCACTCGCTACGCCCGGAGGCTTCGGCAAGAGTGCGCCGCCGGTTGCTCAGCTCCCGCCGCCGTCCTTTGCGCCCTGTCCTGCCCATCAGCAGGTTGTTGGCGAGGGCTGGGCCGCCTCGAGGACGAGAAGGAGACTGCCGTCGCCGCCGCCGCCGCTTTTGCAAGCAGGAGCGCCGCAGGAGGGCGACTGATCGCGACCCGCGTGTGCGCGTCCCTCCCCGCCGCAGCCCAGGGGGAGGGGAGAGAGGAGATGAGCCTCGTATTGTTTCCCTCGTAAGCCAGTCCGCCCGGGCTATGGGCTCCTCGCCTTTGTTCCCCGCGTGAGCGCAACCAGCTCGAGCCAAAGGCAAACGGAGGAGCCCGCCTCCTCCTCCTCCTCCTCCTCTTCGGGGAGCAACATGGACGTGACCATTTCCGAACTCATGGAGCTCTTTCTGCAGAGCCCCTTGGTGACCTGGGTGAGTTTTTGCAAAGACGCCGCCGCGTTGCTGCTGCTGCTGTTGTTGTTAGCAGTTGTTGCCGGGGCGGGGGGCGGGCTGAGCGCCTCTCTGGCGGAGGAAATCGCCTTTCCTCGTGGGGCACCTAGGAGAGGCCACCCAGGAAAGGGGGTCGATTTGGGTGGGGAGGGAGAGAGGAGCGACTTGGCGGGGCCACTTGGGAAAACACGAACACGGAAAGTGTGCTTGTTGCCTTGCTTTTGTTGGCGCTGCTTTCCTCTCGGTTTCCGGAAGGAAAGAAGTTGATGGAGTTTGAAGTGGGTGCCTTGTGCTCCCATGTAATCCCTGCAGGATTACTTTAAAAGAGAGAGAGAGGAGAAAGAGTGTTAGATTTCCTTATTACCTAACTTGTCGCAAAAGTGGGTTTTCCAAATTAAAAGTTCTTTTATTTTCTTTCAAGCCATGGAACTGTGTTTGGAAATGGTCCATTCATTGTGTTCTTTAAAAAAAGAGAGCTATCTGTGATCAGGCTCATTCATGTTCTGGGATAAAAGATTCCTTTCTCTTTTATGGGATGTGGCACCTTGCTTTCCGGCAAGGTGTCGGAAACCCTAAAAGGAAATAGGGAGTGGACCCCTTAATCTTTTAAACTAGAAGCACTTGGGCATTGTGACTGTTGAGGCTGCTTTGGCCTTGATGCTGCCCAGATAAAGCTTCTCTACAAGAAGAGTAGCGGCATTCAAACCCCACCAAGATCACCAGGAGATTCCCTTTTGAAAGCCATAATTGGCCATAGCTTCCTCTCCCTCGCACACTTCTGTTGTGCCCACATGCCGAAGTAGACATGTGCATGATTGTCACCAAGGGCCGTGGTCTTCCTGTGGTTTGTGTGCTGCTTCCTGTGCAGAAATCCTGCTTAGCACTGGAGGTTGAACCATGAAGGCAGATGGGGCACTGCCCTGCAGACCTCATTCTACCCATAATTCTACCCATAACCAGCCCCACCCACCGGCCTTCTTGCTTACTGCCAGTCTAAGGAGTGGCACTACTTGCCAGCTTCCTCCTCCTTGATCTCAGCGCTGCCCTTGCAGAACTCTGCAAGGAAGAGGATTGGGGGCAAAATTAGGAATGAGTTGGCCTTGCCTGTCATTGGTTCTGGCTCCAGCTTCTGTTGGTCTCCCTAAGCTTCCACCCCACAAGTTCCAATGGGCACCAGCGACCACTGCTACTGTCTTTGGGAATTCATGGCATTGTCTCCTTTCCAACACATAATCCTTCCTTCCTTGGAGCGGGAGTTTACAAAGGAAGGGGACATAGGATTTCACTTATACAGTACATGCTAATGACTCTTTCTGGTGTTCCTCCTCCCCTCTGGACCTTTCATCCAGGGCAAGAGAAGTTTTTTGAGGTTGGCCTTTGGAGCCAGTGCAGTTTTAAGGCAGAAACAGTCAGCAAAACCTTGCTTGGAACAGAAGGAGAGCTAGTTGAAGGAGAAATAATTGAAAAGGAAAGGTAGCATGTGCTCTTTCGCCCCACTTGAAGCCTAATATGGTCCATGTGTTTAACTCTCCAGTTGAAATCAACTGGACCAAAAAGCGCCTCACCTGAAACTGGATTGTGGCTGTGAGGTGTGGAAGGAAATGAAGGATGATCAATGATCAAATGCACATCCCTTTGCCCTAAGCATGAGGATTTCCCCAGTCTTGATTGACCTATGCTGAATTTACACATGCAGTGGTAGAACTGACTGCACTACTTCAGGCAGTAGGGTAGGGACCAGAATTTTTCAATACTCCCCTGCATATACTCCCTGCACAGGGCCAAGCCACGTGTTAGCCAAGGTGTCTCAGGTGGCAGGTTTGGAGAAGCAGTGGATCAATTCCTCACCTGGCTCACCTGCCTGCCTGCAGAGCTGCCCATCTCCATTTTGCTGAGTGGCTACTGACCTTGCTCCTGTGGCCTGGACAACAGCAGTGTAGTGGCAGTGCTCCGAAGGGTTCTCCTGGTCACCACTTCATCTGATCATGGGTCCTTTCTTAAGGGTGAGCCACTGTGGATGAGGCAGCTCTGACAGTAGTAGGCAGTAGCATTTGGTGTTGCAAACAGGACGTTGGTGGAGATAATCTTCAGGGCTGGCTCATTCTGAGTAAGGTCTCTTTGTTCCTCTGAATGTTAGGTGAGCAAAATGCCCCCAAGGAGGCTTAGGCTTCAACCTTTCTCCCCAAGTTGTTACCTACTTGCGTGGAGTTGTTACACAGAGGAGGGTTCAAAAAAGCTCTCTCCTACCTGCTGTCAGATGGGGTGCAGTCCGTTCTACCACATCAGCAGTCTACCATCTGATTTCTAGACCGGCCACAACACCTCATGCCATCTGGTGTGCCATAATAAATTAATAGCAGCAAGCAACGCATACCAGGCCTGTAGAAGAGGGCAAACTTTTCAGGTCATGTTGTTCTCTTTTTTTAACGTGTATGTGTCAAGAAGATTAATTGCGGAATGGAAATTGGTTTAAGTAAGATCTTGGAAGGAATCGAGACAATGCCAACTGCTATTGAGATGGATTTGTAGCAGAAATAATGGTGGGTGTTTCCTTAAAGTTAGTGGATACTTTTCTCAGGCATCTTTGCTAACATGACTGAAGGTGACGGGGGCAAAGTTGCAAAGTGTTGCCCCCCCCTTTTTTGAGATCATTTCCTAATAAAGCTTTTTTTTCCTGGCAGGTGAAAACGTTTGGACCATTAGGGAACGATAATGAAGACAAGCTCGCCATGTATATGGACCTTGCGGATGGAGTCTTCCTGAACAAAATAATGCTGCAAGTGTGAGTTACAACTAAAGGGATGAGTGGGGAAACTATGCTTTCAGAACTGGTGGAATGAAAACATTTGTAATGAAAGTCAATGCTATCGATTCAGCACCCTAGTTTCGTGGGTGGCTGTTGCTGCCTCTTTCCTCCTGGGAAAATTAATCATGTTTCACCTTTGGCTTTTGATTGACTTGCTCTTCTGTGCTGTCGCTGAGGGCTTTTCAAAGCCTGAGGTTCCATCACTCAATAGCAAAGTGCACACACTCTTGGGGGGAAGCACATGGTTCCAAGTTCAAATCCTGGCATCTCCAGTTAGAGCAGGGGTGAAGGGCCTGTGGTTGCCCAGTTGGCTTTGAACTGAAGTTCCCACCATTGCTGACTGTTGGTCATACTGGCTGGGGCTGATGGGAGTTGGTGTGCAGCAGTATCTGGCAGGCTGCATGTTCCCCACTGTTGAGTTAAAGGTATGGGAAAGCTACCTGAGACCTTAGAGAACAACTGCCAGTTGATGCACTAGATGCTAGATGCAAAAGTACAAGACAGCTTCATAATGCCCAAGAGATGCTTAGATGCCGGGAATGGGGAGAGGTTGGCTTTTAAAAAAGGGAAAAAAGGTCACGCCTTTTTATTCAATTTATTCAATAATTCAGTTTAGACAGAGAGAACCTTTTCTTTTTAAAACATGAAGTTTGAATGTTCTGAATGTGCTGTCCTGCCAGAAGCAGGGTGTGATATATCAGACAATTTTAGTAGCCTATTGTTCATAAAGCTTTTGCAATCATAAAATCCTTTAGACGTTAACCTAAAATGGTAACGGAGAGAGGGAGGAAACAGTGGTGCCTGGGGAAATATTAATTTGTGCATAAGTGTCTTTTCTTTCTTTCTGTCTCTGAGCTCAGTTAAGCCTAATTTTGACCACATCCCTTCCTGTTACGGATTCTGTAACATGATGAAACAACCTGTTTCATGTGAGCTTTGTGCTTGGCTTGAAACACAGCCACGTTTCAGAAGAGTTTAATCTCAGCAGAATATGTGGACTTGTGATCTTCTTGCCTTGCAGAAAGGTGTAATGTTGTCTTCACTCTCTTAATTCAGTTATCACCAAGCGTCACGTCAGTGTAAACGTTCACAGGTTCGCAGCTCTCCAGAAATACTAAGTTAGTCAGATGTGAAACATGTTTTTAGAGCGGTGACTGTCAGAGCACCTCAGCAGAGCTGGTTTTGCTTTTCCTTGTAGTGGAGTTTTCCGGGGCCAGTGTTGGCAGTGTGCCCAGTTGTGCCTCAGGATCAATGAAATTAAAACCTTACTCCCGAAGGGTTGCATCTGTTCAACAAGAAACCAGAACTGTGGCTTTTGTGTACATCCAGCCTAACCTTGCTGCAAAGGTGGTCACAGCTACTGCCTATGACTTTTGCCTTTCATGTCAAGACATTTAGATTCTGCACAGCAGTTACTGCTTTGCTAGTAAATCAGAGGAAGCCTTTTCTCCTCTGCTTCCCACCAACTCCTAAATTGTTTTTTATTGCGTCAGAGAAAGGAATGAATCTGAGTTTCTAGTGCAGACTCATCAGTTTTTCAGGCCTGGTGTAAAACTGTCTTTTAAAGTGTTTGGCTCAATACCTTTTAGTGCTTACTGATTTCAGATTTGACAGCATATTTTTTGACTGGCTGAGATAATGTAGGTTATTTTGGCATGTGAGCACTCCCTTTGCTTCCTGCTTTGAGCATCAGTGCAGTAAGGTGCCAATCCCCTTCTGTTAAATAGTCTGAATGCTTCTGGGTTTTTCTTGCCAATTTTATGTGAAATTACATCTGCAATTGGACACTGCATTTCACTGGTGAAATGTTTTACCTAGGTGCCATCTTGGAAGGTGGGCTTTGACTCTGTATTTCTCTGATTGCAGCTCACTTCAGGTTGCAGCCAGACTGTGTTTGCAGAAACTGGAAACAGAGAAGGCAGTATTATTATTTCTGCTATTGCTGATTTACTTAAGAGCTGGAGTGAATGGGTCTTGGTTGGAAATGGATGCAAATACTGCCTCGTGCATTTTTATTTTTATTTTTATCACTGCTTCCCTATTTGTAAAAAGGCAGTGACATGAATATTATCTTGTTCATTCATTCAAGGCTGAGTGGTGGAAATTGATTCTCATTTTACCATTGTGGGTGGAATAGAACTAAAAATGACCTTTTTTTGCACCATTTGCTGAGTTCTGCATTTGCACATATACTTTTAACTGATCCAACGCCAATCTAAAAAAATGATTTAAAAAAATATTACTATCAAAGATCCAAGTTTGGAGTGTGTGTGTGTGTCATTTTCTTCTTTTAAGTGCAATAATCTTATCCTCACTTTCCTGAAAGGAAGCCTTGTTGAATTCAGTGGGGCTCATTTCTGAGTACACATGTATAAGATTGTGCTGCATTTTGTTTCATGTAGGATGCAGTATAAGGATGCGGGTGGCGCTGTGGGTTAAACCACAGAGCCTAGGGCTTGCCGATCAGAAGGTCGGCAGTTCGAATCCCTGTGACAGGGTGAGCTCCCGTTGCTTGGTCCCTGCTCCTGCCCACCTAGCAGTTCGAAAGCACAAAGTGCAAGTAGATAAATAGGTACCGCTCCAGTGGAAAGGTAAACAGCATTTCCGTGCGCTTCTCTGGTTCACCAGAAGCGGCTTAGTCATGCTGGCCACATGACCTGGAAGATGTACGCAGGCTCCCTCGGCCAGTAAAGTGAGATGAGTGCTGCAACCCAAGAGTCGTCTGGGACTGGGGTCTCTTTACCTTTTGGATGCAATATGGTACTATTATACATTTAAAAGAAGCTCAGTAGGTAGGTAAGTCTGCTAAATTTCGTTCTTGGAGAGTGTGTGTGTATATCAGAACTGCAACTTGGTGGTTAGACAGCTGGGCAACCTCCCTGAAGATGCTGTGTGTCTGACTGATGGACTTCTTTCCATGTAGAACACACAGCTTTAAAAGATTAACTAATCCATTGGGATAGAGAATGCAAGGATGGCTAGTCAAATGAGTTTCTTGTGTATGCTCCAGGGACTGATTAAACTTCAGTAGCTCTCATGACCTTAAAAGGCTTCGGATAGACTTTTTCTCTCTCTCTCTCTCTCTCTCTCTCTCTCTCTCTCTCTCTCTCCATACTGCCATAGCCAATTTAAATTACTGCTATGAAGTGTGCACACACACTCTACCCACGCCTTGCAAGTTGAGACATAATTGAATATCTTTATCTCGTACAGCATTTTTAGGGAACTATCTTTAGATCTTATAGAGCGAATGCATGGGTGGGCAGAAGGGAGATGTAGATTTCTGGGTGATTTTCGGTAGATTGCAGGGCCGTCCCTGGAGGGGGGCAGCTGCCCCCCCCCAGTCAAGTCAATAAATAAAAATACTTAACTAACTGACTAATTGCATCACAGATAACTCGGTTCTGTGCCCCACCCCCTCACATAATGCCTGCTCCTCTAATAAATCCTGGCTATGCTCATGTGCAGAGCTCAGGACAAATCATATTGTATGGGACTCTCCTTTGCTTTCCTCTCCCCTCTGCCTCTGCTGTGCTCCACCTCTTTATGTTGGTGATAGTGGCAGACTCTGGGTGAAATAGTGGCAGCTACACTCTCTAAGACCACTTATAAAATCTGAAGGTAGAGTCGAGTCCCAGGAGCTCCTATGACTGGGTAAGGGTGGCTGGAAGGAGACAGGTGTTCAGATATGGGGAAGTTATTCTTCCTCCTGAAACACCAGGATTCATATGAAAGCAATTGAATCACCAGCAAATTCATTTAGTTTAATTAAAAGTTTATTGGCACAAACACATACAGATTGAACACAATAAAAATAAGGGTAAAGGGACCCCTGACCGTTAGGTCCAGTCGCGGACGACTCTGGGGTTGTGGCGCTCATCTCGCTTTATCGGCTGAGGGAGCTGGCGTACAGCTTCCGGGTCACATGGCCAGCATGACTAAGCCGCTTCTGGCGAACCAGAGCAGCGCATGGAAACGCCGTTTACCTTCCCGCCGGAGCAGTACCTATTTATCTACTTGCACTTTGATGTGCTTTCGAACTGCTAGGTTGGCAGGAGCTGGGACCGAGCAACGGGAGCTCACCCCGTCGCGGGGATTTGAACCGCCAACCTTCTGATCGGCAAGCCCTAGGCTCTGTGGTTTAGACCACAGCGCCACCCACGTCCTTCCACAGTGCCACCTGTGTGAGAGAAGAAAAACAAAACACAGATACAGAGGAGGCTTTAAAAAAAAACAACCCAAGAAACTACTGAAAATAAAGTGCAGCATTCAGTTGTTGCCTAGGAGAAGAAAAGGTGGGTCAATTGAGTTCTCAATAAAACCTCTCCACATACTTGTCTGTAGAGCAGGGGGTTTAGTGGGCTGTCCAACTGAGTTAGCATAGGAGAGAAATTTGTCAGCAAATCTGGAACAACGAAAAGCAAGTTACTCTTCACACAATGGATTGTCACAAGGTGTGCTGCTGGGCCAGCCGCTTGGATGGCTTTGAAAGCATTCAGATAAAGTAATAGGAGGTTGGTATAGCCAGTGACTGCTGTTTATAAGCACAGAAAGTACTTCCTCTGGACAAAGAGACAAGGGTGGCCTCCTGGCATCCTAGCCTTGGGATTGCTAGAGGGTGTACTGTTGTCACCACTTATCCCTGTTCTATGGGGCCTGCATGGCTATTACTGTCCTAATCAGAAACATGTTTTGCTCATGCTGGATAACAGATATTAAGCTAAATTCCCAAATGGCTTTGTCAACTTTTGAGAAAACATTTGCATGGTCCCTCCACCCAGTGAATGGAATTTGACATTTGTATGTGCTGGGGGAAGGGGAGTGCAATAACCACTGTGAATACCTGATACAGTCTCCTCTGCTTTTAAATGGAGGGCTAGATAACTTGGGTCTCTAGCTGCTTTTGGATTGCAGTTCCCATCATCCCTGACTACAGTTCTTGCAAGCTAGGGATGGTGGGAGTTGTCGTTCAAAAACAGCTGGAGACCCAAGTTTGGGAAACACCGGGTTAGAACAATGTTGTCAGACTCTGCAACGCCCAACACACCTGACTGTTGACTATGCTGGCAAGGGATGATGGGAGCTGGAGTCCAACAGCCTCTGGAGGGCCACAGTTGATTTAAAGTACAGTGGTACCTCAGGTTAAGATCTTAATTCATTCCGGAGGTCCGTTCTTAACCTGAAACTGTTCTTAACCTGAGATACCACTTTAGCTAATGGGGCCTCCTGCTGTCGCCGTGCGATTTCTGTTCTCATCCTGAAGCAAAGTTCTTAACCTGAGGTACTGTTTCTGGGTTAGCGGAATCTGTAACCTGAAGCGTCTGTAACCTGAGGTACCACTGTATTCTGGACATCTTGCTGGGAGCAAACACGGTGTGGCTGTCTCTCCACCATTGTCTGCTTTGTGCGCTTTCCAGAGGTACTTGTCTGGATGGCGTTCGGAGAGAGTGTCGTAGACCTTTGGTCTGGCAAAGCAGTTCATCCGTTTTCGTGTTATGGTCTTGCCGTGCATAGTCATCCAACTGAGACCAAGGTGAAGGACAGCCGGCAAATTGATGCCTGTAAGACAATCTACTTCTATCCCTCCTGTGTTTCATAGGCATGTCTGTTTTGCCAGTATCTGCACTTAATATTTTATTAACCGCTTCCCAGGTGGTAAGCTGGAGAACCATACCTTAGCCATTGTTCCAGGGGCAGGGGCTTGTTATACAAGGAGAGTTCAACAAGTTATATTGCTTGTCTTTCATTGTCCCCTGTATCATAGCCTCCTTACTGATCTCACTGGGCGGCCAGTAATATATTTGTGAACCCAAAACTAATGATTAGATGGTCAGTTCTCAGTGAACACTACTGAAAATTACCAGAAGACTCTTAAAACATGGACAGCCATTCTTGCATTCCCTCCTCACCACTCCCTGTGTACGTTTCGTATGGCAGAGTGGCCATGGAAACACTTTCAAGGAGTTTCACATAACAACAGTTGTGTGCTGAGTTCTTTTATTCCTAGCTAGAGAAAGCAATAACCATATACGCCCCACATAATAAGGACAGCTGTAGAGAAATGACTAAACTGCATAGGCTCTAAATAGTGCTGAAACCAGGATGTGGTGAGATCAGCAGCTGCCCATCACCAGAAGATAGGTGCATGCTTTCAGCTGCTCATCATGAGTGCAATGTTGCAAGCCAGATCTTGAACACAGGAGCAGGTCAGGAAACTATTGTCCAAGTTAGGGCAGCAGCTGGGACACTCTCACAAACTGAGTGCATAATACTGGCCAAATTATTTTGGGAACAGAGACAGATTTCCCAGAGTGGGATTTTCTATTGGGGGGGGGGAGGCATTAATAAATTGAAATTCATCTCCTGCCCTTTATTTATAAATATTTATATCTTCTTCTTTGGCGATCACTTGTAGCTGAGTAAGGTTGTCTTCCATAAACATGGCATGATGCTGGTTTATAGCAGTCTTTTTTATTGATTGCCAAAATCAGATTGCCCCACTTTGCCCAATGGCTCAAAGGATTCACTCTTGTGCTTTGCACAGTATGGCTTAGCTGTTGTTAAGTCCCCATAAATGTGCAATAAAATGCTTAATAAACTCACCTGCTCCCAGAATAATAAATAATAATAAATAACTATAATAAATAATAATAAATAACTAAATAAAAATGGGTGCAATAATAAGCTAATAAGAACTTGAAAATATTGAAACAGGCATCTGTGTTAAATGCTCTGGAATTTCTGATGCAATAGAATAGAATTGTGCTCATGAGATGCTCCTGCCAGCAGAAGTGGGGAACTGGCTTTCACTGATATCACCTTCCCCCTTAGTCCCTTGAAAATCTGTTCCAGAGCATTGGAGGACTGTTCAGCACAGCGTGAAAGGTGGTTCAAGGTACTGTAGGGGAAAGGGAGGATCAATAAATAAATGCTACTAAAGGCTGTTCCAGTGGGGGAACTTCCGCTGGATCCCAGTTCCTTCTGAAAATGGAAGGAGCCATTTTGTTCACAAATGGTTGGTTGGAATCCCAGACATACATCTTTTGAACTGTTTGTTCCCTGGAGGTTCATTGGAAGCTTCTCAGCAGGGTTCCTCACCATAAAGATAAGAAAGAGTGGACAACTCTGCCCACCACACCTGCTATTTCCCCCCTGGCCTGTGCAGCCGCCGCGAGTGTTTTGTTTTAGAACCCACTGTCAGCTCATCTACGAGGCATTGATGGGAGCGAATTGGTTTTTCTACTGCCTACCACTACTGAGCGTGTCTCCTATTTATATTATTTATATAATATAATATCCTGCATCTCAAACACAACTGTTTTTGAGGCGAGTAAAATGCTCCCTGGAATTCTCCCTTAATGTATCAGAGTTTCTTAGCAGGTGAGTCAATGAGGAAAAGGTTCCCCGAAATAGAGAATAGCATTTTCCGGCTTTTGAAAGCTTACCCAAGCCTCTGTTAGAAGCTCTTTGAACAAAAACAATTTCCGCACCTATTTGGCATTTCAGTTAATCTTGGCATTTTTAGCATAAAGGTTAGACATGAGCTTGTTTTTCCATCATGTTCTTTCCAGTACACTACACTACACTGTGATTACAATTGCAAGCAATAGAAAACTGGCCTTCGGAAGTCGTTTATCTTTCATGGCTGTAGTACAAGCAGTGGCAGGTGCCAAATATCCTAAATCAGTGTGTTTTCTTTTACTTTCTGTTGACTCAGGACAGTGAGCTAACAGGTACTGGCTCTGTTGAATAGCCAGAAGAGCCTGTTGATAGGCATATAAAACAATGTGGAAATGTGAACAAATCTGTGAAACCTCTGCTTGTTCAGTTCCCCACCCCCAACTTTGATTTATTTATTATAGGCATTTGCAACCTGCTCTTTATCCAAAGCTCCCCGGACAGAGAAGCTCCCATGCCCCAAATTTATTATATAAACAAAGACAACTACAACCCACAGTCCCTTTCAACTCCCAGAATTCCAAAAGTGCACCTGGACCTGACAGGCTTCTAACCCAGACAGGCTTCTGGATTAGGTCATGTTTGATGCTGAGAGCTCAGTTGGCAGGCTGTCTGAGAGTTAAATGATTGAGTTCATATATTCTAAAATTAAAGGAAAGGTGAACAAAAGAAGTTTGGGCCCACAGGGCACATGGCTGTGATGTGAATTTGCCAGAGTGTGGTGTTCACACGCTAGGCCTCCTGGTGCAATTTGCTTTCCTTTTGTTTTTAAAACTTACTCATCTCCCATATATCAGTTTCCAAACTTTTTTCCCTACAGACCACCTAATGGGTTTTCCACCTGTTGGAGCAATTGTAATGTCTTTGCACTTCAACCCTGGCTTTAGATGTGATTGGGGAAAACCCACATTTGAAGAGAATGGTCTGCTGCTGTCATGTAGTTTGGGCATTACCTGTGTCTGGCTTCATCATGGGCAGGGAAGAGATATTATTTATTTATTAATACATTTATTTATTTGGTTTTTCAGCTTAAAATGTTATAATCACATATACAACATACAACATAAAAACAAGATTCCAAAGAATCTCCTGGACTTCCCTCCTCCCCTTTCGTGGGTCCTATTGTTAGTCATTTCCTCCTGTATCTTTTATAATAATCCAAGTCTTTTACACCTCCGTTATGTCCAAAATTCACCATTAAACTACAAGTATTCCAATCCTACTAACGATTTTAGCTGTTCACAATGGTTTTTAAGATAATTTATAAATTCCCCCCATTCCTTATTAAAATTTTGGTCTTCCTGGTTTCTGATACTTCCAGTCATTTTTGCCATTTCAGCATAATCCATCAACTTAATGGGCAGGGGAAGAGATTTAGCCCCCACCTCAAAGTAGCCCTTTACTTCCCTGCCAGTGAATAGCTGGCAGGGGAGTAAAACCTCCACTGTGGGTGGAAGCAAATCTTGCCCATTGCCCCTGGAAATGGGGAAGCCAACCCGCTCCTGACACAGTAGATTTGGAGTAAACGCTGTTCCTTCTCCTTTCCCCCTTTCGAACATTTCCAGTGTAGGAGGGGTGTGTTGGTTTTTCCTAAGCTTTCCCAGCTTGGTGGGCTATTGGTAGTGAGGAAAACATTTATCCTTTCTGAAGCGATGCAGGTCCGTGCTTGGTTTGGGGGAAGATGAGCGCCTCGGGTTTGGAAAGGAGACCTTGTGCCCCTTGTGCCATCCATGGCAACTGCTTTCCCCTCCTCTTCCTCCCCTTCCCCATTCAACCTTGATGGTTCATCTTGCTACAAGTTAATACAGTCATACCTCGGGTTGCGAAGGTGATCCGTGTGGGAGGCATGTTTGCAACCCGCATGCGCATGGTGTGATTTGGCACTTCTGCACATGCATGTGATGCCATTTTGTGTTTCTGTGCATGTGCAAGCACCAAAACCTGGAAGTAACCCGTTCCAGTACTTCCGGGTTCAACACGGCCCACAACCCAAAAACGCGCAACCCGAGGTACAACTGTAAAGCCCAAAGTACTATATAGACAAACCTGAGTGAAAGGGGAAGTGGTCTGATGAAATGCTGCGCTGCGGAGTCTTAATTCTGCTGCTCCAAGGCCAAACTTTGCCTTTTGTGATGGAGCCAGTTTAACAGCCGCCAGTCTTGACAACCTAGAACCAAAAGCCTTTGGGTTCTAACCTTTCCCAGACATCTTTGAAAGCCTCAAGCTTTTGCTTTTTGCCATTGCCTGTTTTATTTTAAATATTATTAGTCACCAGATCTCTGGCTTGTGGATGAATTGGATTGAGCTCCTTGTAAGGAGAGCTTTCCCTGTTTTGTTTGTGAGCTGCACCGCTGGGCCTCTTGTGCCCTGTTTTCATGCTGGGGCAAGAGGCAGATTTCACCAGTTGGTAGATCAGTCCTGGTGGCTGCACCAGCAGTTTCCTCTCAGTCATGGAAATCGCCTCTGAGGAAGGCTGGGACTGTGTGAGGATGGGGAATTTGTTTAAAAACCAGTTCTGAATTTAAAATTTCAGCCTTGTGCACCTGATTTGATAAGACTTGGTGAGTAGCTTGGGGTAAAAAACTAACCAAATGTAAAATGATCACATTGTTACAACAGCTCTTACACAACTGAGGTTTAAATACCGTGAAACAATCTGTTTTCCTTTAAGGTAAAAAAGACTACCTTAACTGAGAAATACTCAGGGTTAGGCTGCCAATGTGCTTGCCTTTGTGAAAGACTTCATTTGTCTGTTTCTTTATTATATAACCGCTACTGCTGTTTAATTTTTGCACATAAAACATATAGCAAGCTAGGTGCTTTTCAAATAAGACAGTTTCTGACTAGTCTATGCATACAGTAGAAAGAATATTGAGGGGGTTGACTTGTATCTGGAAGCCGCCCAGAGTGACTGGGGTATAAATAATAACCTCATTATCATCATCACCATTATCACTTCAGTCTGTAGATGAGCGAGTCACCTTTTTATTCTGCCTGTTAAGTGGGGAAACAAGTACAATGGTGATATGTCATAGCTGGCTCTTTCTTTCTTTCTTTCTTGGTTTATTTTTTTTTAAAAAAAACTGCAGTTCTTTACTTGGTAGAACATAGACAAACAGCCTTCCTATTTTCATTCTGAAGTGATACTGTTTACAGTACAATAGTACTGTGGTACCTCTGGTTACATACGCTTCAGGTTACATACGCTTCAGGTTACAGACTCCGCTAACCCAGAAATAGTACCTCGGGTTAAGAACTTTGCTTCAGGACGAGAACAGAAATCGTGCTCCGGCAGCATGGCAGCATCAGGAGGCCCCATTAGCTAAAGTGGTGCTTAAGGTTAAGAACAGTTTCATCTTAAAAACGGACCTCTGGAACGAATTAAGTACTTAACCCGAGGTACCACTGTACAGCACTGTATAGTCTACTCTATTACCCCATTACCTTGGGAAGCATGGTATCAAAGTCATTATACATGTTAAGTAGAATGAGATGTTCGTATTTTGGACCACGAAATTTAATTCTGCAAGTAGTAGTTTTAATTTTGGAATATTGTCTATAGGACTCCCTATATGTAGTGAAACTAGCACAATTCTCATTTTCTCTCTCTCTCTCTCTCTCTCTCTCTCTCTCTCTCTCTGTGTGTGTGTGTGTGTGTAAAGGCTAGGTTAACACTTTTAGTTCTCCAGCCATCTATTTTGAAATCTCAACCTTGCACCTTCAGCCTGAAATAGACCACTTCTGAATCCTAGCACCTCATTCTATCTAACTTGTAGAATGACCTTGTGATTACGAAGGTCAAAGAGGTTATGGAATTTACAATGGGTTTGGATATTTCGGGAAGTAGCAAAGGAGCAAATAAAGGGCAATTGAGGGACATAGCAAAGATACTGTTTAAACAACAAAGTAATTACCGAATTCCTTTGGATTTCCTAAAATCCCAGCCTTCCTCTTTCAGAGATCCGCGACCCACAAACCAGCGTGTCAACAAGCATGTCAACAATGATGTCAACCTACGGATTCAAAACCTCACCATCTTGGTCAGAAACGTCAAGACCTATTATCAGGTATATCTTATGTACTTTTTGTGCCTGGTATGCTGAAGAGACACTTGCCACAGGAAATAAAAGAGGAAGTGGTCTGTGATGAAATGTTTTCAGTTAATGCTCTGATCCTTGCAGCAAATCAGGTGTGGGTGCATTTAAATGGGAAGAGTATTTTAGCTCTACATGACCACACATTCCCTTTTCCACCTCCTGGACTGGTACTGGGTGGTTTGTGTAAATTGTTGGACAGTAGACCTGGCTGCAAACTTGTTGAAAGAAGCTACCTTCAAACTATGTTTTTAAATGTGCATTGTCAATTTCCCAGAAACCCTTGACCTTAGTAGGCTTGCCAAAGAATTCCATAGTTCAACATCCATCACTGATCAATAAGTAGTAATTTCCTCTGACATTCTTCTTCATTAATTTACTCTTCTGTGACTTGCATCCAGCTTGAAATGCCTGCAAAATGTATACATGGTCAATACAAAAAAATCCATTAACAGGAACCATGTGTGGCTGTATGAAGGATTTTGGTTTGTGTACTTGGACTATTGGTCTGCTTGAGTAATACATTTAAAAAGAATGTTACCCCATAGCTCACATTTTAAGAGGACTTCCAATTTCTGTTTTGCAATAATACTTTGACACAATGGATATCAGACACACCAACCTCGGCCCCCTGAATATTTGTTTTAAGGGAGCCAGGCCCCCTCAAATTAAGGCAGCCCTGAGCGTGTCACAGATTCAGTGGCCAGCTCCTCCAGAGCCCTCGGCCTCCTCTGTCGTGCACAGTTCGTCACATGAGCACGACACGCGCTGGGCCCTCTCAGTCTTGGGGCAACCTGACACCTCTGAGGAATATCATCCAAAAATTTTATGGAAACCAAATATCAAGTCTAAAATAGAATATACAGTAGTATTTTTCTCTAGATGAATGTGACCATCAAATATTAAGTGTCTCATGGTGATTACTATTCTGTACCACCATATCATAGTCAGGCCAGTATACAATGAAAAGACATGAAATACAATTAAAACCAATGCAAATAAATTTCAAACTGTCTACCAAAAAAAGAAAAAAGCTAAATTAATAGGTTAAAGATGTAGGTGGAAGAATTCAGTAGTTAATGCTGCACAGAAAAACGATTGAATAAATTATTTTTTAAAAGTCAGGAAAGGCAATCAAACCTGCAAACAGTGGGATTTCCAAAAACAAAATTTGTGGTATCTGTGAGATGTTGGAAGGGTTAACTTCTGAGTCTCCTCAGCTATAATGCTTGAATGTGCCATCAATGCAATAATTAGAGCAGCTTCCCTTGTGAAGTGCTCCCATTGTGTAGTGTCTGGGAACTAGCTTTCATTGTTCACCCTCAGTTTGCATATGTTGCAAATGTTCCCATAGAGCAGCAGAGGTTGATCAGTCCATGCTTCTCTTGGAGAGTCCCTGTTGTGTATAAATTAATTCTGACTACTCAGTTGCGTACTGCTAGAAAGGTCAGGCATGTTTCATTGTTTCTAATGAATTAGGAAAACATACAAGCAGATGCGTGGGTTGCATGCATTCTGGATCATGCATGCTTTGTAGTCCTCAAGATATGTAGAAAAACAGAGTTTACCTGCGGGGCTTTGTGTGTGTGCTGATGTCCAATTTCATCATGCAGTAGATGAACTACTTCACTACAGAAGAACATGTGGTTCCATCAGGATGGCTATTTTTGCAATCCAGATTACAGTGAAAGTAATGTACTTTACATATGCCAATATTTCTGTCCAGTGCAGAAGCTCTGACTTTCACTCCAAGGTCATTATAGAACCTGGCATATAGAAATCATGTCTGAGAAGTATTAAAAGAAATAATAACACCATATAGAGGTGCCCTAAGATTTTGCCAGTTAATCACTGGCCATCCTGCTATTACATTCCTGCTTTTCAGACAGATGCTTCTCTAAAACACACAGAGTCAGAGGGCTTGGAAGTTGGTGGAGGAGAGAGAAATAACTCGAAATCAGGCAGCTAACCTGTTCCAGCATCCTACCAGCAGTTCCAGGCTGCTGAATGTATTTTTATGCCCTCATAAATCTAGTTGCTATTATTGTAATGTGAATAGTAAAAATCTGCATTTCATAATGTAGGAAGGCTGGTAGCAAGACAGAGTGTGTTTTTGTTTCTTTTTATCCTGTGTCTCCAAATGTCTAATTACGTGGCTTCTTTGTCTTGCTGCTGCTTTTGTCTCTGGAATAGGTTGTGTTCTCTTTCAGAGTGCAAAAAGGGCACTATTAGAACAAGTGTGTTGTTTTTGTTTTTGTTTTTTAAAGTAGAGCAGCTTTTGAAAAACTCCCATGTGGGTTTAGGAAGACCCAGAAAAGACTTTACATTTCGTAACCAATTTCCAGCAGGCCGAACCTAATTTTGTGCCGTATGTAAAACCAGTTGTGCCGTCTGATAGTTATCAGAGTAATTTCTCAGAGTAACCCCCTCTCTGCCCTTTTCATTTTTAAATAAAAGCTTTGGGTGCGCTACATTTTAAGCAGTATCTCCTAATAGCAGGAGGTAAGCTGGGTTAGCAAGGGAAAATAAATGTGATTGATTTAAATTGCAGCCTGGAAACTGGGGGGGGGGGGGGGGAGGTTCCTGAGAAACAATAGAAGTGAGATTTGCTGCTTCCGCAAGGGAAGTGTGAACTTCAGAATGCCACATTTTTAATTATGGTTTTCCTTTGTCCTTTGCTGAACAGCTATATCTTTGTAGGATTGTGTCTTGGGATAAACAAATGCGGCATGTTTAACTTTGTTATTCTTTGGCAGGTGAAACTGCATAGTAGTCACTTTTTTTAAATCCCCCGTTATATTATAATCCTTCAGCTTGGGCTTCTTAAGAGAGCAGGACCAGTAAACCTTTGATCCATCCCCATCTGCCTGAAAATCAGATATGAATACATTCCATAATGTATGTGTTTTGACATTTCCTGTGTTTTGCTTTTTTGGTTCTGAAAGAGAGCGCAGCCTTGAAGCCACACTGCCAATTAAAGCATGTTTGGCTCTGTCCCTGGCCTCTGAAGAATTTATGGCTGTAGCAAAATTCTGATCTGAAAATCCATGTGACGACATTTTTGCCACACTTTGGGTGGTAGCGTTTATTATTTGTACAAGAGCTGCAACACTCACAACAGTACCTCTGTTTGTTTACTTGCAAGGTCTCTTGCCCAGCCTTCACTATAAGGGCTTGGGGCAGGTTAGAAAGCAAAAATAACGTATGATGATAAAAGCAAATAAAACATTTGCAATTATGAAACAAACAAACCCATTCCAGATGGAAGAGAACAGCACAAATTCAGCAAAAGAGGATGGTCCCACAGGGAAAAAAACCCCAACCCATGCCTTAACTGTCAAGTGAAACACAGACAATTGTAGTATTGCAAGCCATGTTGAGTGTTAGGTAAGACAAGTGTTGCCTTCCAACAAAACGTTGTAGTGTGGAGTGTTCATGTTTAGGGTGCCAGCCAGCTTGTCGTTCCCCTTTGCAGGGAACTCTGTTCCATCCCTCTCCGCAACAGGCTCGCCCGGCATCAGTCTGTCCCCAAATCGGTGCCCTCCAGTGGTTAGAGAAGATGGGAGTTGTAGTCCAGCAAGGGACGGAAACAATATAAGGAAAGGAGAAACAAGGTGATTATTTGTGTGACTTCCTGACACAAATTTGTTGTACTCAGGGTGAAGGATAGACTCATGTGCCTAAATGTGTTCCTTATTGCTAATCAGGTGTTCCATCAACTTCGTTTGATGATCAGCTCCATCAAAACCAATAAACCAGGGAAACCACTCCGGCTGTTTACTGCAAAGCTGTGAGCACTAAAGCATAAGGAGATATAGATACATCTGCACTGGTGGTGAAGCAGAAAAATGCATCCTTTTAAACCTGGGGATCCTTCTCTGTGGGTTACATTTGTTTTTAAAAAAGAAATTCAAGAGAAGGAAGCGATCAAGAAGAGAAGGCAGCATTTAGGTGTGTTCACTTAATGGGAACAGTTGTCCTTCCACTGTTTCTATAAGTATTGTCTTGTGTGCAAAGCTTATTTCAAATGTAATCTTGGTGGGGAATTGTTCTAACCAGGAATTCGTGAGAAAAGATTAGTTACGTTTTCGATTTACAATAAACATTGCACTGCCTGGCAAAAGAATTGTCATTTGCTTTCTGATCTGTTTTCATTCTTTGGGACTGGTATGTACAAGTTTTGAAGTTGGGCAGCTGTGGCATCTATGCTATGGCACCACATGTTTCCATCGATCCCAGCTGGTATTTTTAATATGCCAGGAGGATTAGCTACTTCTGGTGGCCATGCAGGGTGTGTAGGGGCCCACAGGCTCTAGGAAGCACACCAAACCTGGAAATAATAAATTACGCCGTGCAATAATTTTGTTGTCCATTGTTTATATGATTTAAGTTTTTCTTCTTCGTGACAAATGTTTGATGCTCGTTGTCATGTCAGTTAATATCAGGTATAAAGATGCAACTGTAATTCATATGCATTATGAAGATACATGCTTAATAGTATGTGTTTTATGGGGCTGCGTCTGGGTGCTACCCATGCTGGAGCTTGCAGAGCCTCCTTGGTGGTGGCTCCCCATTTGCAGAATGCCCTCTCTGGTGAGGTGCATCCACCTTCCTCATTATTAACATTCAGGAGGAATTGAAAAACATTCCCGTTCCCCCAGGCATTTGATGGCTGGAAGATACTGTTTGGGGCAAACTTGAAATTATTAACTGTGAGGACATGTGGTTATTTTTACTTTTTTATTTTCAGTTGTGTTGTTCTACTGCTTTGTAGCTACCCTGGGAAATTTTGGGAAGAAGGGTGGCATAGAAATGTAACAAATATATTCCCTCTTCTCATAACAATGGTTCACCTCTGATCAGAGAGTATGTACTTAAGATACTGGAATATATTCAAACTAAATTGGGTGAGGAGGGCCACAGTGTATTTTGCGCAAGGGCCGGAGTATGGCTGCCACAGCTTTTTATGCAGTTGTGTTTGAGGGCTAAAGTTGGTGTTGTGCAGCCTGAAAGCCTTACTTTCGCTATACGTTATTCTCCACGGGATCTTGAAGGGGAAATCTTTTTTCCCCCTTTTGGAACCCTCTGGCATTGAATTTATAAGGGATAAAACTAAATGGGAAATACAGATAATTTTATGATGGTCTCAAGCAGGAATCAGACACACAGTGTATGAAATGAGTGGCTTAAGCATTGTGGTTCCCTAGCAACTCTTATCTCATTTAAAAATTGCTGTTAACACTTGTGTGTACGAAGATTGCCGAAAGAGGTTTCCTAGATTTCCTGAGTTCAGACTCTCTGCTCAGAGCAGGGTAAAAAAAAAGCAACAGAAACTTACTTAACTCTTGGCATGTTTGGCAGTGAACCAATTTTGAGGCCCTTGTGTGGTAAAGTAGCATATGCATTTTTCTCTTTATACAGAAAAAAATATTGCCCAGGTAGTAAAATAGGTTGGTAGTCCAGGAATATAGATTTGATCACTAGTGTATAATCATAAAATACTTGAGTTACAACAATTTAAAATACAGCATCATTAACAGTTTAAAGCAAACTAACAATCTCAAAAATAGGATGTGCCCTAAAAATGTACCTCTCGTGTGCCGAAGGCATAAAGAAATGTGTCTTCAGCGTACGAGGAAAACTACTGATTCACGAGGGTGCCAGTTGCACTCCTTTGGAGAGGGACTTCCACAGCTTAGCAGCTGCCACACAAAATGGTGTCTCCTGAGCCGCTGCCACCTCAAGCTCCTGAGGGGGGTGGGAGTACCAAGAGGGTCACCTCTTCTGATTAACACCTAAGAGGGTCTGTAGGGAAGGGGGCAGCCCTTCAGGCATTTGCGCCTAAGTCATTTAGGACTATAAACACTAATGTGAGCACCTTGAACTGGGCTTAGAAATTGACTGGCAAACCCTTGTGACTGTTTTAAAAGGGAGGTTGTATGAGGTCTAAATGGAACCTCAGTTAGTAAATCTGGCTGCTGAGTTTTTGAGCCAGCTGAAGTTTCAGAGTCTTCTTCAACAGCCTCACATAGAGGGTGTTGCAATAACGCAGTCCGGAAGTTTCCAGAGTATGGAGTACAGTGGCCGAGTCATTTCTGTCCAAAAGGAGCTGCAGGTGGCAAACCAGGCAAACCAATGCACTCCTAGCCACTGAGGTCACCTCAGCATGAAGTGACAGTGTGGAATTTAAGACTACACTACAAGGAGCAAACCTGCCCTTCCAGGTGCAACCACACCTCTTGGATGTGAGGACACCAAACACCTCTGTCTTTTCCAGATTCAGCTTCAATTTGCATGTACTCAGAAGGATAAGGGAGACAAGGAAGTAATATCTTCTCATAGTGACATTTAAGACTATAGTCCAGGCATAGGCAAACTCAGCCTTCCAGATCTTTTTGAGACTACAATTCCCATCATCCCTGACCACTGGTCCTGTTAGCTAGGGATGATGGGAGTTGTAGTCCCAAAACATCCAGAGAGCTGAGTTTGCCTATGCCTTCTATAGTCCTATGCTCACCTGCCTGGGAATAAGTCCCATTGAGCCAACCCTTTTTGGTTGACAAGCCTAGGATTGAACTTTAAATTTAACCAGGTGTTGCCCTAGATCTGACTGAGGTGTCTGAAAGGTACCAGAGTATAACGTTGAAGCAGGATACACCTCTCTGGGGAGATGGTGCCACAGTTTTGGAGTTGGTGCAGCCTCGGTGCAGACGCTTGCAATAATACATGCTTTTATTGGCATGTTTGGTGTGGGGGTTTTCAACCGAGCACAGATATTGACTTTCGGGTTTTAAGCCATTTCACTTCTATCGCTCTTTAATCTGGCTAATATGAATTTATTCAACAGACTGATATACCTTCTGTGGAGCTGTTGCTGTCAGAATCACTGAACATGAGATATAATTGCAGCAAAGCATAGGAACGAGACAAAAACAAACAATCCTCAGCCAGCCATGGTTGAAGCTAATGTGTGCTAATGCATAAGAGATTGGCATGGTGGCATCTGGGGCTGGGTAACGTCTGCAGTTAACCATGCAGCGTCGAGACCATTTTGACATTCATTGGGTTAAAGGGAGGAAAAGGTCACTCTGGGGTTAATGCTTGGCTTATTTGGAACAGCTGTGTTGTGCTAAGGCTTAAAAGGCTATGTTCCCCTGGGAACTTGGAAGAATCCATAGCTAGAAAATGGAAGCAGGTGGATCTCCTTTAGGAATCCGTTGGCTTATGGAAGCCCAACATACTCAGCGTATTTCGGATTCGACACCTCATAAAAGGACCATAAATGTTTACAATTGTTTGACCCAGCGGAAAGTTGTTCCTCTTTGTACTGCAGCATTGCTGAGTGTTGGGTGTTCCCCTCTCTCAGAGCTACAAATCCCAGAGTTCCCTGGGAAGAGAGATTGGCTGCTAAGCCACTCTTGAGAACTGGAGCTCTGTGAGGGAAAGAGGGGTCTCCTAAGAACTCTCAGCACCTTTAACAAACTACACGTCCTGGGTTCTTGCAGGGAAGCCATGACAGTTTAAAATGGTACGATACTGGTTTAAATGTATAGTGCAAATGGGGCCTGTGTCCTGCTCCTCTGCTTCCATTTCCAATGCTGCCACCTCCTCCTGGAAGAAAATTATTGTTGACCAGAGAGTTCCCATATTCTTTTTGATAATGAAATAATATTTGACATGCATTGATTACCATATAGAAAAGCAACACACTGTATTCTAGAGATGCACTTTATACCTGCAATGTAAGCATGAATCTGGGCTGCGCTTTCTCCGTAACATTATTGGAAATGCAAGCAAACTGCTCTCTAACAGTCAGCGTCTCTCTTGGTATATACAGTGGGCTTGCCACTTACATAATTGCACCTTTAGGTGTGTGGCCGAAAAGGAAACAGATAAATGAAGAGCAGCAGAAACTTGCCAGAGAAATACTTTTTGAGCCCTTGGTTATGCTTATCAGGCTCTGGGATGGCCGTGCTCCCAGGGCCCTCACACATCCTTCTCCAGAGCCCAGTAAGCAAGGCAGAGGGCTCAAAAAAGCAAGGCTCAGTAAGCAGAGCAGAGTCCAATAGCTTTTGGAAGGCCACATGTTCCCCATTTCTGATTTGGAGGATTTGAGGCTCCTGATAAATTCCGAAGCCCATCCTGCTTTGCAAATGTTGTTGTTGTTGTTGTTGTTCAGTCATTTAGTCGTGTCCGACTCTTTGTGACCCCATGGACCAGAGCACGCCAGGCACTCCTGTCTTCCACTGCCTCCCGCATTTTGGTCAAACTCATGCTGGTAGCTTCGAGAACACTGTTCAACCATCTCGTTCTCTGTCGTCCCCTTCTCCTTGTGCCCTCCATCTTTCCCAACATCAGGGTCTTTTCCAGGAAGTCTTCTCTTCTCATGAGGTGGCCCCATAGGCACGACAAAATTCAACGTGTACTTCACTTGTCTTATGTTGCAAAGTTAGCAGTGCATCCTGACTTACACACTGAGCACCCAGCGTTTTGTCTTTTCTGGGTTCATTCCTGTTATCTGGAAGCCTGATCATGTGAGCTGTTCCTCAGTATCTTAAACTGCCTTGACAACAAAGCAACTCGAGTGCTAAGCATTGTTGCTGAATCCTTTGCATAATTGATCGTTTATGTACTGAGTTCTTGTACTGAGTAATTCTTGTTTTTTCGCCATTGCTTTGGCTCTTTTGCTTGACAACCTGTTGAAGATTTCAAAAGCAACAGTATAGCCATCACAGATGACTGGAACATTTGTTTTTAGTAGCCAATTTAAAACCATCCTCTCTGGCTTATTCCACCAGATTGGTTGAATGCATTCCTTTTTTGTTTAATGTTGGTGAGTCACCCTGTTGCCGATGAAAAAGTATTTGCACTTCATAATTGGTTTTAGTTACTGTTGCCTACAAATGTTAAGAAACGTTGCTGATTTCTTCCTAGTCAGATTTCAAGACTGGTTAGCAGCTGGGGCATACATATTTCGGCTTCATTAACTACGAACCCCAAAATCTGGGATCCCCTCAAAACTGGTGCCAAAGTTTTGCAACTGGAAGCTGCAGATTTCCACAGTGAACAAGATACATTGATTTCTTCACACACCCTCCAGTGCTCCCTGGAATAAGGTTGCCATACAGCTGGAATTTCCTGGACATACCTGGAGTATTGCAGTCAGAAGCAGTGTCCGGGTGGAAAGCTAAAAAATGTCCAGACGTATGGTGACCCATGTCGGCAGTGTCATTTTTGGCAATTTCCCTTTAAAAAAAAGCTCAGAAACGATTTTGCCCAAAATGCTCAACGTCTTTCTTCAGGTTAATGAACATGTAGACCAGAATCTTCAAATGACAATTGATAATCCACTTTAAAGGAGGTGGTTGTGCATCCTCTCTTTAAGAGGACCTCTTTGGACCTAGAAGTGTTAAATAACTATTGCCCAGTGGTGAAGATACCCATTTTGGGCAAGGTACCTGTGAGAGTGGTGGCCACCCAGCTTCATGTAAGTTTGAAGGAAAGCTGATTATTTGGAAAATTTGGATAGCTCTGAGTTTCAAAGTACGGCTCTGCTTCAGTTCTCACTGCTTCAGCTCATAACAATTTAGGGTTTGTATATCTGAAGGACCACCTCCATACCTACCAACCTTCTCAGGTGTACTTGGAGAGGACATTCTCTGTGGTAGCCCCTAAACTGTGGAACTCCTTGCCCACAGTGATGCTTCTAAGCATATTCATTGTTTTCAGCTTTCGCTGTATGCTGAAGACACACCTCTTTGGCATTTAAGGTACTGTACATTTTCGTGTGTAAGACTTGGTGTTGGTTTTTTTAATGAAAAATCATGTTTAAAATTGGGGGTCGTCTTATAGATGGGTAGTGCCTAGGGGGGACGTGGGGTTATTGGTGTCTGCGGCAAGGGGTGGTGTTGATTGGGTGTTTCTGTGGCAATTGGGCAGGCAATAGGCTGCTTCTGCCGGCGAGGGGACAGACGTTGCGATGTGCGCGACTGTTAGTGTCGGTCAGGCAGGCCAGCTCAACAACTCTGGGCAATCTCCCTGCAATTTCTTAATTTTTAGTCCCCTCAAATAGGGGACATATTATATATGGGGGCGTGTTATACACGGAAAAGTACGGTATTTTATTTTCTAGAACCCCTATCCTTTGCTGAATTTGTACTGTTCTGTTCCATTTGTCATTTTTGGTTTCATTTGTTTTTATAACAAACCTAGGAACCTGCCCTGGGACCTTATGCTAAAGGGCAGGTAAGAATTTCCTATAAGCTAACTAAGTAAGAGGTGCAATGCTGTACCAATGGCAATAAAATAAATTAATGTGATGTACCACATGCCGTCTGGGACACGGGTGGCACTGTGAGTTAAGCCACAGAGCCAAGGACTTGCTGATCAGAGGGTTGGCGGTTCGAATCCCCGTGACGGGGTGAGCTCCCGTTGCTCGGTCCCTCTCCTGCCAACCTAGCAGTTCGAAAGCACGTCAAAGTGCAAGTAGATAAATAGGGAGCACTCTGGCGGGAAGGTAAACGGCGTTTGCGTGGGCTGCTCTGGTTCGCCAGAAGTGGTTTAGTCATGCTGGCCACATGACCCGGAAGCTGTATGCCGGCTCCCTCAGCCAATAAAGCGAGATGAGCGCCGCAACCCCAGAGTCGGCCACGACTGGACCTAATAGTCAGGGGTCCCCTTTACCCTTTACCTTACCACATGCCGTACATTTCAATATGTGAATGCCATGTATTGCATGGCTGCCATTTCCACCACTTTACATATTAGGGTAAATGATCAAATTCAAAAGAGCAGCTGTGCTGCTAGGTATAAAATATTCAGGAATGGTAGAGGAGCCAATCTTGTTTGTGTCTTCATAAGAGCTCATTAAGCCGAAAATTGTTATCTGCCACTTTATTACAGGCCCCAGAAACTGGGACGAAACCTTAACAGCAGCTTCTCACCTGTGTTTCATCTTTCAAAAACAAATCCTTTGAAAAGGCTTATTTAAAGTTGCCATCAACAAAATGTGTGGCATATGCCCTGGAGGCAAGTGGTTAGATGTATGGGTGGTAGCGTGGACTTACTTTGACTAGGCAACCTGCATTAGCCTCATTAAGAAGAGCTTCCTCTGAGTGTCTCTGTGTTGCGTATGTGCAGTGAAACATCTTCCTTGCCGTTAATGCGAGAATCATCCCCTCTGCTGTGCGCATCTCTTTCATGTGCCCTGTCATTGCCCTTCATGCCGTTTAATTCAGAACTTAGTGGCCCTTGAAATAACTCCTTCAGCTCTTGATGGACATTTTTGCTGAGGCAAAGTAGTCCATTTGGTTGCGTTTGTTTAATGCATTGCAGTGGTAGTACGATTGTCATATTTCCTAAGCGGGCTGAGCATCAGCAGAGGCCAAGAGGTATAGAAATGAAATTAATAATATAATAGTAGCAATAATAAATCTGATTGGGGGTGGGTGGGAGGAATGGTGCCTAGACACTCTGTTGTGGTGACTATGACCTAAGTTTAAGGTGCTATTTGGTGATTATCTTATACAGTGGTACCTCGGGTTAAGAACTTAATTTGTTCTGGAGGTCCGTACTTAACCTGAAACTGTTCTTAACCTGAGGTACCACTTTAGCTAATGGGACCTCCCGCTGCCGCCGCACTGCCAGAGCACGATTTCTGTTCTCATTCTGAAGCAAAGTTCTTAACCTGAGGTACTATTTCTGGGTTAGCGGAGTCTGTAACCTGAAGCGTATGTAACCCGAGGTATCACTGTATATCTGAGTTTCTAACACTGAGCCTATGTACAGTATTCAAATTGGATGTTGCTCATTAAAAACTTTTTGACAGGCTCCTGCAGGATTAGCTTTTGCAGAGGAATGAGCTAATATCTGTAGCTGTCTTGTTTCCCACCAGCCATTTCTTAGAATCAACTAGTCCATGGCATTCTTTGTGTGTATGGGGGGAGAAAACTGGTTTGACCAGGTAAATTAACACCTTGGCATGGATATCCTTTCACAATGACGTAAGCAGAGTTTATTGTTGTAGTAAGAAGGGTTTTTAACAAGGCTATTCTTCTTTTAACCAGGCCTCCCTTACTTTTATAACATTGCTTGATACGTTTGCGTATTTCGTGAGGAGTGTGGTAGCAGACTACATGAATTTTATGTTTCCTGCCATTTGACATGCTTAAACTATGCATTCTTTCTATACTTCCTGGTGTGGAAGATGGTTTTGGTTTTGGTTTCTGTTCCAAAGAATAGCATCGGAACTGCCTCCAGATAAGAGTTATAACTACTGTAGATGTATTGTCTTCTGTGGACTCTTCTTCATTGGAGGCTTTTAAGCAGAGGTTGGTTGGCCACCTGTCATGGATGCTTTAGCTGAGATCTCTGCATTGCAGGGGGTTGGACTAGATGACCCTTGGGGTCCCTTACAACTCTACAGTTCTACGATTCTATGACACTCTGACGTTTCCCCCCTCCTTTCGTTTCCTGCGTTTGGTGCCTACCTGTCTTTCAGATGGGAGCCTAACACAAACTCCCTCCAAAACACATTAAAATCTACATTTTGTATGTGTTTTTTCTCTCAGACAATTCTATACCATTCTAAATTTCCACAAGAAAAAAGACTTTAATGGCATTATTCAAAAGACCATAACTCTTAAAACACAAACAAACAACCCTCAAAACATATATTTTTAAAAAACCGAATCAGCCAAATGAAGAAAGTTGGCAATGCTACAAGGAACCTCAAAAACTGGCTTAACCGGGAGTATTGTGTGGGTTAATCTTTTGTAAATGTTAATGATTATACGGTGCCTCTTCTGTGTTTGTGACAGACGGCAGGATAAAGAGATCTTAGCAGGTCTGTGTTGCACCTGTTAATTATTATTTTTTAATTTTTTTTTGCTGGTGACTTTCCTGGGCAATCCCAGGAGAAGTATTAAATATCTCATGATTTCTAAAATGTATTAATGAAGGAAAGACTGGTGAACTTTTCCTTGACAACCAAAATGTATTTTTAAAAAGCCACCCTAGTCAGAAACGTTTGGCTGATTATGGGAGATGCTTCATATCAGTAGGAGGAAAACCCCAGAGGAGGAGAAACTAAAGCTCAGCAAATGAATTAGCGTTAACAGTATTAGTTCTACACAAGATGCACAACAGATTACTTTAAATGGAGATAATGGGTGATGTAGCCTTGTCTCAGATTCTTGAGCGCTGATGATGACTAGTGATGGCATCTGAAACATCTGCCAGAGCTGGTGCCTGTGGTCAGCATAGCTGGTCACCTGTCAAGGCCAGTGCCTCAGCAAGGACCCCACTGCCAGCTTCTGGAGCCCCCTGGCTCTGCCGACGCCTGGTCAGCTGCTCTCTCTGAATGAGTTAGTTGTGAGAGAAGCAAGGAGGAAGTGCATTATCCTTCATTCAACTTTCTTGCTAGCTGGTTATGCACACAGTAGCCAGAGGAAAAAGTTTAGTGAAAGAGTAGCAGTAACACTGGTGGGATGCGGGTGGCGTTGTGGGTTAAACCACAGAGCCTAGGACTTGCTGATCAGAAGGTTGGCGGTTCAGATCCCTGCAACGGGATGAGCTCCCGTTGCTCGGTCCCAGCTCCTGCCAACCTAGCAGTTCGAAAGCACATAAAAGTGCAAGTAGATAAATAGGTACCGCTCCGGCAGGAAGGTAAACAGCGTTTCCGTGCGCTGCTCTGGTTCGCCAGAAGCAGCTTGGTCATGCTGGCCACATGACCCGGAAGCTGTACGCCCGGCTCCCTCGGCCAATAAAGCGAGATGAGCACCGCAACCCCAGAGTCGGTCACGACTGGACCTAATGGTCAGGGGTCTCTTTACCTTTATCTAGCAGTAACAACAGCACTCTGGAGTTTTTGTCCAAAGGCCCTCTCAAATCTGAACCCCCGTTTCTCTTTTCTGTGGGTATATCATGGAGCCCTGCCCCAAAAAGCTTACAATTTATGTTGGAAGAGTTTGTTTTTGCAAACCTATACAGTATTGCTGAGAATGTATAGCGCAGCTGGGCCTCTAGTTTTCCCTCAAGGATACATGTGGGCCTTTGAGACTCTGGCAACATGTGCTGAGCAGCTGGATTTAATTTTTTAAGCTGTCTGTAATCTTAAGTGACAGGCTCTTAACACAACCACACTTTATTATCACCAGTTACTACAGAGAAACCACCACTGTGCCATTCGGGAGTGGAATCAAATAAAAATCCAGGGTAATTTAACTGGAGAGCAATATAAACATGAAGAGATACTTGCTTTAGAGTGAAAAGTTGAGGATAAATCAATAGGATTCTTTCTTTTCTTTTTTTATTTCCAGTCAGTGATTAAATTAGTAAAATATGCTGCTGGCAGTAAAAGCTTGCAAGCCTGTGCTTTCACAATTGGATTTCTCTTCGGAGAATAGCAGATATTTGATTAAATGAGCTTTAGTAATGGGACTTGGTAAAATAAAATAAAAAGGTACCGTATTTTTCCGTGTATAAGACTAGATTTCCCCCTTAAAAAATAATGTCCAAAATTTGGGGGTGTCTTATACATGGATAGATCTTTCCCCATTTTCTTAAATCTGAGTCCCCCAAAATAGGGGGCATCTTATACATAGGGGCATCTTATAGATGGAAAAATACGGTAAATGAAGTTTTGGATTTTTAGAAGAATGCCAGAGTAGAAATTTCAGAGTTGAGTTCCTTGGCGTACATTCTGATTTTAATTATGAAAATGTATGGCATTGACTACTTAACATCGGACTGTATCATAGTGTACATATCTGGTTGCGGCAACTTAAGAGCTTCCTACTTTGCAGAGTGCAATCCTAAGGTACAGTGGTACCTCGGGTTAAGAACTTAATTCGTTCTGGAGGTCCGTTCTTAACCTGAAACTGTTATTAACCTTGAGGTACCACTTTAGCTAATGGGGCCTCCCGCTGCCGCCACATGATTTCTGTTCTCATCCTGAAGCAAAGTTCTTAACCCGAGGTACTATTTCTGGGTTAGCAGAGTCTGTAACCTGAAGCATATGTAACCCGAGGTACCACTGTCCTTTTTTTTTTTTTAGGAACACAGGAGAAGAAATGCACACTGCCGAAACCTTTGTATGTGCCCTGTGTTAATTATCACACTAACTATAATACAGATTTATTTATATGTTTATTTATAACCTGCCATTAACAGGAATGTCCCAGAAAGGTTTACAGCATATAAAAACACAACACAAAAGACTACTCCCTGCAAATATGGTAACCCCCAAACAATACCATACAGGGAAGATACCAAAACCAATTCTTCAGTTTTAAAAGGCCAGAGGTGGTACTAGGTATGTCTCTGGGAGGAGGGCATTCCACATGCCTGGGGGCCATCTCTACGAAGGCCCCCCTCATGAACCAAATCTCTCAGAGTGGCAGGAAGGGCTTCCCACTGATTTTAATAAACCTATAGGGAAAGAGGTCCTCTTTCAGTTGTATGGGGCCCAAATCTTTTTAAAAACAGTGCATTTAAAATATTTGAAACCTTTCACATTTAATATCAAGCATTCAGTCCTTTTATTTGTATGCCGCCTTTACAAAGTTAAAACCATGCTCCAGGCGGTTTACAACATATAAAAACTTACACAGGTTCAAACATAACAAAAATAGTCATAAGCAATAAACAAAGCAAAAAAAATCAAAAACTGCATAATCAAGTTGAACCACTTCCACATAAATCATAAGATCCGAAATAAATAAACAAAGAATAATATCTGGTGATTGTGATTTACACACCCCTTGGAGAACATTTTGAGGAGTTTGTCCATTTTCTAAATAAATAAATATACAGTATTATCAAGAACAACATACTGACCATATTATTACAAATAAATCTATATTAGCTTATGTATAAGGATTGAAAGTTGAATTGTCATTTTATTTTTTATGTATTTATAAGGGGAAAATTGGGCAATTTATCCATAGACTGCAGGTTGATAAGGACCATAAGGACAGTTGTGAACATATAGATTTTTGTGTGTTTGCCTATTAATTACATGTGAATAGCAAAAGACTGCTCAGCATTGTCCTGTGGGTAATCAACAAATGGAATTTACTTGGCTCAGGCATTAGATTACAAGAATCAGCGGATGGTACCCTGTGAATTATTTATTTGGTCCCCTTTTTAAGTTGGTACAAGATTGAAATGTGATTTCATATTAGCTCTGTTCATTCTTTGGATTAAAAGATGAATCCTGAAAGTTAACGTAAAGACATTGGCGTCTGATCTAAGGCAGGATGAGATTGCCTATCTAAGCAAGGTGGGGATGCTAGGATCTTGATGACTCTGTGGTGATAGTCTGAAGCCAAAATAGAATTGCATGTTTGTGGGTTTAGGTCAGCGTTGCTTTTCATGCAGGCTCAGTTGATTCTGAATCCCCAAAGAAGCTTGAAAACAAGTGGGACATTTTATCTGCAACAGGTGTTCATATAAAACATGCTTGAGGTTTGGTTGGGTGTTTGTAGATTGACTACTAGAATGCTATAAGCAGCCCCAGCAATTGACAGGCATACTACTTCTGATTTGCAAGCAAATATGACAGTGGGGTCTATATTGGCATGCAGAAGTAGGGACAAAAACAAGGGATGACCTTTTGATGATGGGCATGTGGTGGTCCCAGCAGATGGTGTGTGTTTCTAAATTTAAAAATGTGTGTATTAAGAAGCTACAAGCATGAATGTACTGCAATGCGCAACCACATGGTGGCTGCGTACTTTTATGACATGAGGAAACGCCTAGTCATCCTTGTTTCAGGCTCCAAGAATGAAGCCAAATTTGTTAATGAATTAAAAATTCTCTTAAGTGCAGTAGAAAGTTTGTCCTTGATGGTAATCAGGTCCTTTAGGCAATAAGAAACCTGTACAATCTCCAGATGGGCCACCTGTGGCATCTTCAGATGTTGTTAGATTCCCAACTCCCATCATTCCCAATCCGCATGGCCCCAGTGGTCAGGGATGATGGGAGCTGTAGTTGAGCAGCACCTGTCAAGGAATGCACACGGCAGATAGTTAATTCTCTGTTGTCAAAGACTTGGGATACGTTGATCTTGGTGTCTCTGTTGACAGTCTCTTCTACAGCTCAGGAGACCTATACATACCAATCTAGTGTTTAGCCAGCTATTCCCAAGTCTGCACTCCATGGAGCAGTTGAAGCAACAGGGGACCCCTTCCACCTCCACCATGTTATGTAACTTCCCCCGATGAGCTGTGCGCATGGAGGCTACACTTGCGTGGACGCTTCCTCTGCTTAGCTCTTTTTAATCCCCTCCTGGTTCTGGGAGACAGTGGTGCAGGAGAGGGTGAGGAAGCACCTGACCAGCGGCAAGTGGCACCTGCCCAATGAGCAGAAAAGTAAGAAGTAGTAAAATATTAATGCCCATCAACTTGGGGGCCCCTCAAATTTTTTACTGGGTGGGGCTGGATGGACCTTGACCCCTAAGAGTTTGCTCCCATACAGGGGTTGGCAAAGTTTTTGTGGCTTGGGCCGGTTCACGGTCCTGCAGACGCCGCGGTGGGCCGGAGTTCATGTGCAAACGCTATTTCCAGCACGGAGGAGGTGTGCGCAGCTTCCCATTGGCTGCAGGAGCTTCCTGCAGCCAATGGGAAGCCGGCCAGCATCATGGAAGGCGGTCCCTGCTCCGCTCCGCTCTGGTTTAGCGCACGGGAGCCAACTGAGTGGGCAGCGGGGGTCCATGGGCCAGTTAAACAACCCCCATGGGCCGCTTGTAGCCCATGGACCTTAGGTTGCCGACCCCTGCTCCTACACGTCCAGCCCCATTTGATTTTAACATATGCTGTATACTAGAATGGATTTTGCAGTTAGTTTTGTTTGATCAATGTACTGCAGAATGAATTATTTTTAAAAATCCAGAATCTCTAGAAGTTCAGTGCTTTCTTTTGGGTGTGCAGCTTAATTCAAAAGGTCTAGAGTCTACAGATTCTTATCGACGGAGCCGCTGAAAAATATGCCACTATGCTTACCAGAATTGCTTCCAGGAAGCAGCACCTGCCAACATGGTTCCACCAGCTCATACATTACTTCCTGCATGAGTCTGCAGCCACAGGGCCTCTCAGTTGGGAGCATTTTAGAGTACGCAAAGCTGCCCCTAGACGGGAAGTGGAATTTATGGTTCTATGCCCAGTTGTTTCACTTCACATTCATTTGAAGGCATTATAAGACCTTTGCATTCAGTAATGATGATAAAACCGCTTGGCATTGTACACTATTAAAAAGAGCAAATGTTGCTGGTCTAAAAAAATGAGGGAATTTGGGGGAGAGGCAGAGATTAGAGGTCATTTGCAAGTGAAAAGCTTCATACAAGGGGCAGGGGACCCCTTTTTAAGCCAAGGGGACACATTCCCTTCTGGGCAACATTCTGAGAACCACGTGCCAGGGGTGGGAGGGGCCAGGAGCAAAAGTAGGCAGGGCAAAAAATGTAAAGTTTTTAAATTGTACAGTAGACTGGTTTCTATGCACTCTGTCTCTCACCCCTCTCTGTATTCTATCCAGGCCGTCAAGAGGCATTATAAGAGTTCAAGGAAACATGTCAGGCAGGAAAAAAGACTTAGGGTGCAAAGCAGTGAGGGGGGTGCTCTGCAAAGAGGGGGGCTGGCATGGGGAGAGCGCTGAGGGCCATATAGAGGGTCCCAGAGGGCCACATTTGGCCCTTATGTCTGAGGTTCCCCACCGCTCATTTAAACATTTGCAAGGAAGGAGAGATGTACATGTCTGGATGCTGGAATGTTAAGGGGGCGCAAGTGAAAAACAAGGGGGGCATAAAATGAGAGCAAGTAGCCCAAGAGGAGGATATTGGCACACTGAAGACAAAATAGGTTAAGAGAGAGAGAGAGAGAAAACAAGAGGCTGGAAAAATAAAGAGCTTTGAAAGCAAAAGTAGTGGTTGAAATGATCTTACAAGGATCTTAGAAGGAAATGGAAGATAATAATCTGTTGCAACCTCCCTACGTCTGCTCCAGCCTTAGCACAGTACAGTGGTACCTCGGGTTACATACGCTTCAGGTTACATATGCTTCAGGTTACAGACTCTGCTAACCCAGAAATATTACCTCGGGTTAAGAACTTTGCTTCAGGATGAGAACAGAAATCGTGTGGCAGCAGCGGGAGACCCCATTAGCTAAAGTGGTGCTTCAGGTTAAGAACAGTTTCAGGTTAAGAACGGACCTCCAGAACGAATTAAGTACATAACCAGAGGTACCACTGTAAAGCACTCTCAGAATCACCCCTGCTGCTTTCTCTTGTCCCCCCGCCCACAAAAAAACTAAGCAAACACACATATACAAATACATGTTATGGAGGATCTCGTTCACCAAATTAGCAAATGTGCAGCTGTGCTCTAAAAGCCCAAGTCTCACTTAATGAGTTTTGATGCTGCTTCCATGAACAATTTTACTTCTTCAAGGCAGTAGTCTGTTTGTCTAGGCAAGTCATATTAAATAACTAGTAAAGTACTACATTCTCAAAACTGCTTTAAAAACAACTGTCTCTAAAAACAACTGGCATTAGTTTTCATTATTTTATCTCCTCTTTTTTCATATTTTAGGAGGTCCTCCAGCAACTGATCATTATGAATTTGCCAAACGTCTTGATAGTTGGCAAAGATCCTCTGTCTGGTGAGTAGCCTTGCGACGCTCTGTCCTCTTAAATTTCAAAAATATTGACTGTATGGAACAGGATTTGCAACTTTCTCAGCTCAAATTAATTTGGTGCTGAAGAAAATAAGGAGAATAAAAGAGAGGTGGGCATAAGCAAGGGGTAGCCATTTACAGTATACGTGTTCTGCATCCATTGGAAATCAGCACTGGAGCCCTTTGCTCCTGAGTCACATGGGGCAAATGCATTTTACACTGAGTCAGCGCTGTGGAATTGCAGTCATCCGAAAGGTGAGAGCAAGAGTTGTGATTTCAGCTGCAGCACCTTTTCCCTCCGCAGCTTGTTGCCAAACTTTGTGCAGGAGCAGACTGTAAAAATAAATAAATCTTGGCTATATTGCCAACTAGGGGCAAGGTCCTGTGGCCGCATTTTGAACCACCTTTATGTTTTCTGTACTGCTAAACAGAACTTGATCCAGAGCGTAATGGAAGCCAGGTACAGGTTCCTCTGCTTCGAAAACAGGAAGCCAGTTGTTCAAGGCTACACAGCAGGTGCCAATAGTGGGTTGGTTCCCTCTGTGGTGTAAACTTCCAACAACAGAAGGTGGGTCAGTTCAGAACAAGCACGCCCATATATGTGTCCCACAGGACTCATAAATAAAATTGATGGGGCCTTTGTGTGGATGTGCTCAACTTGGTTCATTACTGCACAAACCCCTTGCAGAAAACAGCTTGAAATTTTGATTTAGAGCTGACTAGGACGAAGGTTCCAACCTTTGTTCAGCATGGTGTATCAATGAACAGAATTGAGCACGGCCGCACAAGGGCATCAGATTTGGGATTTTTAAAAGACATATTTATTTCTATAAATGTTTATACACTGCACTTCTGGACGGAGCACACCCATATCTTGCATTGATATGGACATGGCATTGCAGTAGCGTCTCTGATCGGTAAACCACTTTCTGCAATAGTTTGATCCTCCAGTGTCTCTTCTGAAAGCATATCCAGTGTTGGGTTTGTAAAACTGCCTTGCAAAATGAATAAATAAAACCTTGCCCTCCAAATCCTCTGGGGTCCTCACAGTCATCTGGTAACTTAAAGGAGCTGTCACGTCTTAGTGATGAACTGGGGTGTGTGGGGTGTGTGTGTGTGTTTAAATGATGTGGCTTGAAGTACCCTTTCCCCCTTCAGAGCTCCTTCTCCTATCTAGCACTATCAGCTGATTCCTCTTCTCCTTCTCCTTCTCCCTCTCTCTCTTCTTCTTCCTGTGTCTTGATAACTTCACTTCCTACTCTTCCCAGACAGTCACACTGCGAATCTGTATACAGTGGTACCTCGGGTTAAGTACTTAATTCGTTCCGGAGGTCCGTTTTTAACCTGAAACTGTTCTTAACCTGAAGCACCACTTTGGCTAATGGGGCCTCCTGCTGCTGCCACGCCGCCGGAGCACGATTTCTCTTCTCATCCTGAAGCAAAGTTCTTAACCTGAAGCACTATTTCTGGGTTAGCGGAGTCTGTAACCTGAAGTGTATGCAACCTGAGGTACCACTGTATCTGATACTGAACTATGTGGAGTCCCAACAGTTGCTTTGAGCGTTCTGTGCTTGCTGCAGACTTTTGTTTTTAGCTCTTAAATGTCAAAGCAATTCTTTATTTTCTCCCTCCCTTTGAACTTTTTAGGGTTACCCCAATCAGACATTCTTGCACCTTTCATTCAATTATTTCACTGAACTTAAACGTTTCATATTGAGAACAAACTGCTTTTACCCCGCGTTCAGAGGAACTTGTGGAAGAGGGGAGAACAAGATGTGATTCAGGTGTTTTTGGGTTGCAATTAGACAGATATCATTCCTTAAGTCTTTCAGCCAAGATCCACATCCCCCCCCCTCAAAACTGTATGGTCATAGCATATCATTAATATTGTATCTGTGCAGAAATCAACCAGTTCAGAAACTGGAAAGGCCATAGCTCAGCGGCAGAGGGCATGCCTAGCATGCAGAACATCTCTAGGATATAGATAATACAGAAAAGAGTGCTTAAGCATGCACAGAGTGCCTTTATCTCACCACTGAGCAACTGCATTCAATCAGGAATGTGTGACTTCCAGAGAAGCTTGAGTTCCAGGAGTATAATATGATGTAATCCAATATAGAGGCACCTTTTGTTCTCCTGGCTAAGCTGTTGCTGCTCCATCAGTGACCAGCACCTCTCTGGCATCCACGTTCACTGCAGTCTATTAAGCCCATGAAAGAGAGGAAAACAAAGGAACCAAAAAATGTATATAGGGAAGAAAAAGAGAGGACAGAAGTCAGGAAAAGGGAAAAGGTTAGCAATAAATTTGTACTCATGCACCAATCTCTTATTCAGAGAGAGACTGTAATCCTGAGCTGTCTCTGCCCATCCATTATGGTAGCAGCCCCATTGTAAGGTGTTCATTGAACTAATGCCTGAGACCCAAGATCATTGTTGGGCTTTGGCCATCTCAATGAAACCGATCTCTCCCAGCATTCACATCTCCAAAGAATCGGCATTTGTTTGTAATGTGCGTCTTTAATTTTGTGCCAACTACAGGTATTTTTTTGCCTTTTCCTTGCAGAAGTGTAGGCAGTTGTGTTGGTTTTCCCGTAACAGGGAAGCATTCTGAAACTGGCAGCATTTGCCAGAGGGAGTGAGGAGCCCCAGTCTCGGGCAGGCAGCAAAAAACGAAGGCTTTTGGAGGCCCTAGTAGGGCATGGCCAATGAGCCACATTCTGCTTCCTGGGTCTTGTGGCTTCCTGGGCTTGCTTTAGGAGTTCAGAGGACATATTTAGGGATTCAATGAGAACACAATGTGCACATATTAGTCTGGTGGTCTTGAGAGATTTTTCAAATCACGCCCCCCCCAAATGAAACAGAAGCAAATTCCCTCCCCTTGAACGAATGTGCCAAAATAAAGTCCTTGTAGAGAGGAAAGCCAGGAGCCTCCCCCAATGAATGTCTGTATTTTTGGTCCTTTTAATCATTAAAGGTTTAAGCTCCCACTTCCATATTTACTTTTCACAAACAGTTTCCTTCCTCATTTTGTTCCACAATTCTCCAAGGAGGCAAAATGTAGTACAGGATAAAATGTGTCTGCATAACTCTGAAGTGAAAAGTTGGGTGGCGCAAGTCAGCAGATGCTAGTGTCGGAAATTTAGACGATGAATTTTTTTCCTGCATCCTTTTAGATACCATGTGGCAATAAAAAAAATTGGGACCACGCTCAGTTTCTGGTGAGACCTGAATAGCCATTGGCTCAGCGACTTAAAGCATTACGGTATCTCTGTGAGCGTTTTAGCTGCTCAGAGGTTTCTGTTGGCTTGCAAGGTCTAGAGACCAGTTGGAGCTGCTGTAGCAAAATGGTGCATGCCAGAGGCAAGGCAGCGGGGGTGGCCTTGCTATATAGCAGGCCAAAGCAACCTGCACCATGGGGGGTGGGAGAGAGAATAGATGAAGGCAGGAATTGGTATCTGAATGACACAGCAAGATTTACTAAGATGTTTGCCTTTGTTGTCCCTGAGAGAAGTTCAGTTCAACTTTAACTCTGCACGTGTACCAAGTGGTTATTTTGGCTTTGCTCTGAGAAGTGAGTGCAGCACCAGCGCAAGGAATCGGCGGAGTTTATCAAGGGAAACCCCCACTGGTTTGTGCCAGATTTCCTTCTCATAGTAAAAGCTGTAGGATTTCCTTGTTCTCACCGGTATTCATAATGGATTGTGTATGCTCAAGTCTGATTGCTCCTTGGAATTCCTACCATATCTAATGCTAAGGTAAAGGTAAAGGTAAAGGGACCCCTGACCATTAGGTCCAGTTGTGGCCGACTCTGGGGTTGCAGCGCTCATCTTGCTTTATTGGCCGAGGGAGCCGGTATACAGCTTCTGGGTCATGTGGCTAGCATGACTAAGCCGCTTCTGGCGAACCAGAGTAGCGCACGGAAACGCTGTTTACCTTCCCGCTGGAGCGGTACCTATTTATCTACTTGCTAGGTTGGCAGGAGCAGGGACCGAGCAACGGGAGCTCACCCCGTCGCGGGGATTCGAACGGCCGACCTTCTGATCGGCAAGTCCTAGGCTCTGTGGTTTAACCCACAGCGCCCCTCACGTCCCTATATCTAATGCTAGTAGATGCCATGGTAATTGGATTGCCTATCTTTACATTTCCAGGGAAACTTTTCCGATTTTCCACACAAAGAACATCTCAGGCACATGAGATTTACCAAAGGCCCCTTGTGGTTACCCTCCCACCATATGACAAGAAACTGGTACCGATCTAATGACCCAGTACATGAATTAACATGCCCCTCCTCTCCAGCCCTATCCTTAACAAGATCATCCAATTCTTTCCAGAGTCATCACGTCCGTTGCAGTAGCCTCTGTGGTGTGTGGTCGCTTCCATTATAAGTTTCCCTATGTGATAGTTCTGTGAACACATGTGTATAGACAGAAACATATATGGTAACCTGCTTCTGTGTGGGGGTGCATTTGAGCTCCAATCCTGACAGCCAAATGGCGTGGGCTGGCACTGAGGACAGCACTGGTACAACGGTAGCCCAGAAACTGAGTCGGAAAATGTATAAGGGTGACTATATACAGAAGGCATTACAAAGAAATGTGTCTGCAAATTTGTGGGCCACCTATTGGGCAATCTCAAATCTCCTTTAGAAAAAAAAATCTATTAAGGGGGCAAACTAGATAAATCAAATGTCTTTGTTTTAAACCAAAGTTCTCTTGCTGTCTTCTCCCATTTTTCCAGCCTATGGCTTTTTCCCTCCCTCATTTTGTTTCTTCACCTTTCTATCCCTTTGTTGTTGGTGTGCTAATCTCTTTTTCTCGGCCTCCCACAACAATCCTACCATCTGTTTTTCACCATCCCTTTCCTGTGTGAGTGTGAGGGGTCCAGGTCCTGTACTGTATGTAACACAGCTTCCAGAGTACAGGTTTTATTCCCTCTGGACTTGGCCCACTGTGGGGAGCAGATGGCCTTCCTGCAAATCCCTTGGTTTAATGGCTCAGTGACCTAGTGTGACAGGGGCTGCCGTGGAATTTTTTAGAAAATAAGGGAAATGCCATTGTGTTCGTGTTTTTTTTAAGAGCCTTGGCTGTTTGTGCAGACCTAAAATACCAAAAGTTCTGTGATGCTTTAAAGTTTTGGTTTATTGTGGGATATAGTTTCTGTAGGCAAGATGAACCCAACAAAGACATTGACAGAGAAGGAGCTAGATATAGATATAGGTGCATTGCTTGATGTACTATGAAGAAAAGGTTAACCCAGGTTTGAATCCCTTACTTCGCAGTGGCACTCGCGGGGTAATCTTGGACCAGTCACTATCTCTCTCAGCCTAACTTACCTTACAGAACCACATGTGCTACTTTGAGCTGCTTGGAGGAAAGGCGGGATATAAATGTAATTGCAATATTAATAATACAAAACCTAATTTAAAAGGAGTCTGCCTTTTCTGAAACTGTAAAACGTGGGTGCTGAAGAATTGCCATTTACACCAAATGGAGAGCAGCTGGCCGCCTGATTCCTCGATTTAGCCCTGTCAGATATTGTTAACTGATTCCTGATCTACAGCTTTCCATGCAAGCTCTTCCTTTAATTTCTGTTTAAATATTTAGGCTGAGAACTTAAGTCTCCCAAGCCTCTTGGCTGATGCCTTCTGACAGCACTTAACACACACACACAACTACCATTTAATTATCGGTATGGTTTCACCAGTCTCAGCTGGGCTGCGGAGCAAGCATCTTGGTAATGCAAATCTAGACATTAAAAGGACAATGCAGAAGGGCTGCTGTGGCCGGGCCATTCTCAGATGTGTCAATCTGCTATTTTATGCTTGGCATATGGTACAGACCAGGAGGGTGTTAGCACTAGCCAGCTCTGTCACCGAATCTAATTAGCGTTCCTCTTTGCTTGTTTCTCTTCATGCAAACAGGGGATGGTGAACCTGTTAACTTCACCCCCGTGAGCGTTAATCCAAGGGTGACTTAAAGAAATAATGTATATGGGACTAGACCACAGATGGGCAACTTGAAGGAATAATGTACATGTGGCCTCCAGCAACTCCTCTGGATCCATTATTCCATTCCATCGGAGTTCCTTATTATTTATTAATATTTTAATATAATAAAGATCTCCTTAGAAGTTTACGGGAAAACAACAAAAATACAGCATTCAATAACAATTCCTGAAAACAAGATAAAAACAAAGCTGAACTGTCCATCACAAATGTAACTCAACACTGTGTGAAACAAAACAAAAAAGAAGTTAAAAGTCAGGGTCTAAAGAAGTTTGTTTAAACAGACAAGTTTCAAAGAGGCATTGCAAGGGCTTTCCAATTTATTCAAGGGAGGGCATTCCAGAAGGTCCTTCCTGCACATTTCCATTGTATTTTTCCTTCCTTTTAAAAGTGGCCCTTTCTGTATAGCTTCAGAACAATAATGCTGGTTTTTTATTCTTTACTTTTTTTCTGATTGTATGACTTGGAGAAAAGGTCTTTTCCCCCCACCTCCACAACTGTCTTGAAATGAAATTAGTAGGCATGAATAAAGTCAGGAAGGAGTTTTAAGTACTGAAAAGCCATTGCAGGATACATCAATTTGCATTGAACATTAAGTGCCACGAGAGATAAATATGTTACGAAGGAAAATGAGTCAATTTACATTTTCATTAGGTAGTAAATTTGAGGGTGGGGGCAAAGTCTTCCTTTGGCTATTTGAGATTACATTGATACTATTTTGTTATTAAAAAATTTAACCCTAACCCTAACCCCCCAAATCTGGATTTTAATTTTTTTTAATTACATGGGCAAGGTCATAGCCATGGCATGATACATGCAGAATGTTTTAAATCAATTTAATAAGAACACAAGAGCAGACCTATCTAGTCTAGCCTCCCTGGCCAGTGAGAAGCCCAGAAACAGAACATGAGCACCATATTTATTTATTTAGAACATTTTAAAACCCTCCCTGCACCAGATGATTCCAGGGCAGGTTACAGTAGCATTGTTATGTATTCAGTGTTCTGTGTTTGCCTGAGTTTGAGTCGGGACTAAGGATTCTGAGCGCCTGTGTTCTGATTCAATACATGATATCCAGTCACAGAACACTTCAGGATTGGGGTTTCTGCCATTGGCCCTTAAACTCTGAGTCGTGATTTGCAGCTTGGAAGTTCAGACAGCCAATCACGTTGGGAGTGGAAGTGGCCCAGGCATTCAGAAATGTATATAGCTCAGCTGAGGCTCTTTTAAGACCATGAGACTCTTAATCTCAGGGTTGTGGGTCCAAGCCCCATGTTGGGCAAAAGATTCCTGCACTGCAGGTGGTTGGACCAGAGGACCCTCGTGGTCCTTTCCAACTCTACAGTACAGTGCTACCTCGGTTTAAGAACAGCTTAGTTTATGAACAACTTGGATTAAGAAAGCTGCAAACCCGGAAGTAGGTGTCTTGGTTTGTGAACTTTGCCTTGGAAGCAGAACATGTTCTGCTTCCTGTTGAGTGTAAATTGAGTCCCCCGCTGCTATGGGAAAGCACGCCTTGGTTTAAGAATGGACTTCCGGGGAGGTGCCTCCGGTAATGGCGGAATTCCTCTGACCGGGAGGAATCCGCTCCGTGGGAATCTGGGTCTGGCCGCCACGGCAAAGGCGGAGACCCGTTAAAATCACAGGCGGGAGAAGCCTGTGAGCGTGGGATTCGGCGGGCACCTTTTGCACCTCCCCCACTCGCGGGGAACCCCGTTTTTTGGGGCTCCGGAGCGGCGCGGGGTGAGCGGCGCGGTGCATCGAATCGTCTGCTTCTTCCACAGAGCGAAGCCGCATAGCTGTTGCCGGAGAGCGCTGACCTTTTCCTGTGGACAATTTGACTTTAAAGTAATCACCCGTGAGTAAGCTGAAGCGGAAGAATTGGAATTCTAAAAGTTTAATTTGGTATCGTAACGGGGAGGTTCAAAGCAGGAAGTCCGCCTTCCCCTTTTGTAAATAGACTGAGGCAATGAAATTGCAAGCTGGAGTCTTGGGAAACCTTTTGTAAAAGATTAAATTTCCATCGGTAAAGAACATTAAACCCCCTTTTGGAGGCAGGAGAAGAGAGGGGGAAGTTGTGGATTGAGTATGCCTGTGGGAGAGAGCGAAGAGATTTAAAACACCGCCGCTCTGACCCTGGAAACGGGCTGCTAGCAGAACTGATGTCTTTTAGAATGTCCATTGACAGCGCTTAGAACGTTCATTGACAGCTAGTTAAATAAGAGAAATACATTGTTTCTACTGTCTCCGGCTGCTTTAAAAAGGAGTAAAAGTAACTGAAAATTGAAACTAATTTGAAACTAACTTTGGATTGTCTAAAAGAGGATACTATTGACTATTACAAATAGAAACTGTTTCCCCCTAGTGGAAGCCTTTGAAATTGGTTGCTTTACAAGAGCTGGGCTAGGGGAATTTCCAGCTGCAAGTTAAAAACCGTGAGACTCTGGGACTGACCTTGAATCTTTTAAGTGTTATGGTAAATGGAAGTGGAAAAACAGACCAGTCAACTGCTGACAAAACATTAAGGTCTGGGAGGACTTGGCAACAATCCAGGAGAGGTCCAGCATCAGGCCCCTCTGCTCCTTCTGTTACAGCCTTTGTACCAGTATATTGAAAACCAAGAGGAATGTCAACAGAAGAGGCTTTAGTGGCTGCATTATATAAGATAAATGACTCATTGGATCAGCTTCACAGGAAAATGGACACGATAAATGCGAAAGTGGATGTTTCAGTTACTAAAATTAACTTAAATACAGAAAGTATAAATAATACCAAGACAGAAACCATCCAGAAATCGATACAGGAACCTACTTTGACACGGCAAATTGCGGAGAAAGCCAGGGAAAAAGCTGCTGTTGCTGAATGTAAAGAAACACAACTGGAGAGAAAGAGAAAGAGAGCCCCAGCCCTACAGAGGCAACTTGATGAACATAAGTTGACGCTTGCTATGACTGAACTTAAAGAAAAACAGATGAATTTGAGGATTAGAGTTCACCTTTGGTGGACATGCCCAAGGATTAAGACACTTTGGGAGATGATTCATAACGAAATGAAAAAGGTATTTAAATATACCCTTTTGAAGAAACCAGAGGCCGCATCTCCTGGGCATGGTCAGCCAATTGGTGTTAAAGAAGGATAGAACTTGTTCCATGTATGCAAGAATACTCATTGTGAAGTACTGGAAGACACAAGATTTATCTATTCGGGAAGAATGGCAGATGAAGTTGATGGACTATATGGAATTGGTGGAAACGACTGGCAGAAATCCGAGACCAGGGAGAAGAGTTGGTGGAAGAAGACTGGAAAAAGTTTAAGGCTATTTATAGAAATACTGTAAAAATAATGAATGTTAGAGAAATGTTGGAATGAAGTTATATGGCTTCAGTAGAAATGTTATAAGGAATCAAGTATAAATAGATTAATAGAGTTGAAAGGGAAAAATAAGGTTAGAATATGTTAAGATAATTATAGGATAGAAAACAGAGGAAGATGGAAAGGAATTGCTGAAACAATTAACAGAAGTGGAATACAAAAAGGGAGATGTGAGGAGGTCGTGGAAATAAGGGAACGAATGTTAAGATATTGACATTGTTTTTGTGTTTTAAATGGTTTGTGTCTTGTTTTGTTAGTCTTATTTTTTCTTTTTTTTCCTTTCTTTTTTCTTTGTTTTTCTGTTTTGTTGTGTTTAAACGGTTGGAAAATTAATAAATATTATTATTATTATTTTTTAAAAAATGGACTTCCGGAATAGATTAAATTTGTAAACCAAGGTACCACTGTACTATGTTTCCAAAGCAGTGGACTTGTTTGCATTTACAGTATTTATATATTTGCATTTGTAAATTTCTTGTAAATTTGTAAAACATCTCAAAGCCATTAACAAAAATGTTAACAACAAGAACTTATGGAAAACAATCTTGGATGTAAAACATTTAGAAGAATTACATAGCTAAAAAGCCCAGGCAGATGGGTTTTTAACCTAGTGCCAAAATGCAAAGAATGATTGTGGCAGTCATATTTTGTTGGGGAGCGCATCCTATAATTTGGGTGCCACTAATGGGAAGGGCGTCACTAGTGTAACCACCCAAAGAGCTTCAGCCCATTGTTTTCTCCTGCAACTGACATTTCAGAGGCATGGTATGTTTGATACTGGAGATTACAATCCTTTGCACTGGTATGCGGGTCTGTGTTTTTATGATTTGTTGTTAAAAAGTTAGATCTGTATATGTTTTGATTGATGTTTGATGTATTTTGCTCTTATGTTTGGTTGTATATAGTGCCCTGAGCTCCTTTGGAGAAACGGCAATCCACAAATGCCCTAAATAAATAAATAAACACCATGACTTCCCCTCCTGGCAAAATACAAGCACAGGTACACAAGGGTACACAAGGAGTATATAGTCAAATATTCAGAATACATATGGCAAACAATTGAAGAGAATTTATAACATGGTAAACCCGAATTTGATTTATTGTGATGGAAAGGATGCATTTATAATCCGTTTAATCTGCATATTTACTACTCAATGTAATGAATCAAGCACCCCAGCTTTCTCCTTTTTTAAGCATGCACAAAGGCTTATAAGACCTTAATCAAGCAGAGTAGTTAACATGGGTATGCTAGTGTGTATTTTATTATAGGAGTTTGATTGCACCGTCTAATGCAGAACCAGTGGCTTGACTCCTAAAACCCTTTGAAATCTCAGTCTAGACAGAACCAAACAGTTTATGCATATTTGTTTAACCCACTGTGTGGCCCATGTTTCCTGGTTCGGTTCTGCAGTGTACTTGGAAGGATAAGTGTACATTTTTCAAACGCCATGGTCCTATCAGGTATGCAGCACAAGAAGGCACTAAGCAGGTCTTAAAATAATGAAATGCGATGGTGCTCAGCATAGCAAAATGCATAGGAACAAAGTAATACAAGGCAGTATTTGATATGCAATCAGCTTCATCAGCATTTGGCAGGAGCAGGTGATATCTTTTAAAGAGCTGCCATCAACTTCACTGCATGTCTGCTGCATTTTTTACTTGCCTGCAATTGTTTCCCATTAATGTCTAATAAGAATTCTTTTGTACCATCTGTCACATGAGCATCAGTCATTCAAACAGAAGCTGCGAAGAGCAGAGGAGTTCTGCTTAACTTAGCTGTATAATCACACAACATCAGTCAAAGCTATCTTGGTTCTTTGGTGTTAAGTGCTGTGCTTGAAATCACTGTCTGCTGCGTGCCTTTAAAATATACACTAAATTTTGAAGTGCTTTTAATATGTAGCTCTCCCCACACCCCTTTTACTTATACTACAGTTTATCTTTTTGTGTTAAAAGTAGCTGCTAGTGAAGGTCAGTCTGCATGCATGGAAAAGTCCACCTTTTGAGGAAGGCATTGCGGGAAACAGTATTAAATAGCTTTGTATTGGAGGGAAATTGGGGTAGGAGAATTAACTGTAACCAGTGAATTACAGTTGGATAGATACAATGCTGCTATACATTGCAACAAACCATAGAAATGTAATATGGAAGACCGTTTAGCATGCCAACATTGTGTTAAAGCATGTTGTAAAAAAAGTTTGGCTTGGAAATCAGTTCTAAGGACTTAACTATTTTATGTACATTGGATGAATTCTTAAAATATACTCCAGGGGAAAGCAAGAAATAAAAACAGTCCTTTTCTCTTGCCAGTATTTTTTTTTAATGGTGAAAGTTTGCCGTCGTCCCCCCTGCCTTCCATACTGAATTTCCACTCAACGTTGATTAGTAGTTGGGTTACTGTGTCTTTTTGTTAAATCTACGTTAGCATAATTGATTGACTCCATTCCAGTTTCCTGTAGATAGGATCATATACTAGCACAGTCAAGGGGACAACTATTTTGGACAAAGGCTCACTCATGGAAAGGGCTGTAGCTCAGGGGTAGAGTATTTTCTTTGAAGGCACATTGTTCCAGGTTCAATCCATGTTATCTCCAGATTAGGCTGGAATTGTCCCCAATCTGAAAACCCTGGAGAGACACTGCTAGTCAATGTAGACCACTGGTTCCCAAGCTAGTACATGGGAGACCCATGTAAGCTTCATTGTATCCTGGTCTTCATTGCCACCTGGGTGCAATCCATGCAAGCTTATAAATCAATAACCATCTACAGACAAAAAGCCTTAGCAAATGTAGAAATGTTATTATTGCAGCAAACTGTTTTTCCCCCAGGTCTGGGCCCCATGGGTCTTTGTATCCATGTCTTAAAAGAATAATTGAAGTGTAGTACAAGAATATGATCAGGGGAGTGTTTTCTGTAAAATAAAGACTTGATATTGTGATGGTCGTTCCACACTTTGGCCCCGATCCAGGAAAGCACTTAAGCAGATCAGCTATCTCACCTGCAGCTACACAACAGCTTTTGTGCACTTAAGCTCACTGGGAGGCCCAAATTATTTGGTGGGAGTGGAAATCATTTGCATATACAAGTCTATGGAGCCCTTTACATTTTGGTGCCTTTCTTTAGATTGGGGGCAGGGGGAAACAACCTTTAAATGTTGAATGGATTTCACTTACGTGAATGGCATTCATGTAATGACATTGCCGGTAGTAGAACTCAAGTCCAGAGTGGCAGTGTAAGTGATAAGCGCACGTCCAGAGGAAGAAACTGATATAGCTGCTTGCCTGGGAAGCCCTTTCTGTTTCTTCTTTTTGCCTGCCTCTCTCCAGTCTCCTTGGCTACCACCGTTGTAGCACTGATAGGCCAGGTATGTAGCTTTTGAAAGCCTAAGAAGTAGTTGGCTTGTTGGGCTGGAACTGAAGACCTGGTGTCAGGGTTCAGCCCTGCCCAGACTTCAATCCTGAGGTCTCTTTAGAGGAGGAGCCCCCTGAGCAGATTTTCACACTTGCAGGAGGTCCTGGGAATGAAGATCCCAGGACCACCTTCCTGGGTTCCTGGCCAACTCTCACATTCTGCCCGCCTCAATGTCACCCAGGGCCACAGGAACACAGAAGACAGCATGCCAAGCTTTAGAGTTGTCACTAAACTTACAGTGCTCTTCAACCTTGGGTGGCCAGCTGTTGTTGTAGTGTATCATCTCCCATCATCTCCAGCCAGCTTCTTGAGTGGTGGCAGAGGCAGGTGGAATGCCCACAGGGCTGCTGCCTTAGGGGCTTCAGCCGCCTGTGGCAGCCACCTCAGTCTTCCTAATGGCTGAGCTGGCTCTGGCCTCCATTTTGTTTCTAAGTTCTCAGTCTAAGCTGCTTCACTGCTGAAGGAACAGCCCTCTTCCAAGCGCCCGTCTTTCTGACCCAGACACTTGAGTTTAGATACCCACTAGGTCAAAGAAGCTTATTGGTGATCTTGAACTATTCTCCACAGACTGATTTTGTTCTGAGGATTTAGAATAAAAAGTACCACTTTGCATTCAGGAGATTACAGGTTCAACCTGGCATCTCTAGCTAAAAGAACCTTCCAGAGCAAAGGTAGGGAATTTCTTATGCCGCAGATCTTTGAGAGCTGATGCTGGTCAGACTGTATGGCAGTCCAGTAGATGGGCAGGTGACACATCTCCTGTAACGCAGCTTTTATGTGTTCAAATCTCCTGAAATGAGTCTGATTATTTGGTATAGATCAAGGCAGTGATATTTCATGGCGCCTTTATCGTCATGCAGACAAACTGCAGGGAAACAGCAGTCATTTTAATCACATCTAAAAGAAGCTGTGTGAAGAGTCAAGGCACTTTATTCTCAGCTGAAACAGAAAACTGCCTTTTTTCTTTCTTTTTTGAGCAAATAGGTAGGAACACACATGCCGGTACCTTGGGGGAAAGCAACTTGTTTCACATCAGCTATGCGTTGCTGCAAAAATAAATACATTTGCACTGATTTGCATCAAGCGCAGTAAAACCATCCATTGCCTTTCATTGGTTTTATATTTATATATACTGCTAATTGTGCCAGCTTGTTCTTTGAGTTTTAAAAAGAATTCACAGTGCTGAGGTTTGGGGTTTTTTTTCTTAACATCTACAAGAGCTATGAACTGTAAACACATCATCTCAAAGCTGAAACATTTCTTTTAAAAAGCGAAGAAAATTTGTTCTGTGACCACAATTGAAATGTAGAGATATGCGGCCTTTTTAATGCTATGTTGCTGAGAATACGTTGTTAGAAAATCATTGGCCTTTTTCATTTTAATAATCTTCATAATAATTTTCTAATATTTAATGGTCATTTTTCATCTCCTAGGGAAAAGTATGGATGAAATTAAAAAGCTGCTTCTGCTAGTTTTGGGTTGTGCTGTGCAGGTAAGTTTACTCCTAATTTAGTACTATAGTTACAATTAGTAAACCTAATGAGCTAATTACCAGTGCAAGTTATTAAATATCCCAGCCACATTTGTTTTATCATTCCCTCTCTAATGTTCAGGATATGTAAAAAAAGAAGGTGCAGTGCATTTTCAGTGCTCAATAAACAATTATGTGATGTGCCTTTTTTTGGTCCTCTTGATAGTGTGAAAGAAAAGAAGAATTCATTGAAAGGATAAAGCAACTAGATATTGAAACTCAGGCTGCAATAGTTTCTCATATTCAAGAGGTAAGATTCTCAACTCCTTTGTTCCTGTTCTCTTGTGTTCCAGTGGACTTTCCTCTAACTTTTCATTGAGTTTGTGAGTACAGGGGCATTCGTATCATGGCTTTCTGGCTCATGAATGTTTTGCTTTTCCTGTCTGTATTAGGGCCATAAATGGGAAATGCAAAAGAAAGATACTCAAATGGGCATAAAAACAACAACTGGAGCAACTCTTAAATAATAATGCAGCATTTGGTCTATAATAACACTATTATGTGTTAATGTTAGAGGATAAAATATGTGTAGATCATCCTTCTGCAAACTGGTACCTTCCAAACGTTGTCTGTCTATAGTTCCTATCAGTCCCAGCCTGCCCAGCTGATTTAATAATCAGTTTAAGGCAGGAGATAGGAGATTTAAAAGGGAAATGGAGAGACTTCTAAAGGTTTTTGCCATCCTTTGTGAGTCTTCCTCTCCTTCTTTTGAGATGTCAGTAAGATTGGGTTTAAAAGGGAAGGCAGAGACTTCGCTTCGCATGTTGTCCAAAACCAGGATCACGGTTAAGACCTCGCCTCTTTAACCATGATGTGTAGCCAAACTTTATCCTATGATTTAGATCATGGTTAAGGAGAACCCTTAACCATGATTCTGAATTTGAAAGACATAGTGATCAAACTTTGGCTTAGCTGCCATGCTGTGCTGTACTAAAAGGACAGGGAAGGAGCAAAGTGGGTGTGAGCTCCTGTCTGGGAAGCCAGCACATAAACACAGTCCAGATAACCAATAGTTTGGCTTGCCATGATGTGCGAACCAGGCTAGTGTCTCAAGAAGCTTTTGAAGCTTTTAATGATGCTGTATTAATGGTTCTCTAAACTGGAATTATTCACTTTAATCCCTGGCGAATAGGAGGAGGAGGAGGAAGAGGATGGTTAAGTTTCCGATTGTCACCAAACTACTTTTCCAAAATGGTGGAATGCAATCTTTTGTGAGGCTATTGTCCTGCCTCTAGATAACTATGATTTGAAGCATTTTCTGCATTCATTGGAGTTTACATTTGTGCGGAAGACAACAGTTTGAATTTCAAGAAGAGTCATTTGCCAAAGCAATATGGTCTCATATGATATAGGCAAATATGATATTAGCTAATGCAGCAATTATGGAATGTGGGTGGCGCTGTGGGTTAAACCACAGAGCCTAGGACTTGCCAATCAGAAGGTCGGCAGTTTGAATCCCCATGACAGGGTGAGCTCCCGTTGCTCAGTCCCTGCTCCTGCCAACCTAGCAGTTCAAAAGCACGTCAAAGTGCAAGTAGATAAATAGGTACTGCTCTGGTGGGAAGGTAAACGGCGTTTCCGTGTGCTGCTCTGGTTCGCCAGAAGCGGCTTAGTCATGCTGGCCACATGACCCGGAAGCTGTACGCCGGCTCCCTCGGCCAGTAAAGCGAGATGAGCACCGCAACCCCAGAGTCAGCCACGACTGGACCTAATGGTCAGGGGTCCCTTTACCTTTACCTTTAATGCAGCAATTACTATGGGAGTCTGTTGGAATGTGAATATTAACTTGCAATCCTAGCCATTATTTACAGGAACTAGTCCTGTTGGACTCAATGGGACTCAGTGTTTGCAGAATCAGCCTAATAGAATTGCAGATCTTACTGTGCAGCAGCCTTCTCCAGCCTTGCTGCTCTCCAAATGTCTTGGACTACAGCTGTCATCAAAACCAGCCAGCATGGCCCAAAGGTCGGAGGTGACGGTTGTTTGAGTGAGGCTGCTCTTCAGGCAAAACTCATGCACAGCTTCCAAAAAAGGGACAAATCTCCTGCTTTTTTCTTTCTTCATTTCAGGTAACCCATAACCAGGAGAATGTATTTGACTTGCAGTGGCTAGAGCTCCCAGATATGGCTCCAGAAGAACTCGAGTCTCTTTCCAGAAATATGGTTTTCCATCTCAAGAGGCTGATCGATGAGAGAGATGAGTGCACAGAGGTAGGGATAATGTATCTCGAATTGCTTTTTATTTATGTTAAAGACAATGCAGTTTGTTTGAAGTATTGTGCTAGACTTTCCTTTCCCTGTTAACCTTTTGCTCTTATATTGATCTCTTCTTTCAAGTACTGGCCGTTTGGGGCCTGTCTTTTTAAATTAATAAATAAAGCCTCTGTTTCTCTCGGCCATGGTCTTAATTAACAATGCAAGTTTTCCACCTGCGTGTTTCCATAACATGAAGAGCACAGCTTCCTAGTTAAAAACTCTGCCAGATGTACTGAAATCTTTGATGTTTCTGGTTGGCTCACCTTGTATCTGAGGTGTTCTACATAATATGCAGAATGAGGCGATAAAGTCTTGGACTGTGCCATTTCAGACTGCAGGTGTGGGCAGGATCATAACTTTCGAATGCTTCCCCAGGTAAAATTATCCAGTAAGTCCAATAAACAGCTCAGGAAAGCCCTGGATGTTATCTGTGCAGTACCAGCAAGTGTCGGCTTTCTTTGCTGTATCATGATTATTGCTTATTGATGTTGGGCATGTGAGATAAAATAGCACATCTGGGAGAAGGGAGTTCTCTCTTTTACATGCTAGATTACTGCAGTCAGAGAGCTTTTTGTGTGCAGGACTATGCATAAAATAACAAAACAAAACAGCCTCCATCTGTAGTCTGAAGCGGCACAGAACACAATTTTACCACCTTGCTCTGTGTTCTGACTTGCTTCTTGACAATCAAGTTATTTTCATTCGCTCTCTGCACTCTTTGCTCTTGACTTAGCGCCCTAAAAAGCCTTCCTCCTGATTCTTGCCAAATACACTTGGGCCAGGCTAGATGTGATAGCAGTAGGGCCCAACTTGTAAATGTGGATCTGTCCTGATCACATCAGGAATCACGAGAGGGATGAGAGAGCTGGTTTTAAGAGCAAAAGGACATGTGGGTGAGTGCTCTCTCTCTCATCTTGCCTCTCCACAGTCTAGGGACTCAGCTACATTAGTAAAGAAAAATAGTTTTAAACGCGTTGTAATACTGTGACACCAGATGGCGCTGTGGAGTCCCATCTTTCGACAACATGATTTCCCATTATGAGGTTTACAACACTTTTTCGCAAAACGTTTTTTTGATGTGTCTAGATCCAGCCTAGCTCTTCCCCTCCCCCTGACACTTTTCAATTGGGTGCAGTCCTGGTATCGGAACTCAGTGGAGAGAAAAGAGTGCAGGCGGGAGATAAGCCGCAAGGTGCCAGTCAGTTCTCTTCTCCCCCACCCCACCCCAATGTACATACTTGAGGCAGATCTACATTTCAAGTGATAAATCTGCATCTGCTGCATATCACTGTAGGTTTGGGTAAGGGATGACAAGACCCTTTCTCGTACCCAGCTTGGTCTTTTTATGCTCAAATATGGAATTTTTAGGAAGCAGTGTAAAGGACACTGCCCCCATGCTGTTGTAAATGTATCTCAATATTACTTTCTATACTGTGTTCGTTAGAAGCTGTACATCAAATACGAAGCAGTTTACATTAACATAAAGGTCTTTATAAGGAAGTATCTTATATTGTAGTAACTGAAAAGAAGAGAAGGGGCAGATTTCCCCAGATCTCAAAAAGAGATTGGGATTCGTTAGCCTAGGAAAAAGGCCAAGAAGCCTAAGGACGTATGACGTTGTTATAGTTCTCAAATTGTATAATAAGCCATCTCAACAACCACTTCAAAAATTTACAGAACTCTGAATGAAAAAATAATTCCATGTAGGAATTGGCAAGTACCCTGCACTCTTAGCTCCAGCCGTCGACTGCTGAGATGTGTATTTTCAAGACCCACCCTTGTTTTGTGGTTGCGTTTTTTAATCGTTAAGTTTTCAGACTCCTTTTAATGTATTTTAAATTGCTGTAAGCTGCCCTGAGACCTTAGGGTGAAGGGTGGTTCATAAGTTAAAATGCTACTATTACTACTAATAATAACAACTACTACTACATGGTCCTTGGTGGACCGTGACTTCTGATCATTGTGCATTTGTCTATTTCACTGGCTGTGCACTCACTTTAGACAATGTACAGCTTTCTACCATATGTGTGCACAGAAAAAGAGGTGTGACAGTTGCATGGGGACGTAGTGGTCTGCTTTGCACATCGCAACAAGCCAAATTATGGCTTGCCATGAATGTGGGGAACCTTTGGCCCCATTACATACTTGATTTCTGTGCTTGTGCAATTAAAGCTTTCTGTGTCCAAATCTTCCTATAAAGTCATCGACTTTCATAAAGTGGTCTGAGATCCTTTTATGAATGGAGCTATGTGCAAGCTGTATTCTTCACATGGGTTGTTTTGTTTGCTTGTTCCCAGCTCATTGTGGATCTCACTCAGGAGAGAGATTACCTGCAATCCCAACAGCCGCCCAGCCCATTAAAAACTTCCAGCCCAGCCTCTTCGCCAAACCCAGCCAGCCGCCTCTCCAATGAGGACAAACAGCATCTGTCTGTGGAGCTGGCAGACACAAAGGCTAAACTAAGGAGGATCAGGCAGGAGCTGTAAGTACTGACACTAAGCCCCTGGAGCTGCTGGAGAACTATTGGCCTCTTGGTGTCCTTTGATAACACAGAACTGCATGCACAGTGTGTAGCATTTAGCTTCAGTGTACAGTGGTACCTCGGGTTACAGACACTTCAGGTTACAGACACTTCAGGTTACAGACTCTGCTAACCCTGAAATAGTACCTCGAGTTAAGAACTTTGCTTCAGGATGAGAACAGAAATCGTGTTCTGGTGGCGCGATGGCAGCGGGAGGCCCCATTAGGTAGAGTGGTGCTTCAGGTTAAGAACAGTTTCAGGTTAAGAACGGACCTCCAGAACGAATTAAGTTCTTAACCCGAGGTACCACTGTATTGATCAGTACTGGTAAGTCCTACATTTAGCTGTGCTTACAGAACAGGGTTCTCAGTCTCCCCTGCTGCCTTCCTGAAGAAAGCAATTTGGGGTTCATTTGTTTTCCACAACACATGCCTGCTTTTGCACACTTGCTCATCAACCCACTACATTTTCTTACCTTCGCACAGTCTGCATTCTTAAAAATGTATATACCAGGGTTTCCCAAACTTGGATTTCCTGCTGTTTTTGTACTACAACTCCCATCTTCCCTAACTAGCAGGACCCCTCCTCAGGGATGATGGGAATTGTAGTACAAAAACTGCTGGAGACCCAAGTTTGGGAAACCCTGGTATATAGAGAAAAGAAGACGGAAAGTGGTGGAAGTTGTCGCTGTAAATATTTGAATGATCACGTGACACAGATAGATGGCAAGGCGGCTTTTCCTGCCTTTATATGCTTCAGGGCAGAAGGCCACATCTCACTTGACATGGCTGCTGCCAGAAGCTGCATTATCTTGCCACACCTGCATCCCCCAACCCTCACTAGCAACAGGCCATGACGCTGAGTCCTAACTACTCATGTGCTAACAAAGATGCACGTCTTTATTCATGGTCCTGCTGTTTCCCTGTGTGCAGTTTTAGCAGGACCAGCCCAATACATTTTGCTGGCTGGGGCAAAGGACGATTTGGCACCCCACGCCCACTTCAGTTCATGTACGGAATCTGGCAACACTGGGCTGAGCCTTATTTTGACACTAGCAATGGGGCAGCAGCTTCAACTGCACTTGAAGGCAGCTGGTTAGCTTGGGGTGGAGGGGCATACCAGGCTATGTGCAGCACACAGCTCTTTCCTCTCCTCCCCTTGGCACCTGCAGCCTGAGCCAGCTGCCCCCTCTGCCTAATGGTAGAGATGGCACTGAGTTCTTTAAAAAAAGCACCATGAAGATATAACACCAGATAGCCTTATTTTGCCTTGACTCTTTTTCTTTTCTTTTTCTGTTTTTACTTACCCCTTCCCATGTGTCAGTGTTACTGTTGCTTCTCTTTATTTTTTGATGTATACATTTTTTTTGTTGTTCTTGGTTGGTAATGGATAAACCGGAAAATTAAATGACTTTTTAAAAATACTGTAATTTGAAACTGCTTTTTAGTGGTATGTGGTGCTTGCTAAATTTGGTAAATTAGCAACAAGAGAACTTGAATCGTACCACATTTCTCATCTAGGCCTAGATAGGGGATATTCACAGTGCATTAAGGGTTCTTGGGACTAATGTGGCAAGATGTTAACCAACTTTTATGAACTCTTCAGGGAAGAAAAATCGGAGCAACTTGTTGACACTAGACATGAAGTAGATCAGCTAGTCCTGGAACTGCAGAAAATAAAGCAAGAGGTAAGGAAATTATGCAGAAGTGCTATTCAGTTCAGAGGTGGGGAACCTTTTTTCAGCCAAAGAGCCGCATTCCTTTGTGAGAACCACATGCCTGTGGTGGGTGGGGCCAGAGGCAAAAGTGGGTGGAGCAATGGAATGTGGCTACATTCCAGCCATACAAGGTCGAATCCCCACGACAGGGTGAGCTCCCGTTGCTCTGTCCCAGCTCCTGCCAACCTAGCAGTTCAAAAGCATAGCAGTGCAAGTAGATAAATAGGTACTGCTGTGGCAGGAAGGTAAACGGTGTTTCCGTGTGCTCTGGTTCCCATCCTGGTGTTCTGTTACACCAGAAGCAGTTTAGTCATGCTGGCCACATGACCCGGAAAGCTGTCTGTGGTCAAACGCCAGCTCCCTCGGCCTGAAGAGCAAGATGAGCACCGCACCCCATAGTTGCCTTTGACGAGACTTAACTGTCCAGGGGTCCTTAACCCTTTACCTTACCTAGTCCAAACCCCTGCGATGCAAGAATCTCACCTAAAGCATCCATGACTGATGACCATTCCACCCCGCTTAAAAACCTCAAATGAAGGAGAATCCATGGTTTTCCAAGGGAGTCTGTACCGCTGTTGAACAACTATTACCTAAATGCCGCTCTTAAATTCTTTTGGCCTATTTCTATTAAGTATGCAAGCATTCGTGTTACTCAGAACTTAAGCAGATAGTTTTACCTGAAGCATAGAATGCCAAAAGTTAACTGGCAGAGGATGTGGTGGACAAAGCAGTTGCTTAAATGACTACAAAGGAATGAAACAGATTCATGGAGGAGAAGTCTGTTAGTGACTCTTAGTCATGTTAGCTACATAGAAACTCCATGTTCAGAACCGTATGCTCAAGATTTCCCGTTGCTGTGGAACGGTGGTGGCAGAGGACTATGAACTTTGTGATACTGTTCTATTATTTTTATGTTGTATATTTGGATATCACTTATGGTATATGTTTTTTAAAATATCAAGCAACCTAGAAATGCTTTAAAATAAATAATGTAATAAACAGGAAGTATGCTTTTCCCCGCAGGGGTGGCACCCATCCATTGCAATACCCTCCCGCTTTTTTATGGCTTTGGCATTTTCTTATGGTGGTTTAGTGCATTTCATGGAGTTCTTTTCATTATATGTATATTTTAGTACTGCAAGCCATTTTTTAGGGGAGGTGGACATGGGGGACGGGAGCGGGACAAGTTTCTACATAAACAGATAAAATGAGTGTCCATCATTAAAGTGTTTTAAAACTTTGCTGTGCTAGTTTCCCCCCCTTTTTTTGGTTTTTGTTTTAACTCAGAACATTAACCTCATGGCAGATGCCCGCTCTGCTCGGGCCTATAGAGATGAACTGGATTCCTTAAGAGAAAAAGCAAACAGAGTGGAGAGGCTTGAAATGGAGCTGGTCCGGTGTAAAGAGAAACTGCACGATGTGGATTTCTACAAAGCACGGATGGAGGCAAGTCAGGTTTTTAACCAGGAGTTTATGTATTTAGATATATTTTAAAAATGTATAGTGGTACCTCAGGTTAAGAACTTAATTCGTTCTGGAGGTCTGTTCTTAACCTGAAACTGTTCTTAACCTGAAGCGCCACTTTAGCTAATGGGGCCTCCTGCTGCCGCTGCACGATTTGTGTTCTCATCCTGAAGCAAAGTTCTTAACCCGAGGTACTATTTCTGGGTTAGCGGAGTCTGTAACCTGAAGCGTATGTAACCTGAGGTACCACTTAATATAATAAACGATCTCAAAAATATGTAATAAAGGTGCATTCTGTTTCCCTCAATGGTCAGCCAAATGCCTACAGGAAGCCCACAAGCAGGTCCAACGTGCAATGCCTTCTCCTGCTCACCATCCCCAACAGCTGGTATGCCTCTCCTTCAACCCCAGTATGTGCCTCACCCTTGAAATGGTCCCTAGGAAAACATGGCGGCAAATAGCATTAGGGAGGAGTGAGTCCTCTGCCAGCCTGCTCAAACTACACCCCCAGTTGCTGCCTCTTCTACTCCACAGCATGTTCCGACAAGCAGGAAGAACTGAGGGGACAAGATGGCAGAGTCATCGCTCTAGCCATCGCTTCAGCCCAGGGTTGCCTCCCCTTAAAGCTGCAGAAATCTTAAATCTCCCTTGTCTCCATATGACTGCCTATACCAGCCTGACAGCAGAGGACATTTACGTTTGTGTTTTCACGGGTAATAGTTGGAATTGTGAGGCATTAGTGTTGAGCCTGTCAGAATTCGAGGGTGCTTCTCTCACCTGTAGAAAAGTCTGTGGCCCTCACTCCTCTTCATAAAATTGAATGCTAAAGGAGCGTGTTTCTCTCAAAACAGTGCTATGCTTCAGCCCATGAGCGCTGCTTTTGCCATCCATTGTTGCTTCATTTTGAGAAAGTAACTGAGTGTTGTTTTAATTTGACAAGCCTTCCAGGAAGCAGCAAGGTGCATGTGGTCTGTAGGCTGCCCTGCTGTGTAATCCCAATGTAGTGTGTGTTAACAATGCACAAAAGAGCAGTGTTAGTGCATTTCCTCTGAGGAGGAGATTCCAGCCCGTCATAAATATGCCCTGACATTCCTCTGCATTGAGTACCATGCTGCTCCTGGAGACTGGATTCTTTCAGAAGCTAGGGAATCTCTGCTTGAGTCCCCTGCTGCAAACACCAGTCAAGATTCCCCAGAAGAAAATGAGAAGTGAGTGGAATAAAAATGAATACCAGTATGCAGTTTTTAAAAATGCACACAGAGAGTGGTGTTTTAATACTAAACTGTAATATTCAGACACACACACCCCATCTCCCAAGCTATGAAGTCATCTGTGCAGTTGTTTTAGTTAGTTACCAAAGAAATTGTGATTAATGGCTTTTTTGTTAATTAAAGTAGAGAATAAATCTCTAGGCAGGCATTGTTTGTCTTTTATTGCTTACCTAACACAAATATGATTTGCAGCTAAGTGCCCGTTGAGGTCAATGCCACAGGGGACATTTTCCAGGCTCTGACTTGCAGCTTTATAGTTTTGTGGAGTAATTATTTCAATTAAAATGTTGCTTGGAGGCATAGTTTGAACAATGGTTTCACTGTGTGAACTGCGGCCGAGTCAGCTTTAAACTATGCTTTATTAAGCTGGCTTGTTGCAATCAGCTGTAGTTAGGATTAAGCACAGTTTAGGTTTATATTAACTTCTGACATGATAAACCATGGTGCATCATGTCAAGAATAAGGCACATCAAACCTCAGGCTCATGCTTTCACCTTCCTTTTTATCATACTGGAGGGGGGGGGCATGAGCCCAAGACTTGCTGTGACTTTCTTGACACAGTAAACCATGATTTATTACCATGATGTCCAAGCTGACCTATTGATTTGACCAACCATTAAACCTTCAACACATTCACTGATTCCTTTCAGAACTAATTAAGGATTAGATATGTGCTGTTCTTTCAAGTACTTTCACCTGTTTAATACTATGTAAAACAAGTATCAGACTGCAGCTCTGTGCAGACTTACTTGGGAGTAAGGCCCATTGAACTTTCTTCCAAGTACGTGTGTTTAGGGTTACGCTGCAAATACAGAGCTAAATATTGCACTACAGCCTCATGTAAGCTTAGGCTGACCTGCCTCCTTGTTGCAAAGTTCCCTTAAAAGAGGTTCTAAACACATGTTGACATTGCAAAGACGAGTCTGAAGGGAAGCAGAGCATTTCTGTAATATATTTGAGCAGGGAAAGCAACCTGCGGGCCTCTGTCCCTTCCTCACAGCAAAGCCTCTCCTCCTAAGGGCACCAAGCTATTGCATATGGCTGCTGTATAACATATATTTTGGTGCTAAGTCATGGTAGTTGTTTTGTCTTCATCTTTCTCATGAAAATGAGATGGAAGGATTTTAATATTGGTTCATTCTTTTGAAGGATGCCAGTTAACTTTAGCATTTCATTTGTTATCTAGTTAATGGCTTTAACATATTTATTTTTGCTGATCTGAGTAAATTTCCTGCTCTGCAAGTTATTTCTGTCTTTCTACAATTTCCATATCAAAAGTGGCCTGGTCTTGTGATTCTCGAAAGTCAAACTTCTGCTAGGAAAACAAAAGTATTTTAATTCAAGAATGATGTTGCCGCACACGAAGATTAAATTTCAGTACATTAAAATTACCTGCCATTTGAAATCTCAATGAAACCATCCTTTACTTTGTGAATTTGCCATTTTCAGGAGCTTAGAGAAGACAACATCATATTAATGGAAACAAAGACAATGCTGGAAGAGCAGCTGATGATCGCAAGAGCTCGTGGTGATAAATTGCATGAAGCTGAAAAGGAAAACTTGCAGCTGAAATCCAAGCTTCATGACATAGAGCTGGTATGGTTATCAACGGGAATTTTCTTTTAAAAACTAATTATTATCATTTTTGAGTGAGAGCTACGATAATACACGTCTTTCCTCCAGAATGAAATGCCCAGTTCTTCAGCCCTGAGGGCCAAATATTCTCCCGCCAATGATATCATGGTCATGCTGGGGATTCTCCCCGTGATCAGTTTGGCTGGAGAGACTATAGCTCCCCACATGCAGCAGGATGAAAAAATTGCCCATCGTTGTCTTTAGTACATAGCAGCCTTTGTTAGGTATAAATGCTAAGTCTCCAAGCTGGATTATTGTTATGTCTTTCTGTGTTGCCCCTTCTCCACTAGGACAGGGATACGGACAAGAAGAGGATTGAGGAGCTGCTGGAAGAGAATATGGTGCTGGAAATTGCACAGAAGCAAAGCATGAATGAGTCTGCCCACCTGGGCAGGGAACTGGAGCAGCTGTCAAAGAGCACAGATCTCTCTGATAGTAAGTGACATGGGGTGGTTTGGCACATTGCTGCCGGCCCATTTTTTGTTTTTATTCTGGTTTAGATACACATAATGGAGGCTTCCCCAGTCTCTGTTTGTATCTAGGTCCTCTCTCATACATCTTTTCCTTTTCAATATTTTTTTTAAAAAAAACCAGGCCATCTCTGGCATTGGGCAAGGTGAAGCAGCTTCCCCCAGGTGGCAAATTCTGAGCTTCTGTAAAGACTAGCTAATTGGCAATTATGATGCTCATTATCTTTTACCAGCTTGGGTGAGGCACTATTTGAATCTTCTGCCTTGAGCACCAAAACATATCAGGCCATGTCTGCTTGAAAGGGCGACCAGAAGCACACCTTACAGTGTCTTGCCAGTTTTTCAGCATTTTACAGTAACACATCTTGCTGCTGGCAGAAGCACTGACTATTTAATTAATAACTTTCTGAATGATGGATCTTCTTGGATGATGGCCTAATAGAAATGCCTCTGGTTCTGTAGGTAGCCAGATGCAAACATCTGTGCGTGATTTATAAAGCAGTTAATTTCAGGTGCTGTTAATATAATATTAAATGGGGGAATCTGTTCTTTTATACCCATAGTTTCTCACTAGCTTTCTCTTCTGCTAGTGATCCAGTGGGCTGATTACATATGTAATGCTGATTCCCTTGAAACCACTGTGCATAAATTTTGTTAAATAACAATTATCTAAGGAGGTAATGAGCCATTGGGAGGGTGTGCCCCCACCTGAGGCGATTCTTCTGCTGTGAAATTTCCCAACGTTTGAGACAAAATGATTGTGGATGTTATTACTGTGAAATTCCTTTGAGATACTTTATTGGATTGTGATTCATAAATGGAATTTTAAAGGCAAATAAAATAGTGAGTCAATAATGCTGCATAAAGATATACATGATCACCAGTATCCTTAATAACAAATCATAGTAAATAGTAATATGTATCTTGCTAGGATTTATTTGTTTTTAAGGATATTGATGACAATGTGTTTGACTTAAAAATATATTAAAGGAATAATTATCTTCCTTTAAATCAATTCCATTTAAATTACATCTTCTGTACTCAGCTGATCAGTTGGTTATAGTAATCAATTAAAAAACTGTTTTTATGAATGAAAAGATGAAATAATTTTGCATGGTGTTTTAGAATGAAAGGGCACATAATTCTCAGAAGTGATAGAGCTCATCTTTTGAGGAGAAGGTGCTTCTCCTTTCCCCTCTTGTTTTTAAAGAGTTGAGTATTGATACAAGTCAGCTGATTACACATGGGGTTAATCCTGGATATAGATGCAGGCGTACAAATGTGCTACAGTCTTGTATTCTGAATGTTATATTTCAACAGCAAGGAAGTCTTTTGTCTTTGAACTGAACGAATGTGCATCAAGTCGCATCTTGAAGCTCGAAAAGGATAACCAGAGTCTGCAAAATATTATCCAAGAGCTCAGGGATGCATCGGTAACCTCTGAAGAGAGTAGCCTTAAATTTGTGGAGCTACAAAATGAGAACCAGCAGCTTGGCCAAAAGGTAATTAACAAAACATTAACTGAGCGTACCAGGGGCTGTTTGCCACCTTCTCCTTTTTTGTTCTTAAAGGGATTGGTATTGATCCATTCTCTCATAGCAAGATTATTCATTTTCCCTGCTAGGAAACCCAGTACGGTGCTAGTGTGAGCAAGGAAAGAGTCTTATCTTGGACCTTGAAGAGCAGCTGCCAATCAGAGAAGACATTATCAGACAAGGTGGATTAGTAGTCCTGACTTGGTTTAAGGGAGTTTCATTCATGTTCGCACGAGTAGCACAAAACTCTCCGCTAGATAGATGTACAGTATTTAAGACGTTATGGGGCTGATGATGAATCCTTGATAGTCTCTGGCTGGTAAGGTAAAGGGGTAAAGGGGCCCCTGACCATTAGGTCCAGTCATCACCGACTCTGGGGTTACGGCGCTCATCTCGCTTTATTGGCCGAGGGTGGCATACAGCTTCTGGGTCATGTGGCCAGCATGATTAAGCCGCTTCTGGCGAACCAGAGCAACACACGGAAACGCCGTTTACCTTCCCGCCGGAAGGTAATCTACTTGCACTTTGATGTGCTTTCGAACTGCTAGGTTGGCAGGAGCTCTGGCTGGTAGCTCTTGACAATTTAACTTTCATTAATTCACTTAAGCCTTCACTATATGTCAGAGTTACAAACAAACCATGGGTATCGAGCCAAATTGCTTTAATTTTTCAACCCCAGTGTCTTCGAGAAGAAGCAAGCAGATTAAACAGACATTTCCATTGAATTTCTGGTCTCCCCAGTGGAAGAATCTTGTTATTGCAGTTATTGCCACAACGGATTTATATTCCAGCCTTTGGCAAAACATCCCCCAGGGAGCCACTTCTAGATGTTAAATGATCTTCTCTACATACAAGGCAGGGCTGCTTTATCTAGACATTTCCTGCAATAGTGGCTGATACACATTTGTAATCTGCCATCCCTTTGCCAATTTCTTTTCTATAACTGAGGGCTTCCCCTAGGCATCTGTCTGGCTGCTGTGCAAACAAGATGCTGGATGAGCCACTGGCCTGATCCATCTATCCGGCTGTTCTCATGTTAGTCCAAGTCCATTGGAGACATCCAGACCTCTGTTCAGATGGAGTAGAGAGATTTTGTATAAAACATAAAATCATCTGAGGTTGACTCACCAGCTACATTCAAACTTCACACTGAACTGTAGTTTAGTAGTTTGATATGAACAAGGCTCATATACTCTGCGTGGCCATGAGAAGACAAGAAGCTTCCTCTTCCATTTTTAACTGCAGTTTAGCATTAGCATCTATTCTATCTGTAAGCTGCCTTCAGTCCCTGTCTGGGGAAAAGACAGGATATAAATCAATATAACAACAACAACAATGTCCAAACCTAGACAAGCTGTGGTTAATCATAAGGATGGTTTACTAAAACAAGTCTATTTCAAACCATGATTTATGAAATTTGCTTGTTTCGGTAACTTCTAATTATGACCAGCAGTGGTTTAGGCATAATGCTAAACTGTGGATAATTGATACAAAAGCAAAAAACTTCTGCTCTCCTCTTGCTGAGCCAGGGGAGGTGAGAGCACATGAGCCAACAGCTTCTTCATGTAACCACATTAAGTCCAAACGTAGCCATTAGCAGGGAAAAGGGGGAAATGCTTTCATTGCGTAGAGATTACCTAAATTAGCCAGAAGCTTGGCCAACCATACCAGATGGCAGCAGCTGTTTCCAGTGCTTAACATTTTGCATCCACAGACCTCTTCCTTAAAGAATTCTGCTGGATATTCTACAGGACAAAATCAATTTATTTTAATTATCCTAAAGGCTATGGGTCCAATGTGTTGAGATATTCCAGAACCTGGTCAGGCTGTAGTGAATATAAAAAATAATCCATTTGTAAGGCTGAGTAGTTATTTTGCCAGACAAAGCAGGTGGTGTTTGTTATGTTGATGCTGGAGTGAGCTGGTAATGTTGGATTGGCAATTGGCTGGATTAGAATCAGAAAAATTGGGGGGGGGGGGTTTCCTATCTCTCTCTCCCCATCCCAGTTTATTTTAATTTTACATTAATTAATTGGAGAGGATGGGGAGCATTAGAAAAGATGCATTTTAATTAAAACATTAACAGCAGAATTGTATAAAATGAACGAGAGCTTACTCTTTTAAAGCCCTTTGAGCAGGGGTTTCCAATCTGTGGTCTTGTGGTCTGTGAGCTTCATTCAGATGGTCCCCACCATGCCTGTGAAATTGTGAATGAAGATAGGCAAGGGCACACCTATCTCCTTAAATATTTGTATTGATTTTTAATTGTTTTTACTGCTTCTTTTATTGTATTTTATTGTTTTACAATTTGCTTTCTATGGAATTACAGTTGATACAACAGGCAAGACATCATTGTGTGGTCCACCAAGATCTTCAACAAGTGCCTATGGCAGGAGGTGGGGGAGTTTAGGGAACCCCTTGCCTCACAGTTAGATAGAACATTCTGTCACAGAAACCCTTCTTTACTTATGCCAATACCATTGCAACATTGCCTGGACTTCTTCTGCTACTTTAGCAGTGTGGGGATGAGCTGGACCATCCGAGTTCCCACATGGCTGCCTTAATATGACAAAAGGGGGGCTACAGTTGTGCCGTCTAGATTGTGTCCAGAGTAGAGGTGTAGAATTTCTGGAAATTTTGAAACCATGGGAGGGTAAACATGTTTTGTTTTGCTTTTAAATCAGCTGTTGCTGTCGTGGAAATATAAAAACTGAAGGTTTGCCCTGATTGAAACAAGCTTCTCTACCCTTTCACAAGCAAAGGAACCACTTCTTCCTTCTCTCGTGAGAATGGCAAAAATGCATCTTGCTTGTGTTTGAGAGTTTCCATCTCAGTTTTTTGGGTGAGGACTTGCCTGTCCTCAGTGTAACTGTAAAGGAATTAATTGTAATCATCGGACACTGTATATAGTCTTACATAACAGTCTTCCTGTTACATAGTTTTTAAGTAACATTTTGAGGGATAATAATAATAATAATAATAATAATAATATATTTATACCCCGCCCATCTGGCTGAGTTTCCCCAGCCATTCTGGGTGGCTCCCAACAGAATTAATGATGATAATAATAATAAAAGATAAAACATCAGACATTAAAAACTTCCCTAAACAGGGCTGCCTTCAGATGTCTTCTAAAAGTCAGTTGTTTATTTCCTTGACATCTGATGGGAGGACATTCCACAGGGTGGGTGCCACTACCGAGAAGGCCCTCTGCGTGGTTCCCTCACTTATCAAAGTGAGGGAACTGCCAGAAGGCCCTCGGCGCTGGACCTCAGTATCCGGGCTGAACAATGGGGGTGGAGATGCTCCTTCAGGTATACTGGGTCGAGGCTATTTGGGACTTTAAAGGACATCACCAACACTTTTAATTGTGCTCAGAAACACACTGGGAGACAATGTAGGTCTTTCATTTTGTTTTGAACATTTCATTCACCATTCTGAAAGAAAATATTCCATAATACAAAAAAATTTCAAGGGGGGAGGGGAAAGGCTTGGGGAAAAAACTGTTTTTTTCTGGGTCTCCAGATCTCCACACCAGAGCACTGAATGGGGAACTCTGCTAAGGCAGTGACACATTTGAGGCCTACCCCTTCTGTCCCTGAGAACTTGTGATACAGTTCAAAGAGCTGCAATTTTTCAATAAGAGCAGACCCAAGAATCCTGGTGCACACAAAATGGGTATTTTTGTCCATTGTCCATTGGATAATCCTGGTTTCTGTATATAACATGTAACTTGGCTGATAGGGATGAAAACATCTAGTTTGGGGCATGACAGACACTTAAAGGTTAAAACAATTTCAGTTTCCAGCACTGAAGTTCTACTGCAAACTGAAGTGAGACATTCAGCAACCTTGCAGAAGTAAAAGGTTGCGTTGTTTATAAATACAGAGATAGAGACCCAGTTTGTCGAAACTTGTTGCTTTAAAAAAAGTACCGTTGAGTGGACAAATGTGCAAGTATTTACATTCTCATAATGTCTTTGCATGTGAACAATGTTTGTTCAGGCTTGCATATGATATATTGTGGTAATTTTCTCCCATGCAGATTGAAAAGCTGCAGAACCAGATTGAACGGGAGAAGCAAAGTAATCAAGACTTGGAAGCTTTAAGCGAGGAGCTGCTAAAGGAGAAGGAACAGCTTCAGGGCAAGATGGAGACCTTGAAAGCTGACAAAGAGAGACAGGTGCTTGCAGATGTAACCCAGAGGCATGTTTGCTTGGTTGGTTGACTGGTTGGTTATTTAGAAAGACTTCTTGGCCCACAAATATAAAAAGGCACCAAAACTTCTTCCTGCCAGGAAATTAGGGCTCCGCAGGATCAAAGCATGAAGCATTTCAACTTATCCATCACAGTCCACATGGGTGTCTCCACACCTTCAGGTCACCTTGACTTGCCAGTTTAGAGGGAGTGTCAAGAGGAAGTAACTCAATTTTCATACTGCCAGAAGCAAAATTGAGTTGCATAAGCAGTTGTGTATGGATCAAATTTATAAAAATGCTGAAAGAATTGCATCACCTTTGCTGCTGTTCTGAATAGCTTCAAGAATTCATTGAAACAACGAAAACTGCCTTATACCTTATATTGATCCATCTAACTCAGTTTTGCCTACCCTGACTCCCATAACAGTCCACAGGAACTCTCTTGCAAAGTGACAAAACCGAAATCCTAGGTATACCTAAGTAAACAACTCCCATTGTGCTTGCTTAATCGCATCGTCTGTTTGAGTAGCGTAAGTATTTGGGCAGAATAAGGAGTAAACACAACTCAGTTCAAGGTGGTGTGGAAATTTCCACAGAAAACCGAAACACTCTGCTTCCCCAAGGTAGATTGGGATATCCCAGACAGATATCTCAGGCCATCTCCTCCACAACTTTAATCCTGCATTGGGAATGTCTTGATGCTGCCACTGCCATGCTCTGGCACCCAGGGACCTCATAGCACCTCCAGCCAAACCTAAAATGTTTGGCCTACAGTACTCGTCACAGAGGTGCTAACTCCTTGCTAGCAGGACAGCGTGTCCATAGTGCTATGAGATTTATTTTTATTTACTTATTGAATTTATATACCACCCTATACCTGGAGGTCTCAGGGCAATTGAAATGACACAAAACAGAGCAAAAAGATTATTGAACCAGGTGTACAGTATTTATACTCAAGTATGGGTGGCATTGTGGTCTAAACCACGGAGCCTAGGGCTTGCTGATCAGAAGGTCGGCGGTTTGAATCCCCGCGATGGGGTGAGCTCCCATTGCTCGGTCCCAGCTCCTGCCAACCCAGCAGTTCAAAACCATGTCAAAGTATAAGTAGATAAATAGGTACCACTCCAGCGGGAAGGTAAACGGTGTTTCCGTGTGCTGCTCTGGTTCGCCAGAAGCGGCTTAGTCATCCTGGCCACATGACCCGGAAGCTGTCTGCGGACAAACACCGGCTCCCTCGGCCAGTAAAGTGAGATGAGCGCCGCAACCCCAGTCATTCGCAACTGGACTTCACGGTCAGGGGTCCCTTTACCTTTACCTTTGACTTCTTGAAATAATGCAACTTCATCATGCATCTCATCTGTTTGGTCTAGGTTGTGTTTCTTGAAAGGTGAATTCCCAAGGGCTTGTTTGCAGCTTTCTGGTACTGAATGCATGGGAAGGTACCATTACGTTCTTGTCCTTCTTGTGGACTTCACTTAGACATCTTATTAGCTACTGGGGGAGCAGAATGCGAGACTACTTGAGCTTTGGGTTGGATGCAGCAGGGCTTTTTGTGTTTGCCTAATACACCATCTTTTTTTGTTTCTGAATGTAGATAAAAGACCTAGAAAAGGAAACGGACCATCTCAATCAAGTGGTTTTGTCCCTGAGGCAGAGGTCTCAGGTCAGTAGTGAGGCCAGAGTGAAAGACATTGAAGTGGAAAACAAAGTACTCCATGAAACGGTTACAGAGACCAGTAGCAAGCTCAGCAAGCTGGAGTTTGAGAAGAAGCAACTGCAGAAGGACTTTGAGCAGGTTAAAGAAAAGGTGGAAAGAGTAGAGGAAATGGACAAGGAGCTTCATCGACTAGAGAGGGAGAACGAGCAGCTCACAAAGAAAGTTGCTGCCATGAAGATCACTACGGAGAAAGTTGAGGTTCTTGAGGAACAAAATGGGAACTTGGAAGTGGAGAACAGGAAGCTGAAAAAATCCCTGGACACCTTGCACAATGTTTCTGTCCGGCTAGAAAGCCTAGAAAAGGACAACAAGGAGCTAGATGAAGAGAACCTGGAACTCAGGAGAATGGTGGAGACAATGAAGTTTGCCAGCGCAAAAATGGCCCAGATAGAAGCAGAAAATAAAGAACTGGAAAGAGAGAAAGAAGAGCTCAGGAAAAATGTAGAGATGTTAAAGATTCTGATCAAGAAATCGGAACGGCTGGAGCTGAGTTACCAGAGTGTGAACACCGAGAACCAAAGACTTCAGCAGATTATAGAGAACAGCAGCAAGAAAATCCAGCAGTTGGAGAAGGAACTGGAAGGCACTGAAAGTGAGAACCAAACCCTCCAGAAAAATTTAGAGGAGCTGAAGATCTCAAATAAGCGGTTGGAGTGGCTGGAGAAGGAGAAGAAACTGTTGGAGCAAGAAGTGTCCCAGCTGGATAAAGACAAGAAGATACTGGAGAAGGAGACAAAAAGACTTTGGCAACAGGTGGAGCTGAAAGATGCTAATTTGGACGAGAACACTGCAGAACTGGCAGCAATGGAGAAGGAAAAGAGAACACTAGAAAGAGAACTGGCTAGGTCCAGAGACTTGTCTCATAAGATGAAAGAATTTGAAAAGGACAATAAAGATCTCCTAAAGCAACTTGCCATTGACAAGAGAACACTAGCTACATTGAGAGAGGTGAGTACATGTAACATTAGTGTCTTTGTCCGAAGTGTGCATTTTAGCATGTAGCATATTAGAACGTTTTATACAGGGTGAGTCCTTTAAAAGGGGTCCCATGGATACAGAGTACAGTGGTACCTCGGCTTACATACGCTTCAGGTTACAGACTCTGCTAACCCAGAAATATTACCTCGGGTTAAGAACTTTGTTTCAGGATGAGAACAGAAATCGTGCTCCGGCGGCGTGGCAGCAGCAGGAGGCCCCATTAGCTAAAATGGTGCTTCAGGTTAAGAACAGTTTCAGGTTAAGAACGGACCTCCGGAACGAATTAAGTACTTAACCTGAGGTACCACTGTACACATATTCCATGGGGCCTCTTTTAAAAGACTCACCCTGTATATAACGTATATCCAATGCAACTGAGGGAATTAGGGGGACACTATGTGGCCATTTGGAGCATAACATCTTGTCATGGCCCAGAGAGGGGGCTGAATTCTCATTACCATTTCTGTTGACCTCAGGCTTGTTGGAGCCACTTTTCAAATTTTTTTACTAGAACCCCAAGGTCTGCCAACCAGAGCCGGGTAGAAAAGGCATTAGACAACCCAAAATAATTGAAGAGCACCGTGACCCCTAGAAACTTGTTATCTGCAACTGAGCTGAGCTGAGCTTATAGTCCTTTCCCCCCAGTGTCTACTTTGGTTAGCTTTCTTCATTGCAGCAGCCTAATGTAAATGAACAAAGTTCATTTGTTGTTGTTCATTTTTGAACTAATGGAAGTTCAGATCCTGATCTGCCTTCTCCTCACCCCCACTATAGGTGATGTGCACTCTCCTCTGTGATCCACAATTTAGATTTTGTAGAGTTATTAGTAAATCACTGCCTAGTGCCGACCTGATTTCTGAATCACAGAAGAGAGAGTCATATTTCGCAGGCAGGTTGTGATTTCAAGAACACAGAACATCGAAGTCGTAAATCCTCAGCAAAGGCTTCTTCACAAATTAAGGCCTGGTTCACACAGTTAAAATAGGCTGGTTCCAGAGTGACTTTGCTCAAACACCTGCTAGGATATTAAGCCAAGTTAAACATGAGCCTTTGGCTTGTACACAGAGCCTCTTTGATTCCTCTTGTACTGTGGCCCACAATTGAACTGGGAAGTTCCCAGTTATCCATATCTGTTTGTTTCATCCAAACTGACAAATTTTAGAACAAGCCAAGATACCAAACCATACTTCAGAGTTCTTATTATATCAACTGTTTCTGAAGCTGGTATCCATAGTCTGCCAGTGCAGACTAAATGGGAAACTATGGTTATTTAAGGACTATTTGGTTTAACTGTGGTTTATCACAAAGGTGCCCTATGTGTTCCAAATGCAATTCTTCATCCAGTGCAATTTTTTATCTTGAGAAGTATTGTACAGTAGATGTCATAGTTTTTCTTCCCAATAGTGACAACTGTGCAAGAAAAGTCTTCTGTGAAGTGGCCCAGAGGGCTTCCCAAATCTAATATTGTTGTAAAGAAAAGCAGTTATGTTGTTGCTTTCACTGTTAGGCTACTAATTAAGTTGGTCCTTATTTGCAGGATTTGGTTCTTGAGAAGTTGAAGAGCCAGAGATTGTCTAGTGAGATGGACAAGTTGGACCAGGAACTGGAGAAGATTGGATTAAATAAGGAGCTGCTCCTAGAGACTGATAATGGCAACAATGACAAGTGAGAAGATCGCCTTTTTGTCTTGGAAGGATTTCTGGCACATTTTGCCTTAATTTCCCCTCATTACAATTTCCCAGGTTCTTTGTGCTCATGTCAAAAGTTTGTGGGATTTCTCTGGTGCTCCTATTTGTTTCTTCTAAAGGAACTAAATTACCACATTACTTGTTTCTAAAAGAAGCTTCTATAGGTAGATGAAAGTCCCCTATCAGTCCTAAAGTTACTGTGAGGTTGACTTTCTCTTCAAACAAGGCTGTCAACAGCGATGCCAGCTGCACAGATGTAGGGACATCTTGCAAGCCATAGTGAATTAAATATGAAGTTTTAGCTTCACTGAGTTTCAGTGTGATCGGGGATTTACTTACTGTAAATATTGCAATTTTGCCTAGTAATGGTTCTGCTTTCCACTTGCTATTTGAATTATTCTCAGGAAGATGTGGATACATGGCATCTGCAAAAATATCTATAATGTAGTAGAATGGCATGAGCACAAGGATTTCCCTTTATTTTGCTCTCCCTGCTGAAGAGTCTCTTCCAACTGCACTGTTTACCATAGGTGGCAGTACTACTGTATGTTTAACCCAGTGTGGGGCCCAAGTAGGTCCTCCAGGTCTCCTTTTGTGGCCCACCAGACCATTTGGGCCAAGGCATGAACACCTGCCCTACATGTGTAGCATCGCGTATCACATCAAGTACCATTGTGACTGGCCCCAAAGGGGTTTTCTCTGTGCTTTGCAGATTGCCAGGGCTGACAGAGTGCTGTGTACAAGGGCTTCACAAGCCCCAACTATCAGCTTGCACAGCACTTGAGAAGAGCTTGCAAACAGAGATGCACAGGGGGTTGTAAGCCCCAGTGATCAGCTGATCACCAGGACTTGCAAAGGGCTATGGCTTTGTCTACACGGTTTGATTTCAAGCTTGACATCATTGTGATGTCAGGAGATTGAAAGGAGCATAGCTTCACCCACCTGTCAAACTTGGCCCTGGGGGTTGTAATGCAAGAGATAAGGATCTGGCCCACTGCCCATACCCAGTTCTCTATTCCTGGTCTAGCAGCATGCATCCATGGATGCCAGTATACAAGCCCCCAGTATACAAGTCCCCATACAGCATCCTTTTACGCATGTCCGGATGTTTTTATTCTAATTCTAACCCCATAAGTAAAGGTAAAGGGACCCCTGGCCATTAGGTCCAGTCGTGGCCGACTCTGGGGTTGCGGTGCTCATCTCGTTTTACTGGCCGAGGGAGCTGGCGTACAGCTTCCGGGTCATGTGACCAGCATGACTAAGCTGCTTGTGGCGAACCAGAGCAACGCACGGAAACGCCGTTTACCTTCCTGCCGGAGCGGTACCTATTTATCTACTTACACTTTGATGTGCTTTCGAACTGCTAGGTTGGCAGGAGCAGGGACCAAGCAACGGGAGCTCACCCCGTCATGGGGATTTAAACCGCCGACCTTCTGATCGGCAAGTCTTAGGCTCTGTGGTTTAACCCACCACGCCACCCGCGTCCCTAACCCCATAAGTACATCTCTGCAAATGAGAAAGTAGGATACTGATGGAAAGTCAGTGGTTCTGTGGGCTCTTTTCTAATATGCAGGAAGAATGGTTGAAACGCCTTAATAAGGCAGAATTAGTTCCTTTCTCATTACTGATATGGTCATTGTCTCACAGGAAGTATAAGATACTGGAAAGCAAAACTGAATGTGACCTAAAGACAACGCTATGTGATAAAGAAGAGAAAATTGCTGTATTGGAGGCCCAGCTGCAAGAGTTTCTCACCTTGAATCAGCAGTTACAGAATGAACTAAACACTGTAAGAGGGAAACCTTTGCTTCATAATATAAAGGGTGAAACTGCATGTTATGAAAAATTGATTATTTGAAAAGCATGTGGGCCACTTTTTATTCTGGAGAAAAGCAAACTGTTGAGCCCTCCTGTGGAAGGTCATGAAATTGTACCCAATGCACACCAGTTAACTGCCTATCATGCCCCCACCCCTGGCTGCTCTTTGCCTTCAAACATGCTGTGTGCAGGGGCAAATAGCAGCTGTGTGTGTTTGTGTAGTTCCATAGAAAACCCATGTGGGGCCCTGACTGGAACACACCATAGGTGAGTCTTCAAAATAAAAGTGTGTATCAACAAGAAGGTTGGTACAAAGTTTAGATGTTTCATTAACTTGCATTATAGGGTTTCTTCAATCTCAACTCAAGAAAGATGGCCTAATTTATGCCAGTGTAAGTTACACTGGCTTGATTTACCCAGTTCCAAACTCCGTTCAGGAGGAATTTCATTTGCATTGCCCTTTTTTGCCAGCTAAATTATGCTGAGATGCTAGGTCATATGACTGAGCTGAAAGAGGTTTGGAAGGGGTGTAAGTCTCTCTTTGTCCTTTTCTGCCTGCATCACGCCCCTGTAACCCACCTTTTTTTAATACATTGAGTTAATTTTTGCAGTCTCAGTGATTTACACTGGTATATCTTCAGCTTAGCTAGGAAAGCTCAAGATCTGTTGAATTCAAGCTCTCACATCCCAACAGATTTTGGGTTTGGATCATAATAATCCCCAAACTGTGTGCCGGGGTGCATTAGTGTGTTTTGAAATGGATTAAAGGCTCCTGCAAGATCAAAGCATATGCTCACAAAGGAGTGACTTCTGCTGAGGGTAACTAACTCTACTCATAGCTGTCAACCATCCCTTATTTGGCGGGAAAGTCCCTTATCCCAGCACTGTGTCCCGCTGCTGTCCCTTATTGATGATGTCCCTTAAATTTCCCAGGTTTCAAAGGAAGCAGCTCCTTTCCCTCCCTCCCTGCCAGCCAGGGAGGAGGGAGGCTCCAACTGTGTTGCTTGGCTGCGTTGCTCACCCAATAAGGAGTCTAAGAACGACTGGGGGGGTGGAGCTTGCATGCCTTGTGCCGATAAAATTGGCCGCATTGCCTGGGGACTCGCCTTTGCTCAGCGCTTCCCAGCGGAGGGTTGACGGTGGTTTTCCTTGCTGCATCCCCTTTGCCGGGTTGCTGCGCTGTGGGAACCACCGCTTGAGGCTTTGTTTGGCTGCTGGCTGGGCTTTCTGCCTTTGGCTCGGAGGGGCTCAGAAGTTGAACATACCTGTGCTTGGAAAATCCCTTATTTTGGATGCGGATCCCTTATTTTCAAGGCTGCTGGTCCCTTATTTTCAAATCTGTAAGTTGACAGCTATGACTCTACTCCATTTATGAATGAGATGTGGTTGGATCATCTGATCACTCCAATACAGGGAGACCAAATTACATGTCCTCAGAGGAGAGTGCCCATTGATTTGCTGAATGAGTCAAGTCCCTAGCTTGTTTCCTTTCCATCAAGAAGTATAGCAGTGGCTCAAAAAGGAAAGTGGGTTAGGCATTTCTGAGGGCAAATAATTTTGGGTTCCATCACTAAAGAAGTCTTGTTTTCATCTTCATACCTAAAAGTAAAGCTTTTGGGATGTAAGAGCAAAGCGTCTCTCTTGTTTTAATTTATAATAAATGTTGCCTCTCCTATAAGAAGTTTGGGAAATACTGACCTAATGAAGTCTTTAAAAACACAAATTATTCAAGAGATAGATTGCGGAAATTCAAGACCCAGAAAGCAATGACAGGTTGTTATATCCAATGTACCATCAGTGTAAAAACACTTGAAAACAGGTTTCCATATACATTGCAATGTTTGGGTTAAAAACCTCACAAATATTAATAGAAAAAAGCAATATAAAGTAGTAGTTAAAGTGATGAATGCTGAATGTTTTCAACAGATATATATGGTTGTGATTATCTGTTTTTTGATAATGGGTTTAGGGTTAGGCTAAGTTACTCCTGTAGACTTCACAGTTCTGTTTATTGGCATATTTTACAAACAATGTGTATTACAGATGAGGAGGGACTTTGAAGGTGTCAAGCAGAAGCAAGAGGATGGAATCCTTCTGCAGAATTCATTGAAGCAGCCCAATGAAAATTTGGTTTCCTGTCATCAGACAAAGGAAAAGTGGGAAAAGGGACACAAAGAAGCAACAATGGAGCTTCTGAAAGTAAAAGACAGAGCTATAGAATTGGAAAGGAATGTAAGTTTTGTCCTTTACTGGGTTAGCTTATTATGTTCATCCTATGCGATGCAGTGTAGCCAGTGTTGCACAAAGGTGAATTCACTTAGTGGTATACTTGTTCCAGCAAAACACTTTGCTGACGGTGGAACGTTGTTGCACAAGAGACATGCATAAGCAGGTTGCGGATAGCTTTGTTTCACGATGCATCGCTCAATCTGTTGTGCAACAAGTTTCTGCAAGTGCAGCTGTTGCATTGGGTTCTTCTGTTGAGCAGCTTTAAAACTCACCTGTCCACGTTAGTGTAAGAGTCCTGGCACTAGCAGACAGATAATGTTGGGTACAGCCCTTTGATGGTTGATTTCTGTGTATGTATGCTGAGAGGGAACCACGTGCCAATTACACAAGCCTGTGGCTCTGAAAGCTCTGACATGTTTTCCTATATGGAACTTCTCTCTGTAGGAAAATCATAATGTGTGGAGCATCCCTTATTTTATTAATCTGTTTAAAACATGTATCACTCCTCATTATGATAGCAATCCCAGAGTAGGTTACATTAAAAAATAATAATCAAAATACAACGTGTACAATGTAACATCATAAATAAATATCCCACGTTACTCTCAGTAACCAAAACTAAAATATTAATAGCAAAAAAGGCAGTAATGTTCAGCAAATTCCTGAGCAAAAAAAACTCATGAGATTTGGTACCAGCCATATCTCTGTGAGGAGCCATAACTGAGGGGCTACCCCTGAGAAGGTCCTTCCTCTGGTATGCATTTTCAGAATGCTTTCCCTTCATACTTTATGTCAGTCTTCTACAGTATTACACCTTCTCCCATACAGGGCTCAATGAGTATGCCTAAATAAGAAAGGAAGAAAGCCCTCCTTTCTTTTGCAGACACTCATTATTAAGGCTGGTGGTTTCCAAGCTTCCACTTACAGGCAACCCCTTCCATATTGAATGAATTGCCAAGGCATCCATGCATTTTGCAGAAATTGCTAGTGCACATTTGATGATGTTTGCGCACACTGTTGACACTGTATCGGAAGAATGAAAATGTGCCAAAACATACTCAGCACACCTTTGTTTGCATATTGGAGATGATCTGCATTGGTGGGCAATTCAAGAAACTGTCCTGACATTATAGACCTTGTTATGAGGACAGCCCTGATCAGCTTCCTAAGGGTCCCAGTTCTCTCTTGAACACAGTTTGAAACCATTGATTTGGGGGAAGAAGGATGAAAGTCCACTACCATTGCTGCTTCATTACCTGTATGAAAGTCTGGGATGTGGGGTACTTGCAACCACTATTTCCTGCTTCTTTCTTTAACATAGGCAGTATTGGCCCCACTTTAGGATCTATAACTTTAAGGGGCACTCATGAGCTGTTTGCTTGTGAAACATGGAAGACAGTGTCAGAGTTGCTCTGAAGAATCTGTAGCTACTGAATCTTTTTTTTGCCTTTTCATTTCTGTTTCTCCTATCAGAATGCAGCCTTACATGCAGAGAAGCAGCTTCTGAAGGAGCAGCTAAGACATTTGGAAACCCAAAACACCTCCTTCAACAATCAGATCCTGACACTACAGAAGCAAAATGCCTTCCTTCAAGAGCACAACACTTCCATGCAAACACAAACAGCCAAGCTCCAGGTCAGGAAAATCCCTACTGTGTACTTCTGCCAGAAACATTTTAGGTGGCTCAGTTTAAAATGGGATGGAATTAGCCAATTTCTAGCATCAGTCTTATCATTTTGAGTGTCAGTCTGATGGAAAAGAAAGATTACCCTCTCCTACAAGGTTGTGAGATGAATACATTGGTGTATGTTCAGGGAAATTGAGGTGTGTTTTGATTTTTATGGGCGTGATTCAGCTTATGACTTCTGCTTATGCAACAGGGCTTTCTCCCCTTTCCTCCCACCCCCGAAATTGGCACCACGGTAGTCAGGAGAACCCCCAGAACGGGGGGAGGAGAGGGAGGATCATTCCCTCTAGCAAGCTGAAATGTTTGTGCTAATGGAACAAGTGGAAAAGCACAACATTGGATTTCACCCTTTATTTGTTCTTGATTTAGTGCTGTTATGTAATTTGGAAAACTTAATGCATAGGGGGAAAACCGGATGTACTCCAAATATTGTTGGCCTCCATCTCCCATCATTTTGTGTGATACAGTTCTCGGCTCAAAAAACAAACAAACCCAAATGTGCTTAAACGTGGGCTTGTTGGCTGTTGAGTCAATCCATTCCTTCCCATTCCCACCAAAGGTAAACATTGGAGATCTGAGTTTGTTGTTAATGGATGTTATATTGCATGTTCTAACAATATCTAACAACAATATTTATTTTAAAAATGCATATATTAGGACAAGATACATTTAGAAAGACTTATATCGGGATTAAAATTTATTTTAAATATCCATTTTATGGTTAAAATACATATTTAAATTTGAGTTTTCATATTGATTTTTAAAAAAATGAAAATGAAGGACGGAATGGACTTGTGAACACACACATACAAGACTTGACACAATCCAGAGAGACAAATCCCTCCCTAGTATGTGTTCCACGGGGGATAGAATCCTGCCCTCCCCCCCAAACTCCACTCCTTTAATTTCCTCCCCAGCCCAGCTAGGAAGTATAAAATATTTAACAACGATTGCCAAATCAGGGTACAGTACTGATAAAATGCAATAAAAACCATGCAATCAGTATCCAGTAATCAATAAAGCAAGCAAGAACACATACATAATCAAATGACTCATTGCAAAGTGCAGCAAGACAAAGTCAACCAAAGGCTTGGGTGAATAAGTAGGTCTTCAATCGGCACTGAAAACTCAGAAAGGTCAACACAAATCACACCTGAAAAGGAAGGAAATTCCGCAGTCAGGGGGTGCCTGGGTCATTAATGCCTTTCTTCAGTTGCTCCATATTGATTCCCCTGTCAAGAGGACATTCACACTAGATCTTTGCATATCAGTAGGTAGGTATGAGAGAAAGGTTCTCTACCAGGCATTCAGTTCCAAAGTGGTGTAGCAATGCAAGCACCTTTTATATAATTTACCCCTGTGTGCTGATGAAACATTTCTTGTTTCTCTGAGAAACTTTTAGGTGGAGAACTCAGCCCTAAATTCCCAAAGTGCCTCCTTGATGGCCCAAAATGCTCTACTCCAAAACCAGCAGCTGACCAAGGAAAACGAATGTGACAATCTGTTGAAGCAGAAAGATCAGCTCAAGGCAGAATACGAGTCCCTCCTGCAAGACCATGAGCACCTGGCCTCGCTGCATGAGCGGCAGTCGACAGAATATGAAATGCTGATAAAACAGCACAGCTGCCTCAAAGCGCTCCACAAAAACTTGGATCTGGAGCACAAAGATCTGGGAGAAAGGTTAGCGGGTCTTGCATAGCCTCTTGGAATAAATGGGTTATTCACATCTGACGCCCCCCGGGGGATTTACCACAGGATGGGGTTGTAAAAAGGGTTGCCAACTTTAAAAAAAAAACCCTCACAAAAACTGGTCTCAGCCTTTACTTAGCAGTTTGCTCTGCAGACATTAGCAGATGATGTTTCCATGTAATGAAAAGCATCACTTGCAGATTTCAGCAGATCAAGCATCTGTTTAAAAGCACAACAACAGGCTGATCTGCACGTTGCCCCCCTGATGAGTTGGCAACCTTCTCAAGTTCCTTGTGTTGGAAGTATTGTATGTGCCAGTAGTTTCTCCTGTATCAGATGTTTGAAAATGTGTGTGTGTATATAAATTTCAATGTATATGGTTTAAGTACATGGACTAAACAAAAAAAAATCGATGTTATCCAGCCATAGATAAGAACTTTCAGGTCCTATCAATTTGAATCACAGAGAATTAGGCATGCAAGAGAGGTTCCTAACTTTGGTTGCATTGTGGCTTATGCAAATACATAAATTTACAATAGTCCACCAGAATCTGTTGACACAGAGAAGATAAATCTCTGAATCATGTTTTAATCGTGAGAAGCATTAAGGCAGAATAGCAGCCATTCTTTTATTTCTTTCCTGCAGATATAACGGCTTGATACAACACAAATCCAAACTGGAGGAGCTGGAAATGGTTTTGAAAACAGAAAAAGATGTTCTGCAGCAGGAAAAGAGAGCAAGTACACTAGTGACCGCGGAGAACCAGAAACTGAGAGAAGAGCTGGAAAGGTACACATCCTCAGAAATTATGCCAGCCCCTTTTACATGTTACTGGGCAGCGTGGTACATTCCAGATAATATTGGCCAGATAGAGATGCCTAGAGGGCTACATTCAGCCCATGGGATAAGGTTCACCACCCCTGCTATATTGGCCTCCCACAGGTTGGAATTCATTAACATTGGAGGACAGCACCTTAGCTTCCCCTGCTTTGGGATGGCATGGTTTATCCTGTATCATTGCTGGGGTGTATACAAACTTCTGCCCAAGTGATTGAGCCCACCTCATTGAAAACAACAACAACAACGGTAATAATTTTATTTATACTCCGCCCATCTGGCTGAGTTGCCCCAGCTACTCTGGGCGGCTTCCAACACCCATAAAAATAACAATAGAATGTCAAACATTAATAGTAACAATCAGATCCTATATAAAAAGTCACAATAATTTCAAAATAAACAGCCTACATCAAATAAAGCAATATTCAACAATCCACTAGAATCCAACAGTAAACAGCAAAATCAAACATCAGCAAATAAAAATTGAACAGTCCACACCCATCAGCTACAATAAAGAATTACCAATCTATAATCAAGAAAAATAACAGCAAATCACAATGCATAAAATACCACAAAACATACAAAGACCTTGCAAAAGGATCAAATTGAAAAACAAGGACACTCGACCCATAAAACTATCTTTAAAAACTATCCCTGAGCTACTCTCTTCCCAGCTGCCTCTGCTGTTCTCAAAGTCATGGTCTGGGAATGGCTTCTGGGGCTGGAGGGTGGGGCAAGGCAGGTGGAAAAGCCATTGCCTGCAGAAAGTCTCTCTCATCTCAGTTCGATATAAAAGGTGAAGGAATGCGGGTGGCGCTGTGGTCTAAACCACTGTGCCTCTTGGGCTCACCGATCGGAAGGTCAGCAGTTTGAATCCGCACAACGGTGGTGAGCTCCTGTTGCTCTGTCCTAGCTTCTGCCAACCTAGCAGTTTGAAAGCACACCAGTGCAAGTAGATAAATAGGTACCACTGAGGCGGGAAGGTAAACGGCGTTTCCACGCGCTCTGGTTTCCATCACAGTGTTCCATTGCACCAGAAGCGGTTTAGTCATGCTGGCCACATGACCCAGAAAAGCTGTCTGTGGACAAATGCTGGCTCCCTCGGCCTGAAGCGAGATGAGCGCTGCACCCCATAGTCGCTTTTGACTGGACTTAACCGTCCAGGGGTCCTTTACCTTTTTACCTTTTACCTATGTAAAAAACATAGTGTTTGCAAATACACTTCATATAGTTTAGGTATGGAATGTTTTGATAGGCTTTCCATTATACCATTGTCATTTTAACATGGATGATGATACTTTCTGTGTCTATGTTGTAAATTTTTTTCACCCAGTAATGTCCTCCTTCCCTAGTCATAGGCAAAAGTTGGGGGACATAATGCAGGATATTATATATCACAGGACTGAATGAACAACTGAAATTTGTGGGAGTATGAGCCTAGAAAATGCCAGTATTAAAAACACACACCCTCAAATGCTGCTCTGGTAATTATTTTGGGCAGGGCATAATTGTGCTTAAATGGAGTAGGATTAAGTTAAAACCTTGCTTTTGGAAAACAGAGGTACCATTGAAACTTGTAATCCCTCTCAGATTTTACTATTAGCAGATCTAATGCTTGACTAATTATTTGCTAATAGAAATAGACCTGCCTCTTTGTTTAGCTTTCAGAAACACTGTATTCTTACCCTTCAGCAGGACCAAGGTTTTAACTGTTCATTTCTGGTTTAAATTGCTGTTGGAGATCTGGACAGGGAAGCAGTGAGATGTTTGGCTTTTCCCATTTAGGGTTAATTTCTTGCACAGCAAGCTCAAAGCAGAATACGAGGGCCTTCACGTCCACACCAAGGAACTGAAAACCTCCTTGAATAGCTCCCAGCTACAGCTTAACCACTGTCAAGCTCGCTATGATGAGCTGAAGGAGCAGTACCAGACCATGGACATTTCCTTGACTAAATTGGACAACCACTGTGAGGTGAGATCTATGGACCAATGAAATACAGGTGGTTATTGTAGGCTCAGGAAGACTTTGCCAGTCCATAAATAGATGCTGCCTCATTCACAGGGGACCGCAAGCCATGGCAGATCACTCCCACTTCACTGCTCCTCTATGGTGCAAACAGGAGCAACAAACCACAATTAATGTCCAATCTGGGAGTTATGGCTTCTTTCACTCCAAGCGACTGGTAAGCCAAGAACAAACCTTGGCTTCGGATTGTCCTTTGTTTGGAGTGAAGCAAACAACAAACCCTGGTTCAGAACATACCGCGAAGCCCAGGAAGATGGATTGTTGCTAGCAAGGCAAAATGAAGCGAGAGTTATCTGCGTGTTTGTGGTAAATCATTTACCATGGTTTACTGTCATGTGAGAATGCAGCTGAAGGGAGAAAAATGTAGTGGCGTTGATTTGCACTTAAATGCCAGTAATTTGAAGGAGAAGCCCTGGTGTTAGGCTTGGGTTGCTGCCAAATCCTTAAAAAGTGAGAACAGAATGGGGTTGGGGAGCTAACCTCTTCCATGCCTTCATCTTTTCCTGTCTCATAACTGTTACTTGTTTTTTTTTAGCTTCTTTATTCCAGCAGGGACTCAGCTCCACAATGCACTTGAAAGCTCCCCCCACCTTGTTTTGTTAGGGTTTCAGCATCATCCAAGCTGGGTTATGCAGCCTGTCATACCTAGTTTCACTCCCAGTTAAAATCAATGAATGAATGGCAATGAAAGCAATAGGCTACCACAATATAAATGAGGCAAACAACCAGTAATTTATTTGAGTGAGACATACTTATGCATGTGCATCTTAGCACTGGTGGCAGTGGTTTGGCACTCGGTTATCTAACGGCCAAAGTAGCTGGTGAGCTTTGGGGTACAAAGGACCTTTGGCTCAGTGCTGTTTTATTAATGGTGAATAGACAAGCACAGGTAGGGGAACTTCACCTGTGATGTGTCTGTTGAATAGCTTCTGGCTCGCCTAAAAGGAAACTTGGAAGAAGAGAATCATCATCTCCTGAGTCAGATCCAGATGCTGAGTCAACAGAACCAAATGCTGCTGGAGCAGAACATGGAGAACAAGGAGCAATATCACGAGGAACAGAAGCAATATATGTAAGACTTTCTCTCCCCCCATTATTTATCATGTGGTCAGTGAGACTGTTATCAAAGCATGGCAATGAGGGTGCATGGAGACATCTAAGGGGATATCTGAGTCCCTTGGGACACATTAGCACAGCCAAAAGTCAATTTAAAAAGCTTATGAGCAACTGGGTGATCCCTTTACTCAGCTTTACACAGCTTACAGAGTATTGCATAGATCCCTGCTCCTGCACTTGAACAACCTGATGCTAGGGTGTGAAAGTAGATGCAAGCTGCAGAGAGTTATTTCCTGAAAGCACTTTACTGACTGCAGTGTGAGTTACCACACCCAGTTCAAGGTGTTGGTATCAGTGTGCAAAGCCCTAATGGCCTGGGATGCCAAGTAGCTAGAAGATAAACCATCGCAGACCTCAGTGGTTGGCAGGCAATGCCCTATTGGTGCCATCACCACTGGGTGCTGCCTGTCTGGTGTGAACTTGTATCAGGGCGTTCTTGGTAGTGGCCTCTTGCTCATGGAATGCCCTCCCTGATGAGGTGCACCTCTCCCCCTAATTATTAACATTTAGGCATTTAAAAAAATGATAATAATCCTGTTCACCTAGGCATTCGATGGGTGAAAGATATTGATTTGTATCAAACTCTGCACAAATGGATTTCCACTCAGTGGGACTTCCCCTTCCTCTTCTCCTCTTTTGCACCCCCAAAATTTCTCTAACGGGCCCCCCAAACTCTCTGGAGCAGATTTTGGGATTGTGCTGGGGACTGCAGGCAGCACTAGAGGAAAGAGAAGTTTCACTGCACATGCAGAAGTTTGTTATGGTGCTGAAACTTGTGCTGGATGCAACCCGTTGTTTCTGTCAACTTAATTATTTCTATAAGGCTTGTTTTTAATTGTTTTTTTAAAAGGGATCTTTCTGCCATCCTGGGTTTCTTTGGGAGGAATGGTGCGATTTATCATTATTATTTCCCAATATATAGTCCAACTATGCAGGACACACTGATGCCAAGTAATTGGTTTAAGAAGTGCAAGATATAAATACTTAACTAGTGATGTCGCCAATTATCACAGATAATCCATAATCCTCATGATGTGCTGTCTTGTATTAGCCTCTGTGTATAATTCAGATTTCCTCTGGACCATGAAGAGCAGCCTCCCAAGCATTGTCTCAACCTGTGCCTGAAACTTTGGAAAGTTGCAAAAGCAATTTGCAACAAGACATGGAGGGAAATCAAGTCCTGAGACTTGCCTGGTGCACGTAAGCCTTTAAGTGCACCTGAAACAAACTTTGGGAGGGTGTCCCCAAGTACTCTTGAATGAGTCATAGCAGGCAACAGCTGGAGCAGCAGTCTTGTTTCATTCACTCGTAGTGTATATAACAGGTTGATGACAACATGCATACATATAGGTAGTTTTTGGGTTTCTTTTTAAGTGCCAAATGTGCTTACCTGGTATATGGCAGATTGAATGATGTGCCTGGTAAGTTATGTAAAATTTGTTGGGACAAGCTGCAGGTATGAAGGTGTGAGGTTCTATTTCACATGGTACTTGCTGATCCCTAAACTTTTAGCAGACATGGTAACAGCCCTCTACTATCCAGGCATCCAACTACATTGTCCAGAGGCCCAGACATATTCTGTGGTCATTAAATCCTGCCATGAACTTGTCACGATTGTATTGAACTGATTTTGACTTAATCTACCTAGGTAGTTTAGCTCGCACGTTCCAAAAACAAAACAAAACCAGTACTTTTCTCCCCTCAAGGACTGCAAGCATTTTAAAATCCTCCTTGTTGTTTTCTTGTGCCTCAGCTTTTTGGTGGTGGTTGCCCTACCAACTAGACGGCTGACGTGCTTAATCATGAAGCTAATTACTTCTGTGTGATAGGTACTTTCTCAGAAGGGCTTTTCATCGCTCAAAATCCTGCCCTCGGGGACACAGGCTTCGTGAGAGTTGAATTATTAATTATACTCAATTCCTAGCAAGTAGAACCCTCTAAGTGCTCATGTGTTGTTGTTTTTCTTGCCGCTTTGGTTTTTCAACAGTGACAAACTGAATGCATTAAGGCGACACAAAGAAAAACTGGAGGAGAAAATAATGGATCAGTATAAGTTTTATGATCCGGCTCCAAAAAAGTAAGTTTTCTCAAGCTTAAATGGCACACGGGCAGTCCTGTCCCAGGCAGAAAGATGCCTCTTAAGTGTGCGAGGGCAACTTGTATATGACGCCTTTGTGTTTGGAAAGGCGGCCACTTACTGACAGTTCTTGCTGTTCTTACTGACAGTCTAGAAATTCTGTTTATTGAGGCACGGGCATTTCCTCTTAGGGAAGATATTGGGGTTGGGGGGTTGGTCACACCTTGCAGGTTTCATCATGTCACTGTTGATAAGGCAAGGGTGGGGGCGTTTTTCAGCCTGAGGCTGCATGCCACTGATGAGTAGGGTCAGAAGCAAAAGTGAGTGAAGCTACAGATGCAACTCTTACTTTGTACAGTAAGCTACATTTGCCACACAAAAGCCAAAGATCTCTAGACACCACACAGACCACTTCTTTCCACCCTCCATTCAGGCCAGCAAGATACGCAGTTCAAGGACATGCAACAGCCAGGCAAAAGCACTCGAGGAAGGTGCCAGTGATGGGTAGTGACCTGGAGTGAGTCCCAAGGGCCAGATAAAGAGGCCTAGAGGGCCACATTCAGCCTGTGGGATGAAGGTTCACCCCTGCTATATCAGGCTCATAGATAAGGGCACTGGTGTCTGTATGTATCTCAACAGTGAGCAATTACAGTGTCCCCATCTTTCTCCCAGAAGGGTTTTTAATGAATGGAATCCGAAAAGGTCCTCATAAGAGACAACAAATAAAAAAAGCATGGGATGTTTGTTTATGTGAAAACTCCATGCAAGGTCTTTGCCCAGTGTTTGGTTTTTAAATCCTCTGGCAAAACGCGGCCCAACTTTTATTGAGTCGGGGAATGTCATCTTCCTGATGCCAAGGCAGTTTCGCAGTACTCTTTTATGGTGGAGAGAAAAGATAAGCATCGCACTATGCTAAAAACACGAAACAAAATGATTGCTTCTCCTTCCCTCAATAATAGGAAAAACCACTGGATAGGAGCTAGAGCCTTGGTTAAACTCATGAAGCCAAAGAAAGAAGCTACAAGAGAACGGTTGAAATCCTCAGTCGAGAGCCCTCCATGGCACTCAGAAAGCACAGACACAGCTGGGTCACCATCGCCTTCACAGCTGCCCAAGCAGCAGGAGAATCTGGAGAACACCTCTGCAGAGTCTGGCTCAGTGGAAGGCAGAGAGCAGAATAATGGACCTGTGGGGAAAGGTAGGTGGTGTTGCACTTAATGGATAGTTAATCAACTGCTGGTCTGTTGGTGCTGGCAAGCTTAGCTAGCTAAGAAAAAAATAAAACAAAGGGGGCAATTCAGCCACGGCTGAGCATTTCTGAATTCCACTGAACTCAAGTGGGAAATTAGAGTGAAGTACATCTCTTTTTAGAGGGCTATTTTAAATGCACTTTCATGAGGAAGGGTAGACAAGGAGACCACCTTGTGGAGATGGTAGGAATCAAGAGAATAGTGGTACCTTCTGGTTCCACAGAGGTGATGATCTCTCACCTGTTTCATAGACAACATGATAGAGGAGTGGGTGTTGTGCTGAGAAGGTAGGTTTGATCATGTTGTTGCTTTCCATTCACACATTCAGTAAACATGGGATTCCTCAGTGGGGTCGCACCTACTGACCACTATCTCTGCACATTCAGTGGAAGGTTTCAAAAAGTGTGAGTATACCTGGATCTCTGTAGGTGCATGAAGCTTGTATGTGTGATTAGGAAGTTCATTGGTACAGGGTTCCCAGTTGGAGGCAAGAATCTACAGAACATCTAGCTCCTTCTTACTTTTTGCTGAGCACACTGGCAAAGCAGAGCCAGCAAACATAATCTTGAGCCTATGCTTACTGAAAAGAAGGTGGGCAGCCGAGAGTCGCATGAAGGGAAGAGGAGATTGGGGTTAATGGCTGATGGGAGAACCTAGAGGGATGGGGGAGGGCAGGATTTGAGGTTTAGGTGAAATGAGTACCTCTTTATTCCCTGCCCCCCAATACACACACACAAATACACAACCAGCAGAAGCAGGAAAAAGTATGCAGAGCATACTTTCCCATTCTAGAATTATGAGTCCTATGGGAAGTGGACTCCTTTAACTGCAAACACAAATGGAGAACTATGTTGTGCTGCCTGGTGTTCTTGGGTGCTCCATACAAAGTGAGGTTGGTTTTGCTGTTGCAGCGATGTCCCAGTTCACCACTCTGGAGCTACCTCTGACAATGAGTTCGTACTTATTTATACAGGATTTCTAAACAGTTTTTTCTCGGGACTGAATGTTGATTTGCTTTTTAAGCACAGATTAGATTGAGGTTGCAGCCATTGCTTATCAAACTTCTGAGTTGCAACAGGGGTCAGTATACGGATGATAAACCATTTTCCAGCATATTAAGCTCTGCCATTGAAGCCATGACTACTGTGAGTTGTGGATCCTCAACAATGCAGATACAGAACTCCCATCACCCCTGACCATTGGCCATGATGGCTATGGGTCATGGGAGCTGGAGTCCAAACATGTCTGAAGAGCCACTGCTTCCCTATCCCTGTTCAATAAGGAGCAGAGTTTTTAGTTTGGGGACCTTTTTCTTTTTCTGAAACTCCCTACTATTTGGTGGTTCATCAGGCACAGTCTGTTTTCTGGGGAGGGCAGTGTGAAACATTAAACTTTTTTACTGAGCTATCAGCACATAGATGGAGCAAAGTTTTTCTTTTGCTGCTGTTTCTGTTTGAAGGTTTTGCTTATTCTGATGCTGTGATTTGGTTGTCCTGCCATTGCTGCTGCTAAACTAGACTTCTTTTCTAGTGGTTTTTAGATTATTATTATTTACTTCATCTTCAATTTTGTTCTTATTTTAAACTGCTTTGGGAGGCATTATGACTGAAAGATGGTTTATAGTAAATAAATTTATTTTGGATTACTGAATACTAATAGTATTACTGTCACATGTTCTATTAGACATAGTATTTCTCTGAATTTATCAGATTCTTCCAAATGTCTGCTTTTTTTAACGGCATCTCAACTCAACATGTTTTCTGAGCTGATTGCGTGAGATCTATTAAGTACTGTTTCAAAATTAATGGATGGGGATTTTTTCACTTCGTGCTGTCCAAAATATATAAAGAATATATAAAGGTTCCGCCATATAGTGTAATTTACTGTGACATTTGATACACTCTGAAGGTGTGGCCCATCTCTTAACAGTAGAGGGAGTAATTAGGAAAGAAATGGTTGCACAGAAACAGAGTAAGAAAACTGGGAAAGGTTGGTAGTGATTTCAAGAGACACATGGTGTTGGTTGGTGCTTTTCATTTTATAACCAGCTGTTTGTCAGTAAGAAAGCAGAGTATGTTACACTAAAATGCATCTAATAATCATTGACTTAGAGGTAAAAGCAATTTTCAGGATTATTGGGGAAAAACTGGCATTTATTAAAGAGCAGGAAGAAAACATGTGAAATTCTTATGAAAATTTTTCACAACTTTTCTTTATTCTGTACAAATATTTTCTAAAGAAACTACTGGGAGAGATGAAAGAGTATGCTCATAACTACTTTACTTCTCCCTGGTTTCTCTCACTCTTGTACCATGCTGAACTAAGCCATGATTTGGCTTAGTGTGTTGTCTGTGCCTGGGCTTGTGGGCTCACTAACCACAAGCTGCAGCCAGAGCTGAACCACAAGCCATTAATAGGCATCTCTCCTGGATCAAGAACCACTTAGATGCAGCTCATGAAATGGGGAATGCTCTGTGTCCTTTCTCATTTACAAATTCTGTAAGAGATGCTACACAAAGTAAAAGCATATGCCCCCAAATGATTAAGAAATGCAGGCTTGGTCTGCAGTTATGCAGCGATATTTCTAAACTACAGTACAGTGGTACCTCAGGTTACATACGCTTCAGGTTACAGACTCCGCTAACCCAGATATAGTACCTTGGGTTAAGAACTTTGCTTCAGGATGAGAACAGAAATCGTGCTCTGGCGGAGCGGCAGCAGCAGGAGGCCCCATTAGCTAAAGTGGTGCTTCAGGTTAAGAACAGTTTCAGGTTAAGAATGGACCTCCGGAACAAATTAAGTACTTAACCCGAGGTATCACTTGGTTCTCATACTGAATCCATTCCGGAAGTCCGTTCCAAAACCAAAGCATTCCAAAACCAAGGCCCGCTTTCCCATAGAAAGTAATGCAAAATGGATTACTCCGTTCCAGACTTTTAAAAACCACCTCTAAAAACAGTAATTTAACATGAATTTTACTATCTAACGAGACCATTGATCCATAAAATGAAAGCAATAATCAATGTACTGTACTATAAAATAAATAAGGTAGTATTGTAGATGATAAAAATTAAAATTAATTTTTTTTCTTACCTGCACTGATGATAGTCATTGTTTGGATTGCGGGGGGTGTGGTGGGGGGCTTTAATCCATTTCCACAGTCACACAATCAATCAATCAGTAGATGAACTGGGTTCCACACAGACACAAAAACAAATTTACCGGAAAAGCCTCAAAAACACAAAATAAATGGCAAAAACAAAAGCGCCAAACTTAAGCTGCTCCAGAGGTCCGTTTGACTTCTCAAATGTTCGAAAACCAAGGCACAGCTTCTGATTGGTGCTGGTGCCTTCGGCATTTGAGAACCAAGGTACCACTGTACAGAGAAAAACAGCAGATGTGTCTATTGCATGTGTGATTTTACTATGTATGTATAATCGTAGATACTATTGGCTGTGGCTGCACCATTTTCTCATCTAATCCCTCACCTGATTTAGTAGTTGCTGTAGAATAAATAATTGGTCCATTTTCATGTTTAGCTGGTCTCTTGGTTGTTTGAAGTACATTTTAGTTATTTCTGTTACTTTTTTTTCTTCCTTTCTTCTTCCTCTTGGGATCTCTGGGTGATAACACTTAGCTGCTCAACGCAAAAAGATTCCCTTTTTGAGAAGCACAAGCAAGCCCAAAGAAAAGTCTCCCAAGTCTCCATCGAATCATCCGTCTCTCTCTAACCGCTTCCGGTTCTGGCCGTCTTCTGACATCCCACCCTCTCCTAATGAGCCACTTTCTTTCTCGGAAACGGGAGATCTCTAACACCTTCTCTTACCATTTATTTTCAACGCATTTCTGAATAGATATATATACCAGACTCATAACTTCTCTACATACACAAATTATAGACGTTCAGCATATCATTGACACAAACCAAATCCAAGCTCAGATCAAGTCAACATGGACTACATTTCCCCCTCAGTAAGATGAAGAATCTTTTCTTGCACAATCTGGATCGTTTCTTCACTACAGTACACTCTAAAGGAACACACAGTGCCCATTTCTTTACAGGTGATGGTGCACATCTTAAGTAAGTGGGTTTGCTGTGTGCTTCACTGGTGTGCCTCATGTCCCGTCCAAATGCGGAGATGAGCTGCTGTCGCTGTGTTGCCAATGATGCATCCTCTTTAACTGCCTCTGCATATTCTGTGTTAAAGATTCCTTTTATCTAACAGACCCTTTGCAGCACTCTCCCCTTCCCAATATGCTGTTTGTCTGTTCTGTGATAATATTGCAATGTAGACATCGAAATATAGACTTAACCATTGGCAAAGGTAGCTGAATGTTATAATACTTTAGCCCAGGCATTGCCGTGTGGAAAAACCTACAGATCTTTGCTGAGCTCCCGTCACTCTGCTCTTCTCAGGAAGAAGGATAGAAACTGTAGCCCAGCAACATGGGGCAAGCACCATGTCAGCTACTCCTGCTGTAACCTATTCCTCTCATTTTTAGAAAGTGCAAAATACTACTATCCTCAAAACGTCCAATTTTGTAGTGAAGAAATGCCATTGCATTTTGTCTCCTTTTTACATTAAAAAAAATTGTCCAAAGCAAGAGGTGGGTGATTTAAAAATGTTTATTAAGTAAGAGCAACTGTTCTGAAAGGTAAAGGTAAAGGGACCCCTGACCATTAGGTCCAGTTGTGGCCGACTCTGGGGTTGCTTCGCTCATCTCGCTTTATTGGCTGAGGGAGCCGGCATACAGCTTCCGGGTCATGTGGCCAGCATGACTAAGCTGCTTCTGGCAAACCAGAGCAGTGCACGGAAACGATGTTTACCTTCCTGCCGGAGCAGTACCTATTTATCTACTTGCACTTTGACATGCTTTCGAACTGCTAGGTTGGCAGGAGCAGGGACCGAGCAACGGGAGCTCACCCTGTCACGGGGATTCAAACCACCAACCTTCTGATCGGCAAGTCCTAGGCTCTGTGGTTTAACCCACAGCGCCACCCGCATCCCGTTCTGAGAGAGCTGACCCTAAATAGGATGTGCATCACATCAGAATGTGCAGCATAAGTCACTTTTGTATTGCAACAAATGCCTGTCCTTTTTTTACATGTAGATGACTAGGAGGCAGCATTATAAATCAGCCCTAAAGTTGCTTTTCCTCTTACTTCCCAAGTTCCATGAGCTTCTAGAATGTGGGACACATCAGATTTGAGTGTTTGCTGCCAGTATTATGATGACATTTTCATATTTCGATTGCACCTTATGCACAGCTTCCAGGCACTTTTCTCAGGCTTACTTTGCAATTTTTAACTCACCTGTGTCTTTTGTGCTAATTTAATTTGTCGCTGTTGTTTGTTGTCTATGCCAGCCATTTGTTACTTGCGCCTTATCCTATTCATTTTTCAGGAATTCAGTGATATCGTTTGCAGAGAATAACTCTGGAAAACAATTGTAACGTGCACTTCTTGGGCATTTGAAAGTATACAAGACCCTTATTATTTAATGAATACTAACTCACCTTTACAAGTAAATAATTTTGGCGTTTAGTACTCCAATGGACAATTTAAATTCATAACCGAGTATCCCAGCCTAACTAAGACCATATTCAAAACTATGGTGTTGAAAAATGAATTATTCCCTAGGAACAATATGTTGCATAGGGCATCAAACATTAATTACCTTTTTTATTGTAATGCTAAAGGGAAAAAGCATTTGTGAAACCTGATCCTATTCTTGAAATAGATCCCTCTAGGTTCATTGGGGCTTACTCCCAAGTAAGGGTTAATAGCTTTCCAGCCTTAGAGGATTTTCAGTGCTCTCACCCCATCCAGTGTTTGTGTGTGGCCCTTCCTTCCCCATAATATCGATAAAAGATTCTCCCTGCTACTCAGGACACTCATTAGGTTCTCCCTGAGCTAGCATACGGTTGCAAAACTGAATGCAAATATAATCTGATAATAAACTTCAGTGATACAGCTTGCATAATCAGCGCATCTTTTGTGCCACTGCTTTTGTGCCTGCTTGCTGCATTTACAGGGCGGTGGGTGGGTAAACTTGTGCCTAGTTTTGGTGTGCTTTATTCTCTCTCTCTCTCTCTCTCTCTCTCTCTCTCTCTCTCTCTGTCTTTCGTTGTTCTGCCTTTCCTACTCAATATTAGTGGATTCAAAGCCGAAGAGAAATTCTCATTATGGAGGCAGCAGTGACCACATTGAAAGTGCAACGGACTCTGCTCTTAAGCAGTGCTACGTGGAGCCGAGTTCCAGGACTTGCTCTGCCTCAGCCGCCTACCTGGCTGCTCCTGGTTCTACCTCCACTTCTAGACAACAAAACAGACCCAGAGGTATGTGCCATGGCTGACTTGACTTCAGGTTAGCAATGGAGGCCTTGGCTTTGGGGAAGTTCAGCAAACACTTTCCAAGTTCAAACGAATAAAAAGCCTCAATGTGCAGGCATTGCTTCATTTACCATCTCCCCTTTCATAGAACTGGCTTTGGTGCATAAGTCCTCATGTGTTAACGCTAGCGAATTGTGTACATCATTTGTGTGGGGGGAGAAGAAGATAGAGGAAACAAGTAAAAAAACCAACCCAAAAAAACAATTTGGCCTTTAATGTGGCAGAAACCTTTAAAGGTGTAGACATGTGGTGGTTAGACAGTACATTTTACAGGCATTCTGTTTGTAAGTATGTCACATGTTCTACCGTTGGCATTAAATTCACATGTTCTACGTCACGTGTTATACAGTTGGCGTTAAAACTGAAAACAGGTTTGTGCCATGGAATATGGGACTTAGTTCCTCTGCTCCTCCCAATGTGTATCTACAGTGATTTGCTACCTTTGGGGCACTTTGCAGCCGAAACATTGGCCCTTGCACATTATTGGTGCTGCACAGCAGAGAATAGATTTTTGGAGACCATATATTGGGAAGCATCCCTTGCTAAGTCTGGAGAGTTCCAGGCAGCCCTTTTCTCCATGCTTCCAGCCTAGCCCTCCCTAGTGTGTGGTCTTCACTCCCATGACCAGACCTAGCATTTGCACCTAGTTCAGACTTGACAGGTTGCATTAGACGCCTGTTTATGCAACGCACCTTCACATCCCCCTATATTGACCTGTACCATTTCAAAAGTTAAATTACATTGGCTGGACATGTCTGCTGGTTTTGTTCATCTCTGTTGAACATTACGTTCTGATATCTTGCATTCTTCTATCCAGGCCATAATTCAGAGGGTGACCTGTATGAAAACTTCCTTGAGGTAGAGCTTTCAAGCAGGCAGCACAGTAAGTGATTAGTCGTTCCCCCTTTGTCATTGATACTAAACACTGTTCAGGGAGGAAGGGTGTCCCCAGACCTCTATACGTGCCTTCTTGGGGTCAGGAGGCTGAAATGGGAGGTGGGGAAAACCCGATTCCATGAGCAAAGTTCCATTCACAGTTCTTAGGATGCAAGGCATTATCACTGGAAAGAATTTGTAGTCGCTGCCGCCGCATGATTTCTTGGAGCATCATGAGAGACTTTTCTGGTCTCCAGTGAGTGGAAATGTTGACTTCTTTTCTTCCTAATTTGATGCAACTCTGGAGGTGGGACTCACCTTAGGCTCTCTTGTGCCTCTTCTCCCTTCCAGTATCAAGGCCGAACAGCTTAGAGAACAGTGAAAATGCATCCTCCAGCAGCTCCCCTCTGAACTTCAAAGGTAAGATATATTCCCAAATATATGGTGGTTTGAGTCCTGGCATTTTCACCTAAAAGCTGCACTGGAATTCCAATGCATAAAGTTTTAATTTCATAGGGTAATGCCCTCTTATTAAAATGGGATGGATTGATAGAGGACAAAGGCTAATATTCATGATGAATATATTACCTCTATTATCCAAGGCCATATCCATATGAATACCAGTGGCTGGGAATTATGAGGGGGAAGAGTTCTGTTGTACTCATGTCCTGTTTGGCCACAGTGGGAGCAGAATGCTGGAACAGTTCGGTGTTTGGCCTGATATAAGCAGGCCTTTTCTCATGATCACATTACTAATTGTGCTGTTGGTTGGTGTGTTTATCAGATTTATAGATGGCTTAATAATAACAACAAATCTAAATGGCTTACATAAAATACAGATGTGTTTAACATGGTTGGTTTTAAATCAGTGCTTCATCATCATCTGTTGATTTCTAGGACACCTTTTTCAGAAAACTAACCCAAGTCCAAATGTTGTTTTACAATTAAAAATACATATATTAGAAGCAATTGTAAATAATGATATCCATATTTAAGTACAAAAGAATAAATCCACACAACGTTATATGAAACAATACAAATAAACTAACCTGGTTTTGGGAACATATGGCCAAGCGTGTCTCTTATTCTTTGGTATGGACGCTTTGGGTGGCGTTGTGGTCTAAATCATTTAGCCTCTTCGGCTTGCTGGTTGGAAGGTCAGCAGTTTGAATCCGCACGACAAGGTGAGCTCCCTAGGAGTTCAAAAGCACACCAGTGCAAGTAGATAAATAGGTAACGCTGCGGTGGGAAGGTAAATGGCATTTCCGTGTGCCCTGGCTTCCATCACAGTGTTCCGTTGCACCAGAAGCGGTTTAGTCATGCTGGCCACATGACCCAGAAAGCTCTCTGTGGACAAACACTGGCTTCCTCAGCCTGAAAGCGAGATGAGCGCCGCAATCCCATAGTCGCCTTTGACTGGACTTAACTGCCCAGGGGTCCTTCATCTTTGGGTGGTGCTCAGAGAAAGCTTCTTCACAGAGTGAAAGGGAAACAAGATGGTAACTTTGATATGTCTTAATCTCCTGGCACAGGTTCTTTTGACCGTATTCATGGCAGATCAGAGAGTCTCAGTAGTGAAGACACGGTGCTGACTAAAGACACACCTGGCTCACCTAGAGATGGCCTTTTTTGTCCTACCTCTTCTGCTCCTGGGGGCTCAAACACTAAGCACAATGCCTCCCTTACCAGGAACTCTGCGTTTTCGTATGATATATCTCAGAAAAGTAACCCAGCCCATGCACAGTCTGCTAGGCATCGACCTGCTTCTCCGGGCAGCGAGTTGGTGACTTTGGAAGAATTTCTGAAAGAAAGCCACAGATCAACGCCACTTAATGTAAGCACCCAGAACTCCATTTATGATTTGAAATTATTTATTCAGTGATTGACTGGTTGTGGTTTATTCAATGAAATGAATACATTGACGTGTACACAGTAAGCTAGTGTTGGAACTGAGGTGGAATTTCTTTCACCTCATGTATGAGATGAGCCAACAGGTGCAAGGTCAGCCAAGCCAGTTGCTATGGCAACGGCCCAGTGGCATCTTTATAAGTGATTAAGGCATGTCAGCACATTCGTCAGTCAGTGATTCTGCCACTGAGTTTGAGTCTGTGTTACATCTTGAATTGCTGGGGCAACAAGATTGCTTTCTACTTGTATATATCTGTATCTGTAAAGCCTACAAGCCGTATTCATATATCCATATCTGGAACTGTATTAGAAGCCTGATCTTCTGCAGCAGCAAAGGCACCAAGTTGCACCCAACATTGGGGGGGGCCCTGTCATGTGCCCCCTCACCCAGCCAGGCCAACGACCCGCCACCACCCACCCACCGCCTTACTTTTCAAAAGGCGCCCTGGCAATCATGAAAGGGGGTATGCTGGGGTGAAGACGCTTCGCCCTCCTGCAGCCCTGGCAGAGATTGCCAGCACACCTTTCCGGAGGGCTCCCTGGTGATCCTAAGAAGGATTAAGTTTATCCATATGTTAATCAAAGCATAGAAATTGGGTGGCATCTTTGTGTATCCATATTCAGATAGTGATTTTATTAGCTCCATGTTCATTCAGTTTCTTTGTTTTCTCAGGACGCATCCAGCAGAGATGACTTCCTGAGTGACTATTTCAGAAAAGCAAATGAGCCTCCATCTATTGGAAGTCAACTTTCTCAGGCAAATAGGAAGGAGGCAGCCAAGATGCCCACCATCTACGTCACACCAACTGTAAAGATGTCTGGTGCTAATGAAGACGGAAGGCTGGCCAAGCCAGGACACTATGTCAAACCAAACCTTCGGCCAACAGAATCTGAGTTTGCAGCAAACTCCACCAGTTACTGCAAGCTTCCTCCTGCATCTCAAAGGGGATCGAGGCAGGTGGCACAGTCTTCTCAGCAGGGCAGTAACATGAGCAAGCAGAGCGCATCGTTGAACCGTGCATTTAGCTTGGCTTCCGCAGACCTCCTCAGAGCCACTGGTCCAGAGGCATACAGACGCTACGACAGCCTTCCGAAGCCTGGGACTGCCGATCTCCAGCTGGGCAAGGACTCAGATATCCAGACCTCTCCACTTCCTGTAGCGGGAGGCTCCCAGGTCTTGCTGAGAGAGAGGCCGCAGTCTGCAAAGGTGGCGGGTTCTCTGCAGAGCGTTAATTCTCGCTGTCGGCAGCTTGATGTCAGGCGGCTCTCTCTTGCGCCTCCAAAAGATGAGAAGTCCCTCTTGTTCCCCCCGTTTTCTTCCTCCCCAACCACTTCCAAGGATGACCTGAACTCTCAGCCACAGGAGCAAGCCAAGCCAGGTTTGGAGCAGCACTGCTCCCCTCCACAATATGCTGCTTCTAAGATCAAATCCAAGCCGGTGCTGCGGTCTGGGGAAGTGGCCACAGTGACTCCTGTCAGAATTGTCTCTGGCAGCACGGAAGGGAGCAGCCCCCAGGGGCCGAGCCCGAGTGAGGCCTCTCTTACCAAAGGTCGATCCCCAGAAAATAAAATTCCAGCAGGAGGCACTGAAGAAGCAAACAGAGGGGGCAGCTCCAAGAACCCTCCATCATCACCAGATTCTCATGCTGATCAGCAGACTGTTTGGTATGAATATGGCTGTGTGTGATGCCCTTACCTTCCTGCCCTCATCCCCAAAAAGAGATGTACAATATGTGCTTCACTACTGAAAATTTGGTGGCGTCAGGAGTGATGGTGTCTCTAAATTCAGAGCCACCTGCCAGTTGTCTTAACTCTCTTTTAGATGCTAACGTACAGCCTTGCTCGGCCTGACGCCTTCCAGGTGTTTTGGACTACCAGCTCCCATCATTCCTTGCCAGCCTCAGTGGCCAGGGATGATGGGATTTTTAATCCAAAATAATCTGGAGGACTCTGGGTTGGGGAAAGCGAGTGTAATGGAATGAAATGCATTGGTGTACCCTCGAGGTGAAAGATTGAATTGCCAAATGCAGCTGCTGCTCTTGTGCCTAGATGACTATGTGGACAGATCAGGTGTCTCCATTTCTTCCTGCTCTCCCTCAAACCCAGAAATTAAGCTGAACTCCTGGAAGCACAGAGTGCTTGCAGTTTTGCTTCCCTGTAACTCTCCTGCTGGCCGTGTTGCTCTTCATTAATTGGAAAACTGCATATGTGTGTGTGTTTGCCTACTGAGGTCAAGCCTTAATAAAACATCGCCCAATAAAACAGGCACCTCACTCCTATTTTAAAATAGCAGGCAATTTTTACTAAGCTGTAAGTCTCTTATTGGGTCTGGGTTGGAGCAGCTGCTGTTTTAAAAACGAGGTGACTAAAACGTAGAGGTTTCTGTCTCAACCCTTCCCTCTGATGGCGTGTATATTAAGAGGCGTGTTCAATGTCCTGGGGTTGTGTGTTGTTGTTTTACTGCACCTGCATTGTGGTGCAGTGGAGGTGCTGCCTTTTTTTATATATGGCTAACGTTTTCTGAAAAACACTGGAATGGATGCACTGTTCTTGTGGGGTAATGCCTCCTTTAAACAGTGACTCCATGCACTAGACTTATGTGTTCACTACTGCAAATGTTGTATTTCTGTGTGGTTCTGCTGGGAGCCACGGGGAAATGAACAGATACTGCAATTCTGCTTTCCTCCTAATGTGTACAGTTGCTTGTATCGTAAATGATACGTAGCAGATTCTTTCAATGACTTTATGACTGCTGCAATCTATTTTTTTCCACCGGAGCCAGTCATTTTAAGTAGTTGATATTTGCAGGCCCAGATTCTAACACTGTTAACTGGAACTGTGTAGAAACCAAAACACCTTTCTATGCACATGAAATAAATGCTTTTTTTATTAAATCATATTTATGCCCAGCTGAAAGACTTTTACATTTCGGGAGCTTCATTGAGTGCTTATGTATATCTTGAGTGTTTTGTGTGTTTCTGCTGTTTTTCTTGTAAAGATGCTTCCCCTCCCCCTCTGTGTGTGACAGATTACCTTACAACAGAATTGTAAAAGTTCTCCTGATTTGTGATTTACTATAGTGAGAGAACACACAAATCTGTAACAATTGCACATAACCGGTGACTAGTGTGTAGCGGATCATATTGTAAGAAGAGTGAGATTGTTTATAATAAAGCTTTTTTAAAATACACATTTCTGTCAATGTCTCTCTGGAGGATTGCAATAACAGCCATTCCAAAAAGAAAAAAAGGGGGGAAAGGTGATGGTTGACAAGTTGCAATTTTCATTCCATCATATTAATATTTATAGAAGGGCTTCCCCCATTTGCCTCCAGACAGGGTCCTCCAACTTCTTCTCCTAGGGTATAATACTCAAATACAGTTTTAATAATAAATTCATAGTACTTTTAATAAAGGGTTCCCATACATGCATTAGACCTGTTCTTTGACAGGTACTAAACTTTTGTGAATGATCTCTTAATCTTTTGGCTTTATTTTTTGTCTCTTGAAGCTTGTTTACATAATTCAGCCTTTCCACAGCTGTTAGTAACTTAACTAGTCTATCTGCAGGGTTCTATACAATTCTCTGGGTGGGCTCTGTCCACAGGTCTGCTGCAGGGCTTCCTCTTATATCAAAGAGAAGGGAAGGAATGGAATGGAAGAAACGGAGTTGTACATATTAATGGGGATGTGCACAGTTAATTTAACTGTGCCTGACTTTGATATAGAATGCCCCACTCAGCTGCTAAGAGTCAGGCACTTGTGAAGCTGTTAGAAATACTCAAACCCATTGAAATCATTGTGGACTTCAGTTCATTTCAATGGCTCTACTCTGAGTACAACTAACGGTGGATATCGCCTAGTAACTTAACCAAGGCTACCCAGTGAGTTTCACGGCTGTATCATCTCTAAGCCTTCCTATGGTTTTATTTCTATTGCTGGTTGCATTGTCTTATTGTTGAACTAATCAACTATTAGCCGTTAATAGGAGCCCAATCCAACTCCTCTCCTCTGCGCACACAAACGTCCCTCCCATAAACACAGCGCTAGTCTCATGGCAACTTCTGAGTAGAAGAAGGAGGGTCAGCCAAAGTGGACAGACAGGGAGGAGCGGATGTGGTAGGGGACTGAACTAGTTTAAAAACTCACAAATTATAAGCTATTAGTCATAAATATTGGGCTCACAATATTTATGAGTCACAAATTATAAGCTATTGGTCATAAATATAATTTTTATTAGTCATAAAAATTGGGTGCCGTGCAGGGCCACCCAAGATGGACAGGTCATAGTGGAGAGTTGACCAAACGTGATCCACCTGGAGCAGGAACCGGCAAGCCACTCCAGTATCCCTGCCAAGAAAACTCCATGGACAAAGACAACAACAACAGTCATAAAGTTGCTCAATACATTGGAATATCAGACATACAAAGAACTGCAAGCAAAGAATCCGTACTTCATGTTCCCAAATACTATTTCAGCACAGATGAGGAGGAGGAGACAGCAATTTAATGGGGGAATGTCTTAAATTATCATGGTCCTTCTCCAAAGTTGGGCAAATGGGTATCTGCTGTGGAGGTTTTCCCAACCCCCTGGGGCAGATTTTCAGAAGCTGCATGTGGAAGGAAGGATGGGGAAGCGTGTTGCATCAGGAGAACTGCAACGTTTGTGGAGGGAACCCAGCAGTTTACACATAATAATACACAAACTATAAGCTATTAGTCATAACATTAGGACCTCTTTCTACTCTTCTGACACATTGCATAGGTCTGGGGTTATTATAAGCTCCCTCCCCACTCCTGATCCCACCCACTACAAGTCTCTTCAACTGTCCAGCAAAGCGGGAGGAGCCAGGAGCAATCCATCCATCCTCTTGGCCTTACAAGTAAGATGGGTTTAAGGGGAATAAAATTGTAATCTGTGAATTTAAAATACATTGCTAAATGGAGTCAATTTCGTGGTCTGAAGCAAATATTGATAAGAAGTCAGTATTTTAATAGCCACATTTTTCTCCCTGTAAATTGTAGCATGTTTTAGATGAAGCTTTTTCCTTTTCTCTCCCTGCCATTGTTTTTTCTACCATCATACAACTGTTTTCCCCCTTGATTGTATTAACAACCTTATCAATAGAAACAGCAGTTGGCAAGCTTTCTGGTTATTAAATTAAGGTCTGTGTGTACTGTCTGTGAATAAAAAAAGGCAAAACAATATTCCCATGTTATTTAAAGGTGATGATATAAATATTTTAAATAAATGACTGGAATGCAAAAGAGATATTGCAGAATTACAAAAAGTGTACAAATGCATAACTAAAATTCTGAAGGGGGTGGAAGTCCCTGCTGGGGAAAGACTTAACACATTTGATCCTGGGGTATGAGCTGGAGGTATATGAGGCCAGTAGCTTTCTGAAGCTAAGCAGGTCTGTGTCTGGATAGGTGAATGTGACTCTGTGGGAACCACATGTTAGGTGTCATAGAATGATTTGTAGAGTTGGAAGGGACCACAAAAATAATCTAGTCCAGCCCCCTGCAATGCAGGAATATTTCACCCAATGTTGGGCTTGAACCCACAACCCTGAGGTGAAGAGTCAGATGCCCTACCCACTAAGCTATCCCTCAGGTTGTGGCAGAAGAAAGGAAGGGTAGAAATGTAAAGGGGAGGCGGGATTTGGGCTTTTAATAACTATGATTTTAAAAAAAGAACACTAATACCCAGCGAACAGCCTATAAATTTGCACCCATGGTGTAGAGGTAAGTGAACGTAGATAATTTCTGCCCCCAGAAAACTGGAACTCTGTGCTATTAAATCGGAAGCATTTCCTCACATAACACACAATTTATGGAAGATGTGTAAAAAGATTTGGAAGGTTAGGCACATTAATGGGGGATATGGTCTCCCCACATATGTCGGTTGTGTCCTTGGTTAGAGCTTCAGCTTCAGAGGCATCCTGCCCATGTCGACCAGATGCCAGGGAGGAACAGCGAGAAAGGCCTCACGTCTCGCCTGCAGGCTTCCCAGGGGCACGTTGGCCCCTGTGAGAAACAGGAAGCTGAACTCAATGGGCCTTCAGTCTGATCCCGTGAGAGCTCCTCTTGTGCTCTCCATAATGACAAGAACGGATAATTGTTGCCTCTGCTTTATATACGGTACATTATAAAATGAATTTATTATTTAAAAAAAAAACTACACCAAAAGAAGACACAAAAAATCTCAATGACAAGAGCAGCAGCTAAGCTGCTCCTCCTCCTCCGTTTCAGTCTCACTGACAGCTTAGCTCTGAGCTGGGAAGAGGTGAGTCAGACAAGAGCTGCAGTCCAAGCAAGAGAGGCAGAAGCTCTGTGCTGCTGCTCAGGCAGTGATCTTTCACAACTCCCCCTGACTAGAGGGTCCTTTCCTACAGGTGAGCCTTGCCTCTCTTTATGTTAATAAGTAGCTATGAAAATGGGTCAGCAGGAAAGCTAGGCAGTATATCTTGTTCTCGTCAATTTATTAAGCCTGCACACACTTACCTGGGAGTAAGCCACACTGGAAACTATTGGAACATCCTTCTAGATAGACGTGTGTAGGATTGTGCTTTAATGCTCTTATATCTGAAAACTTTTTTTAAGGGTTGGGAAAGCAAAGCATCTAAATAGCTGTTCCTGACATTTTAAAGAAGTGGCTGTGGTTAAGAGTTCTCTGAAATAACCAAGCTGGTTTGTGACATTCGGTGTGGATGAATAAAGTACTTAAATAGGTTGTTAGAAAAGATGTAACTGGTTTTCTTATCTTGATCTGGTTGTAGCATGTTAATTTACCTGGGATATGGCCCAGTGGGACTTATTTACAAGTACTGTAGATATACATAGGATTTGTATTGTAAAAAACTCATTTAGAAGATGAATGTATGTACGAACTTCCAAAGAGCACTTGCTATCAATGTTACCTGCTGTTTTATATCCTGAGGAAAAGATAAGTTTGCTAACTAACTCCAGGATAGTGACTAAACTGCTTTATTGGAAATAGACTAAAACATTAGGCATGTGAAAAGCCTTACAGAAATATAGTTTTTTATCTGCTCCCAGGTCTTGTCTCTAGAGCTCCCCAGCTTTCTGTAAAACCAGGACTAGAATTCTAGTGAACTGGAACACATAAAACACAGACCAGACAGATTCCTTAACTTTACGGCAGACAGGGGTGCCAAACTGCTTTGAAAAATCAGGAACTGAGAAATATGCACAACACCCCATCCCTGACTTTTGGGATAGCTGTCTGGGCCTGTGAACTGGTGTGCCTTACTCCCCAAGGTGTCAGTTCCCAATTCCACCACCATTCTTCCCGTTGTCGGTCACTTAAGGAGTATGGAAAGAGAGCTGTAACTGGGGAAACCTTGAAGAAACCGCTCCCCTCAAATAAACAAGACCAGGAGCAGCAAAATTAATTTTTGCCCAAGGCAGCAATTATAGCCCTGACTTCAGTCATTCCTTCCACCCAGCATAGTATTATTGGTCTATGGGGCTGGTGCCATATCTCAAAACACATAGACTCATCACCAAAGAAGCCATTTTTAATTTTTTGGCCACAAGTTAATCCCGAGAAACCTTGAGACTGACTGTTGGTTTCTCTATTTCGAGCAGCAGCACAAGTTTTATTTGCTGCTTATTTTAAACTTGTGCTTTGTCACCTTCAGCATTGCCATGGCTGGCCCAATATGTGCTCAAGTCTCTGAGCCATATTTGTGGGATTTCACTGCACAGGAAACACCCTTCCCCACACAGCTTACCAAACCTCTTTCCCCTTCCCAGTCAGACTCCTCTTTCAGTCCAATTTCCACCACAACACCCTCAAGGAGAGACTTGGAGGCGTTTATTTATTTGCCCTTTGTTCCATCAAGCCGGGAATAGACCTTGGCCAGCTCAATACTATAAGCTTTGCCTGTTGTCTCCCTGGTTCAAAATTACTATTGTTTCCCTCTCCTTTAGCTCACGTCCAAGGGCTGTTCCAGATGTGACACATTTCCTCAAGGAAAAAATAATTGCGCGTCAGAAATATTGTGCAAACAGTCCGTGGGCCTAATTGCGTGAGAAGATTTTTTGCCCTTCTATTTTTGCCACACTTAGGTATACTGTGGGGACCAGGCAACAGGAAACTGTGGCCTCTCAAGTCAATGTGTTTGCAGCAGGATGTATGTGAGATGCACGTATGTCAGGTTAAATGAGCTCACTTTGGGGTGGGGGGCAGGGGGAGAAGCAGCATTGGTGACAGACTCCTTTCATGACTTACATACATGTGTGTAGGGGAGCCTCGGGTGCACAGCTGTATGTACAGAGGGTTCTCTGTGACTCCAGTTCCCATCGGCATGGATGATGGTCAGGGATGATGGGCCCCACAATCCAACAATAGAGAGTCCCAGGTTCCCCAGCTCTGCGCCAGCTTTCCTCAACCTTCGGTCTCCAGATAGTCTTGGATTGCAAACCTCCATCTTCCTCAGCCTGCAAGGGCAACAGTCAGAGACGAAGGAAACTGGAGTCTAAAAACATTTGAGAACCCGGGGTGTTGTGTATAATTGGGAACCCTTTATCTGCTGGGGTCTCAATCGTTTGTAGGGAGTCCTCTCTGCATACAACTTTACAAGCAGAAGCTCCTGCTCCTGTTTCAATAAATGGAGGACAAGTCCAGCATCACAATGTCCACTGTTCTTGCCACTACATCGCCCCAATGCGCAATCATTTCATACAGGAGTTAAGTGAAGAGTTTTGTCACCTCAGGAGGCAATATTTGCTTTCTAGGAGCAGCATGGGAAGAACTCCTGGTGGTGGTTTGGATAGTAATGTGTTTGATAAGGTAGCTGACTCGTGTTAGAGTCTCTAGGCCTCAGTTGTGTTTTTTTATTAAAATAAACAGTTGAGTTCCATCCGTAAGTAGCAGTGTCTGTATTTACTAAGAGCCTGAGGACCCTTCTGGCTGTTGTACAGAAGCCGTAAGGGCTATTAGCTCCTTCATTAGTGTGGGCGAGACATTAGGTTAAAACTCTGCTGCTGCAGAGGGATTTTGGAATAAAAGACAATCAGCTGTACATATTCCCTAGCTGATTCTTACTGTAGTGACTACTGCTAATGAGTTTTGCATTATTGTTGGATGTGCTGCATTTTTAAAACTGTATTGTTTTGGTATTAAGTCACCTTGTGGAAAGGTGTGGTATTCGTATCCTTAAAAAAAAGAGACTATCTACAGGTGTTTTACATGCCTTCTTGATGGCCATCTTCAAATATCTGAAGGGCTGTCACATGGAGGAGAATTTTCTTCTGCTCTGGAGGGTAGGACTCAAACCAATGGCTTCAAGTTGCAAGAAAGGAGATTCTGACTAAACATTCGCAAAAACTTTCTGACTGTAAGAGCTGTTCAGCAGTGGAACAGACTTCCACGAGAGGTGGTGGACTCTCCTTCCTTGAAGGTTTTTAGCCAGAGGTTGGATGTCCATCTGTTATGGATTTATTAGCTGAGATTCCTGCATTGCAGGAGGTCGGACCATTTGGGTCCCTTCCAACTCTAAGATTCTATGATTCTGCTACACAAAAGTGCTTTTATGTATAAAATCTGAAATTTTATATTTTCTGCTGACTTAAGAGGCAATAGATAGGGAAGGTCCCATGGGCTGTACTAAGGAATTTTGTTGTTCTTATACTGGAACAGTTTAAGCATTTTAAAAAAATACATTAAATTAAAATAAATTTAAAGATACTAGTTTTGATGGGCCAAGCTGACCAGCCAAACACTCTCTCTTTCCCCTCCAACCACAGAGAGCTTGAGCCAGAACACAGAATTAGATATCTGGTGCAGAGTCCTACCTAAAAATGCCTGGAGGAGAAATACTACTGCCCTGGTGTTAGACCACCCTTGGATCAAATGGTACACCAAGCAGGGCATGTCTTTGGTCCTCCTCAGTCTGATCACTTTTTGAATAACTGGATTTTTAAAAATTGCATCCTGAGCCCGTTTCATTACCTTTGCACATGAACAGGCGGGTTTTCGCCCTGGAAGATCTACCACAGACCAAATACTAACCTTGAATCACCTGGCGGAAAAGTATGCCGGCAAAGCCCCAAAGGTTCTTCATGTGGCTTTTATTGACCTTAAGCAGGCATTTGATTGAATCTCTAGAAAGCAGCTATGGACAAAACTGGCTGCTACAAAGATCGATCGTCGTCTCCTTCATCTGATTATCAGCCTCCATACAAACACCTTTCTGAGAATCAGGCTAGACAATAAAGGCCTAGTCTCCAACCCTGTTACCACCACCAGAGGGTAAGACAGGGTTGTCTATTAGCCCCAGCATTGTTTAATTTTTACATTAACTCACTGGTGACTCACATGGCCAATGATGCTTTCCACCCCCCCAAATTAGCAGGCCGATCTCTGAACGTTCTTCTGTATGCGGATGACGCCGCACTTCTTGCCAGATCCCCTATTGGACTGAGGAGAATGTTGCAAGCTCTACATGAATACTGTGACCAGCATGAGCTCCAACCCAACTATGCTAAGACCAAGATCATGGTCTTCTCTACCCGACCGAGACTCCATCGATGGTCGATGAACGGGACCCCCCTAGAGCAGGTTAACTGCTTTAAATATCTGGGACAAGTAATACGGTCAAATAGGTCTTTTCTGGCCCATAGAGACTATATAACAACTAACGCATCTAAAGCAGCCATCCAGATTAGATCTCTATATGCTAAGAATCAGGCTCAATCAGTGAAGATAGCTTTGAGACTTTTTCAAATGAAAGTCCTCCCCCCTTCTTTTGGTGGGCATCTCTTTAGGCTCCCGTAGGGATTTTTTGAAACTGGATTCTATCCAAACGAGATTCCTTAGAGCCATCCTTAGGATTCCCCCCTCGGTAGCGGGTGCAGTTATGAGATTAGAGGTCGGCTGGCAAGCTCTACGGTATGTGGCCTTGAAGACGAAGCTCTGGCTATGGCTCAAGCTTTGTTTTAAACCAGTGGGTATTGCCCCTTGATATTGAGGGACGATTTCCAATCATCGTGGAAAAGGGAGGTCATTAATGAGGTTCAATCCTGCGGATTGTCTCACCTCTACTTTGAGTCTATGACGTACAATCAAGCTAGAGCTGTGATCTCCCGGAGACTGAGTGACATTGCCAGACAAGAGGACATAGCCCAGGTAAAACCAGGGATGTTCCTAGGGGACCAGATTTATCGGACCATACCAGCCCCCTACCTTGCAGAAATCCATTATGTGGAATACCGTAGACTTCTTACAGCGGCTAGATTAAATGTCCTTGACTCTGCGATATTGTGGGGAAGGTACAGGGGGGTACCATACGCCCAGAGAACCTGTCATTGTGCCATGGGTGTGGTTGAGTCCACTGAACATATTCTCTTGACTTGCCCTTCTTATGCAGAGCTTAGACAAAATTTTATAGACCCTCTCCTATGTCAATTCAGCTTCCTACCCGGAGAAAACCAGGTTTTACACTTGCTGAATAACGCCACTAGAGCTATACCTTCCTTGGTGGCCAAATTTCTCTTTTTAGCTTTTAAGCGTCGCAAGACTATAATTGACTGTATTGATATGGGGCTATCTGTTTAGCCCATTTTAGTGTTGGCTAAGTTTTAAAATCTTCCTGGATGTTTTTAGCTGTGTATTGATAAAATGTACTTTTTTTCTGACTGACGGTCGAATAAAAAGGATGATGATGATGATTACCTTTGCACAATTTGTGGGCATGGTTTTACGCCTTCATCTAAGACAATAAATTTAAACACCTATGAATATGATTGCAATCAGTGTTGCACTATTCCCCATTAAATCAGAATCAGAACAGTTTCAAAAATAATGCCGTGCTGGCCACATGCAAGTCAAGATGAACTATTTGCATTACAGGTTTCAGCTGTTGAATGGACTGTTGAGTAGATAATCTGTGATAGGAACCCCAAGGCCACCACTAGGCTGCCTACGCCTAAATCCAGCCCAGCTAGGAGGAGTGGCAAGTTCAGAAAAAAGTGTCCAGTCCTCGAGATGGCTAGAGCTCTGGGTCTGTACATAGATGAAGGAGTCAGTTATCTCTTGTGAGAACGTATACAGCCAAGAATGGGAGTTACAATGCAGGCCTAGATTTCCATTATTGGCTATGTAATGCTGCAGCTTAGCTTTCTCGACACAATCCCAGAAACATCCTTTCAATTGCCCAGGCATATCTCCAATTAGTGACTAAAGATATGTTGCAACGTTAGAATACAAATGTGAATGTTTTCATGAGCAGCAGACACCAACCTTTTCCGATCCAAAACCTATCCTTATTTCAAACTGCAACACTGGAACCATTAAACAAAACAAAACAAAAAAAACCCACAAAAAGATACCATCTCTCTGGGTTTTGGTTTTTTGTTTTACTTTAGGGTCACTGTACGTGATGGAAGTGAGGGTTCCTTTACTGTAACAGTGGCAAAGAAAAATAAATTTTGGTTAGTAGGACTTGGCATGGAGGGTCAAAGCAGGATGTTTTAAGATATTTTCTTCAGAACTATTAAGAAACACACACAAAATTGTAAATTTTTAACATGGGTCTAGGAGGGCAATGCAGGGAATTATAGGCCAGTTGCCTTAATTATAGAAAAAATGGTGCAAAACATTATTACATATAAACCCAGCACCCTCATACCTAGTATTGCTCAGAAATTCTAAGAAACCAACACATCAGTGCAGTTTGAAACCAGCAGTTAAAATCAATGCTTAATCTCAAGAACCATCATGCAAAATTTGGTTACGATCTCTTAAGAGGTGTCTGAACGCATAAAAAACAGACAAGCAGCTTTCCAGAATTTATAGTAAATTATTAAATGTGCAAGTCTTACTGAAGAAGAATCAACATGGCTTCTGCGAAGGTAGGTTCTGTCTTGCTAGCCTTTTAGAGTTCTTGGAATGTGTCAATAACCATGTGGAGAGAGGGGTGATCTGATAGACCAGTAATGAGAAACCTGTGTCCTTCCGGGGGCCACTAGGGGCGCATTGGAAGATGGCCGACAATAACATCTCTCCGACCCACATGAGGTAATTAAGAGGCTGTGATGGGAGTAAGCAGCCTCCCTGCCCCCCCAAGTGAGTGGGGGGGGGCTGCCCTTGCCTGCTGTGCCCTATACCACCCCCGAACCCGAGGGGGTGGGGGCACTAGGCAGAAAGCCCTTGTGCGGACTTCGACTCTCCTGGACGCTGTCTCTGATTCGCGCCTCTAGCTGCAGCAACTTCAAAAGAAACAATTAGGTGGAAGCAAATGCACATATTTCAAGGAAGAAGGGGGAGTAAAGACTGCTAATTGAAGAGATCTCTGAGAAAGAAGGCGGATCGGATAAACAGGAATATATCATGAGAAGACACACCAAGGCTCGGTATGTCGGCAACGGGACTGGATGGGGGGGGAACTTTCCTTTCTTTTCTTTATGTGCTTAACCAAGAATCCCCCCCCACAAGTCAGAAATGCCGCTTAAATGACCTAAGCTGATGATTTAAGACTGTGTGGAGATAATTTCTAACCAAAAGCATGTTTTAAGGAGATCGTGGAAAGTTTAAGAGCTTTGGGATGACGCAGTAAAAAAAACAGCGTCGCTATTTTGGCAAGTTCTGTCGAAAGACTTATGTCTGGGAGGAGGAATGGATCTGTTTTCATATTGCGGGCGGCCTCCTCAGAGGACTAAAGAAGGCGACAGATTTGCGAAGATTAATGATGGAAAGAGTGCTTTTATTTATGGAAGTGATGATATATGGAAACCATCTCGATATGGTGATTGGACAAACGGAAAATTCACACAGGATTATAACTGGTGTTTACCTGCTTAAGGAGATTATCAGAAGAGATCACAAAGAAAAAAGAAAAATATATGAATAAGATGAGACGTGGGAACAGCAAGATAGGACTGGATAGAAACATGAACATTATTTGGATGGATTTGTGGATATTAACGCAGCAGCAAGAAGATGATTGGAATCCCCTTCGGAACTTGAAATATGGGTACCCCCAACAAAAAATTTAAAATTCGGCTTTGTAATTCGGAATTTATGTGATGTGATTTGATTTGATTGGTCGGTTAATAAAAATTATTTTTTTAAAAAGAGAAACCTGTGCCCTTCCAGATGTTGTTGGACTCTGGCCAGTGGTCAGGGATTAAGGGAGTTGTAGCCCAGCAACTTCTAGAGGACCAAAGGTACCCCCATCACTGTAGCAACAGACATTGTGTACTTAGACTTCCAAAAAGCTTTGGACAAAATCTCTCATCAAAAGCTCCAGGAAACCTAGCGCAGTCCAGGTGAGGTCACAGCTGGTACATCATATGCCTATATTGACAGAAGTAGTCAAGGTAGTGACAGCTTTCAAGTTGAGACTAAAGAGTAAAGGGTCACATCCTGATAATACAGACATGATGCATGCTTCTTATGAGAGGCCAGATAATCAAAGCACTCAACTCAAACTGAGGAGCACAGAATGAGGATAAATTTGTTGGGATACTGCCAGGGAGATAAAGTCCATCATGGCCCCCAAGCCGGCTGCCGGACAATCCATCGACCTCCCGTAGACATGCAGTATCAGCAATTAGCGACATGAGCTCCAGACCATTCTAGAGCCGATGCACACTCTTTATCAGCAGATAATGCACAGCAGAAGTCGCACTCAGGAGAGCATTATTTACAAGTTTTATTCAGCGTTGATCAGAACAAAGAAAAACATGACTGCCTGGTTCAGTGTCTACGACACAGAGAGAAAACGAAAGCAACAGAAAACATAAACATCCTGTGAAAACAGGAAATACGCAGACTCCGACTCACAAAGCCTGCTCCCTTTTAAGGTGGAACGGAAATATCCTAACAAAATTACCTGTTGATATGAGATGAAAGTTGGTCACCCTATGATTTCCCTTCCTCGCAGTATTTTAATTTTTACCTCCTTATTCTATTCAAAACAAACCACGCTCACCATTCTGTGTACTTTCATGTAACTCTTTGGCTATTTAGCAGTTGTTATGAATGGAAGCCCAGTCAACTGTTTCAGTAGCCTTTTATATCTGAATTTGCTCTTCTCTGGAAATGCTGCCTCCCATAGTTCTGTATGTGTTGTGGGTGTTATGATGCACCTTTTGGTTTCCTGCTGCCCTTCGTCTGAGCTTTGCTAACTGCCATTTTGCAACAGATCCTTAAAGCTGAATCAGACAGGCTAGGACCAGTCAGGAAAATAATTAGTCATCTACTTTTGTTCTCTTAAGGAACACGCGTCAGGTGACACAAGGCCAGCACAAGCATGCTTGTGTCAGAAGTATACCTAAATATCTCACTGAAAATGTAATAGAACTCTGGGACATTTTGCTGCTGTCCAGCAACTCAAAGCATGGCTGCTCTCTGTGCCTTCTCCCATCCAGGGGAACGCAATGGCAGTCTTCCAAAGCCCTCTGTCCCCAATGTGGCGCTGGAAAGTGGTTAGCTGTATTAAAAGAGATTGCTGCAAGGTGTACAGGCCGTGCTGTTGGAGAACATGTCCTGCTTCTTATGAGAGGCCAGATAATCAAAGCACAAATGCCTTTTAGAAAGAAGGGGGGAAAGATGAGCAGGAGTGTAACACAGAGATGTACAAAATTAAGCATGGTGTAGAGAAAGTGGATTGAGAGATGTTTTACCCCTCTCACAGTGCTAGAACCTGGGGGTTGTCCAATGGGTGGCTTCCAACATACAAAAACATAATAAAACATTAAATATTAAAAAAACTTCCCTATACAGGACTGCCTTCAGATGTCTTGCAAAGGTTGTATAGTTATTTATCTCCTTGGCTTGGGGGTGGCATAACACCATACCCTCCAACATTCTCCAATGAAAATAGAGATGTCCCTTCCAACATTTCTCTGAGTAAAATAAGGGGACGTTCTAAGGAAAAGTGGAACATTCCAGGATCAAATCAGAAACCAGGACTTCTGTAATTCTGGGACTGTCTCTGGAAAATAGGGACACTTGGAGGGTCTGGACATGCCCATATTTAGGGCACCATATCTAATTCTGATTGACCTGTATCAGAACAGTTACCTTAGAGCTGGGAAAGGTAAGCCAAAGGACGATTAATTCCCAACATATATTTGGATGGTAAAGTTCATCTTAGGTGACAGTGTTCAAAATGTCTGGATTCAGTAGCACCTTTTCAGACTAACTGACTTTTAATACAGCATCAATGTTCCTAAGTTACACCCTGAGGAGCAATTTCCTTTTGGTGAAAGGCTTCTGTATGTGAGGCTTTTATCAGGAGGGAAAAATGATCTTCATCATTGGATGTTTGTTTATGAACATAATCTCTTTTCTCGGATGATTTACCGTAGCGCTTGTGCAGGTTGACTGAGCTGCTGATAATTGGGAAGGAGGGAGAACCACATCCTACCAGATGAAAAATCAAGCAGATTTTTTTGAATTTCTTAAGCTCTTTAATGACATTAATCTTACGTTCTTATCTGATTTGGGAGAGGCAGTGTACCTCTTTGAGACATTAAATCTTAAGCCCAGAGGAGATTGCTTGTTTGTGCATTCTTGATTCTAAAATACTGCTCTAGCAAAGTTACCGGGTTGTGTGGCATAGTATGCATATGCTTTCGATGGCCTCAGAGAAAAGAGACTAAAAGCAGCAATGGGAACAAGAATGGAGGAGCTTATGTGGACAAACAATGTGGGCAGGGAGGTTGCAGGGTTGCTTCCAACTGCTGGGCATTTGAAAGACCTTTTGTTGCTTATTTCATTTATGCCACGGAATGAACACACACACACACACACACACCCCAGGGGAGCAAACCAGAGATATTTCCAAATTATACAGACTTTCTATAGAGATATAATTGCCACTCCCAGCTCAAGCTCTGAGATGTTTAAAGGATGACTCACAGACCCAGCCAGCTGGCAGGTGTCAGTGCTGAAGGCCCCTGGTACCTAACGAGATGCCAAGTGCTGGAGGTCTTTGATGATCAATGTGGTAGACTACGCCCCTCTTTCCTGCCTGGCAGTAATAGAAGTAGCGGGGTGGGAGGAGAGAACCTTTTGGTCCATTTCTTCCATGACTGCCAATCTAGGGGGGTCAGTTGTGGCAAAGACTAAGTAGGCTGCCAAGTAGACGAAGCATGCTCCCTCCCCTAACCTGCAATGAGAGGCAAATATTTACAAGGCGAAGCAGAGATGGCATCCAGCTTACCTGTCCCTCCCCAGAGTCCAAATTACTTGCTTTTCCCTCTCAAATCCCAGTCACACACACATGAACCAAGTAACTAGGCATGTGAGAGGTTGGGATAACCCTGAGAATTTTCACACAAATACACCCAAGACCATAGCTGTCAACGTTCCCCTTTTTTTAAGGGAAATTCCCTTATTCCGAATAGGATTCCTTGCAAGAAAAGGGAAAAGTTGACAGCTGTGCCCAAGACCCCAACAGTCAAATGTTATGATATTTATTAAGAATGGGTTTTTTAAAAAGAAAGAAAGAAAGAAAAGACGGAAGAACACAAACGGAAGACGTAGAAAGTAGCTTCTAGAAAATAACAAAAACAACCTTTTAGTTCAAGTTTCTGCTAATATAGCTACTTTGCAAACAGGTTTCTGGACTGCTCTTTTCTCCCACCCAATTACTGTTTTAATATCTCTCACTTCCTATTGCATAAAGCCCCATCTGAACTAAGAGGGTTTATTGTCTTTCTTTGCCTGAGACCCAACGCCAGTTTCATACCACCAACAGCTGACTACCTAGCATCAAAGGTAAAAATGCCATTTCCCCCAATAAACTAAGTGTGTGGCCTTGGGGAAGCCACTTGGAACAGTTTCAGTTCCTCCTCTGTAAAATGGGGAAAATAGCAACATGCTCTTCTGAAGTTGTTGTGTGAGCAAACACAGTCACAATTGTGTCAAACACTGAGAGCTAAAATACATACCTCTTACGCAGCTGCAATCTTGGTCTTGTTTGTTTAGGCAGAATTGGCGGGCAGCATTCACTTAAAGAGCTTTTTCTGGTTTTGTTTGCTAGCTATATTTGGACTTAATCCATGGTTCACATTACAAATTGCCAGCAGTATTACATCTGTTGGTGCAGAATTGAGCTGAGAGGAAATGATTTGGTTAAACACAATAGCATCTGGATCTGGAGGAAACAGACTAAAGGGAACTCCCATTAAATACTTCGTTTTCACAGGACACGATAAAAATGGACTCAAATTATTTCCATTTGACTGTAGGCAGGTTGCCTAATGACCAGTCTTCTTTTCTGCAGGTAATTTTCCTTTGGCTACCTCCCAGATCAGATCAGAAGAATATTTATTTGCATCAGCCGCTAGCCATAGCAATAAAATAAAATACAATGTACTGAAGATAGAGGTAAAAATATCCTGGAGGTTTACATCAATAATCAAATAATGGATCTTATTCTAATTGCCCCTGCTATTTTTTTTCTGCAGTTTTTGCTGTCTTGTGGTTATCTTGAGCTACCTCCCATATTAGCCAGTGTGGATCCTTCCAGAATACCTCAGGAGCTCTTCTCAAGATGGATCAGTAGTGGATCCTTCCAGAATACCTCAGGAGCTCTTCTCAAGATGGCACCATAACAAAATAGGGGCCCTTCACATTTAGGTACCTTGGAAGTGCTGGGTCACACAAGTGGCACCACCAAACGGATCTAGCATGATTGAGAGTCTGGGCTCTGCACTGTCAACATCCATAAACAAAACTGCACACCCAAAAACATTTCAATATGCTTTTAGTTGTTGATGGTGGTCCGCAGTTCTAAGACTGTCTCAAGGCAAATCTAAAAAAGTGTAGTATAAACACTGGCAAAGCGTGTTCTCCTTCATGGAGAGCACGTATTGCGGTGGGGGCAGCCAGGACACTCCAAAGTTTGGGGCGGGCTAATTGATCATTGGCCACTGATGCGATTGGGGCTTCCCTTGTTGTTGGGAAGAAGTTAATGTTGCCATTTGTTGATTGACAGCCAGAAATGCTAAAACTCATTGCACGAGGCTAGGGCTTCCTCTTTTCGCCTGTGCATCGGATTGCCCGCCCCCCCTCCCTAGAATTAGGGTTGTTCGCTTTGACCTTGCTATGCCTGTCATGGGGTCGTCTGCTCTTGGGGCAGGGGCCTGGTAGGAATTTTGTCCATCTGGCTGATTGGCTGGGGCCATTTGGTTTTTGCCTACTGCGTAGCAAATCGTCACAACTTGTAAGGTTGCAGTTAGGCATTGGTTTATGGTTTGGTTGGTTGAGGGGCATGGATTGGCTGTGCCTGCCCCTCTAATGCTGCTGCTGCAAGGGATTCCGTTAAAGGAATCGGGGGCTAACTATTGCTTGTCCACTCTGTCAAGGGGGCTCGGGCCATAGCAATGAGCTCCTAGTTGCATTTGGGGAGGGCTGAGGGCAGGTTCCCTGCTCCTTCGCTACCCCCCAAGTGTATTCCCCTTTTCTGACTTTAGCAGCGTGCGGAATGTCAGTCTGTCCCCCATGGTGGGGGCAGATAGTTGCAACCAATGCCTAAGCAACCACTCACATTTTTGTATTTTAATAAAGTTGTGGCCAAAATTACGCCAAAAATCTTAAACAAAAAATTCTGTGTGATGTGTGAGTTATTGGGGTGGCCCTGGGGACCTCGACACGCAACTGGGAAACACTGGCCTGTGAGCGCTCCAGTTGGAGAACAGCCTTTACCAAAGGTGTCATGGGCTTTGAAGACACTCAAACTCAGGACGCAAGAGAGAAACGTGCTAGGAGGAAGGCACGCTTGGCAAAACCACACCGTGATCAACTCCCGCCCAGAAACCAATGTCCCCACTGTGGAAGGACGTGTGGATCCAAAATTGGCCTCCACAGTCACTTACGGACTCGTTGTTAAACCGTGTTTATGGAAGACAATCTTACTCGGCTACGAGTGATCGCCAAAGAAGAAGCAGTTCTAACATTCTTACTCCTACTGTGTTTTTGTCACCCTGGTGTGGACCAGGATGCAATGCTGCTATCTTATTTTATTTTAAAAAGACTCAAATATATACATAGAAGTTGTAAGGTGGAAATGAAGGAATAACATGTTTGTGTGATTTTTGCATTAAAACTTTTGATCCTATCGAAGATCTACACATGATGTAAGATAAATGCATTTTTTAAAACCCTGCAGCAATGGATTTAGTTGCTGCTTACTCTTACCTTTCTGTCTCAATATACAAAAAAAAGACCTTCCTAAACTTACACAATTTGTGAAGTTTTGCAACCCTTTGGTTGTGCATTATTCAAGCTGCTTATCCTTAAATGAATTTGATGGGAGGTAACTTGTTGACGATTATCTCTTTGCTGAGGTGGTTCAGTGCTTGTTGGCATGCGCCCAGTTCTCTTTTTAGTTGGTTTCCTGTTTAGCATTGGTTATTTAATTGCATGTTAGGAGCACAACATCCAGCCTTTGAAGCTGTGCCTAGTAACGTTCAGGTTCAGGGTTTATTGTTTTCTAAAAGAAAACTTAATTTTCTTTGGATTTTAAAGATTTGGTAATGCTCATGGGGTGCTGGTGGTGAAAATAAACACCCAAAAAATTAGGAAGATTTATTGAAATAACGTTATACTATAGTCAATAGTATCTATGATGTCATATTTTTGGTCCTGACTCCTTGTATATCTTATCTGACAGTCACAGGTTGAAGGCTATGCAGCAACCTTCATGGCAAAATGAGGACTCTTCAAAGTCCAACACCAACCAGAACACATACTGCCTATCCAATAGGAGAGCAAGCTTTTACTACAGTTGCACTAAATATTATCCAAGTTCAATATTTGTTTGTAAAGTAGCAATTTTAATGCAAGCAAGTAAGTTATGGAGCGGGGGCACTCATACAATATGCTGCATTCTCTGTGTCACTTTCTTCTTCTTTGTCCTCACTGCTGTTTGCCTCATTTGCCGTGTAATTCCGTTGGCTTTGGTGATCCTCATTATTTTGTTTTAGCTGTACTCGCAAACTGTCCATTCAACGCAGTTCATAACAGCAGGGAAAGATTGGAAACAGGAAATATGATTGGAGTTGCAGTGTGGTATTGTAGGGCTATACCCCAAGTCTGCTTTATACATTCTGAGAAGTTGCATGCAAAAATACTGTCCTACCATTCACAGTCAGAATTGTCATATAAATAGTATGATACCTGGAAAAGGAAGCTGAACAGACAAGGGAAATTCCAAGTGCCAACAGCTCAGTCTCTTAGTAGATGTAATGAGTAATATAACATTTTGGGGGGATGACTAATTAGCCTCTTGTTTATGTTTCATTTAATCATTGCAGTAGTGTTTAAAGTCATCGTTTTCAGATTAGTTTAATGAAACACACACAGTTATGTAATTATTTTGAAATATGTTGGGGTCAATTTCAACGCCAAAGGATGTAGTTCCTATTCATGGAAGCCACCATGAAGCTTAGAAATTTTTCTCTCTTTAGGAAACTGGAACCTGGAACAGGGAAAGCAGAGGAGGGCTCCTCCTTTCCTTCACATGCTCTGGTCCTTTTCTTGCCAGGAACAAGCCATTGCTGGCAATACTGGACACTTTGATCCCAATCAAGAAAACATTTGTCAAAGCTGTCCCATTGAAACCAATGGAACTTAGGTTATTTGCTACTAACCTAAGTCCAACTGCTTTAAAAAGACTCACTCAGAATAACCTAAATTATAGCTAAAGGTAAAGGTAAAGGGACCCCTGACCATTAGGTCCAGTCGTGGCTGACTGGGGTTGCGGCGCTCATCTCGCTTTATTGGCCAAGGGAGCCGGAATACAGCTTCTGGGTCATGTGGCCAGCATGACTAAGCCGCTTCTGGCAAACCAGAGCAGTGCACGGAAATGCCATTTACCTTCCCGCTGGAGCGGTACCTATTTATCTACTTGCACTTTGACGTGCTTTCAAACTGCTAGGTTGGCAGGAGCAGGGACCAAGCAACGGGAGCTCACCCCGTCGTGGGAATTCGAACGGCCGACCTTTTGATCGGCAAGCCCTAGGCTCTGTGGTTTAACCCACAGCACCACCCACGTCCCTAAATTATAGCTATTGACTATCAGAGTCGTCCGCAACCGGACCTAATGGTCAGGGGTCCCTTTACCTTTACCTTTTTACTCTCAGAGTCACTTTGGAAAATTGTTCAAAAAGTTGGATTTGGGTCTCGATTATTTTTTGAAAGTGTACAATTTATGCCATGGATTGGTTGTGACCTTAGGAAGTCAGCGTTCTCCCATTTTGGTTCCCCACCTGAAGAAACGGGGGAAATGGTGACTTGACTCAGTTTCAGATCAGGTAGGATCAGTTTGTGTCCAGTTCTGGGCACCACAGTTCAAGAAGGACACTGACAAACTGGAACGTGTCCAGAGGAGGGCAACCAAAATGGTCAAAGGCCTGGAAACGATGCCTTATGAGGAACGGCTAAGGGAGCTGGGCATGTTTAGCCTGGAGAAGAGGAGGTTAAGGGGTGATATGATAGCCATGTTCAAATATATAAAAGGATATCACATAGAGGAGGGAGAAAGGTTGTTTTCTGCTGCTCCAGAGAAGCGGACACGAAGCAATGGATCCAAACTACAAGAAAGAAGATTCCACCTAAACATTAGGAAGAACTTCCTGACAGTAAGAGCTGTTTGACAGTGGAATTTGCTGCCAAGGAGTGTGGTGGAGTCTCCTTCTTTGGAGGTTTTTAAGCAGAGGCTTGACAACCATATGTCAGGAGTGCTCTGATGGTGTTTCCTGCTTGGCAGGGGGTTGGACTCGATGGCCCTTGTGGTCTCTTCCAACTCTATGATTCTATGATTCTGTGATTCTATGATTCTAGGAACATTAAGAAGCTGAAAAGCACACGCAAAAAGTAGTACAGTGGTACCTCGGGTTACATACGCTTCAGGTTACATACGCTTCAGGTTACAGACTCCGCTAACCCAGAAATATCACCTTGGGTTAAGAACTTTGCTTCAGGTTGAGAACAGAAATTGTGCAGCAGCGGTGCAGCAGCAGGAGGAGGCCCCATTAGCTAAAGTGGTGCTTCAGGTTAAGAACAGTTTCAGGTTAAGAACGGCCCTCCGGAACGAATTAAGTACGTAACCAGAGGTACCACTGTATATGACTGAGAGTTGCTAGTAATATTTGCCCTAATCAGGTTTCCAAAATACACAATGATAGTCACATGCAGCAGAAGAACAGAGCTGCGTACATTTGCCTCACCGCTGTGCACTGATGCTCTAGCAACGCTTGTCAGGGTTTACATTCATAGGGACAGCATACATGTGTTTAGCAGAATGAATGCCCTCAACCTGTGGACAGTTACAGAGGAGCTACATGCAGTGTGATGGCAGATAATATTAAGCAAGCATGATCCCACTTCCCTTCTTGACATGGTTATTGTAGCTTATTTTTCAGTGCTTTAATAGGGGTGATGGTTATGTTACAGAACGGTTATGGGGCTTACAGAGCAATCCTATGCATGTTTACTGAGAAGCAAGCCCCACTGTGCTCAGTTGACCTTTACTCCTGGGTAAGTGTGCCGGTGTTTATAAATGCACTAGTCAGAACATGGTACAGAAGGGAGAATTATTATTGTGACATGAAGCTAGCAGAATATTATAGTAGTCAGTCTGATTTGAAGGTATCCTAGTCTTAGATTGTGCTTGAATATTATTCCGCTGAGGATGCTGTGTAACACTCCCTTACTCTTAATGGCCATTTCCTGACACTGGAACTCTGAAAAGACTGAGCTTATCTTCCTGCTTGCCAGTGTGTTAAACAATGGATGCAGCCTCCTACAGAGAAATGACATTGTTCAGTATTTTTGCATCCCTTTGAACCAACACATTTGCACCCAAGTTTGTTTCTACAAAGGCAGATCTAAGGATGCTACAAGCTGCCTTTTACTGGCTGAATGTTCAAAGACAGCAGTTGAATATATCAGTACTGCAATCGTTTGCCAGGAAGGTAAAGAGAGGAATTTATTCCTAACTTCAGGGGACTTCTACATCAGTGGTGGCCAGGATCCACAGACTCTAGGGGCCCTGCCAAACGCAGAAATTGTCTTAGATTTTCATAGAAGGGAATTTTGTTGTATAATAAAATCAGTTCTGTTTTTTTCTCTGACATCAACTTTAATGTTATAGATGCATTTATAACATATGCATTCTGAAGATATGTACTTCATGTTTCAGTAAATTGCTTCTCATAAGAGTTATTGCTATCAAAAGACATATTACTGGATTCAGGTGTATAATCAAACTAAACAGGGGCCTCCAAATGTATTTAGCACTGAACTAAATCTGTTGTGGCGCGTCTGCAATTAATAGAAGATGTACTTTCCTGCTGTTTAATACTATTTTATTCAAGCATGTTGAAAGAAAGAATAGCTTACTTTGGTTTCTTGATTAGTTACTCATTTTCAATCTTTATTATTCATGAGGGCTGTTGGGGGCTATTGTTTTGTTTTTGTTTATATATATGTTGTGGTTTTATTTTGTATTTTTATCCTGTGAATTGCCCTGAGATTGATTAATAATAATGATGATGATGATGATGATGATGATGATAATGTTAAATGAATCTGTATTTTGATCTGGGAAGATTCTAACAGACTTTTAGTTTCTCCGTCCTCCACCAGTCGTGGACTGTGGGCCGGGGGGGGAGGGGTGGCATTATTAATCCAGGAAGATTGTCCTTTCAGGGCTCTACCATCGCCATCGATCCCTGGCATTGAATGTGTTGGCCTAGTGTGGGGCTCCGAGGAGAGCTTGGCTGTCTGGCTGGTGTACCGGCCACCTAGCACACCAGCAGCCACCCTGTCAGGCCTATTGGAGGCGGTGGCCGGCTGGGCCTTGGAGTTCTCTAACCTATTGGTATTGGGGGACTTCAACATCCATGCTGATGCCACTCCCTCCTCACAGGCTCTGGACCTGGTGTCTTCCATGGCGACACTAGGGCTCTCCCAGTTTGTTTCGGGCCCCACACATCAAGCAGGCCACATGCTGGATTTGATCTTTGGCGTAGGTATAGATGTGATCATGTCTCCTTCGATGAAGGTGCCATGGTCTGATCACTACGCTCTGAAAGCCAGGATTGACTTTCCACCCCCACCCTGCTTAGGTGGCGAGCCGATTTGGGCTCGCCCACAGAGGCTGATGGACCCTGATAGATTCCGCCAAGCCTTGCGGGACCTTGCTCCCCCTGGCGACTCATTGACTGAGCTTGTTGAGGGCTGGAATATCCAGCTCCTGGCAGCCATCGATGAGATCGCACCTAAGCGCCCTCTGCGACCCCGCAGAAACCGGGCTCCCTGGTTTACGGAAAATGAAGTGGGACCTCAGACGGCTAGAGCGAGTATGGCGGGGTGCCTGTGACGGAGCCTCAAGAACATCTTATAGGGCTTTTATGAAAACCTATGAGATGGCGGTGAAGGCTGCTAAGAAGTCTTACTTCTCGGCCTCATTGCATCCGCTAGCTCTCGCCCGGCACAATTATTTAGTATAATTAGGTCTTTAACGTCCCTTGAGGGACAGCCAAATTTAAATAACAATTTGACACACAGCTGTGAGGCATTTGCGAGCTTTTTTGCGGAGAAGGTCTTGTTGCTCCGCCATGACCTCCCTGCCAATTTGGATACAATAACTGGAGGCCCCTCGACTGTCTTCGGGTCCAGTATTGGACCACTTTGACCGGATATCCCCAGCCGATGTGGACAGACTCCTCCGAGCTGGAAAGCCCACCACCTGTCCTCTCAACCCGTGCCCGTCTTGGCTGATTAGAGCGTGTCCAGACGAGGTGCGGGCCCTCCTGGGGGATATCATCAATTTGTCCCTTGGCACGGGACATTCCCAGGGGAACTGAAGGAGGCAGTGGTGCGCCCGCTCTTAAAGAAAACATCATTAGATCCTTTAGATCTATCCAATTACCGCCCGGTTTCGAATCTTCCATTCCTGGGTAAGGTAATTGAGAGAGCGGTTGCTGAACAGCTTGGTGGGTTTCCGTGCTGGTCATGGGACCGAGACGGCTCTGGTTGCCCTAACAGATTATCTTCGTAGACAGCTGGATCGAGGCGGGTCGGGGCTGCTGATTCTTCTAGATCTGTCAGCAGCTTTCGATATGGTCAATCACGAACTCCTGGACCACCTCCTTGCCGACGTGGGGAGCCAGGGCACAGTCCTTCAATGGCTGCGCTAGTTTCTCTCTGGTTGGGGACAGAGGGTGGCGCTTGGGGGGGAATTGTCATCGTGCCACTCCTTGGTGTGTGGAGTACCTCAGGGTGCGATACTCTCCCTGATGCTTTTCAACATCTTTATGCGCCCCCTCGCCCAGCTTGTCCGGAGTTTTGGGCTGGGTTGCCATCAGTATGCCGATGACACCCAACTCTATCTGTTGATGGATGGCCATCCTGACTCGGCCCCAGACACACTGACCAGATGTTTGGAAGCTGTGGCTGGATGGTTACGTGGGAGCCGGTTGAAGCTAAATCCTTCGAAGACAGAGGTCCTGTGGCTGGGACGGGACGATATGGGATTGGGGGGGCAACTCCCATCTCTTGCGGGGGTGCAATTAGTGCCAGCACTGTCCGTTAAGAGTTTGGGTGTAATCTTCGACACCTCCCTTTCCATGGAGGCACAGATTGCAGCTATAACAAAGGCGGCATTTTTCCATCTCCGCCAAGCTAAGCAGTTGGCTCCTTACCTCTCTCGCCCTGACCTAGCCACTGTGATCCACACGACGGTCACCTCCAGACTGGATTATTGTAACTCGCTCTACGTGGGGCTGCCGTTGAGACTGACCCAGAAACTCCAGCGGGTGCAGAATGCTGCAGTGAGACTCCTTACGGGGTCCTCGCTGCGAGATCACATTCACCCGGTGCTATACCAGCTGCACTGGCTCCCGGTGGAGTACAGGATCAGGTTTAAGGTGCTGGTTTTAACCTTTAAAGCCCTATACGGCCTAGGACCCTCGTACCTACGGGACCGCCTCTCCTGGTATGTCCCACAGAGAAACTTATGGTCTTCAAATAAAAACATCTTGAAGGTCCCAGGCCACAGAGAGGTTAGGCTGGCCTCAACTAGAGCCAGGGCTTTCTCGGCTGTGACTCCGATCTGGTGGAACACTCTGTCACAGGAGACTAGGGCCCTGTGGGACTTGACATCTTTCCGCAGGGCCTGCAAGACAGAGCTGTTCCACCAGGCCTTTGGCCAGGGCACAGCCTGACTCCCTCCTTCGGCAATCTTCGCGGAGCTCTGAATTAATTTTATAATGAATGATTTTAGAGTGTGTTGTTGTGTTGTACTGTTGTACTGTTTTATTGTTGTTAGCCGCCCTGAGCCCGGCTTCGACTGGGGAGGGCGGGATATAAATAAAATTTATTATATTATTTTAACAATTCTTAAAGGGGCCTCAGTACTCTAGGCATAGCTCTTCAATCAGAAAATATTTACTACCTGTAGGTAATCACAAAGTGCTGCTGTTCTGAATTACTGGTATATGCATAACTGGTAACTGCCAATACCAGTTGGATAAACTATAGTTTGTGGTGGATTTAGTGACTCCCAGATCTGTAACAATTATGTATTCCTTATTTATCCCTAGTTTTAAGTTTACTTTTCCATGCTTGAAATCAAGAGAAAACTAAAAAAGATTATTTAATGTGGTAGAATTACAAATGTTTATGAACAATATTCTAGGTATTATTGTTGGTGCATTTCATTCGAAGAATGTTACTGTGCTTTGTTTCCCCCTATGCAGGTGTTCACAAGTACTGACACTGGTATGAAGAAAATGTAGAAAGAATGAAATGACAGACGATTAAGATTATGCCTGCCTTGCTGGGGCTTCCGTGGTCACTCTTTGCAGAAGATGGATGACTTTTCCGAGGACATCGCAAACGACAATAATACTCTGAATTGCACCATTGATCACACCATACACCAGACATTATCACCTGTGATATATGTCCTTGTCTTTGTAGTAGGACTCCCAGCCAACTGTCTCTCGTTGTACTATGCCTATTTGCAGGTGAAGGTCAAAAATGAGTTGGGGATCTACCTTTGCAATTTGACCATAGCAGATCTGCTTTACATCTTCTCCCTGCCCTTTTGGCTCCAGTATGTTTTGCAGCATGACAACTGGACCTATGATGAACTCTTGTGCAAAATTTGTGGCATTGTCTTGTATGAAAATATTTACATCAGTGTTGCCTTCCTCTGCTGCATCTCGATTGACCGTTACCTGGCTGTGGTGCATCCTTTTCGCTGCCATCAGTTTCGAACAATGAAGGCTGCCGTGGTGGTGAGCATTGCCATCTGGGCCAAGGAAATTCTGACCTCCTGCCTTCTTTTTACGCACGGTGAAGTGACTAAGGACTCGGAGAGCCATGTGGTGTGCTTTGAGCATTATCCCATCAAAACGTGGGAACACAACATCAATTATTACCGTTTCACGGCTGGTTTCCTATTTCCCTTTTGTCTGCTCATTTTCTCTTACTATGGCATTCTGCGAGTTGTCCGCAAGAGCCATGGCACTCAGAAGAAGAAGAAGATTCAAATTATACGTCTGGTGTCGAGCACAATTATCATTTTCTTGGTGTGCTTCGGACCATATCATGTTCTATTGCTGATACGCAGCATCTTTGAAAACAGCTGTGAATTTGCTGCCAGCATCTTTAACTTGTACCACATTACACTTTTGTTGACTACTTTTAATTGCGTTGCAGACCCAATATTGTACTGCTTTTCAAGTGAGAGTACCTATCAGTATTTTGCAAAATTAGGAGACACTTGTTTAAAGTGCCTAAGATGTATACAGACAGAAACCAAGGAATCCTACGCAATGAGTACTCCAGAAACTGTAAAAAAAATCCGGGAGCAGGCTGAGCTGGACCCAGAGTTGTTAACTAAGTTACATGCTCGTGAAGTGGAAGAAACATCTATCAGCGCTTTACCAAAGGAAGGAGTGATCTAACGTCTCTGTACATTTGCTCACTTCCCTTTTTGGAGTATAGATGTATAGGAATTATTATATCTTGCAAAGAGGGACAATAGTTCAAAAAGGCAATCAACTGCACTATACTGGTATTCTTTTTTTTTGTAACATAGTTTTCATTCATTTTCAGCTTTAATATGTTTTGGTTGCATTGAGATATACCTTTGTTAACATCAGAGCATATGATATGCAACAATTTCATAAAATTAAAACAATAAACACTCAGATAAGCATTTCTGAATATATTAACAAAGTTGTGTCTAAGGGTATATACCAAAATTATTACAATTATTACAGATATGATATGATTTATAGTAACATGTATTGCTTAGATTGATGACCACAAGTTAAAGGTATTTTGTATCAATAACAATTAAAATTTATAGGATCGGGCAGGGAGGAGGGAAGGTGGTAGGGGGGGAGGAGTACTTAATGCACACCAGACTGTGCTGTAAACTATGGGTACCACATGCTTCATTATTTGTGTAGCCAATAAAATCATACCAGACTGCTTAAAAATTGTTGTATTTCAATTTGAACCCTTGCTACTTTTAATTTTTGTGTCAGCTTTTCCATAGTTAATAGCTGTAATAATTTCCATTTCCTGGCAACAGTTGTTCAGGCAGTGGTTAAATTATGTTTTCTTTGTTTCTAATTCGCAACATATAATGACTATACAAGTTAAGAGGATCCAGTTCTGGGGTCATGAGGACTGTCTGACTTGTAATCAAAGAAATTTCTGTAAATACATTTCCCCAGAACCTTTCTATTTTTGGACACTCCCACCACATGTGGTATGTCCCTATAGTGGGGCATCCTCCCCAACACATGGGAGAACTGTTTGGTTTTATATAGGCTAGGTGTCTAGGTGTTAAGTACTAGAAGCACACAATTTTAAGGGCTCTTTTTCTGGTCGTTGCCAATGTGCCAATTCTGGTCGTTGCCAATGCTTTTGTATATAGTGCCAATGTGTATGGTGCTTTTGTCTATAGTCTGTTCTGTGTCAGTGGGTCCCTAAGTTCTAAACAACCATTTTGGTTTCCCTACGCTGATATTCTTCATTCTACTTGGGGAATTCCTTAGTTCCTTTAAAGTCATTTAGAGCTTTACTCTAGAGCAGGCTAATTATACAAAGTGACTAATCATACATCCTATGCATATTGCTGACTCAGTCCTGTAAAATATTCTATCTGAAGACAGGACTTGTGGAAATAAATGTATTAGTGTTCCGGTATTGTTTTAAGAAATCTGAATGTAGTGAAGCATTATTTGACAGATGACCAAAGCATGATATTCAAATGATCATTTAATTTAAGAGGTGGAATATAATCACATTTAAAAGTGCAACCTATATATGGGATGTCTTGTCTATCAATCTGTGCATTAAAAAAGTTCTGAAATGGTTCATATCACTACTCTTCAATGGGGGAAATGAGCAGCTAAATCATTGCATTAATGCAGCAAGAGAAAGGCCCTTAATCCCTTTTTTTTTTTTTGCAAACCATGGAAAAAGTTAGTATGTTGATCTGAATTAGTATAATTCATTATTCATAAAAGCATACCTGAAAGAATTCATACAGAAACCTGGTTCCATAAAGGTTACCCGTACCCACTGAGTTTCACAACTGATTGTGGACAATTAAACATATTTTAAGGACTCCCAAACAAGCTGAAGAACTGTTTGTAAATTCTGAGTCACAACTGAAATGCTACAGCTGTGGATTCCGGCTCTTAAACCATGCTTAGATGAGGATTATTGGGATTTCCATAACTAAAGCAGTAAGAATAGTGCATATTGTATGAGATTTTTAAGTGGCAATTAACAAAAAGCAGCGAGAAACCCAATGAAGAAAGTCAAGTTGTATATTGTTGCAAAGAAAAACCATAGGGTCCAGGTGCTGGAATTAATATTTGGCAAGACAAAATCTTGATGAAATATGCTAGAACCAATTGCCAAAACAAAATGTATTCTAGCCCAGAAGAGGATTAATTTTGTTTAGCTTAACACTCAGTGTATTTTATAGTTCTGTGTAGTGAATTTTTACTTTGAGCCAAGAATCTAAACTGCACAGTTATCTCATGGTCACTATTTTGTTGTGTTTGGTTTGGTTTCCTTTGCTGTGTGGGCTAACATTTTTTGAATGCAATATTGCTGAGCAGGGCCATATACAACTCATGCTTACTGTCAGCTGCTGACATGGAAATGAGCAAGACAGTATAAGACATAATCATGACTTGAATAAAAGTGACTGAACCCATTTGTTGGGATTGCTACTTTATGACTGTGTTATCTTAAAGCAAGAGGACACAGCAAAATGTAGTTATCCAGAAAAAGGTTCAGTACCGAAGTGCATTCCTAATGCTCAGAAATACACTTTCCTCTTCCCAATATTATTACAATAATAATAATTATCTTTAAGGAAATATCAGGAACACCTCAAACAGACATAGGGACACATTGGCTGCTTCTCTAATGGGCCAAGGGTGTGACACTTCAAAATATAGACACAATGAGAAACAATAGCAGCCTTGGGGATGTCTTGGTAAAAATATTTCCCCATCTGCATAGAAATTCACTGTCATTGTGAACGGCCTGTTCGCATTTATATTAAGGAAAAGATTGTAACAACATAAACAAGATTGTGCTGGAAAAAACAAACACTGTGGCAATAATTCATTGTAAGATTAATTTATTGTAAATTCATGGTAAGAGATCACATTCATCTGTTAAAAAATAAATGTCTGACTTGTAGCAACCATTAAGGCAAATGAAGTAACTTTTAAAGTAATGACCGTATCGTCACTCAGAAAAAATTCTGGGTCAGGGCAAACATCTGTTGAAGATGGCAGTAATATTTCTACTAAACTAAACATTCCACAAGGATAAACAAACCAGGAACTGGTTCTGAATGCAACAGAGCTGAGCAGCGGCATATAACACTCATGCTTACTGTCAGCTGCTGACATGGAAACCTAGACTGCCCAATATCCATAGATACAGACCATTAAGAAACATTTCCACAAATTCTGATGTTTAAATGCTGTCTCATTTTCCCAATCTTAAATTCAGCTCTCCACATTTCTGCATCAGGTTGAGATTTTTTTTCTAAGTGTCCTCATGAAAATTCACCAACATTTTAGTGCAAATTTATCATAAAATGCACTTTTCCATATGAAAATCCATTTTTCTGTGCTATTATCACCAATATACAGAAAGCATTTTTATCCACACTTCACCCTATTACATGTATTTTTGTACACATTACTTGACTGGGAAACTGCACTGCAAAATTCAGAGAAGTGCAAATTTTGAAGGATGGCTGTGTTTTGATTTGTGTACTGCTGTGGACAGTGTGAATTCAGTGAGTTTTACTGTGAACTGAATTGAATTTCTCCTCCATCCCTACTGAGCCTGTGTTTTCCCCATTCCTTGCCTCCAGCACAGCTACAAGGAAGAGGAGATCAGAATCTTCCACCTCCATTTTGGCATCATACTGGAAGCCTAAGCTATGGTCAACCTTAACTAGGTGCTATTGAAACAAACCAGCTTAATAAACCAAGATTTGAAGTTGGCTAGTTTCATAGTTCGGACTTAACACAGTTTGTTTGGGTTTGGACATAATGCTAAACTGTGTTCAGCATTATGTCTGAATGAGGCGAGTGTGTTTGCTTTATCACTCTGAAATGCAGAGAAAAATAGATAGCTGAACAGAATCACAGAATAATAGAGTTGGAAGGGACCCCGAGAAGGTCATCTTTTTATCAGTCTTTTTCTTCTTTTTGCAAAGTCTACATATCTTTATTTATTTATTTTATTTATTAAAATATTTATATATCACTATTAGAAATAAAATAAAAATCAGCATCTTGTTGGGTAGAGTTACTTCAGAGTTTCCTCCAGCAGCTTCTCAAGCATAGCTGAATGAATGTCATAGAATGGCAGCCCATCTACTTCCATTTCCAGACTAGCAGTTTTCCCACTGCGTACTTCGAGTCGCTGTAATATGTTCAGCAACCTTTCTTCCTGCACAAAAAAGTGAGATATTATTGTCAGTACAGCTGTTATTCAGAAACTGTTCAACAAGACCATGCTAAACCATTCAAGATATTCCACTCATTGGTTTTTGAAAACTACTTCTCACACAACCAATAGACAGATCAGAGACGTACCTCGTGAGATAAAACTCTGGCATGGTCTGTTTGCTGTCTTTTGAGATTATGCAAGACTATCAGTTTCTACTGACACCTTTGAGAATTCAGTCATGCTGAACATCATCACATGTAGAGTTCAGTACATATAGGATAGGTTAGGAAAGGAAAGGAAAGGGAAGGAAAGAAGGAAAGGTCAATATGGTAAGCCAACCTCTCAAAAACTCCTTTGAGAAGATTGCTTACCTTCTTGGGCTTGATATCCTGCCTTTCACTCCCCTTAAGGAGTCTCAAAGCAGCTAACAATCTTCTTTCCCTTCCTCCCCCACAACAAACACTCTGTGAGGTGAGTGAGGCTGAGAGACTTCAGAGAAGTGTGACTAGCCCAAGCAGCTGCATGTGGAGGAGCAGGGAAGCGAACCCGGTTCACCAGATTACGAGTCCACCACTCTTAACCACTACACCACACTGGCTTCTGAGGGCCAGCGCCTCCTTCCCACCAATGATGCAGGGCTGGGACACCAGGGCTAGTCTTGCTGAAGCATGAGCTTTGACATGCGCTCCCGGCTTGAAATCCAGCTCCACACCAGCCTGCCGAATTGGCCAATGACAGGCTGGCACAGAGGGCGGGACTCCTCGGGGGGCATGCCTGAGGGAACCATCAGGCTTCCCTCAGGTCCACTCCCAGGGGATTTAAACAGCCCACGCCAGCCCCTGACACCCAGCTCTTCTCCTTGCTTTCCCCTCCAGAAATAGGGTATCCCATTAAAGGGATCTGTGAAGGAGTTGCTTCTGTCCATTTGCCCAGACAGGGGCTTGGGTCTCAGTGCAAAAGAAATGACACCTAAACTATGCTTTTAAAATTATATAGTAATAGAATTTCAGGAGCTGGCATGTTCTCCAGAGTGAATGAGCAATTCGGATTAACAGCTGGAAATCAGATGATGATTCTTAATTATTAGAAGCAGAAAACTGGGGAGCAAAAGTTCATGAGAGGCTCAGCTTAGGTGGACAAATCTTTGAAGGATATAGTTAGATTTAAATTCTGAGGGCTGGAAAGTGTTGTCCCTCACAAATGTTGAATTGTTCTATGTATGAAGCCACTCTGCATTACATTTCCTGGGTTTGGTTTTACTTAAGTCTGGAGTTTGTGTAGTTGCCTTATTTGTGAGTGCAGAAGGAAATTTCACCTGGGTCAAATGGACTAGTGGACTTTTACTTTTGCTTGATTATTATTATTCTACTGTACAGCTTCACTTGAGTCATGTATTGCTATATGGTCTTTAGGTAAGGTAATTCAGGTACCGTACTTTCTCTCTTATAAGAGAACACAGGGTTATAGCTTGTACAGGTAGATTGAAGGATGATGAATAGGTTGTTGTTTGTCATTTGGACAAAGAACATTAGATGGCCTTTGGTCTCCTACAACCTTATCTGCTGTGAGACCCTTTAAAAATGAACCAACCAATGTTATTTGTTGCTATTAAATTCAGGCAGTCATTGTTGGGAGCAAAAAATGAAAATGTTTTTAGTCTCATATTAATATCAGGCTATTTAGAGAGAATAAAGCAATCTCTTTGGCCAATGACTAGTGTTTAAAGAAGAAAATTTGTACAAATATATAAAACAACACCAAACAAAACAAAATACTATAATAATAAAATTACTAGTGATTGTATATACAGAACACTAGCAATAGAAAACAACATTCTAATTTTCTGAAATTAGTTTCTGGAGAATTTTGCATACAGCAGCACGGTATTTAGCCACACTGGAAGAGGGGGACTTATAATATGTCTTTGTCCCTTAAGCACTTAATGGGCACAGCTCTTTTCCCACGGCTACAACAGTGATGACTTCTACATATCAGAAAATGAGGCCTAGATGTGAATATCCTAATACAATCTTTTTGGACTATCTTCTTCAAAGGGAATACCTTGGCCACAGATGGAAGTGCTGATGACCATTTCATTTTGGCAGATGACCTAGGAAATCCCACAGCTTTCCTCAGATAGCGGTCATGTATTTCACAGGTGTTGAGGATATATAGGGCGCAAGCGACAGCATAGCCTCCCCAGTTAGAAACCCCTTAAAAAGGAAAAAAAATACTATTAAATAGAACGCACAAGTTTTGAATGTCTGTAAGGTGTTCAAAGAAGGTATCAACCGAACAACCTATAAACCTACGGACTGCCAGCTCTTTAATAATAATAATAATAATAATAATAATAATAATAATAATAATATATTTATACCCCACCCACTCTGGGCAGCTCCCAATCAAGTGTTAAAAACAATACAGCATTAAATATTAAAAACTTCCCTAAACAGGGCTGCCTTCAGATGTCTTTTAAAAATAGGATAGCTGCTTATTTCCTTCACATCTGAAGGGAGGGCATTCTATATGGCTGGTGCCACTACCGAGAAGGCCCTCTGTCTGGTTCCCTGTAACCTCACTTCTCGCAATGAGGGAACCGCCAGAAGGCCTTCAGCGCTGGATCTCAGTGTCCAGCTGAATTTAATGCCATTGACACCTACATGATAGAAGGAAATTTAAAAGGGAGAAGCATTCCCTCACTGTTAGGTCTAGGCTCAGCCGGCAGTGTACAATCCTTTGGTGGGCTTCCTCTATGGTGGGATTCCACTGGGTCATGCCAGTGAATCATGGTTGGGTTAGATAAGGAACTAACATATTGTTATGAGTACGGGGGGGCGGGGCGTGTGGATCCCCATAATGTCTGGATTTAGTAGATGATAGAATTAATGAAGGTTTGGTTAAAACTGTGACAAATGCTGTAACCCCTGGGCTAAGCTTATGGTAACAACAGGCCAACTTGGCATAGCCGCTAAATTAGGCCATTAGCAGGGGACTATCAAGGAAATCATCGGAGGGCAAAGGCTGCCAGACATGCAGGGAGGGGCTCCTCCTTCACCTGTGTGTGCTAGTGGGCAGGGAAAGAAAAGGTTTGGGGTTTCAGTGTAGGTGATACAGGCTGAAGGAAAATTATGGTGTTTTGCAAGAGCTTTGAAAATCGGGGGGGGGGGGAGGAGGAAGGGGGCAGAACACCATGTGAGCTGAGGAAGACAGGATGGAACAAAGACACGAAGAGAGGATGGCAGATTTCTCTGTCTACTAAGTTTGCTAAGCCTATGGAAGAATCTGAATGAATGAATCTTTACTGCTAAAAGCTATAAGCCATCACAAATGGTCACAATGTATAGGATGCAAATAATTGATTTAAAACTGAACAGCAACAACAGCAAAGCAAACGTACAAAAATGCAAAAATCACTCTTGCATATGTTAAGCACTCCACGTCTCACACTCCCCCTTATGATACCTGATCAGATCTGCAGGATCTGATTTCTTTCCGCAGGGCCTGTAAGAAAAGAGTTGTTCCGCCTGGCCTTTGGCTTGGAATCAACTTGATCCCCTCCCCCACGTTACTTTTTTCTTTCTCCTTCTGTGATGGAACTCCTATTTGGGGACTTCCCTGGCTTTTTTCTGGCCCATGTAGGACCAGTCTGGGTAGTTGGCCTTGGTGAAGATTTGACGTTTTCATCCCCAAAAAAGTTTTTGATTTGAGTTTCTACTGAAATGAGGCTGCATTTTAATGTTGTATTTTAACCTTGTTTTTAAGTTGTATTTTAATCAATTATTTTTATACCTGGTGTTAGCCACCCTGAGCCCGGTCTTGGCTGGGGAGGCCGGGGTATAAATAAAATTTATTGTTATTATTATTATTGTCTTGGTGCCTAACTCTCTTCTATGGAAGAATCAAGAGGTGATGATGATGATGATGATGATGATGATAAGCTACCTGCAAAATTTCATCTTGGCATCTCAATGGGAATAATAATAATAATAATAATAATAATAATAATAATATGCCAGTAGTGAAGCAGCCAGAAAATTGTGGGGTGGGGGGTGTTGTTGGGCACATGCAGGTTGAGTGAGGCAGGTAAGTCACATTGTGCAAGTGACTTGCACAGATCAGATGCATTTGTTTAATAATGCCCTCTGTTCCATGTAAGTGTTCCAATTTCATATATACATTTGGCCCGTTCTTCACTTACCTGCAACAACTGTAAAATCAGCGTCCACGTTACAAGCTATAACATCTCCATTTTTAATGTACTTCTTTACAGCTTCTTTCACTTTTCCCATTCCCAATTCATTTCCTCCATCCCCAATGCCTAAATTAAAATTGACAAGGTATGGTGAAATATCATACTTATTTATAAATACAGTATAAACCGTTAATGAAGCATACAATGTTACTTTAGTGGAGGGTTGGGTGTATTGTTGTTTTTTAATAGCTAGGTGGTTCAATTATTATTTAACATACAACTTTTATTATAAAACTAAAAGCATTGAACAACAACTACATGAAATCCATGAATACAAAGTTAAAAACACAGCAATGCTTAAACTAATTTAACATCAAATTATCAAGGAAAATTTAAATTATTGGTAAATTGTTAATCCTGGCATATATTATCCGGGAGCAAAGGTCCTGCTGGTGGGCGACCTAAACGCAAGGTTAGGTCCTGATGACCCCAGTTTACAAACCAAATACAAGCAAAAAATAGGGTACCCTGACAATTTGGGCCCGGAGGTTTTACAACTACCAAGGCAGTCAAAGGATCAACATTCAAATTTTGCTGGAGCCTGCCTCCTCAAATTCTCTAGGCAGCTAAGTCTTCATATCCTAAATGGTTGCACCAGGGGCGACATCCCCGGGGAATATACATTCATGTCTGGGGTAAGATCCAGCACAATTGATTATATGTTGGCGGACAGCGAATTGCTAACAAAAATAGTGAATTTAAAAGTGCTCCCATTCATAGAGGGGGACCATTTCCCTTTGCACCTCCAGGTGTCTCCGTTAAACGAGTCACCCTTCCTGAGAACAGTATACCCTGCAGAGATCACCACATTAGAGCGACCTGGCTGCCGAGTCAAATGGACCCCTGCACTTGACTCCAAACTGAAGAAGATTCTAACCTCTGAAAAACTCCGTACAATTTTAACTGACTTTGGGGATAATCCTAGGCCTGAGGACCCAGTTTCCAAGTATGAGAGCCTGCTCCAACAACTGAAACCCTATCTTTTTAATACCACAGAAAAAAGGCCAACTAAACCAAAAACATCAAATAAACCCTGGTTTGATTACACCTGCTTTGAGGCAAAGAAAGCCCTGCAAAATGCTTACAAAGCTGCCCTGACAGCCGAAAATTCTGTCAGACACCAAGCCTATCTTGCTGTCCGTGCCCTAAAAAAAGAGTATAAAGACCTAATACTCCACCAAAAGAATGCCTATACCAGAAAATGCTGGCTAGAATTAATTAGTGCGGCAAAAGCAAAAGATCAGACACTATTTTGGAAACTGGTAGCTTCTGGCCACCCATAAAGCTATTTCCCCCCTTAACCTCACAAATTCCCCCTAGCCTTTTGGGTCTCATTCTTCCAATCTTTGTATGAGGATGCTGAACCTCCACTACGGAATTATAATATAGAACAACTGGCTAAATGGCCTCCAGTTTCAATAACTGAAGTGAAATCATATATAAACCAACTGAAAACGGCCAAAGCCCCAGGCTCAGACGGCATTACACCAGAAATGATAAAAGCACAGGCGGATTGGTGGGCACCTTTCTTAGCCAACCTCTTCACTTACATAGATGACACTGGCCGCATCCCAAGGGAATGGGGAACAGCCATAATAGTCCAAATCTATAAAACGGGCAACAAAGGGGACCCAGCGAATTATAGGCCGATTAGCTTATTAAGTGTGATTAGTAAACTCTACTCAAAGCACCTCCTTAATAAGTTTACAGAGTGGCTAGAGAATGAAGATATCCTGGCAATAGAACAAGCAGGCTTCAGACCCGGAAGGTCCACGATAGATCACTGCCTAACGTTACAACATCTCATCGACAAATACAAATCAGGAGGGCAGGCCTCACTATACGCTGCCTTCGTTGACCTAAAAGCAGCCTTTGATACAGTCTCCAGAACCAGACTCTGGGACAGACTACAGAGTACCAATATAGATAGAAGACTCCTGCTCCTAATTCAGGCACTGCACGCAAACACGGCTCTTAGAGTCAGGTGCAGCCGCCTAGGACACCTAACGGACCCAATAAAAACCTTCAAAGGAGTCAGGCAAGGGTGCCTATTGGCCCCTCTACTATTTAATTTCTATCTAAATAACTTAGTATCTGCAGTCAGTGACTCAGAACTCCACCTGCCGAAGCTTGCAAATATTTCGGTCCTGCTATATGCCGATGATGCGGTAATTCTATCTAGAACCCCCATTGGACTCAAAAGAGCACTAAGAAAGCTCGCAGCATACTGCGACTCTAAATGACTCAAAATCAACTTTCAAAAGACCAAGATACTAGCTTTTGGGGAAAAACTAAAGCTTAGAAGCTGGGAACTCCAAGGCCATAAATTAGAACAAGTCACAAACTACAAGTATCTAGGAATGGTGGTACAGGCCTCAGGAACCAACAAACTACACATAAACTCCATCGGGAATTTAGCGGAAAAAACCGCAAATTGTATCCTTAAATTCTTCAGAGCACAAGGAGGCTTCTTTGTCCCCCCAGCTCTAAAATCATACAAGGCCAAAACTTTGGCACAACTCCTCTATGGTTCCTTTTTGGGCCCGCCTTCCTCTGCTTTCTCCCCACTTGAGAGAGTTCAATCCAGACTTCTTAGAGCTCTCCTCCAAGTCCGCAGATGTGTATCAAACGCATGGGTTAGATTGGAAACGGGGATGATGAGAGTGGAGGCTAGCATCTGCCTAACATCAATTTACAAATGGCTGACATTGAACCTGCTCCCCCGAGGGATAGCCCCATTGATCCTCTGTGACCAATTCCAGTCGGGCCGGCAGACTGCAGTCCTGAACACCCTCCGGAAATTGGGTTTTGCCCCTCAAGCCCTTCTAAGTCTGGGTTTGGACCAGGCAAAAGCTACGGTCAGGCAACGAATATTAGACACCGAGAGATAGCAGGACTGTGCAAGGTGCCCAACTATAGAATTGGAGAAATCGAGAGATATATAGCCGCACCGGCAGCATATCTCTTCTTTCTCGTATCTAGGGATGCACGAAGGGCCTTTACACTCGCCAGAAGCTCGGCTCTTCCCTCGCCGGTCTTGGATGGAGCCTTTAGAAGGGTCCCATATGCTCAGAGACTTTGCACCTGTCCATTGGGAGAGATAGGAAGCCCAGAACACTTGTTCTTTAGATGTCCCTTTTATAAAGAGGCACGTAGAGGATCCCCTACTGGTGAGGCTTGCCGACCTCCCGCAAAAGCAAAAATTTGACCTTTTGCTGTTGGGCAAAGATCAGAAGATGACCTGGATGGTCGCTGCTAAACTAATTGTTTAGAATTGTGGTCAAGTTCGTTACACAGAGAGGAGGGATGCAGGCATTGAATTTATTATTTTCTTGTTAACAGCTCTAATCATTTTCCTGCTAAAGGACATCTCAACGCTTCTCAATGCACTTCATCTGCTGAACAGTTCTTCGTTTAGAATTGTTAACAGAGTATTTAAAATGTCATTTCTTCTTTTTTTCTAAAATGGTCATGTTAAAGTAATGTTTCTTCTCTAGCAATAGCAGGCGATATAGTAATAGCCAATTAAGGATTCAACAGTTAATCAATATAGACCTACATTTCATTTGACCAAAGTGAAAGTCAACATCTGTCTTAATCAACATGGATTCCAACATGGACCATGATTTATTGGGGGCTGCAATGGTCAACCAAGAGTACATCAGGTACATTTTGGGGAAAATATAAAAATCCAGATCAATATATTTGCGTATAAAACAAATCAATGCAACTTTGTCAAATTAAAAGTAGGTAATGTAAGCCCATTAATCATTTTATTTCACTTTAGGATTTGAGCAAGCTTACTAAACCCGTTTTGAGTATGCAGCTTGGACCCATTTCCCAAAGGTTATCCCATTATTAAAAGCTTTTGATATAAAATGACCATTCAATATAATCAAAGGACTTTTCATCTTACAGAACAACATTACTGCCTTTCTAACCTGTGCTAGAGATCTGCAACCTCCCAGATCATCATTTTCACTCCTTCTGAAGATTGGGATATTTGCCCATCTCCAGCCTTGTATCACTTCACCCCTCCCCCAGGATTTCCCAGTGATCATAGACAGAGGTCTGTAAAGTCCAACAGGAAGCTCATTGGGTCTTGAATTCAAAGTAGCTATTTCCTGACCAAAGTAGCTATTTCCTGACCAACTCTTTATCCATCTTGAAATTCAGTCTTGAACCGTCATCGGTCATTCTACTTCTGCAAAGTTTCACACAGCAAACACACTGGAATAACAGACATCAACCATTATGGTTTTCACTAGCATGTAATAATAATAGTACATCCTTTAGGTTATTGAACAAAAATGGCACCACACTTACCTGTTGAAGTAATTCCTGGGATATTTTGTGCAGCTAGAAAGAGTTCATCAATGGGATCCACTAAATGCTTAATATTAATTTTTCTTGCATTATAATAATTGCCATCAGCAGCCATCCCAGTACGTTCAATTGCTATCAGGTGATTAAATCTAGTTAACGGGGGAGAAATTATATTATGAGGAGCAGTTCTACGATTCAGATCTAATAGATTTACTTCTGCTCTTTTTCTTTGTTCTTGTACAGCCCCCATGTCAGGCGAATGCCACTATCTCTTGCCCCTACCCTCCTGCAATCCCTCCATTCACATATATCTCTCTGTACTATTCTGGATTATTCCTCAGGAAACTGCCTGTTATAATTCCACTGGCAACCTGCTTCTTCCACTTTCCCCCATCAGGTCTTTATTCTCACCCTTCACTCTTTACTAGTAAGGGCTTAAAGACTGCCATGAGATAAACAGTTGTGTCTTCCTCAGTTTGCTTACTCCTTTGCTTTTTTAAGGAACATACCTAGGCTTTTCTGGATTTCCATCTTCGCACAAAAACAGCAAAGCTGAATCTACAGAATCACTGTGATAGCTAATTATAGGGACCGGTGTCTCCAGTATCCCTAGAATATAACAGAAACATAATATATTCAGTGGAGGATAAAAAGACAGTAAGGCTCATGCAATAATTGAATTAGAGTAAAGGTAAAGGGACCCCTGTCCAGTCATGACCGACTCTGGGGTTGCGGCGCTCATCTCGCTTTATTGGCCGAGGGAGCCAGCGTACAGCTTCCGGGTCATGTGGCCAGCATGACTAAGCCGCTTCTGGCAAACCAGAGCAGCGCACAGAAACGCCATTTACCTTCCCGCCAGAGCGGTACCTATTTATCTACTTGCACTTTGACGTGCTTTCGAACTGCTAGGTTGGCAGGAGCTGGGACTGAGCAACGGGAGCTCGCCCCGTCGCGGGGATTCGAACCGCCGACCTTTTGATTGGCAAGTCCTAGGCTCTGTGGTTTAACACACAGTGCCACCCGCGTCCCAAAATAATTGCATTATTTCCTTGCAATTATAACATTTTATCAGCTGCTCAGTGGTTTGGGAAGCATGGACCTAGCTCATTCATGCCTTACTCAAATGGCTTTCCATCACTTTTACAAAAATAAATGGTCTTGGGAAGAGGAGGTGGAGTGTTACTGCAAGAAGGCAAAACCAGAGACACAGAATGTAGACCCAGCCATAGATTTACTTTGGTATTGCAAAAAACCATTCAATTCAGGGTTGAAGAATCCAGGCACTTCTGATGTCCACTTCCCACCAGATCCAGTCAACTAGGCCAATGGTCAGGGATTTAATTAACATTATATACACCGTCTTATCCACATGTGGGGAATGTGCTATGAAGACATGGACCAAGGGCTGTCCTGACTTTTCAGAGGAGAGATAATCATGGGGATGCCAGTTTTGGTAGCACCCCCACGATAAACATAATACTTATGTCTGATCTGGCCATGGCGATACATGGTGCACTTTCTTTTCCCCATGACTGTATATGACCTGGGTCCAGGCTGGGTCTTCCCTATATCTTTCTGGAAGTTGAGAATGTGGTCATTTTTAAAAAATTTCAAGATATCTTCCTCTTAGCTCCACTGAAAACTCTTGTTTTTAAAGCAAGCAACACATGATCAAGTTATGTTTACAATGGCCATGCCGTACCTTGTTCAACGGCTTCCTTGATGATCTTTTCATTCAGATTCAGAGCTCTTTGATCAGTTACGATAGCTACGTTCTTCCCCAAGGCGTTCAACATAGCTGCCATTGCAATAGCCCCTGGAGGCCCATCGTTCTCTTCAGGCGGCTCATACTTGAAGTGGGTAGGGAATCCAGTAGTAATCAGCACAGACTGGGCATGGGAAATGGACAGACATGCCTTCAGGAGTTCATCTTGAGTAAGCAGATGAGTCACACCTCTGTCCCCTAAAGGCAGATGAAACAACTTTTCGAGTGAAATCATCCCTGAGCCTTGCTAGTAACATATTAACATTTAGATAACTATCGGAGACTTCATCCACACATTTCAAGCAGGACTAATCTGAGCGGAATGCTGATCCACAACAGGTTTTCACAATATCCACTGCAATATCTCACAGAATAGAAGGGGAAGAAATGGAGGCAGTGAGAGATTTTACTTTCTTGGGCTCCATGATCACTGCAGATGGTGACAGCAGTCACAAAATTAAAAGACGCCTGCTTCTTGGGAGAAAAGCAATGACAAACCTAGACAGCATCTTAAAAAGCAGAGACGTGAATCACCTTGCCAACAAAGGTCCGTACAGTTAAAGCCATGGTTTTCCCAATAGTGATGTATGGAGGTGAGAGCTGGACCATAAAGAAAGCTGATCGCTGAAGAATCGATGCTTTTGAATTATGGTGCTGGAGGAGACTCTTGAGAGTCCCGTGGACTGCAAGAAGATCAAACGTATCCATTCCTAAGGAAATCAGCCCTGAGTGCTCACTGGAAGGACAGATTGTGAAGCTGAGGCTCCAATACTTTGGCCACCTCACGAGAAGAGAAGACTCCCTGGAAAAGACCCTGATGTTGGGAAAGATGGAGGGCACAAGGAGAAGGGAACGACAGAGGACGAGATGGCTGGACAGTGTTCTTGAAGCTACGAACATGAGTTTGACCAAACTGCGGGAGGCAGTGGAAGACAGGAGTGCCTGGCGTGCTCTAGTCCATGGTGTCACGAAGAGTCGGACACAACTAAATGACTAAACAACAACAATCTCACAGAACCAAGGCACCAGAATTAGAAACCCAGTGCTGCTTTGCAGCTCTTTATCCTTGCCCATGATGTAATACAGAGGTTAACCGTACCCTGTGGAATGCCTTCCCATCAGATGTCAGAAGGAAATAAACAACTATCTGACTTTTAGAAGACGTTTGAAGGCAGCTCTGTATAAGGAAGTTTTCTTTTTTTAAAAAAAAAAAAATATTTATTAAAGTTTCAAAAGGAAAAAAAATCACATTAGTAAAAAAATTAACAATGAAAAGGAAAAATACAAAGTAGAAAAAAAGAAAAACCAGTTAAAAACAATTCCATCTTTTCCTCACTTCTTTTATGTTTACTTGTTTCCCGGACCTCCTCATACCTCCCTCTTTTGTATTCCAATTAAATTTATTAATCCAACAATTCCTTTTCCTCCTTTTTAATCCTAATCTTTAATCTTGATATATTATAACTTTCAATTTTTACATATTAAAAACCAATTTTTCCATATTCTTTTGTACCTGTACAGCTAGAAACCACTTAACTTCAATCCAACATCATTCTAACATTCATTAATTTTGCAATATTTCTGTAAATAGTCTTTAAATTTCTTCCAATCTTCTTCCACCAACTCTTCTCCCTGGTCACGGATTCTGCCAGTCATTTCCGCCAATTCCATGTAGTCCATCATTTTTATCTGCCATTCCTCCAGTGTGGGTAAATCTTGTGTCTTTGTATAAGGAAGTTTTCAATGTTTGATGTTTCCCTGTGCTTAATGTGTTTAATTTGCTGGAAGCTGCCCAAAGTGGCTGGGGCAACCCAGTCTGATGGGCAGCATATGAATTACTGATAAGAACAAGAATAAGAATAGGTATATATTGAATCCCCTTCATGGATCACTGCCTTGCCATGGCGAAGGGGCTTGAATAACTCAGAGAAGCTATGAACTATGCCAAGCAGGGCACCCAAGATGAACAGGTCATAGTGGAGAGTTTTGACCAAACGTGATCCACCTGGAGGAGGAACCGGCAAGCCACTCCAGTATCCCTGCCAAGAAAACTCCATGGACAAAGACAACAGGCATATAAAAGTTATGACGCTGGAAGATGAGCCCCTCAGGTCGGAAGGTGTCCAACATGCTACTGGGGAAGAGCGGAGGACAAGTACAAGTAGATCCAGAGCTGATGAAGCAGCTGGGCCAAAGCCGAAAGGACGCTCAGTTGCGGATATGCATGGAAGCGAAAGGAAAGTCCAATGCTGTAAAGAAAATATTGCATAGGAACCTGGAATGTAAGAACCATGAACCTGGGTAAGTTGGATGTGGTCAAAAATGAGATGGCAAGAATAAATATTGACATCCTGGGCATCAGTGAACTAAAATGGACGGGAATGGGCGAATTCAGTTCGGATGACTATCATATCTACTACTGTGGGCAAGAAACCCGTAAAAGAAATGGAGTGGCCCTCATAGTCAACAAAAGAGTGGCGAAAGCTGTACTGGGATGCAATCTCAAAAATGATAGAATGATCTCGATACGAATCCAAGGCAGACCTTTTAACATCACAGTAATCCAAGTTTATGCACCAACTACTGGTGCTGAAGAAACTGAAATTGACCAATTCTATGAAGACTTACAAGACCTTATAGAAGTGACACCAAAGAAGGATGTTCTTCTCATTATAGGGGATTGGAATGCTAAAGTAGGGAATCAAGAGATAAAAGGAACAACTGGCAAGTTTGGCCTTGGAGATCAAAACGAAGCAGGGCAAAGGCTAATAGAGTTCTGTCAAGAGAACAAGCTGGTCATCACAAACACTCTTTTCCAACAACACAAGAGACGACTCTACACATGGACATCACCAGATGGGCAGCATCAAAATCAGATTGATTATATTCTCTGCAGCCAAAGATGGAGAAGCTCTATACAGTCAGCAAAAACAAGACCTGGAGCTGACTGTGGCTCAGATCATCAGCTTCTTATAGCAAAATTCAAGCTTAAACTGAAGAAAGTAGGAAAAACCACTGGGCTGGTAAGATACAATCTAAACCAAATCCCTTATGAATACACAGTGGAAGTGAGGAACAGGTTTAAGGATTTAGATTTGCTGGACAGAATGCCTGAAGAACTATGGGTGGAGGCTCGCAACATTATACAGGAGGCAGCAACTAAAACCATCCCAATGAAAAAGAAATGCAAGAAAGCAAAGTGGCTGTCCAACGAGGCCTTACAAATAGTGGGGGAGAGAAGGCAAGCAAAATGCGAGGGAGATCGTGCAAGATACAGGAAATTGAATGCAGATTTCCAAAGAATAGCAAGGAGAGACAAGAAGGCCTTCTTAAACGAGCAATGCAAAGAAATAGAGGAAAACAACAGAATGGGAAGAACTAGAGATCTGTTCAAGAAAATCGGAAATATGAAAGGAACATTTAGTACAAAGATTACCATAATAAAGGACAAAAGTGGTAAGGACCTAACAGAAGCAGAAGACATCAAGAAGAGGTGGCAAGAATACACAGAGGAATTATACCAGAAAGATATGGACACCCCATGTAGTGTGGTTGCTGACCTTGAGCCAGACATCCTGGAGAGTGAAGTCAAATGGGCCTTAGAAAGCACTGCAAATAACAAGGCCAGTGGAAGTGATGGTATTCCAGCTGAATTATTTAAAATTTTAAAAGACGATGCTGTTAAGGTGCTACACTCCATATGCCAGCAAGTTTGGAAAACTCAGCAGTGGCCAGAGGATTGGAGAAGATCAGTCTACATCCCAATCCCAAAGAAGGGCAGTGCCAAAGAATGCTCCAACTACCGCACAATTGCACTCATTTCACATGCTAGCAAGGTTATGCTTAAAATTCTACAAGGAAGGCTCAAGCTGTATGTGGACCGAGAACTCCCAGAAGTGCAAGCTGGATTTAGAAGAGGCAGAGGAACCAGAGACCAAATTGCAAACATGCGCTGGATTATGGAGAAAGCTAGAGAGTTCCAGAAAGACATCTACTTCTGCTTCATTGACTATGCAAAAGCCTTTGACTGTGTCGACCACAGCAAACTATGGCAAGTTCTTAAAGAAATGGGAGTGCCTGATCACCTCATCTGTCTCCTGAGAAATCTCTATGTGGGACAAGAAGCTACAGTTAGAACTGGATATGGAACAACTGATTGGTTCAAAATTGGGAAAGGAGTACGACAAGGCTGTATATTGTCTCCCTGCTTATTTAACTTATATGCAGAATTCATCATGCGAAAGGCTGGGCTGGATGAATCCCTAGCCGGAATTAAGATCGCTGGAAGAAATATCAACAACCTCAGATATGCAGATGACACAACCTTGATGGCAGAAAGTGAGGAGGAATTAAAGAACCTTTTATTGAGGGCGAAAGAGGAGAGCGCAAAATATGGTCTGAAGCTCAACATCAAAAAAAACGAAGATCATGGCCACTGGTCCCATCACCTCCTGGCAAATAGAAGGGGAAGAAATGGAGGCAGTGAGAGATTTTACTTTCTTGGGCACCATGATCACTGCAGATGGTGACAGCAGTCACGAAATTAAAAGACGCCTGCTTCTTGGGAGAAAAGCAATGACAAACCTAGACAGCATCTTAAAAAGTAGAGACATCACCTTGCCAACAAAGGTCCGTACAGTTAAATCTATGGTTTTCCCAGTAGCAATGTATGGAAGTGAGAGCTGGACCATAAAGGCGGCTGATCGCCGAAGAATTGATGCTTTTGAATTATGGTGCTGGAGGAGACTCTTGGGAGTCCCATGGACTGCAAGAAGATCAAACGTATCCATTCTTAAGGAAATCAGCCCTGAGTGCTCACTGGAAGGACAGATCGTGAAGCTGAGGCTCCAATACTTTGGCCACCTCATGAGAAGAGAAGACTCCCTGGAAAAGACCCTGATGTTGGGAAAGCTGGAGGGCACAAGGAGAAGGGGACGACAGAGGATGAGATGGTTGGATGGTGTTGAAGCTACCAGCATGAGTTTGATCAAACTGCGGGAGGCAGTGGAGGACAGGAGTGCCTAGCGTGCTCTGGTCCATGGGGTCATGAAGAGTCGGACACGACTAAACGACTAAACAACAACAATATATTGAATGCTTCAGTTTTTGCAGGAGTTATTAGCATTGGCTTCCTTCTGCTTCTGTTAAATTTTTCAACGCATGGAAAATGAGTGACACATAGGCAATGCAAGGGTTAAAGAGGCAGCAGGTGAATTGCATGGCTAAGTGTTCATGACCCAACCAACAATCCAGCCCCATTTCTCTTCCTTTTGAAGAGAGGGGCAAGCACAAGCTTTAGCATGGGAAATGACAGGCGTCTTTGCTCTGGGCAACCTAACAGGCACTTTTGCAAGTGGGTGGGGCCTGGTGTCTCTGTATCCTTGATGCTGGAGGTGCTGGCTCCAACTTACTCTCCAGTAGCTTTCCTGGAGGAGACTCCTTACTGACAGGAGTGGCAATAGGGGTTGGCAGTGGAGGTGGCCCTTTATGAGGCATGGAGTGGAACCCGCTTGAACCTTCCCCAGGATCCAGCTCCTGACTCTCTTGATCACTGGCCCCCTCTTCCAGCTTAGACGTTTATTGATTTCCTCTCTCTCATCTCAATCAAGCCCTCTCTTGGGTCCTCTGGTTCCAACTCCCTGTCCTTTCCCAGCCCTGCTTCCTCCTCACAACCCTTCCATTACCCTCCATGATATTTCTATGGGGCTCATGACACAGAAATGGGCATATGCATATTATCAGGAACAGAGCGCCCCTTTAGTGTCTCAATCTCGATCTTCCCTTTGACAAGAGTTGATGCAGGCAAATGTGCTGCAGACAAATCTTTACAATAAAGTTTTTCAATAAGAATGCGTCTACCTGGGTCTACTCCTACCATGTCTTCCAGACACCTGATTTTTCGCACAGCTGCTGCTGACGTGGTGCTGTAATGCAAAGGATTCTGACAAATACGATAGACTTCGGGGACATCTTTACCATCACCCGCTGCGGCATCCTCAAGTTTCAGGTCAGTAATAAACATGCAACCAGGAGCATGGGTAAAAGCAAGCGGAGACTCTGAAAAAGACAAACAGGCAATCTTGTGGGAGGACAGATCTCTTTTAAGCACTAAAACTCTCTTCTTTGTACTCACCCATGCAGCAATAAAAATATGTTGGGTACCACTGTTTAACCATGTCAAAGGGGAAGGCCCAGGCAGGACCAGAGAGGCCCAGAGCGACAAGCCTCCCTGCCCAGGCCTGATCATGGATAAGACCTTGCCGGTGGCCACTTGGAGGCCAAAGGCCTGAAAGGGAGAGGCGGAGCCCATAGCAGAGTCCGCTCAGCGGCCCAGAGTCACCCCCGGCACCAGCAAGTGGGAGCCTCCGTGTGAAGCAACCCTAAGAGAGGGGAGGAAAGGAGGGGGAGAGCAGGTGGGGGAGGAAGGGGTTAGCGGCAGGTGGGGGCAAATGACAGAGATGAGGGGTGGTGGTGGGTGTCCTGATGGGAGGGGTGTCTGGGTTCGTGCCCTTCGGAACATGGCAACCCTATAAAAATAAACAAGAGCGGCAGTCGCATTGCAAGCAGAGGCTTGAACTGCTCACCTCTGGGGGGTACCCTATTTTAACCTGAAAGGCAGAGTTGTCTGGCTGTACCTCCAGTCTGGAGACAGACCCCACATTTAAGTATGGTCCCTGTACAGGAGCTGAGAAACAATTTTGGAAGTCTTTGGAAAGTACGGATGTTCATTGGAAATTGAAATTGAAGGGGAATTTGCAGCACTTTGCTTGTTTGTCTGCAGTCAGGAAAGGAAAAAATTCAAGCGAATATTATAAATGAATATTTATGAAAAAAATACATTACTTAATAAATGACTTTTTAAGCATTGTTTTGATGTTTACAATGAAATGAATCGAAGTTTCATAAGTTATGCAACTTATGTTAAATAGAAGGCAGTGAGATGAATGACGTAGCATTTGGCAGAAAATTTGACAGTAGCCAATAGCCTTTTCTTTTTATGTCTGTGGCAGCGTTCTGACAAGGTTGGAGTTGTGGTAGAGGGTGATAGCTTTTCTTTTTTTGAAAGGCAGTTTCCAAGTTTAGGTCAGACTTGGTAGAACAGTATATGGACCCACACTGGAAACAAATCTGTCAGGTTTTTCTGACTGAGTTTTTATCTAAATTTGGTAGAAAAGGTAGCAATTTTCTATACTATAGGAGAAATTCTAAAAAATCTTCATTATTTATACATACTGCAATTGCTGACAGCTTCTGCACCTGTAACCCCACAGGCCCAAAAGACTGGAACATCCCCAGGTTGAGCCTGTACTGCATCGCCATAGTCGGGATTGGAAAGGTCTTGGATTCCTAAGAAACCTATAATCCCAAACACAATAAAATCATATGAATTCTGCAGCAGGAGGAATGGTTTAAGCTAAAGGAAAACCCAAAGACATCGGACTGCTATTATAAAACAGCAATTAACAAGGCGATCCTATACATGTCTACTCAGAAGTAAGTCCCACTGAATTACAGTATGGCAGCCTTATGTCCTGTTCATGGACATACTTTCTTAAGGGTGTGGTTGGCTGAATGTTGCTGGAAGATCCCATTCCCCTTACAGAGCTACAATTCCCAGAATTCCCAGGGAATTCTGTTAAACAACTCTGGAAACTGTAGCTCTGAGAGGAAAATGGGGTCTCCCAACAACTCTCAGAACACTTAACAAATCACACTTCCCGTGATTCTTTGGGGGGGAGCCTTGACTGTTTAAAGTAGATTATACAGCTTTAAATATATTGTGTAAATTGGGCCCAAGTCTTGCATAAGGTGTCAATGTGAAGTTCACTTAGGCTATTCCTGTATTTGTGTATAAAGTCGTCCCAAAACTAAGCCTGGAGGGGAAGTATGTTTCCCTAGAGAAACAAATTTGCAGCCTATGATATGTCTCTGTCTCTCTTTCACACACAAATACAGATATTTTAATTACATTTTTTTTTCTTAATGCACTGACCAGGGTTACCAATGTGAATTGGTGCTCCATGCGCCTTTTTCATCAAATAGGTAGTTCGCACAACTGCTTCCAATTTGTCTTTAGGAATAGGTCTCATGGTTGCTACTAGGTCACAGTGAAAATGTTCTGTATCCCAGCAAGGCACAGCAGTCTGGTAAAGTTTTAAAAATATACATTTCAAGAACTATTTGAGGATATTTCCAATAAAGGCTATGTTGGAAGCAAAACAAGACCCAAAAATGAGCTTCTTAATGTCCCCCCCCCCCAAATATGGGGGATTCCCTGGATATGCATGTCTATACGTTTGCAAAATCTTTTTAACCAGCCTCCCTCACATCCCAATATGTCCGTATGAGCTTGCAGAATTTGTAGGATGACATAATGCTGAGAACATAAAGATAAAAAAGAAATACTGAAATGACTCACTTCTTTGTCTGGATAGAAAACTGGGTTCATTTTTTTGGGGGGTGGGGGAAGGGATGCTGTTGCAACAGGTTTTGTTTTGCTGATGTAAACCACTAAATAAGAAGCCACCAAATAATCTCTGCTTACCTTGTACATGCTAACATTACATTTCTGTTCGACATTTCTTACAGGAATGCCAACTTCCTGGAGCGTCTTTTCAAATGTGAAGCTACAGCCCAAGTAGAAGGTCACCATGTCTTTAAGCTGCTCAGAAAATTCCTTCAGACTTGTCAGAGTGCCTGTACATGCTCCATTCTCATATTTCTTGTACTGCAGACAGTCAGTTCTGCAAAAATAAACAAATATTATCCCCAAGAGTCTTCTGAAAATGATTATTTGAACTGGGTAACTGGATTCAGGCTGCACTCTTTTACAGTGGGAGCATGGCCCACTGAACTCAGGATAGTGCCCTATTTCTGTGTGTACATTCCACTATGTTTTGTCCACACCAATGGGCATTAGACAACTGCTGTGGGTGGAGGCACATGTTCACTTATAACGCTTGTGGTGGATACCATTTCATTACTCCTATTTATTTTTAAAAAATAAACGTCTCAATTATCACTAAACCACTTTTCTTGGTTTTTTTTAAAAAATGAAATAGAGCCGTAGCACTGTAACACCATGACATTCATATTTTATGAGGTTTTAACCATAGCATTATAGTGTAATAGCCTTCTATATCTCATGCACACACACACACACACACACACACACACACACACAAACACACCCCAGAGAAGTCTTTCTGGAATAATTATAAGACTGGTTTTGTGTGTGGGTGTTTTTGTGAGTCTTTCCTAGATGCAAATGTAATAAAGTTCCGGCATATGTAAATTGGAAAAAAAGATCTGGCATATGTAATTGAAAACAAATATGAGGACAAATTGTGGCCTTAGCAACCCTGTGGAAACAGTTTCTGATAATATTAAAGAGGCTGCGGTAATAAGTACATTGGAGCTATAGGATGCCACGGCAACTGGCTTGCATGTCCTCCATGCTCAGGTTTGTGTGCTGGTGGGGATACGGGATGCAAGGCACATATTTCAAACTTTGGAGGGAATGCACTCTGATATAAAGGCTTTGGTCAGCTGCACATAAGGAATATTACAAATGACAATACTGAATTTATTCGAGAATTATCTTTGCTTTCCGTGTTTATGGGACTTAATTTTGCATTTGCTAATTACGATAAGCCAGTGGATAACCTAAATTTACCAGCATGGTACAGAATGATTTGGACATTAGAAACAGCAGGAAAAAATTAAGAGACAGCACTAAAATCCCAATTATGCAAGGAAAAGAAAAACCACAATCATCTTATGCCACCTGGCAGAACTTTGATCTATGCATACCTAATATCAGCATCACTGCTCAGAGACGGGCATTTCCATTCCCCTGGTTTACTTCTATACAGCAGTGGAAGTGGCCCATCATTGGCTTGGCAAAATTTTTCAAAGTCATCCGCAAGAGATTTGTGAAGAATCACAACGTTTGCCTGTTTAAATCCTGCGAACATTACAAAGCTCACATTTAAACTTATACATATGCAAACAGTATGTGTTCTGAAAGTATTTCTCAGGCATTCCATTTTCAATTGATGTTTTCAACATTACCCATGTTTAACTCGTGAATAGTATATTGGAAACATATGCTAAGCTGAATCAAGAATCCAGACTTGAGGCTAGGGACTGACATTTGTGCTGTAATACCAGTATTCTGCTATTTTATGGCAGGGAAATAAATGGATGTGCCTTTGATTCAGATGTAGTTTCTTCACTGGTTTTCATAGAATCATAGAATCATAGAGTTGGAAGAGACCACAAGGGCCATCGAGTCCAACCCCCTGCCAAGCAGGAAACACCATCAGAGCACTCCTGACATATGGTTGTCAAGCCTCTGCTTAAAGACCTCCAAAGAAGGAGACTCCACCACACTCCTTGGCAGCAAATTCCACTGTTGAACAGTTTTAATACACAACATTTTGTTACGTTCTTTTTCTATATGTTGTTCTATGTTTTTGGCTTGCAACAAGATCTCCAGCCTATTCATGAATTTTCAAACTGAGGACAAAAAGGCAAAACAACCTGAAAAGGCAAACAACTTTAAATAGCAGCAACTAGTAGGTTTGCTATATTAAGACAATGAGTCAAGTTTTATTTTATGCACTTTGTAAACACCCTCAGGCCACAAACAGTGAAGCTTGCAAGTGAAACGTTAGTATTTGTGGCATAAATAATAAAAAGAATAAGGCTACGCTGAGAAGTAATTGTGGTTAGGTAGCACTCTAAATTCTAAAACTGTACCCTTAGCAAACTGGTTTTAAGTATTATGCAGTGTATATAAACCATCTTTTGACTGAACGTTATACTTGTCATGATTCACTTAATAAAAATGAAATGAAAATAAAAAACAGGGATATTAAATGTATACTCTTTTTTATTAGTATTATAAATCAAATGTATATTCCAATACGTTATTGTTGATTACAGTGAAACTTACCTGAGATGTAACTTCACAATATTGTGCTAAGTTGATATTCATATTTATGAAACGACTTTACATTGTATGTAAGAACTGTGCATACCCATTTATCAGAAATACTTATGATGCTTTAGATATATAAAAGAAATATTCCTAATTCTAAAATATTATTATAAAGAAATAATTTGATCTAAGAGAGAACAAAAAGCAATGTTCTTGTGATAAAACTGAGTGACCCAAATTGTTGTGGAAGGGTTTTAATCCGAGTTATGTTGGGAGCTAAAAACATCTTCATTATAAACCATTTTTAAAATACCTGTTGATTTCCTCCTAAAACGGGATGGCTAATCCCCATGTTAGGGCCCTGGTCCAGCCCCTCAAGCAAACTCCCCCCTGCCCCCAGAGGGGTACAAATCGGTCCTTCCTCAGTCATCAACTTGATCGTTTTATGAGCAGTGAGCAAGGATGAATGTGACCCTCAGCTGAAAAACAGATTAGTTAATGCCTATCATAAAAGAATATCACTAACATCTCCACTTATATTCAACATGAGGAATATATTTTTTTTACCTTCTGCCATTCCAGAAGTATTGCTAATGCTGAGTTTATTTGTTCGAATTAGACTCCTGACAGCATGTGGCAGAAGGGTTTTCAAGCCGCCTATGAAAACCATATTTTCATCCTGAAATAACAGAAAAAATGTGATTACATTGGGGGGGGGTACCCAATATCAAGTAAATGAAGGTGACGGGACTTCCCCTTCCTCTCGTCCCTGTTGCAGCAGATTTCCAATTGCAGAAGAGGAACTCCATTCTACAAGAGGGGTGACACAATTGGATGTCATCTGTTCTAATTATATACAGTGGCACCTTGGTTCAAGAACAGCTTAGTTTATGAACAACTTGGATTAAGAACGCTGCAAACCTGGAAGCAGGTGTTTTGGTTTGTGAACTTTGCCTTGGAAGCAGAACATGTTCCACTTCCTGTTGAGTGTGTTCCATTTGTAAATTGAGTCCCCCGCTGCTATGGGAAAGCACGCCTTGGTTTAAGAACGCTTTGGTTTAAGAACGGACTTGCGGAACGGATTGAGTTAATAAACCAAGGTACCACTGTATTTTTACTCTTACATGCAACTTTGTTGCAAATTACACCATGGAATGCATATGGATTTTGTATTACATTTTTTTGTCTTTGGGAAATTGCAATATATTTAAAAGTACTTATAGAAACAAAGAGAACACCCAGTAATATTTAAAGCAGTGATTTTATCACTAGGTTGAGAAACATCAGTTTTATCATTTATTCGCCTTAAATTGTCACCTTAGAAATATTTTATTTAGACCTTTTTAATTTAGCTGATTAAATTGCAAAGTATTGGTTAGAAGGCTGGGCAAGTGAGTCCCTATTACTTTCTTTAGTAACTGTTCGATTGATACTTGTTTTAAAATATTGCTTTAAAATATTACTGAAATTACATTTTATTTTATTTTTTGTTTCTAACAAACTCAGGCTAAATCTATTTACTTAAATTTACCTTGCTACATTATGGCTTCGCCACTTCAGACATAACAACAAATTATATACTAATGTTACCATTTCAAGCATTTTACAAACTTCAGTTTCAATCAAAACAAAATGCTAATTATCTCACCTCTAAGGTTAATTTTAATTCTTCTGAAGACATTGCTAGGAAGAAAGATAATTTCCAAGGGAGAAACAGAGTTTTAAAGCATGAAAGATTCACTGGTGTTCTTTTAAAAGTAATGAGGTAAATATTCAACACATAGTTATACATTTCTAGCAAATGCTAATCCTTCTTAACAACACCTGGTATTTTTCATTATCTTGTCAGTGCAAGACTCCAGATAAACAGTTGTATATTTATGCCTATAATAATCTGTTTTTAGCAATCTTTTTGTAGGATATTCTAGAGGGGTAGCTGTGTTAATCTACTTTTTACAGCAAACACAAACACATACACAAGAGTCTTGCAGTGTCGGTTACAGATTTATTGTGGTATAAATCTCTGGTAGTAGAGTCCACCTCATCATCTGGTGTAAGCTCCAGTGGACTTTAGTTAGCCATTAGACCCTCTCATGGAATTAAAATTTGAACTAAAAAGGAATTTAAATCTCATAAGTGCCTTCCATAGCAAAAACCCTCTTTAAAATGTGACATTTGAAGTTACTTTCTCCAGAATAACATTTAAAGAGCATTTAAATTTGGCCTCACTCTACAGCAGAGCATTTCACTTGTGGTCCAAGGACCACCAGTGGTCCATGATCTTCATTCAGGTGGTCCCCAGGCATCTACGGATTTGTGGTTGAAGATGCATTAAATTTACATGTTGATTTATAATTGTATTTTTATTGCCTCTTTTGTGTCTTACATTGCACTTTATTGTATTACAATTACAATGACGTGGAATCAAGTATAACATATAATAAATGAAAGATATAATAAAATACATTAAAAATCATGCAACATCTAGGACAACGGCCAGGAAAATAATCAAATTCTCTGCCAAGTCCCTCAGCAATTTTCAAGTTGTCCATGGGAAAAGAGGTTTGGGAACCACTGTTCTACAGGAAACTTTTCTATCTTTTTTTTGTAGCTTTGAGGGGTTTTTTAAAGAATATAAGAACAGAAAATTGCACAACACAATTCATTAGTCAACCTTAACATAGGGATAAAACAATTCAATATTTATTATTTTAAAACAGTTCTTATACAACCTGAGGAATGCAAAAACTTAGAAAGTACAAACATATGGGAGGAAACCTGCTCATCGAAAAAGACTCCAATGTGGACTGAACTTGTTTAATGGCCACATGATACAAATGGTTGGATGGGCATCTATCATGGATGCTTTAGAGATTTGGCATTGCAGGGGGCTCACCTAGATGACTCATGGGGTCTCTTCCAACTCTATGATCATACTATTCTATTAGATGCTAAAGAACCTGAAATTAAGAAACACCTTATCCATGGGCATAGCTAGGATTTATGTTGGGAGGGGAAAGGCTTTATGTTGGGCGGGGGGGCAGAACCTCAGTTAGTTAAGTATTTTTATTGATTTACTTAATGGGGGGGAGCTGCTTTTAAGATTTTAGAACTTCTAGGATTTATTGAGTGCTAACCTGTGACCCCCTTTCTGTTTGGTGATGCCATCACAGCACTGTAGGGGACACAGGTGGACTCCCCTCTGTTAGAATTCCTGCTCCGTGATTGCAGCCATGGGATTGTTGTCTATCACATGACAGTGTATGTTTTGACTCCACAGTGTGGGAAGTGACAGAGACAGGATGTTTGTGTTACTGTGTTCCGTGAAGTGGGACTATTGTCCTTTGTCCTTTTTCTCTTTGCTGTCTGATGCTAAAGAGAGAGGGAGCCATGTTGCAGTGCTCCGTGTGTGTTCATATGTAAATAAACGTAGATTAGCCAAAATGCTGAGTTGCTGAGGTCTGTTACGCAAACTGCGAACACTCTGCGGATCCCTAAGTGTGCTGATGTCTGTTGGCATCAGAAGCTGTGACGTTCAGGCTGAAAAAAGCTTTTGAAGCTCCCAAATGAAAGACCAAGAGGGAGAGAACATGCCAGTCGGGCATGTGTTTCTGCCAGGGTCCTACTCGAGAGTAGGATGAGCTCCTGACAGGGGACACATGTGGACTCCCCTCTGACATCGTGTACGATTAACAGCAGGACACCATGTTGGGAGAAGTAAAACAAATTTAACTTTATTTTCCTGCTTGCCACTTCTGATCTCCCTGTCAAGTGCCACCTACTGGCCCTTGTGCACTTATAGGTTTCTAGAATTCTTTGGGGGAAGACCAGGACTGTGTAAAGTGGTGTGACACTGCTCTAAATGTATGGTGCAGACCAATGTTGTGCTCCCTTTTTCTCATGGAGTGCTGCAGAAACTATAATATTCACTTACAAGACTATTTGTTCCAGAGGTTGGGTTTTACATTTATTAGGCTGCAATCTGAAGGCAAACACGCAAATCATCTTTCAGTTAGAATATTAGATTGTTGTTTTTATTTTACTTTGTTTTTTAACATTGTAGTTTACTAATCTGATTGGTCATCCGTGGGTGGCACATTCTGACTTTTGAGCATTATTGCTGCAAGTTGACTTTTTCAAATCCACATTGTCAGTGAGATTTAAGCGACCTAACCTACGAACAGGATTGAGGTGTTTTCTTTCCAAGGTTTAATTCAGAGCATTGTTTATAAATAAGGCTTATAAATAACGCTTATGCTCATATATATGTATATAAATAAAAATAATAGCTATCCCTGTTTGTGCTAATCTTAACACTTTCCCAAGTTGCACTATTGTAACCTGACTGTAGGTGGTGTATGAAAACTGTCTAATCACAAATATTTATTTTTATTTCCTCTATCATTATTCACATGCCAGTTTTTCATTGCTGTTCCATTATATTTCTTGTTGCAAATAATATTATGTGTTATATTCAGCTTTCATCTTGCCCTCCAAAACTGTATTTCATAGAATCATAGAATCATAGAATCATAGAGTTGGAAGAGACCACAAGGGCCATCGAGTCCAACCCCCTGCCAAGCATTTACTTATCTATACTGCATTATTTTCAACTGAACTTACTGAATTTCCTACCCTTCTAAACATATTACATATGTTAGGGAGAAAATGTATAATTTTAACAAAAAGTCAGAGAACATAGATTATTCTACAAGGTATAATACAAATAATGCAATTTTCACGACACATTTGTTTACTGCATTTGTGAATGGGTAAAATACCCAGTGTTATTCCTAGTGGGCCCATGGAAACTAAGATTTCATTACTAAAGTCGGTTGATTTAAATGGATTTACACTTGTAAACAATAAATCCTGGAAGTTTAACAAATCTATTTCCAAGATCTCAGATGTTCAGTTTCCTGTTCCTGTGACAGATGTGGTATCCAGGGGTCAGCAAACTTTTTCAGCCGGGGCCAGTCCACTTGTCCCTCAGACCTTGTGGGGGGCTGGACTATATTTTGAAAAATAATAATGAATGAATTCCTATGCCCCACAAATAACCCAGGGATGCATTTTAAATAAAAGGGCACACTCTACTCATGCAAAAACATGCTGATTCCTGGACCATCCGCGGGCCGGATTTAGAAGGCGATTGGGCCAGATCCAGCCCTCGGGGTTAGGTTGCCTATCCATGATTTAAATGGACTCACTCTTGTGACTTGAAATGATAAATCCTGGAAGTCTAAATAATTCTATTTCCATGATCTCAGACCTCCAGTTTCCTGTTCCTGTGACAGATGTCGTCTCAAAAGCCTTATCAGTCAATGACTACCATACAGAATCACACTGCCTTGGTTCTTGCCCCATGGAGTGACCTTTCCCAAAGTAAGACAAAAATGGGGTAGCTTGGTAAAGGGCCTGAAAAAGCGATGTCCATAACATTTTTTTAAAAAATGCTGTACAGCTTAGTCCTGTGTTGAAACCAGGAGTCCCACTGTGCCCAGTAAGCTTCTTCCCTAATAAATTGTTTAGGATTGCAGCACCAAGATGGTCTTAAGAAGCACTTATTAAGTCTTCTGTGTTAAGTTGTGGGTGAACATATCAGACGACACAGCGATTCTTCAAACAGCTCTTGTTTATTCACAGGCCAGAACAGAACTGAACTGAAGGGTTCAGCCAGCCTGCTTATATAGAGCTCCAGAACAATGTAATTGTAACAACTTTCTGTAACTATCCAATCACTGAACGTCACTTTTGATCCCTTATTTGCATATGTGAACCTGAACTATCTACAGTATCCCCCTGCTGGCCCAGGGTGAGAACTTCAGTACATAACACCCCTCCCCACCAAGATAAGGCATTAGTTACAATCGTAATGGTTTTCTTATATACAGCACTACACGTAATGGTTCAATTAGGCACAAAAGCATATCGGTTACATTTCACATGCTTCCATTAGACCAACAGTGTTACATGTCCAACAACATAGTCCTTTAAATAAGTTGGGCACTTGGAAACTCTGCCAGACTGCCGGGGAGCGGTATAACATTCTGTCCCACATATAACTGTGCACAAGGCTGCCCCATTAATTTCAATACTGGAGAAAACATCCATATAAGAGGAAACTGAAGACAGAAACCGCAAACTGACACACACAATAGAAAATAGTGTGGTTTTTCTTCTTCTTTGCCAGTCTGTAATGTTCCTTATTAGAACTTGGTTATTTGAAAGACTACATGAAACCAGAGAGAGCCTTAAATACACAGCACAATACTGTAAAGAGATTAGTGAACAGATTGCTAAACGTAATGGTGCCAAACACATCTACATGTGTGAGTTTGGATCACTGCCTGATACACAGTTCCAAGAAGAATAACAGCTTGCACAAATTCACAAAATTATTTCAATAAAAAAATGCCAGCTTGTTTGCTTTTCTTCAGAAAAACACTGTCTATAATTCATAGAACACCTACTCCAGTGGAAAGAATTCTGGTGGCAGCTCTATACTGTGAACTGTTGCAGAAAAGATATCGGAAGTCTTTGCACAAAAGGCACTTGAGAAGTTGTACAAGAGATTGCCCAACTCCTTACATTAGCAAAAGCACACCACTTTATTTCAGTTCCCTTTTTTGACAGTTCCCTTTTCCCTCACTATGTCAGGAAAAACCTCCACAGAACACTACTACTAGATCTATTTATATATCAACTGAAAGGTGAGGTTGGCTGGAGAAAACCCCCGGATGAGGTTGAGGAACAGGAGAAAATCTGCGGAAAGGAAGGGAGGTTGAAAAACTGGGTGCAAAGATGCCCCATGTTATGTACCGAGTTGAACAGGATCCAAAATGCAGCAGTCTGATTGGTCCTAGAACAATAGGATTCAGAATGCAGCAGTCTGATTGGTCCTAGAACGATAGGATTCAGAATGCAGCAGTCTGATTGGTCCTAGAATAATAGGATCCAGAATGCAGCAGTCTGATTGGTCCACAGGAGCCACCCAATCCAGCTCCAGGTGGAAGTGAATCCGCAACCTGATTGGCCTACAGGAGAATCCCGGAATTAGACAATCATGTGGGGCCCATTGTGTAAATAATGTATATAAAGCAGACATTCTGGGGGAACTTCCATTCCTCCGCACCACTATGAGCTGAATAAAGAGCATGAAATCCACTCTCGACTCCGAGTCTATTTCACCCCACAATGTAGGATGGCTACATCTCATTCCCTTCCCCAGCTCCAAATTCAGAAGATGGGCAGGTGATCATTTTTGCTGTGCTGTGCTTTGGAGGTGCTCTACCAACCACAATACCAAGTGAGATATTCACTGTCATTCTCTCAAGCCAGAGGGGGCCCCATTGTCATTTCTTCCTCCACCACAATATTCCACTGTCTCATCAGCTATCACCATTGCAGTCTCCTCCCTCTGGACTAACCAACATAAGTTGGTATATAAAATAACCTTCCCCCCAGCTTCTGCTCCTAGTGGATTTCAGAAAAAACAAAAAAGTGAATGTAAAGCACTCGTGATATGAGTTTATTGCGCTATTGGCAGGAAATGTATCGGCAAGAGTGCAAGTAAGTGGGGACTGAGCTAGACAGCTAGGTTGATATTTCTGCAACTTTATGAGTCACCTAGAAGGTAGATTTCTGCCTGGCAGGGCTCCTTTGTTACTACAGTGCTGCCAAACCTAAAACAGCAAGAAACAGGCTAGGATAGTGGGTTCAACTGCTCATATTCATTTGAACTTAATTGAGTACTTATTTACCTAAAGGCCTCTATAATTTTTCCTTTAAAAATCACTTCAGTGTTTATCTTCTGATTCTAAACAGTAGTTTGGTGACAATTTTATACCAGCTAGAGAGGACAATGAAAGCATAAGAAGTATATACAGTAATTAAGTCAACAAAAATCTATTTTGCTCATATTCCTGGAACACAGCTCAATCCTATACAGGTGACACTCGGAAAATTAGAATATCATGGAAAAGTTCATTTATTTCAGTAATTCAACTTAAACGGTGAAACTAATATATGAGATAGACTTATGACATGCAAAGCGAGATATGTCAAGCCTTTATTTGTTATAATTTTCTGATGAGAGCAGCTTTTGCATTTCATTTGGAAACCAAGGACCCAGAGTCTGGAGGAAGAATGGGGAGTCACACAATGCCAGATGCTTGAAGTTTCCGCAGTCTGTGTTGATTTGGGGAGCCATGTCATCAGCTGGCGTTGGTCCACTGTGCTTCATTAAGTCCAGGGTCAACACAGCCATCTACCAGGAGATTTTGGAATACTTCATGCTTCCTTCTGCAGACAAGCTTTATGGGGATGCTGACTTCATTTTCCAGCAGGACTTTGGCACCTGCCCACACTGCCAAAAGTACCAAAACCTGGATCAATGCCCATGGGATTACTGTGCTTGATTGGCCAGCAAACTTGCCTGACCTGAACCCCATAGAGAATTTATGGCGCATTGCTAAGAGAAAGATGAGAGACATGAGACCGAGCAATGCAGAAGAGCTGAAGGCTACTATTGAAGCATCCTGGTCTTCCATAACACCTCAGCAGTGCCACAGGCTGATAGCATCCATGCCACGCCGCATTGAGGCAGTAATTGATGCAAAAGGGCCCAAACCAAGTACTGAGTACATATGCATGCTTCTACTTCTCAGAGGTCCAATATTGCTGTATTTGTAGTCCTTGTTTTGCTGATTTCATTTAATATTCTAATTTTCTGAGATTGTTAATCTGGGGTTTTCATCAGCTGTACGCCATGATCATCACAATTATAACAAATAAAGGCTTGACATATCTCGATTTGTATGTCATGAGTCTATCTCATATATTAGTTTCACCTTTTAAGTTGAATTACTGAAATAAATGAACTTTTCCACGATATTCTAATTTTCCGACTTTCACCTCTATGCTTGTTTAACAGAAGTATCATGAACAGCACTCACTTCCAAATAAATGTGCATAGGTCCACAGCCTTCGTGCCATAATGAGCTGCAGATAATAGAGATAATAATAATTATAGCAATCCCAGGAGCACTGAATGTTCACTGCTCAGTAAGCAAAGTAATAGGTCTGTCCTTAAGCAATGTCAATAAAGACAAGCTTTCTAAAAATATTAACAGAGCTGTCATTTTAATAGCTGAGTGAACGCTAATATTCATACCCAACAGCTAACCTTTCAAGGAGATAACACATGATGTGCATACAAACAGCAAGGTAGCTAAAATAATCAGTGACCATATGCAGCAACTAGCCCAGTGCAACTGTATGACTAAGGTTGAACAGTCCTAGCAAGTTTAAGAGTAAGTTCAACTTACTTTAGGATGCCAAAAATAATAATTAAAAGTAATAAAAACCCAATCCTAATCTTCTCTAAAAATAAAGCAGACATGATAGCCAATGTCAACAAGATCAAATGTAAAGAGAGATTTCCTAAGTGCTGGCAGGAAAGCAAAGGCCATGGAATGTTCTGCATGTCCACATGTGATAGATTTGAATGGTGATGATGGGCAGAGCTGTCACCACCAGAACCACAGCCCTGTCAGTTCTTATTGACCAGGGAATAAAGTGGTAGTGGCTGTGCATTCTTCTTTTCTGCTATGACAGCTCCAGACTGGTGCAGCTGATGGGCCCAAGGATTAGCCCATGGTGGTGGGAATCTGCAGGGATTTCTAGCCAGCAGATCCAAAGCCTCCAGTGCCTGGCAAGGTGGTTTGGGGACCTTCTGCTGGTTACTGCTGGCAAGAGGTCCACGAGTTCTAGTTTACCACCTGCAGTGCAAAGGGCTCAGGGCTTGCATCAGTGGCTCTCCTCTCTGCTGGTGGAGGTGACTGAGTACCTGAATCCCAACACACACACACACCAGCACATCAACATCAGCAAGTTTGGACTGCTATCTAAATATTGGAAAGCATTTTTGGGGGAAGAGTCTAAAATCACCACACAGGATATTTAGCTTTATGACTGTTTTTGAACAAGGGCACAAGAAGGACATTCTCTATACACCATATATATAAAGCACATGGCTTTCCCCAAAGACTGTAAGGGTGCTGGGAATTGTAGCTCTGTGAGGGGTAAACTACATTTCCTACGATTATTTGGGTGAAGCCATGCGCTTTAAATCTGCTGTAAATGTAAGGTGTGCGTTTGCAGCCGCTCTGCAGTAAAATCAAAGCTTCATGAGTACTAGTTTATTGACTATGATCAGTTCTAGATGTCTCTTACCTCTTTCCTTATGTAATTATATCTTTATCTGTTTTGCCAAAATAAAAAAGCAGCTACAAATAATACCCATAACAAATACAATATAAAAATATTCATCTTATCTAGATTGTTCTCCTAAACTGATTTTAGTCCTATGGTCGACCCACAATGTGCTGAGACAAGCCTGCGTTGTATTTATAAAATGTTAATATTCTCAGAGGCTCTTGTGTGTGAAAATTGTATCTGCTTAACAATGGAATCAGCAATAGCTATAGCCACGGGGCCTCACCTCCCAGTCTAGCTCATGGGAGTAGCCAGAATTTATGTCGGGGAGGGCAGCCTTCATGTTAGGGGGGCAGGCTTCATGTTGGGTGGGGAGAATCTCAGTTAGTTAAGTATTTTTTTTTTGCTTAACTTAATTTAGGGGGGCAGTTGCCCCCCCGCCTCCCCCTTTGGTCTAGCTTGCAATTGTTCTGTAGATAGGAGGCACCCCATTGAAGAACAAGTCCACCACCCTATACAGACCCTTCCCCTCCCACACTTCAAATTGGTTATATTTAGACACGTCTGCGAAATGTGGGTATTTCAAAATGGGAGTAAGAGGTGATTCAGAAGGAGCTGGTACTATGAACCACCTTTGTTATATTGAGAGGATAGTCTGATTGTATGGGTTCTTTGTGTTTTGTAACCTGGTTGCAGTCAGCTTAAGAAATTGAAGGGCCCTGTCCAACACTTGTGCTCTCCATGCCTACCCAATTGAAATCATAATTGCCCTTGACCAATTGAATCAGTTGCATTAAATTGTAGGCTTCATAATACACTTGCAGACTTGGAATTCCCAAACCCCTATCTGTTGGCAGTCGTACAGCATATTTTTATTCACCTTGGGTTTTTCCATTACTCCTGATAAACTGGTTTACTAGTTGCTGCCAAGTATTTATTTCTGCCTGCAGCAGAACAAGGAGTGTTTGAAACAAGTACAGAAGTTGAGGGAGATAGCCATTTCTATACCAGCCAGGTGAGATTGTTATTCTATGCTTGCAACTCCCTTTTCACCTCTTTGCTCAATGGGCCATAGCTTTGCCTTTTGAGCCGGATAAGGCCTTTTGGGGGAACCATCTCCAAATACTTCATGCTATTCCCCAATAGTAGCAAAGCTCTACCATTGGCTGCAGGTTCTGTGTAAATGCTGTGGGTCACACCCATGAATTTATTGCCCATGTTCAAATGGGTTAGAACCTGAAGGCCATTTGATCTGGCTGAAGGCCTTATATGCATCTAGAGAGACCAATGCCACTGGCTCCTGCTTAGTTTTACAATGGTGCATAATATTCAGGATCCTCTGGACTGAGTCAACAATTTGGCTATGAGGGACTAAACTCTGCCGATGTCTTGACACCTTTCAGCCTACCCAGTCTATTAGCCAATACGACATCTCAGATTTCCCTGTCCTGATTAGGGTCCCAAACCGGTTTGCTCAAGACAATAACTCTTGACATATTCCACAAGGTGGTACAGTACTAGCATCCATGTGATGGTATTATGCAGGGAGGCTAGTATAGGAGCAAGAGAATATTTCAAAGCTTTATAGAACCCACCCCCCAAAAAAGCTATCTAGCCCATGGGCTTTGCTTTGTTTACATTTATTTATTTTTTTGCTACCTTATCTTCAGTCCTAAGATACCTGATCAAAATATCAATTTAGTCTTGCTTGAATACAAGTGTCCTGTAAATAGGTTGGATCAGTACTGTAAAGGTTTTCATACAAATCTGCAAAAGTTTTGAGAGTACGGTAGCTCCTGCTGCATAACAAGAACAACTTGCAGGGCTTAACAACCTGGACTATACAATTTCATTATCTTTCCCCACCATAGAGCTTATTATTACTGAACTCATGTAATTTTTATTACCAAGTTTTTATTACTCATGAGCTCTGTGGAATGGACCATTGCATTGCTAATGTGATCAAGAGTTCAGATAGCTTACTTTGCTTATGGAACAGCTTTTGAAGAGTTTGAAGGCTACAAATAGCCCCGGGCTTCCTCTCCAAGCCCTCTATTTCTATTTCCACCTCAAGTCCAGCTTGTTACAGTTAAGGGTGAAGGCTGACATTATGCACTTCTTGTTTAACTTCTCACCCCCCAAAACTTTAATAAAAGCCCAATCTTGAGCTCAGCTGCATGGAGGCAATACAGTATAGGACTGAACACCTGGGTCCCAGTGAGAACTGGTGCACAGAGATCCTTCCTTTGCTGTAAAACTGGTAAGACACACATTATTTCAAGGACCATTCCAAGTGGGATTTGTTTTATCTTTGAGTAATTGTGATAACAACAAGAAAAGGGGATTTTGACTTATGGTTAGAAGCAAGTGGGGTGGAGTGACTCAGCACCACCAACCTTGCAGAGTACAGGAAAGCATTTGCCACCAAAGTTTGTGACTATGCCCCTGCAGTTGCTGGAGAAAATCTGGCTTTCCCATCAACTAGATAGCACAGATCTAAGCAGAAATACCTAAGTGTATCTGAAAGATTCCTTGTAAAATGTTTTTGGGATTTCAGGATGAGCCTTATCTGATAAGGTTTAACAGATAGTAGTGAATATATGATTTTAGGATAATTTTAAAGAAAATAAGCTTATCTCATGATAATTTTTTGGGCAGAGTGGGGTGCACTGGCCTTCTTGCCTTGCTGCTGAATTCACACGTTTGCCTAACTCGCTTTGATGCTTCCTCAGCCAGGGTTCTCTCCAGTTTGTGGAGCAGGCTCCCTCACTAGCTGGTTTCTGTGAAGATTTTGGGACATGTGCTCATTAGTGTCCTACTAGACATACAAATTACACACACAGTCAGCGAAAGGTTCTTAAGTAAGTTAGTAAGCAGCAAGCCACTGAATGTGGATATTGAGAAAATATTCCTCAACTATCAATGCAACAGGGACACGGGTGGCGCTGTGGGTTAAACCACAGAGCCTAGGACTTGCTGATCAGGAGGTCAGTGGTTCGAATCCCCACAATGGGGTGAGCTCCCGTTGCTCGGTCCCTGCTCCTGCCAACCTAGCAGTTCGAAAGCACGTCAAAGTGCAAGTAGATAAATAGGTACCGCTCCAGTGGGAAGGTAAACGGCATTTCCATGCGCTGCTCTGGTTCACCAGAAGTGGCTTAGTCATGCTGGCCACATGACCCGGAAGCTGTACGCCGGCTCCCTCGGCTAATAAAGCGAGATGAGCGTCGCAACCCCAGAGTCGGTCACGACTGGACCTAATGGTCAGGAGTCCCTTTACCTTTTTATCAATGCAATATCTATCTACCTCTATATCTATACATCACTTTTTACATATATATATTTATATCACACACACATAAACATATATTCATTATGCTGTATAGAATAATTCATCAATATTGTATGAAAGTGATGAAGGTATACTTCAGCATTACGTACGGTAATTCAGTAAATACAAATAGTTTTAGTATTTCAACTATTAAATTCTAGTGCCTGTGTACATGCAAGATAGATCAGTTCTTTACATGGAGAAGTACAGAAGATGCTGATTTGGGATTGCCATCAGGAATCATCCACATCTCAACACCAATGTGTTTGCTAGCTATTACGGTAATTCCGTACACACACACCCCACCTTGGATTTGCTTTAATCGTGCAAATGAACGCAAGTCTAGATCAAATTAACAGGCTGTACAAACAAGCCAAGAAACACTTCACAGCAATGTATTTGAAGGACTTTCTTAGTACTCCATAATTCTGTAACTCTCCAGCAGTCCTCGTTATTTTCCAGTGCTAGGAAAGTAATAGCTAAATTCCACTGAAAATCAGGTGTTCCTAAGCTTTGTGTGTGCATATGGATACAGTCTTCTCATTGTTAAACCTAAGCTCAAGCATAGATGTGCACCTTCATCTTATGAATGTTTATCAGAAGAGAACCCTACCAAGTTATGGGGCTTTCTTCCTAATGCACACCTAGTCAGAAATAAGTCCCATTTAGATAAATGGGCCTTACCCCCATGTAAGTGAGTACAGTATTGCAGCCTGAAGGCACAATCCTATACTAAATACATGCTGTCTGAGAGGCTACAGTAGCATTTGATGGAAGCCTTGCTATGCTGCATGAACGCCAGATGCACTGCTGCCAAGACAGACACAGTGGTAGAATATGTCAAATACACAAAAATCCAGTGGAGTTGTGGGTGGGATGGGACCAATACTATGGAGAGCCATATGCTATACCTGTTCAGTCCATGGCTATTCTTCCATTAATGAATCAGGGAGTGCAGAGTTTCCAGTGTCTGTGGGCAGGTCTGCCATATATGCATATATGTTGTATTTTCTACTTGTGTGTTTTCCTAACCCCTTCTGGGCATAAGAATGAAAGAGCATAAGAAGAGCTTGGCTGGATCAGGCCAATGACTTATCTAGTCCAGCAGCCTGCTCTCACAATGGCCATCCAAGTTTCTGTGGTACACCTGCAAGCAGGGCGTGAGGGCAGCTGCAGTTCCCAGCAGGTGGCATTCAAAGGCATACGTCTTCTGACATTGGGGACAGAACATGGCTCTCCTGGCTGACAGTCTTAACTTCTATATGAGATGCCTGGAACAGGCTGGCTGTTCCACTGGTGCAGTCACAGCGTATCTCAGGATACGCAAGTGCGGGATTGCTCTGAAAACCTCAGAGTTAACCTCTTGAAGAGCTGCAGTACTTTGTTACCAGTATCCCTAAAAGGAAAAAAAAGCACTTGCCTTGCATTAAAGAAGCAAAAAACACGTTGGTTGATGATCAATGTATGTGTGGGGGGGTGGGGTGGGGATATCATTTGCACCCCTACTGTACAAGGAAATAAATCACGGGCCTAATTGCCGCAGAAATATACTCTGTGCTTTGACATTTGAAAGTCGTTTGCCATTTCTGGCCACCTTAAAGCGAGTAGGTACGTCTACTGGCTGCAGAAACGACTCCCCACCATAGCTGTCAACTTTTCCCTTTTCTCTCGAGGAATCCTATTCGGAATAAGAGAATTTCCCTTAAAAAAGGGAAAACGTTGACAGTTATGCTCCCCACCCACCCCGAAATCACTTGCAGCTTGACTACATCAGTTGTACTTTCCCGTCACTAGAAATGAGATCGGGAAGCTGCTTCTGCGCCTCTTAAACGCGGAGCCACCGTGTCCTCCTTTTTCTTTGTTTTTTGCTTTTGCATTTTTTGCTCTTGCTGGAAGGCTAATGACGGCTGCAAGAAGGGAGGCAGCATTTCCGCGAGACCCTCCAAGCCCAGCTGGTGACAGCGCCGCCAAGGGTCCACTCACCGGCCATCCTCCGTGTCTAGGCAACCGATCTAGACTCTTCGAGACTCGGCCCGCTCGAGAGGCGGGAGCATAATATTTACTCGACAGCGGGGAGAAGGTGAACCGGGCGGCGGAGAGCCATGGGTGGGGGGGAGGAGGAGCAGCAGCAGAATCCCCTCAGAGACAGGAAGCGGAGGGAGGGGACAGGCGAGAGAGCGAGAAATGGCGCGAGCGATTGGCCCAAGCGCTGAACCAATGGCGGGCCGCGGCTTTTTGGCGGAGAGAGGGTGGTAACATGCAACGGGCGCCGGCCAATCGTCGGCGCCGTGTGTAGCCTGGCGGGCCAATGGGCGTTCGGCTCGCCCCTCCCACCTCCTTCGCCGATTGCTTCAGTGTGGCGGCGGCGGCGGCGGGGAGGGGAGTCGATAGAATCTCGTCGATAACGGAGCTTCTTCACCCTGCCGCCCCTCCCCCCACCCTCTTGGCGGTCTCTCTACTCCCGCCCGCCCCCCAGCTAGGAATGGGGGTCGGTGGGTGAGTGAGAGGAGCTCTGAAGCGCTTCCAAAGGCGCCGATGGTTAAACGGGCGCTTGTCAATGTAGGCGCCTCGTTTCGTTATTGTCTTCTAAAGCTCTCGTTGGTTGTTTTTCCCCCCCTCAGAACAACAACAGCAGCAACAACAGCCTTCGGAACATGGGGCACCTTGGCTGAGGGATAAAGTCTCTCGGGCGGCGCTGGCGCTGGCTGAGCCTCCCTGCCTCACCCTCGGCACTCCGTGGGGTGGGGGGCAGGCGTGGAGAGGGTGAAAAGTGGGGGGGCGGCGGCAGGGGGGTGCTCTGTGAGGAAATGGAGGGACCCTCGGAAGAAATGGAAGGAGCTCCCGGGCGCTCCGCGGAAGAAGCGGACCCGTCTCTCTTCACCGTCAAACACGAGCTGAAGAACGGTGAGTAGTAGGGGAGTGCTCTTGAAAGGAAGGTCTGTTGGGGGGGTGAAGAGGCGCGAAATGTGGGGCTGGGAAGGAAGGGAAGCGCGCGAAGATCCCCGTGAAACTCGGAGGGAGGTTATTGGGAGGGGGTATCAGGGAGTGTTTGTTTCCGTGTGCCAAAGTGAGCTGCGCGTGAGGTGGTAAGGGAGGGGAGAGAAACGGGGGAAGTGGGTCGCCGAGGCGCCTCGGGGCAGCTCTGGAGGAGGACGCTGCTCGATGGGGCTAAGGAAGGGGCGGCGACTAAGGCCCGCAGAAGAAGGGCTCGGGGGAGAACTGGGGAGCGCGGGGAGAGGGTTTGGGGTGGGAGGTTGGGGAAGCGGGACGGGGAGAAGGGCTCGGTTGCAGCGCCGGACGAGGGGGAAGTGTTTGGCGGCGGGCGAGTGGCAGCTGCGGGAAAGCGGCGAGCGATGTCAGGAGGAGAGAGACCTGCCGAGGCGGGTACATACTTTGGTGAACGGAGGTCTGGGAAAGATGCCTCCTCCTCACCCATCTCCTTGCTGCGAGTTTTGGCAGCGGTCTTCGTAGGAAATCGCCCAGGGCATTTGCAGTTTCCTCCCCTAGATTGCCCTGATTCTTCTGTTGCTCAAAAACGCTGCGCTTTATTGTTATGCACACGATATTTCTGGTAAAGAAACGTTTCTCTCACTCATTCCTCACCATGCATTAATATTGTTACGATGGCAGTTGTTGTTGTTTTAAACCTAGGAGCCAACTTGTATGGGCAGAGGTCCACTGCCCCCCCAATAAAATAGTTGAGGGGCCCAGGCCCCTCCAAAGTTCATGAACATTTCCATTCAAATAGTGTGTGTGTGTTGTGTCATGTGATCGGTTCTGCAGTGTGGGGGCTTACCTGCCCAATATTTTATTCAAGTTGGCACCCCTGGTTTTAAATAGCTTTCCTGGTAATATAGGGTGCAATCCTATGCAGGAGGGGGATGTGTGGCCCTCCAGATGTTGTCCACTGAGCTCCTGTTATACTTGGACTGTTGGTGATGCTGCTTGGGGTTGGTGTGGAATAGATCCCAACAACATTTCCAAGTCCACACATTCCCCATGCCTGCTGTGCATACTTACATAGAAGTAAGTCCCAGCGAACGTATGCCATTAGTGGAGTAACTGCTGAACCTCACAGTACTGAATGGGTACCTCCTCAGTTACTATGAATTGCACATATTATGGAAGATGAGGCAGTTAATGCAATGAAATCATTAAAGCCCGATAAAGCCCCTGACATAGGTGACTTGATAGCTGAATACTACAAATTGTACATGAACTTTCTAAAGAAATCACTAGCAGATAAACTGCAAAAGATAGAGAAGATGTTGAGGGATGGGGAAACTCTGTCTCAAAACTGTAATGTGGATGTTGCATCTTAATGTCCTGTGTCATCTAAGCCTAATGAAATTAAAACTGACAAATTATCAGGTCCGGATGACACGCATCTGAGAGTTATCAAAAAATCAAATGTGAAATTGAGGATCTTCTGATAACATAATGTAATGTGTCCCTCAGATCAGCCTCTGAACCTTTGGATTGGAAAGTAAGGCAGTGTGACACCAGTTTTTAAAAAGGGTCCTGGAAATTACAAGCTTAATGCCTGTCCTGGGAAAACTGGCTGCCCTTTATGTTGGAGGCACAGCAATAATGGATAAGATCAGGTTTATAGGTAGATAGATATTGAAGAGGTGCAAGAGTGCCATGTTTTTGGAATAGAATGTCAAGTTAGAAAAATGGCACGTTCTGTGATCAGAAATGGAATTGTGGAGGAATATGAGGGAATACTTTGGTGTGGGAGAGGGGGGTGAACCAGAGGAAAACAAATGCTTGGTAAGAATTAACTTACCAAGGAAATGATTTAGGCATTGGTTTCAGATCTCATCTCTACTTTGTACTCATTTAACTTCCTTAGGCAAGTAACTTGTTTTTATCTAGATAATCTTGTTTCAGACAGTGATGAGCCAAATGTTCTGAGCAGCTCCCAAGCAGAGCATGAGAAAACGGGTCTTCTGTTGTATATATCCAGTGGCTGGTAACTGAAATGATACTGTTTCTGAATTTACAGCAGTGATGGGGAACTTACCTCCATGCATACCTCTGCAGGCCATATTTGACAGGTGGGCAGGACCACCCAGCTGTCAAACACCTGATGTAACAATGAAGTCAGGGGACCTTTTCTGACCCCATTGCGATGCTGTTTGAAATGAAAACATAGGGGCAAAAAAGTTGTGTGGCACTTCTCAGTCATCAACAAAAAGGTGATTGTGAGTGCTGGGGAAGCACTATGCACTGCACTACCCAAACATTGACAATCAGCTGGTTGTCAGGGCTGGGGAAGCCTTGTCTGTAATTCTTCCCAAGTGCTCACAATTGATGGCGCATGGGAAGTACTACACAAGAGGTTTGTAGACCCTGCTGATCAGCTGAACAACAGTGTCTGCAAAGCCCATTTTGCCCCAGGCCTTCCTTTGCTTGCCCCACACCTGAGTTCATATATGACACCAGGTGTTGAGCAGGTGAGCTTTGCTCGGCTGAAACAGCCTCTTAGGCCACATGGGTTTCCCACCGCTGACTTGGAGATTTCATTTAGTTATCACAGCTAATGAGGAGGGTTTCAAGGGTGGAATAGGTAGAAGCTGCTCTGGTTGACTAGAGCCAAAGGACGGTGTGATGGGAATGTGTGGAGGAAAAGTAAATAGGTGTTTCCTTACAAAACCTGACTTCCATGCCAATGGTTTTCTGCTACCATTTAATATTACTTATACCCATTACATTCTTAACTTACCAGTAACTGGTAGTTGAGGGAAATAAGCATGGTACAAAGTTAGTTGGATAGAGTTACTATATTTAACCAATATATTAGTGTTTATTAGGAGATTACACAGTACACAAGCTTAATACAGTACTGTCTCTTTAAATGGGTATATGCCATGTTAACTAGTTATTAGCACTTTAAATATCTACAGTAAAGGGTTTAGGGAGGTGGGAGATAAAGTGATCAGACAAGCAGTTCTACCCAGTTTTGATCATTTTCAGAGCATTTTTTAATAATAGTTGGCTCAGTACTTGTATTACGTCCTCCTTTGTGTGTGTGAACACTAACAATATAGTATGAGATCTTCAGTTTTTAAAAAAGTGCCACCATCTTAAACAATGTTTACTTTTATTGTTGTATTCTGCTGTATGTTGCCACTGAGAACATAAAGTATCCAAATATACTATCTACTTAAGACGAGTTGACACCTGCTTTTCATTTTTAAATTTCTACTTTATCTCCTTACTTTGTGACTGTTATTCATCCTGACAGATAAGCCAGCTAAATCAAGCAGAAATTGGAAGGAAACCATTGCAAAAACTCCCTGAATGTTTCTCTCTTTTTTGAAATGATTATTAATGCTTCCCTCAAAACGGCTGCTAGGGAGGGATTTGTTTATAGTGCTTCATTTTCTTTTTACTGCTTCTCCCTCCTTTATCCTGTGCTTGATTCCTGCCTAAAATCTTGCATAAAAGCACATTTTACAGTATGTCACTGATTAAATTCTTGACACATTAGTCCCAGCAAGAGTGTAGGCATCTTGTATAGCACTGTGGCACACCTTGAATTAAACATAGAATAAAGCCTTCTGGTTTTTCATAGATGCTAGGCTGCTGCTAATGGACATGATGTACTTCTGTAATGGCATACAGCTCATACTCATTACTTTTAGTTTATTCATGCAAATGAATAAAATGGATAGGTTTAGCAAGTAGGGTTAACAATGCTTTGTTCATATTCATCCCAGCTACTTCAGGTATTGCCTCAAAATCACAATAATTTGTTATTCAAATAAATAGTTCTTTATGTTTTATTTTACATATATGAATATATGTAGATATTGCAAGAAAGAATCACATCTAAGAAAAACATATCTTTTTCAATTCAGCATGGGCATCCAGTTGTTGTTACATTGGTTAGAAAAACATTGAAGTCTCATTTTGAAAGGCAAATAAACTTCACAGTCTTTCTTTTGTAGTGTTTCCTCAGATGTGGTAACTCTTCAGTTTTTCATGTGGTAACTGTTTCACACCAACCATTTCCTATGTAAAAATGTGATAAAACCACAGTGTTAGAACCTGACCACTTCAGAAATAAATGTGAATTAGCTCTGTTACGATCTGTAATAAAGAGCCCCTGAAATCATGCCGGTTTTTCTCGCTGGACCTAGTTAGTTGCACATAGTTCCCATTTGAATCTCGCTGATTTAAACTGAAATTAAATCTAACCAAATAGGTCTGGATGCAACCCATAATTTCTACAACATGTTAAAATGACCCATGTTTCATTTCCTTCATAAATAAAAACAGTCACTCAAATAGCAAACTTGGATAGTGAGTGCCTGTCAGTTTAGTAGTGACATGTGGCCACCCAAAAACTATTGTATACTCCCAAGTAGTGTGGGGGGGTGCATTAACTTGTAAATTATGATAACAGTGTTAAAAGAACAAAAAGGGTTGTGAGCTTCCAGGGCCTATGGTGTGTTAGGGGGTTTCACTTGAGTGTTGCGGGGAATGGCTTGCTCAAACCCTTAAGTTGATTAGAATTTATAGGATGCATTTCACAGCCAATATCCCAGCTGCTAGTGCTGCTTCACCAAGATGCCATGCCCTTGAAAAAGGGGGAAGTGGACAGGAGGGACTAAGTTTATTTCACAGGCAAAATTCAATGCCTCTGAACTTGACCCTTTTCTCTTGAGGAAAGGAGATAAAAGATGGGATGCAGAATGTGTGTGTAGGTTTTGAGAATGTCAGGAAGCAGTGGTTTTCTCCCCTCTTTTTTCTGGTGGGGCGGGGTGGTGTCAAAAGCTCAAGTAATGTTCCATTATTAGTTCTGCATCTATAAAAGAGTTGGGAGGAGAGGCAGCAAACAAGAAGAGATGGGAACTTTTGTTTTCCCACATCCGTCTACATCAGCAGCTGTTGGCAGCAGCAGAACTTGTTGTGAATGTTGTGATGTCTCAACATAAGCTAAGTTTTAATATTATTTATTCATTTATAATACAAAATGGCTTCTAAACAGTTTTAATACAATGCGGTTTGGGGTCTAGACATCTAGTAGCTATTGTTGATAGCAGCTGACAACAGCCGTGACCTGTTTGTTCCTTGTTTTGTGTTTGTGTGTTAAACAACGCTAGTAATTTTACACTGAAATATTTTTGTGCTTTCTTAGCAAACTTGACTGGTCATGTAGAGAAGGTGGGCATTGAGAACTTTGAACTGCTGAAAGTTCTTGGGACAGGAGGTAAGAATAGGTCCTCTTTGCTAATTAAATATGAAAATATTAAAACAATTGTTAAGTAGGGTTTTTTTTTTATTAAAAATATCTTAAGTTTAATGACTGCATACACAATATGTTAAATGTAACGTGCTCTTGTTAGGGTTCCTGCGAGGGACCATTATCCTTTTCAGGATATCCTATTCTATTCACTTCCCCATACCCTGTTTTTTCTCTCAATAGCAGTAACAAGTAGGACTGCTTCTTTACCCTTCCACCAGAAGTGCTTCCAGACAAGCTGTCCTCCAAGTTATACCATCCGTTCCCCTTTTTTTCTTCTTCCAGACTTACACTCAGTATTATATGGCTGCTGAGAATGCTGAATACTTATTGGGTTGTTTTCCACTGTAGGTTTTTTTTTTTTTTAAATCTGCTTCTGCAAACCTTGGGTATCCCCCATGTATTCTGACATCTCCCTTTTCTCATTTTTCCATTTCTATTATCACTTTTCACTCGAATTCAGTATTATTTCAGTCAACAAGGTATAGAAATGCCATTGAGTTCAGAGATTCCAATAATTATCTTTCTATGTGTATAGGGTTGGAATTACCTTGATTTAGGTACTTTGCTCAGTTGTGAAGATGGGAAAGTGATAGGAATTGAATGCTATGGTATCCAATTACTCGTACAAATATCTGTTGTTTTTTGAGTATTTTATACTGTGCCATATGTTTGTTTTTAGCTTATGGGAAGGTGTTTCTAGTCAGGAAAATAAGTGGTCATGATGCTGGCAAGTTATATGCCATGAAGGTTTTGAAAAAAGCAACAATAATTCAAAAAGCCAAAACAACTGAACATACGAAGACTGAACGGCAGGTACTAGAACACATCCGACAGTCACCATTTTTGGTGACTTTGCATTATGCGTTTCAGACAGATGCAAAGCTTCATCTCATTTTGGGTAAGTTTTAATATAACAACGAAATATTTTCACTGAAACAAAACAACAACAACTAACATTAAAGTTCAGTGATTCCATGTTAAGAGTGCCAGGCCAGTCAATGGTACAATATAATAAATATCCAAAGAGTTTACAAACTGAAGAATATGCTTTTAAAATTATTTATTCTTATCATGGATCTATAAGGTTGTATTCAACATGCTCAAAGCAGACCAACTGAAATCAATAGACAACTTTTTCTTTGATCTGAAAGCAAGTCACATTAGAAAATACAAACATTCATGTGTTATGTGTGTTAGATATCCTGATAATGTTAGAGGAAGCAACCGGGGTTGTACTGAGAAGACAGAGGGTGGAAGAGTAAGGGGTTGGCTTGTGGTTCTATGCTGGAATGGAACACAGTTACACTGGAGCACCTCTGATAATCCAACGAGCTGCTAGTTGTTAGCTTTAAGCCATTTATAAGTACCTTCTGACAAATCAGAAGGAGATGTGTGTTGAAATTGTATTTATGCAGGCTACCAACTGTGTGGCAGCTTAGATAAGTTTTCTCCCTTCAGTGCTGACATGCCCCACTTCAGGTTCATGAATGTTAACACATCTAGACAAGACTATAATCCTGCTCCCCGCCTCCCACCCTGCTTTTGAATATTTTCCTTTAATAACACAGCTTGTCAGTTTTGGTTTCCAATTCACGGCTACAGATAGTTCAGTTGCATAACCCTTGTTCAAGCTTCCCTTATGCCTCTGAGAGATTTTGGGCTTGTCAGAGGCAAAGAGGGATCTCTACAAGGTGGTTTTAATCAAAATGGGTACCGCTGAAGCGCTTCATGGCACCTCGGTGATCTAGACATTTTTAAAAAATGCTGCAGAGAAGTGGCTATTTTCACTTTCAGCAGTTGGGATCCAGGGAGAAGAGAGAGCAAACGCTAGAGTGAGGAGACTATGTAGAAGGAGAATTTCATTGTGATTGACTAGTCTAGCTTGTAATTAGAGAGACTGTGTTTACCAGTGCTCTCAAACTCTAGTGCTTTGAGGGAGAGAATTTTGCAAAAGTGGAATTTATGTATCTAAAGAAGATGTCAAGGTGAGAAGTCTGATGTGACTGACAGGCCAAGTATATAATCCAGGGATTGGGCAACCAGCAGCCCATGGGTCAGTCTTGGTCCATCAGGAAGTCAGATTTGGCCCATGAGGCTTGGACCCCTATGACAACTTCGGCAGCCTCTGAATTGGTCCAAGCTGAATCAAGCTATTTTACAATCTTGTGGTTCGTGCTCAGCCCTACTCCAAATTAACCTGTAGTTGAAACTCAATGGGCTAATTAGATTTTTGGAGCTTCCTGAAGGAGAGGGCCCTTCAAATTCTCTAATTGTTTCTTTTCCATTTTATGTTGCATCCAGAATTTTCTCTTCTCACCCAATTACTCATGGTTTATTCATTTCTAGAAGTTCTTACCTCCTCCCAGCAATGAGATAGAAGTTAATGCAGAGACTTTCACACTGGTTGTGCATTCTCTGTTCTAAGGAAAAAGAGAGGTTCAAATTCTAAAACTTCAGTTCCTTCTGTCTTTGCATCAAGGGTAATTAAACACACACACAAACTTGCACTCTGGAGGACAAGCTAATTACAGGACTATTTAGATTAGCACTGGTGGAAAGAGGAAATGATTAATGGCACAAGCCAGCAGGAGGAGCTTTTAAAAAGAAGGAAAAAACAGTGATAAGGAACTGCTACTGTGTTTCTTTTTGGGCTGATCTGTGGTAGGGGAAAACTTCATATGGTTGCTGAGAAAATAGACTGATTAGGCAAGGATGGCATAATCCCCACCCCTCTAAAACGTGAGTGAGTGAGTGAGGCATTGTCATCCCATGTTAAATGCCTGGAAGAATCCTTTGAGGGAAGAAATGGAACTCTGGGTTAAGCACCCTGGTGGAGTCATTTCTTTTCTATTACAAATGGTTGTCTCAGAGCAGCTTTTCCTTGGGATCTGTCAGAGTTTTCATGTAATGTGTAGTTGGGTTCTTAAAGGTCTGTTACTCTTACTGAGCAAAATTGAGCAATTTAGAATAGATGATACTGCTTTCTGTTGTGTGTTTTTTTTAAAAAAATAAAGCTACATTAAATAATCAACTTCCTGTATCTTAGATTACATAAATGGAGGAGAACTTTTTACCCATCTTTCACAGAGAGAGAGATTTACTGAAGATGAGGTACGAATATACATTGGAGAGATTGTGTTAGCACTTGAACACCTGCACAAGGTAAAACTATGATTTGAACTTTCCTGATAAATTCCATGTGTTTTTTGAAGTGTGAAAAAGGGGGAAAGAAGACTTGTGCTTTAAACTGTATAAACATTAGAGATGACAAAATTTAACACGCTGTTTGCAACAGCATGGGTAAACATGCCTATGGCCAGTTGTCTTTCTTTTTTTCCTAATAGAATTTATACATTGCTTGATTATTAAAAAAACCAACACCTCAAAGTGATTTACAAAAATATAACATTTAGTTTCCTCTAAGATGGGTTGCTGTGCCATGCACACCAGAGATTGTGTGTTAAAACAAACTGGCCTGTTTCAATACAAGCCAACAGCACCACAAGGCAGGATCAGGGGAAATTGCCGTTAAATGCTAGTGAAATCCTTCTGGATACACAGGAGAAAGAGGCATGAAAGAATTTCTCTCCAGGTTGTGCATGTAGTTATGGATTATTCTTAAATGTGAACCAATATTAAGGTTCTTCCTGTGTACAAAATGCCTCCTTCACCTCCCACCACACAGCAAGTAGCGTGTTAAATGCAGTAGCTACGTGACAATGGGCCACTGGTAAATGCTATTTGTCTGTGGTTAATTATTGTTAACTTCAAACAAGTCATCTTAAGGTTCTTAGACTAGCAGGTTGAAACTAGCCATAAGTTTGAGATCAGGATGACATGGCCAGCTATGATTAACTAAAAGTAGAACCCAGATTCCTCCTCTTTGACCATGCAGGAAGAGGAAAGGGTTGGGAGAAGTATACAAGTCTGAGGATCACTGCAGTTTGTGCATACTGCACTAAACCATGTTTTAGTGTGAAGCATGAACCCAGGCCGTGTGTGCATGAAATGAGGCTCACCGTATTTCCCCATAGCCATATTTTGGATTGTGTCATAATTCTGTTATGTGGGGCGTTGACCTTAATAATCAAGATTTGAGTCAATAACATAACGTAAGAGGAGCCTGCTGGATCAGACCAGTGGCCCATCTAGTCTAGCATCCTGTTCTCACAGTGGCCAACCAGATGTCTTTGGTAAGCAGGACCTGAGCATCCAGTGGTTTAGAGATAAATGCATAAGCCTCAGGTTTGTGCACCCCACCACTGGCATGTCAGAAGCATTTGCTTTCATTTTCAACTATTTGTGTTTTGTGTCATTGTGTATAATCTGGGAGAAATTGTGATTAGTTTTAACTGTAGATTATCAAAAGAAGCCAACTTCAAACTGGTTAATGATCCTGCTTTGTAACTGCAGTTCTAGATTCAGAGATAGCAACAAACAGTGGTTAATTGAAAAAGTTTTTCTTTCTAAATGAAGAAATGTCATCATTTCTCAAATATTTATGCTATGCTTACTACACGTAGAAAAAGTCTTCTCTAGTCTGCCCAGAAACTTCAGTTCCTGTTTTGACTTACCAATCATGCCCATTTAATTTAGTTTGCTACTTTGATTTAATGTGGGTGTTGCTGGGCCAAAGCAGAGTGAATAAAAAATGACCAGCACTACAAAGAAGACAATATCGTCCAGTGTGTCATTTCCTTTATTCAATAAACTGTCACACCTGCTAGTTGTAATAGGAGTATCTAAAGTATTTGATTTAATATTGAGAATTATTTCTAGAGGTAAGTAGCATATTGCTCTAAAATTAATAAAAAGCAGGTTATCTTACAAGCATACAAAATATATTTCTCCATTTGGTGTTCTGCTTATATGTTAATAATTTAGTTGTAAATTAATGTCAGATCTGCACCATTTTTAAGTATACATGTATGAAGATTTATTCATAGGAAACTTGATTTAAATCAGGCCACCCTATGTAAATATAGAGCACAGATAGGTTTTTTAATGCTAATAACCACACCTCAGTGTATTTAGCATTCTAATAATTATGAGCATGCTTTAATATGCTTACTAGTATATAATGAATTAAATTTCTTTTTTCAGTTGGGAATTATATATCGTGATATAAAACTTGAGAATATTCTGCTTGATTCTGATGGCCATGTGGTACTGACTGACTTCGGCTTGAGTAAGGAGTTTGTTAGTGATGAAGTGAGTATCTTCATATGAAGTGTTTGAACAAGTGATTGTATAAATGAAGTCAGAACATAAACAAGTTGAAATATTAGCTCTCATTGAAATCGTCACATATGCATTTGAGCACAGAATTTGCTTCATAAGATTGTTCTCCAATGGATCATATGTCTACAACATAGTTTGTAAGCCTACAACAAACCATGGTTTCACATTTGTTTCTGCAAGACAAACCAAGATTGGTCTGCTGGGTTCAAATACTTAGACAAGCCACACTTTGGCTAAATCATGGCTTAGTGTTATGTGCAAACCAGGAATTGTCATTTTACTAGTAAATACCTACTTTATCATTTTTTAAAAAACAGAGTAATTGTTGATGGTTTGGCTCCACTTAGGCACCTGGTGTTTTCTTTTTGTGATGATAAATGACAGCAGGCGCTACTTTGGTAGATCAGAGAATGTAGGTTTATAAAAAATAAAAATCTTGATTCTTATATGAAAACCTGTGGCCTTCCAGATGTTGTTGGTCTTAATCACTCATCAGCCTCAGCCTGCGTGATCAACTTATATTTATAATATATGAAGTAGCATCTATTCTCAGAGTTGTCAGTTTGGACCGATAATAGAGGTGCTAGGAACTGTTAGTCTTTTCTCTTATCCTCATTTTGTCTTGTGATTCTCATATCAGTTAGTGTGTTGTGTGCCTTCTTTTTTCCAGAATGAAAGAGCATATTCCTTCTGTGGAACTATAGAATATATGGCTCCAGATATTGTCAAAGGAGGGGAGACAGGTCATGATAAGGTATGCTTTTCTTTAATAAAGCATCCAGTGAAGTTTGTAAAACATTTACTGTAGATGTTGCTGAGGGAAGGGAAATGTAGCCCTCTGCTTGTGGCCACTCTTCCCTACTTATGAACTCACTGCCACCAGATAAAGGGGGAAATTATTTCTATAAGACTACCCCAGGATGAATCAAGTTTCACAAGTTAACCCTATAATCCACAAATGAACAGACAAGAATGATGGGCGATAGACAAAAAGATACGTAGTCCCATATAATATGCAACAATCCATAAAACAAGGTGCATCCAGTCAGTCTAGGACAGTAAAGCCCAGATCCTTCACATGCGTTATAATAATTTTACTTTCACTTATAATTTATTTCTATTTTATAAATTCATCTATCTTGATTTACCTCTAGCTGTGAAGATAGCTGTCTGGATAATTGTTATTTCTTAGAATAATTGTATTGGCTTAGTGTATTTTTCTGCTTTTATAACTTACATGATTATTTTATAGGCTGTTGATTGGTGGAGTCTAGGTGTTCTTATGTATGAATTATTAACTGGAGCATCACCTTTTACTGTTGATGGGGAGAGAAACTCACAAACTGAGATATCTAGGTAAGTTATAAAATTGGCTGCAAATTATTAAACTCCACTTTTAAAGAAAATATTATTTTATATAGTCTACATTTGTTTAACAATTTGTGGAAACCAGAGTACAATAAAAGATGTAGTGTACAAATACTACAGAGCTTGACTGGATGTTGTCAGAGTACTTTATGTTGAGCTTTAGACTTGCAGCAGTGGCTCCATTTCACAGGTATAATATGCTTATTAAGATGGTCCACCCATGAATTCTTATGTCACCGTTGGATTCCTGAATGCCCGTAGGAGCTTCTGTATTATATTGCTGATGATCCTGTGAATGTTCTAATTGAGAATCCCCTTCTTGGTTGCAGGATAAAATAAGCACTATAAAAATAAATCCATTAAATAAGCACTGGGTAGATATATCCTTGCTACTTATCCAGAAATGATTTTTTAAATCATATTTAAATTTTTTCTGGAAGGTAGTAAAAAGTTGAATACTTATTTTGATTTAGGCATAAATTCAAAGAGAAGCAGTCTGCCAATGTTTTTTGAAGTTAATAAATGCAATTTATTATCCCTGGAACATCAGCATGCAGTGAGTTGCTAGTGCTGGTATTGATCCAAGCAGTGGGCTATGGCACAGATGGAGGTCAGGGCAAGCAAATGTAGAGACTCTGAGCAGGCTGTGACACTAAGGCCCATTGAAAGTGACCCCAGGTCCAATTCTTGAGAAACACTGCATTGATGGGTCATATTGATGCTTCCTGTTGTTGTTGTTTAGTCGTGTCCGACTCTTCGTGACTCCATGGACCAGAGCACGCCAGGCACTTCTGTCTTCCACTGTCTCCCGCAGTTTGGTCAGACTCATGTTTGTAGCTTCGAGAACACTGTCCAACATTGGATGCTTCCTAGATAAGGTTTATTGGCACCACCATTTCAAAGGGTCTTAGGTAGCAGGACTGGTACTCAAATCTGGGTAGCAGGAGTCTTTACTCTGACTGCTAGTGGCTCTCCATAAAGTTTTGGACTAGTCACTAGGTGGACCCAGCTGTCTTGACAAGCATATGACAGTTTGTACCACTTTATGACCACAATTCTACATACACTATCGCCATGTGGTGAACATTTCACTACCTTGTTGTGATTTTCTTCCTGTTCTTCAGGAGAATATTGAAAAGTGAACCTCCTTATCCCCAAGAAATGACTGCTCTAGCCAAAGATATAATTCAAGGTCTTCTGATGAAAGATCCCAAGAAAAGACTGGGCTGTGGTTCAAATGGTGCTGATGAAATAAAACAGCATCCCTTCTTCCAGGTGAAACAAAACTAGATATTGTCTGTTTTTCATTTTTGCTTTGGAAACATGTTACTTTTTGTTTAGAAATATGTCTGGCAGGCATTAGAGAAAGGACTGCTATACTACTTCCCCCTAGCTACGTGGTTCTCTGACATCACCCTCAGATCCACCTCAACTCCCCTATATGTGATTCTCTCTCTTTTGGGGGTATAGTCCTGAGCTGGGTTGCTGCCAGGTGTTTTAAATCCTCGTTCTTTTCTCTGCCACTACAGATACCACGTACTTAAATAATTGCCATCTCTAGCATAGCTGGTCAAGTTGCCTGTGTGTATGATGCAGCAATTATATTGATAACAGAAGTAATAAAAAGGTTTACAATTATTCATTGCACAGAAGCATATGGTTTCAATTATGTGCATTCTTACATGTTACTTGGGTCCATGCAAACACTCCAGCCCAATCTACCCTTCTAAATAGGCCTAAGGTAAATCTAAGCATTTATCCCCAAACAATGATCAGCAACAATGCTGATCCTACTGTATCTTACTAACCTTGCCGCAACCTTCCAAACATTCTCCCAAGCCAACTGCAGCTGTCTCCCACCAGTATTCAAATGCCCTTTCAGAACTCATATCCAACTATTACTCATTCTGAGCACACAAACCCCTGACCTTATTTTTACTATAGTTCACTTAATGTACTTACCTACAAATTTAACACAATAAATAGTGTTACATATTAATTCCCCATAATTACTTTATTATTTATACAATATTATTTATATATAAGGTTTTTTTTGCGGTGGTACAAAAATGATGGAATGTGATCTCCAGGGACAGCCATGAAACTCCTCCTCTTCCTGTGTTAAAAATAAATAAATATTGACACAACTGAAAGATTCTAAAGTACAAGCAAGCCTTGATTTATATGTGTGACTGTGCACACGCATATCGCGCTGAACCCAGAAGTGACTCGAAAACGTCACTAAAAGGAGTGAGGTGGGGGCAGAATGGGGTGTTTCAAATATACACAATTTCACTTATATGTGCGGTGCCTTGTAACATAACCCCTACGTAAATTGGGAGTTGCCTGTAAAAAATAATTAAAAATTTCACTCCTATACACACCTAGCTGGGAGTAAGTCCCATTAAAAAGAGCAGGCCTTACTTGGGAATAGACATTAATAGGATTACAATGTAAGTCATAGTTAAGAAGGCTGAAGTAAAATAAGCAAAGATTGCAAGCACAATATGTTAGTTCTGAAGTTTGTGAACAAAGTGGAGAGCAAAGCTTTGGTTGCATCTTCTGTATTTATGCTCAACCACATTTGCCCAAAGAACATATCTGAAGTCTTAGGCTGCAGTTCTATACACATTTACCTGGGACTAAGTCTCACTGAATGTCATGAGACTTAATTCCTGTGTGGATGTACATCGGATTGCACTGTAAGTCATTATTAAACTTCCCTGAGAAATTCTCTTTGTCAGCTGAAATGTTCATCTTTTGCTCTTCTTTCATTACCTTCTAAAATTACTTTACTTTCTGTTTAGAAACTGAATTGGAATGACTTGGCTGCCAAAATAGTGCCAGCTCCATTTAAACCAGTAATTCGTGATGAATTGGATGTTAGTAACTTTGCAGAGGAGTTTACAGAAATGGACCCAACATATTCTCCAGCAAGCACACCACAAGCTGCAGATAAGCTTTTCCAGGTAATTGCATATAATATTATTATTATTAGGAACCTGTGCAGAGATAATTTCAGAATTAAATAAAATGTAGTGATGTTTCTGAAGGTGATTAAAGTGAATGAAGTTTGCTAGAGATGTTTTGATACTAACATAAACAAATGGACTGAATAAAGTCTCATCATTATGCCTTCACTAGTGTGGGAAGGAATAGTCATGCTTGCATGACTATGTAACCCATCCTAGGATCATTAGAAAAAGTGCAGACTTAGTTGACAAGTAAAATTATAAAATAAAAAATATGACCATCAGTTATCTATCCCACACTTAAAGATATGGCTGTGTAGCACTATTTGAAATGCACTGAGTTAAGTTGGTGACTGACAATATGCAAAGAAAAGTAAAAATGGCAAGTAATGCTGTAGGTTGGCTGTAAAGCATCATTTATAAATCTGAGAGTCATCAGATCAAAATTGTTACTGATTTTGAAGGCAAAGGTATTAAATATTGATTAGATAGTCAAAGATGATGATTAAGACTAATTTTGATTCCCTCCTGCCAACCCCCTGAGACACAGTGAGGAATTTGACATTGCTCTCTTATAGTTTTGTCAGTGTAAGCATTTCTGCTTGCTAGATGGAATGATCCCCCCCTCCCCCCCATGCACCATTCTGGGGGTTCTCCCAACTCTCCAGAGTGGATTTGGGGAAGGAGCGGAGGGCGTGGGGGGGGGGGAGAGAAGGGAAGGGAAAGCTCTGTTGCACTAGTGGGAGCCCTTCACTGGCTTTCACTAGCATGCCCAGTTAGTTGAATCTGGGCCATGTTGTTTAACTCTGCTAGTGTACAAGGGCTAATCTAGAGCTCTATGAGCTTCAAAATGGGCAAAAAAAAGAAATGTAAGCAGTATATGTGCATCCTTTCTTCTATTCTTATAGTTGACAATAATAGAAGAGAGCAAGGAAATATATTTGTTAGTCTTGCGCACTATAGAGTCAGAGCCTCTCAGGAAAGAGAAGATTTATGTTTGTTTCTTCAGGATTGGACCTTTTTCAATGAGCTGGATGGACTGTGGCATATAAGTGAGGGGTACGGCAAAGTAAGAGAAGCAGGATGAGATATGTATCGCAGAAAGCAATTTCAGCTGGTGTGGAAAGCAGAGCAGGCAGCAGACTGATGATGCTGGGGAACCACAGAAAGGCTTTCAGGATAAGAAAGCGAAATAGGAACAGCCTGAGACGGTTGTCCGGGGGCTGTGCATGAGGCAGACTTTGGTACACAGACAAAATCTGGGGAAGGTAGCAGAATTTAATAGTGACTAAAGTTTTAGAGGAGAAGGTAGCAGAAGAGTAGAGAGGCAAAACAAGCTTACCACTAAAACTAAATGGACCCATTGTAGCCAGGCCTTGTGTAAGGTATTTGATTCAAGTCCGTCTGTGATTAATAATTCTTTGCCCTGGTTTGTGTGTTTAAAAATCCTTCGTGCAAAGTGTCCTCATCACCTTATCTACATTGGGGAAGTTCGAATGAATGAAACCCAAGCATTGTCACAAACTCTCCCTATACTGGAGGAGAAGAGCTTCAGTTGGTTCCCTGTCAGATGTCCATGTAGATGTTCTGGCTCATATTTTATTTCCCTTAAATAAGTCTGGCAATGGGACTCCTTATGTTGGACATTTTCAAATGTATGAAATGAGTCTAAATATAAACTGTAATGGGAAAAAAATAAAAATATAAAAAGGAGCAGATCCTTCTTTTAAAATTGGAAGATTTGTATGCTACTTGCTCTTCTGATGAAAAAAAAAAGAGGTGTTGCTATTATCTTACAGAACAGGTCCTTGGTAGTCCAAGAGGAAATACGAGATAACAGGTAGATATATTATTCTTATTAAATTAGCAGGGTCAGATGTATCAAAAGTGTCAACCACTCTTTTATGTGTTTTTTTTTTTTAAACCTTGATGAACACTATATAGTGCATTATTTTAGAGAGATACTTTAATAGTGTTCATGGTAAGAGTATGGATAGGCTCCACATCAAAGATAGCTGAATTTTTCCCTAGCAATTCCAAGGGAATTGAATAGAAAATAACAACTGATGTATGGAGTTTCTTCAATGCAAAACCTAAAGATTTTACTCATAGCCAAATAAATCTTACTCAGTGATATATTGGTTTCTTCCAGCTTAGTTCCAAAAATGTCAAAAATTGTGAAATTCATCCAATGAATTTTTGCACCCCAGTCTCATTTACATTGAGTTTTTCTTGAAATCTTACTTCTAAATGGTGGCGGTATAACAGAATTTTGCTTCAGTTTTATTTTTGTGGAACATGTTGGAACTCTTTACGAGAATATTTTCAAAATTAATGTCACTCCCAGTATAAGCAGGTTGAATATATGGAACACATGTAAGACATTAAACTATTTAAATATGCACACATCACTCCCAGTATAAGCAGGTTGAATATATGGAACACATGTAAGACATTAAACTATTTAAATACACAGATACACGAATATAAAACCACGATTAAATTTGAGGAGCAATTAACTTTACAGTTTTAAAAAATCAGAAATACAACATAAAAGAAAATTGGAACTAAGGAATAAATCATGGTAATTCCACTGAGATTTTAGAATATAACATTTGTGTTTACCAGATAAAAATCCATTTGCCCAGTCATAATGTAAGCTTGTTTGATACCTTAACTGTAGGTTTCTTGAGAAGCTAGCCAGTTTGACGTATCACCCTTTGTCACCAGTGAAAAAGCTGTGAGTCAGTTTTTTAGCATTCTTTTTTATTTTTTACAAACTGAGCTTTTAATTGATTTTTTTTTAATGGATCAGAAGATGGTTTAATTTCTTTCAGGCAGGCTTCCTCTTACGGTGATAAGAAGGTGCATAATTTCCTTGAATATAATGATTCTGGCTTATCTTGGATGCTGATTATTTTTTTTCCTGTCTGAATTACGCTTACCCTAAATTATTGAAATTACAATTAAAATTTGATAGCTGGAAACTCTGGGCGTGATGGATATCTTTTCTTTTTGTTCTTTAGGGATACTCCTTTGTTGCTCCTTCTATTTTATTCAAACGTAATGCAGCCACTATGGATCCTGTTCACTTCCTGACAGCAGTGGACCGACCTGGAATTACAAGTATTGCCAGGAGTGCTATGATGAAGGTAGTGTTAAAACTTAATATAGCAGTTTAATGGCCTAATTAAAAGATGTAACTCTGTTTTATAACGTATTTATAACTTGCATTTTTTTCCTGATATTTTCAATTTAAGATATTTTATAAGAAAATATTTAATGATAGAATTCTTAGTGGCCTTTTAAATGTGTCCGTGTGTGGGTTGTTTTTCTTGTTGTTATTATGTTGTGTATTTTAAGTTTTTATTATGCTGTAAGCCACCATGTGATCTATGGATGAAGAGCAGTACAGAAGTCTAAATAAACAAATAAATATTACATTACTTTGCTATTTCCCAAGGCAGGAAAAAGGACATACTGTAAACTTCCAATTAGTACAGGTGGTGTTCTTTTTAGGCACATCCAACTCTCGCGTGACCACTGATGCACTGGTAGTTTTAGACCTGGAAGAGGGAGGGATGGGGGCGGAATGGGCTTATGGGTGCTCCGCCAACACTCGCGAGGGCCAGGAATGGAACCCCTGCACAAATTGGTTGCTGCCTGTGGTATTCTAATACAGCACAAAATTTTATGTTTTGCTGTAATTAAAAATTCTCAAGTAACTTTGTTCTTTTTATTTTTTCTTTTGTTCAGTAAAGATTACTAAATACAGCCAGTTTCCCTCTCTACTGCTATCTCTTGTAGGACTCTTCGTTTTATCTTCACTATGAACTGGACCTGAAAGAAAGACCACTGGGAGAAGGAAGTTTTTCCATCTGTCGAAAATGCTTACACAAAAAAACAAGCCAAGAATATGCAGTAAAAATCATTAGTAAAAGGTTAAATGTTTTTTTTCTTCTCGTTTCTTACAAATTTGAATAATGAAAATAGCTTTTTGTTGTTTTTTACCTTAAAAAATGCCTCTGCTGCCCTTCAATATAGATATTCTCAGGGCCGCTTACTCAACAACATAATTAAAAAGCATAAAATAATGGCAGTGGTTAAAGAATAATGGTTTAACAAATAAAAATGCGGGGAAAGAAAGAAGCTTTTGGGTGACACTAAAAAGACAAGCAAACCATCAGCCAGATGAGCTTCTCTAGGGAGAAGTTTAATTGATTGATTGATTGATTGATTCATTCATTCATTCATTCATATACTGCCCTATACCCAGAGGTCTCAGGGAGGTTCACAGAACAAAACCAGAATATAAAACCACAAACTACCGTATTTTTTGTTCCCCTTTATTTCCCCCCCAAAACCAGGTCGGGGAAACCGAACCAGGTCGAGGAACAGCGGGATGGCGGCGCTGCGCCTCCCTGCTGTCCCCTGAGCTTGTGGGGCTGGCCGATGTCTGCCCGGTGCGCGGGGCGCTCTGCTTCAGCACGCTCTGCCCGCCGGGCGGCAGGCTGCTATCCGCAGCGAGGGGAGCCCTGCGGGGAACTCTTGCAGGGCTCCCCACGCTGTGGATGTCTGCCCGGCGCGAGGGGCGCTCTGCTTCAGGGCACTTCTCGCGCCGGGCGGCAGGCTGCTATCCACAGCATGGGGAGCCCTGCGGGGAACTCCTGCAGGGCTCCCCACGCTGCGGATGTCTGCCCGGCGCGAGGGCCGCTCTGCTTCAGGGCGCCCCTCGCGCCAGGCGGCAGGCTGCTATCCGCAGCCTAGACAGCCCTGCGGGAACTCCTGCAGGGCTGCCTAGGCCGCGGATGTGTTCCCGAAGCGCCGGGCGCTCTGCTTTCAGCGCACCCGGCGCTCTGGGAAGCAGGCTGCTATCCGCAGCCTAGACAGCCCTGCGGGAACTCCCGCAGGGCTGCCTAAGCTGCGGATGTCTTCCTGAAGCCTGGAGAGCGAGAGGGGTCGGTGCGCACCAACCCCTCTCGCTCTCCAAGCTTCAGCGAAACCTGCATTCGCCCCATAGGACGCACCCAGATTTCCCCTTCATTTTTGGAGGGGAAAAAGTGCGTCCTATAGGGCGAAAAATACGGTATATAGTCAAAATATTTCATGATTGAGGTGCCACCATTGAGTGGGTCCCTTTCCCAGTTGCTGTCCTCCTTGCTTCTGAGGGTGTAGCCGAAGAAGGAACTCAGAAGATGACTCCGCTAAAGCACAAACATGTTTTTAAAAAGGCAAACATACTTGATTCTTTAATCTGAAGATTTACTACCAAATTGCTGCCCTGTTCACAATACAACCCTATAAGATATTTTTAGAGTTTGTATAGTACAGACTCATAATTGTTTAGATCCAAGGAAATGCTTGGATTGTTAAATTGTTACTTAATATTTCAGGCTAGAAGCCAACACTCAAAGAGAAATAACAGCTTTAAAACTTTGTGAAGGACATCCCCATGTCGTGAAGCTGCATGAAGTTTACCATGATCAGGTATTTGAAATAGTAAATATTGTAGAATAATTTGCTTACATTCGAACTAAACATTTTGCAAACTAAGCTGACTTTGCACAGTATAGGCATGAGATCCTAGAAGCCAAATTTTGATTGCCAGGTAGGATGCGAGGCTGTTTTGATGCTAAAACCAGGCCTGAAACCATACAGGAATGGGCATAGATAATCTGCTTTCTCCAGGCTTACCCACACCTGGTCAGGCACCCTAACCAAACATCTTGCCCAGGAAGGGAATATTATGTAGCTAGAGTTAGTTTCAAATCACAATATTTGCTTCTTAACTTTTACCATACAATTGCATGGTGGTAGTGCTACTGTTGCAATCGAACTTGGACAAGGCTGTGACCCGCTAGTGGGTCCTGATCCACCAGTTGAAGACCACTTGTTGTTGTTTAGTCGTTTAGTTGTATCCGACTCTTTGTGACCCCATGGACCAGAGCACGCCAGGCACTCCCGTCTTCCACTGTCTCTACATGTATGTCTTCCTGTATAATAAAAAATCTAAGGCTGTCGTCATGGTCTGTAGTTCACGTAGCTGTCTACAGATGACCACTCCAACGCCAGTGTGAGGGACAGCAGGCAGGAGAGCACGGAAACACATAGTAGAGTGTATTTTAAAATGGGGTTTCAGAGTTTTTAGGGGGTTTTGAATGTTTTATGTAGTTTTTCAATGTCATTGTTCTGCATGGGACAATGACAATAAAGACATCGTATATCGTAAACAGTGCTGGTGGCAGGCAGCCCAGGGGAGCTGTTTAATGGAGCAGGGAGAGATGTTTCAGAGGAGCTGACCAAGCTGCTCTCTGAAGTGCCTTCTGCCTTTCTTTAAAAGGGATTGGGGGTTTGGGCAAGCTGGGGAGAGGGAGAGCTGTGAGGGGATAGGCAAAGGGGTGGGTGATGTTTAAAGAAAGGGGGGTTGGTGGATACGCAGGGTTGGCGAGCAGAATAAGCCGGGGGGGGGCAGACTCTAGTATACTATATACATACAATAGCTTTTTGAACCTGGAGGAATTTAAAAGTAAACAGTATATATACTTGAATATTAAATACATCTAGCTGATTATTGTCCCTTGCATTTTGAAATAAATGTTCTAAAAAAGAATTTGCATGCAAATATATTGTTTATAGCTCCACACTTTTCTAGTAATGGAACTTTTGAAAGGAGGAGAATTACTTGAACGTATCCAGAAAAAGAAGCACTTCAGTGAAACTGAAGCTAGTTATATAATGCGCAGACTTGTTTCAGCGGTGAGCCACATGCACGATGTAGGAGTAGTCCACAGAGACTTAAAACCTGAGGTATGACATTTTCAGCTTCTTGTAATAAGTTTTCTAGTGATGATAGAGACAGTTCACTTTTTCATTAGGATGGAGTTTATGTGTTGCGATTTGTTCATTAAGTATGAAATGAATTATCTCTGCTCCTTGTGGTAAGTTTTACCTGCACCTTCTGCCAATGGGATTACCCATTGAGCATGTGTATTTTATTTTATACTTTTTCTATTTTAGCTGTAAGCTGCTTTGGGTCCCTATCAGGGAAAAAGGCGGGATATAATTAAATACAATTATTATCATTATTCTATGTTGTCTAGAAAATCTGTTTTATGAGGTGGCTAATGCATAACATTATAATATAAACAAGACTATTTATTTTTGTTTTTATGCTCTCTTCACTTAATTGTGTGTGTTCTGTTCTTGGTGATGACTTAATTCTGCTATCAGGCATATATGTATTTTAAAGTGTTTCTCAGATGGATTCCAGTTTCCATCAGCCCCAGCCAGCATGGCCGATGGTCATGGGAGTAGATAGGGAGAAGTCCCGTCCCTCCAGTAATACTAGAACTGGAATATCAGAGAATTCAAGACAAATAAGTACCGTATTTTTCGCCCTATAGGACGCACTTTTTCCCCTCCAAAAATGAAGGGGAAATGTGTGTGCGTCCTATGGGGCGAATGCAGGCTTTCGCTGAAGCCTGGATAGCGAGAGGGGTCGGTGCGCACTGACCCCTCTCGCTCTCTAGGCTTCAGGAGAGCCCCAGTGCCAGCCCCACAAGCTCGGGGGACAGCGGGGAGGTGGAACGCCGCCATCCCGCTGTCTCCCGATGTGGTCTGAAGGCTGGCGGCGGGGAGAAGAGCGCTTCTCACCGCTTCCGGACCCACAAGCTCCGGGGACAGCGGGGAGGCACAGCGCACCTTCCCGCTGTCCCCGGACCTGGTCTGAAGGCTGGCGGCGGGGAGAAGAGCGCCTGGGGGGGAAATAATTTTTTTTCTTTATTTCCCCCTCCCCCCCAAAACCAGGTGTGTCCTATGGGCCGGTGCATCCTATGGGGCGAAAAATACGGTACTTCTAACAATGTGTGCTTAAACTATGGAATTCCCTCCTGTAGGATGTAGTGATAGCCACTAATTTGGATGGAATTAATAGCAGATTAGACAAATTAATGGAGGATAGCACTTTCAATGAATACTAGCCATGACAGCTACTATGTTCCACCTCACTGTCAGAGGCAGTGTGCCTCTGAATACCAGTTGCTGGGAATCGCAAGTGGGGAGAGCACTATTGTGCTCATTGTCTGCTTGCAAGCACTCCATAGGCATCTGACTGCCCACTGGACTAGGTGTGTGTTCGGCCTGATCCAGCCAGACTTTTCCTACGTTTTTATGATGTGAGTTGTGGTCTAATATCTGCAGAGCTACAGGTTCCACATCCCTAACAGGAGGCATAACTGCTGTTATCTCAAGTATATAAAAATAAAGAATCTTGCAAATCTCTAATTTTATTTTCTCTCTCTTAGAATTTATTATTTACAGATGAAAATGATAGTTCAGAAATAAAAATAATTGATTTTGGATTTGCCCGCTTAAAGCCACCTGACAATCAGCCTCTTAAAACACCGTGTTTTACCCTTCATTATGCTGCACCAGAGCTCTTAAATCATAATGGTTATGATGAATCATGTGATCTCTGGAGTTTGGGAGTGATTTTGGTAAGCTAATTGCTCATTTTATTCTGCATTTTTAAATAACTGACAAGCATTTGGTCAGATTGCTAGTGGAAAAGGGTTGCTTATAATGTCCCCAGATTAAAGTATGAGTGCTGGCCATTAGTCAGTGGAATGTATATTTACTGGTCTTGTGCAGATATAATATCTTAATCATAAGAGGGGAGGGATTGAATTCAGCCTTAGCTTTTTGCAAATCAAAGGCTTTAGATCCATTCCCACTGACAGAAGTAGGGAGTTACAACACTGGCAAAAGTGGGAGAGGAGGCAATTTTCATTTGAGTGGAGTGAAAATGTTCTCAGGTGGGATATGAAGTCCCTCTAATGCGTGAAGGCAAGATTGCTAATTTAGAGGACTTTGCTCACATCCAGCTACCTACCACTAGTTTTACTCCTGCTTTCATGCCAAGAGTTTGCGTCCCAAACTTGTCTTTCTGCTTTGTTCAGGCATTTCTGCCCTTTTGGTGAGTTCTCAGTTGTGTCTGTGTGGTGTTTATTGTCTCTTTAGCTCCCAGACAGTGCTACAGCAGTTTTAGAGAAGACTTTGGCCAGAGTCAAGAGACAACCGCTTAAAATTAAAGGTAGCCCATAAGCACTGCATTCTTTCAGCCTGCTTAGTGACATCAGTTCCTCAACGGGCATCACTGTCAAGTGTTCAGGGAGCTGTGCCTTTAACTGAGGAACAATTTCCCTCTGTCATTCCTTCCATTGTGCCCCTGATAATGATAACTGACAAGACTACTTTGACTGTCAGCAAAAAAAGCAGTAAGAAGGCAGTGGATAAAAAGGTGGGCCACCAGAGGGAGTTTGGCCATGTGCATTCAGACATGACCTGAGCCTATGTTCTTCTGTGTTCCCTGTGGTTTGTTTCATATTTGTCTATGTGTGGGATTTCACAGCTTAGATGGTTGTATACTGGTAGGAGCTGGCTGGATGTGAGCAAGGCCCTTTAAATTACAGTAGTTGTACTTCTGCCTTCAAGTGCTAAGGGGAGCTCTCATCTGAGAGCATCTTATCACTCAAAAGAATAATCCTTTTCATATAAGACCACTGGTCCTTTTCTACTGATTACGCTGCCCCCTTGCAGTCACCACATACCTTTCCAGAGAGTCCAGAATTGGCCAAGTGAGTCATTAAGCGGGTGCAAGGGGTTGCAGGGCGAGGAGGTAGTGGCAAAAATCCCTCCCACTGGTGGGAATGCCCTCTCAGTGGAACTCCATGCAAGTGATGCTCCTGCTGACAGGAGAAAAGCTTGGATCTGAGTTAAGGAGTGGACCATAGAACCACACACTTTTCCATAGCAGCTTTGCTTAAGCATGATTTGATAATCAAGTTCAAATCATAGGTAATCAAGAAATCTCATTAGTCTTAAGCACAGTTAATACCTGTTGTGACATATCCCTTAACTATGCCTAGTGCAGGGTGTGTAATGCAGGAGGGGAACGTGTGATACCTCATCTGGCTACTGAGCTCTTAATAATGACTAAGAGAGAATGTCTGTATGTTTTTCTGCATGGCCCACTGTTAATAGAAATAACACCAAAAGGATAGTATATTTGATGCTGGAGATTTTATCACTTGGTTTCAGGAAAATTTACTGAACCTCAACTGTTCTGTAACTTCTGAAAATATTATTTTAAATTGTGTGGACGTGAAAATTGTCCTGTTTCCTCCCTAATATAAAGTAAATTGCTTATGGCACGTTTAATTTGTGTGTGTGTGTGTGTGTGTGTGTGTATACATTTCTCTCTCACTCACACACAGACAGACATACACACACTCCTATATGTAGTAGTGATTCAGAATTTTTCATTTTTGAAAAGTATACAATGCTCTCAGGACAAGTACCCTTCCAGTCTCAAGATAAAAATGTAACATGCACAAGTGCATTGGAAATTATGAAGAAAATTAAGAGAGGAGAGTTCTCTTTTGAAGGAGATGCTTGGAAGAATGTCTCTCAGGAAGCCAAAGATTTGATACAAGGTATATATATTGACCCATAATTTCTTTACTATGTTTCTAGCAATTCTTGTAACTGTTAGTAGTATAATTCTATAATTCTATAATATAGAATAATTCTATAATATAGTAGTATAATTCTTGAAATTAATTAAAATGAAGATGCCTAAGGAAGATAGTATAATACGTACAATTGCCTGTGATTTAATTGACTCATTTGACCCTAATCTAATGTGTCTGCACCAATCTTTTGCTGACAAGCTTCAGTTAATCTCTTATACCCCAAAATTTTAAGTGTGAAAGTTGAAACAAAATATTTGGATAGTTTGATTAGGGGAAACTTTTGAAGACAAAATAGTTAGAAAACAGTATAAGGATTTAAATTGATATGAATCATTGATTTAGATCTGCAGTAAAAAAAAGTCTTCTTCCCCGTATTGCTCATTTCTACTTCTTGCTTCTTTGGCCCAGCTCCACCTTCAGAAAGCCAAGTAGCAAGTAAAATTGAAATGTTTATGATTAATAGGTAGATCGGCCAGGTGAAAAAGAGGACAGTTGTGTAGTTTAATAGTTCTATAGAACACTGGTCCTCAGCTGGTGGGTCAGGATCCAATAGTGCAGCGGTTCTCAACCTATGGGTCCCCAGATGTTGTTCGACTACAACTCCCATCATCCCTGAGCTCTGGCCTTCCTAGCTAGGGTTGATGGGAGTTGTAGTTCAACAACATCTGGGGACCCACAGGTTGAGAAAGGCTGCAATAGTGGTTTGCAGCCTAATCCACTGTGAGTTGTAACAGGAGCATTACCACCATGCAAATGTATGGTAAAATAATAATAAATGGGAACCTTATAAGTGGGTCCCATACAGTGGTGCCTCGCAAGACGAAATCAATCCGTTCCGCGAGTGTCTTCGTCTAGCGGTTTTTTCATCTTGCGAAGCAACCCTATTAGCGGATTAGCGCTATTAGCGGTTTAGCGGCTATTAAAGGCTTAGCGGCTTAGCTGCTAAAAGGCTATTAAAGGCTTAGCGGCTTAGAAAAAGGGGGGGGAAGCGAAAAAAAATCTCAAGACTCGCAAGACATTTTCATCTTGCGAAGCAAGCCCATAGGGAAATTCGTCCTGCGAAGCGCATTGAAAAACGGAAAACCCTTTCGTCTAGCGGGTTTTCCGTCTTGCGAGGCATTCGTCTTGTGGGGCACCACTGTATCTGAAAAGGTTAAGGATACATGCTGTGGGTGAAGGAATTTCAGCAGATGTAGCTGACTGATTGAAGCAAGGTTTGATAGTTACTGGGAAGACTAGAGCATTTTGTTTTCATCAGGTGAAAATAAAATGCCTAGAGCTAGTAGCTAGAGTATAAACATTCATATCTGAGAAATGATCAAATTTGTTATTTGTTACATAGGTTTTTTGAACTCATTGTTTCTGGGAGGGGGATTGATTTAGGTTAGATATTGACTTGAGCTAACATGCTTATATCCTTTTTTAATATTAACAAGTTATATGTAAGGGAAACATGGTATTTGCAGTTATTTTAAACTAAAAATCTGATACATTTTAATCATTTACTTTTATACACCCTGTTAAATAAAGTTTGGAGTGCATACACTTCAGGATAGCTGCTGTCGTGATAATTTAATCTTATTTCCTAGATGTTATGAAATGATTCCATGCAACTTCTACAAATACTCAATAAATACTGTTATAAACTATTTATTTAATAATGATGCTCAGAGTATATTCAAGATTGATTTGTATGATTCTAAAATCTAAATTTAAAGTTATAAGCTGGATTGTTGAGGCAGTTCATTTTTGTTTATGGGTTTGGTATTCCTTATTTAATATTCATTTATAAACTGTGGTTCATTGATTTAAGAATGTCTAATAAATTCCTATTAGGACTTCTTACAGTGGATCCAAATAAGAGAATTAAAATGACCAGTTTGAGATACAATGAATGGCTTCAAGATGGTAGCCAACTGTCATCCAACCCGTTAATGACTCCAGACAATTTAGGATCTTCAGGAGCTGCTGGACACTCTTATGTCAAAGCAACCTTTAATGTAAGCTCATATAGTCTTACTTTCTAAACATTAAACCATGTGCTTCTTTTGTCAGCCTATCATTTAAAGTGGGATGCACTTTAGTTCCATATACATTCAGAAATGTCTACAGCTTTATCTCAAACTGAGGATTCTTCACCTTGACCCCTGCTTTCTCTGTTAGTCCCAGTGGGGTTCTTGAACATGTGGATCATGATGTAAAACTGGGAGAATAGTGTGGGGGGAGGGGTAAATTGGAAGAGTTAACACTCAAACTACTGTTGAAAAAACCTTTGAGACATCAGGTCCTGTTTCTGGTTCTGCCAGTAGTTGTCTGCCCCGAAGGTAATGATCTCCCTTACAAAATCTGCTCACTTGTTCTTCTGGCTTAAGCCAGGGCTGCATTTATATATCAAACTAAATGTAAATAAAAATTAAATAAATGTTGTTGTTTATACCCTGCCCATCTGGCTGTGTTTCCCCAGCCACTCTAGGTAGCTTCTAGCAAAAACATATAAAATAATAAAATGTCAGACATAAAAACTTCGCCGAACAAGGCTGCCTTAAGATGTTTTCTAAAAGTTATGTAATTCTTTATCTCCCTGACATTTGATGGGAGGGTGTTCCATAGGGAGGGCGCCACTGCTGAGAAGGCCCTCTGCCTGGTTCCCTGTAACTTTACTTCTTACAGTGAGGGAATCACCAGAAGACTCTCAGAAGAGGACCTCAGTGTCCATTCTGAAGGATGGAGGTGGAGACACTCCTTCAGCTATACTGGGCCAAGGCCATTTAGGGCTTTAAAAGTCAGTACCAACACTTTGAATTGTGCTTGGAAACATACTGGCAGCCTGTGAAGATCCTTTAGGACTGGTGTTATATGGTCTCGGCAGCCACTCTCAGTCACCAGTCTAGCTGCCACATTTTGGATTAGTTGTAGTTTCCAAGTCACCTTCAAAGTTGTAGTTTCCAAGTCACCTTCAAGTCACCTTCCACATAGAGTGCATTGCAGTAATGCAAGCAGGAGATAACCAGAGCATGTACTACTCTGGTGAGACAGTCTGCAGGCAGGTAGGGTCTCAGTCAGCATCAGAGATGGAGCTGGTAGGCAGCTGCCTTGAGATGCTAAGAGAATAGAATATACAAGTATTATAAAGATTATAATAATAATAATACAAACATTATGACACCCATCTTTTGAGATTCAGAATCTGCATTAACGAAGGATAAAGGTACGCTGAAAAGAGCACTTTCTAAATCCAACCTTCTATAGTTCTTTTTCTCAAAAGTACTTCTTAAACTAATTTTTGAAACCTAAACCAAATTCTCTTCCATTCCTTACTATTATTTGAGAAAGATGGTATCCTTCCCCCAAACCCTGTGCAACTCCCACAAAGCTAATAAGTTGTCAACTCTTATGCCCCAGCAGCCATTTCTGTCACCAAATCTACAACTGACTCCAGGCCTCATATTTAGCCAAGTTATGGACTAAGCCCCTCAAATGGGTGTCAGAAGGCCTTAGTGTCACCACATTGTGTTTGATAGCTGCTGAGGTTCCAGCATCACTGATGCTTACTCTGCCCCAACCTTTAAAGCTGCATTTGCACTGGGTCTAGGTCTGACATGTAAAGGTGTGAGTCCATCAGAATGTAGTTTGCCTAGGACCTCTTGGCACAGCCCCTGACACTAATAAGTATTTCCGGAAGAAATGGTGGAATGAATTAGGCTTGTTGCTTGTAGTATGGAAGCCTACCTCTCTTTCTGCTTTTAGGATACCTACCATTTGTGAAACTGCCAGGAACAATAGGTAAATTTACATTAGAAGCTAGGATTGTAGCCTACAACAATATTAAATGGTATATTAATTGTTGGATATTTAATCAAGTCTTTTTGCTAAAAATATTTTGAAGTCCATAATGCAATTCTCTAGGGGAAATATTCTTAATACTTTCATATTTAAGCAACTATAAAAACTGGTTTCAGTTTGAATATACACAAATGCATTTATCTTTTAAAATAGGCCTTTAACAAATATAAGAGGGAAGGATTTTGCCTACAGAATGTTGACAAGGCACCTCTTGCAAAAAGAAGGAAGATGAAAAAAACAAGTACAAGTACCGAGACTCGAAGCAGTTCCAGTGAAAGTTCTCATTCTTCTTCTTCTCATTCGCATGGTAAAACTACTCCTACAAAGACCCTGCAGCCAGCAATTCCTGCAGACAGCAATAATCCAGAGAGCATCTTCCAATTCTCTGACTGAAAAACAGAGATTTGCTCTGATGAAGAATTTGCTGGCATATGCATTCCTTTAAAAAGAGTGTTTATATGTGTATGGAAAATCCAACTGATACCCTTTTACTGATGGAAGGACTTCTGATCCAGTGGAGGTGTCCACTAAAATAGGGGAGGCATTCATTAACTCTATTCTGGAGTGTCCCCCAACTCTCTGGTGCAGATTCTTGGGGTGGGCACTGGAGACTGAGATGGGGAACTCAGTAAGAATTGAATCTCATCTCTTCTGTTAGCAAATGCCTCTGCGGGATCAAAAATCCTTCCGTAAGCACAAGATCACTTGTTGGATTCTGCCCATAACTTAAAGGCACACATTTTATTTTCTAATCTTTTGTTTCAGTCCTAGTCTGAAATAGGACATTTTAAAATACTGCTGTGGTTATAACCAGCATTGAAGTTGTTGAAGCTATTAATGAACAAAACTTGGGGTGGAGTTCAACATCATACTAAGAAAACATTTTCCACCAGCACAATAATTTTTGCTTGCCAGACAGAACCATCTCCCCTCTCTCCCACCCCCCCCATGTGCTGTTCTGGGGGTTCTCCCAACTCTCCACATTTGTGGGAGGAGCGGGCAGGGCACATGGGGGGAGGAGAAGAGGGGGGAAGCCCAATTGTGCTACCGGGAGTCCCAGAACTGGCTTCCACAAGCACACTGAGTTAGTTGAATCCAGCCCTTGTAGTCCTTTGAGGTAACTGGACATGCAAAATGGGCTTTCTCATTGCTAGTTAAGGAAATATAGTTTCATAAGCTCTCAGAACTCCATTTACTAGCAGTGACTGTCCAGGATTCATGCAGACATCTTAATTAAGGCTGGTTTTCTTTGAAAATTTCTGTATATTAGAAAGATGACAGTATGATTTTAAGAGTCTTGAAACAAAAATAGTGGCTCAAAAATAGTGGCTTCCCCATATGCAGCAGCTTTTGTCCTTATGCAGGTTTCCTGCATAAGGAAAATCAAGTCACATCCAAAGATAATTTTCAGCATGTGAAATGGATGCACAAATCCTTGCACAATACACAGGCAACATTTTTGCTGTTCAGGGCTTGGCAACTAGTATGCAGAACTTTGTGATTACTTCTTCTGTAGATTTTGGCCATTTTCTATTTTCAACGACTTTTGGGTTTTTTTAATAGCTTCTAATACAGTACTTATAAAAGGAACTTACTGTTTTCTTAGCATTCAGTGCTAAAAACATGTCAAGATTTTCTGAACAAATAGGTTTATCTTATATATTTATGCCTCGTTGCTAAATATAAAAATGATTTTCTCTTAATTGCAAATTCTATATTCCTGCTATCATGTGTGGGTCCAAAAATTAAGCATGCTGTGATATATCTGACAGTGTGCTATCTAGTTGTAGCATAATATTAGAGGTTTTAATTATACGTAATGCTTACGCATGATTTGGTACACCTATAATTGCATTTGGTGAGTAGCTGAACAAAGTGAAAAATGCCTTTTGGAGATGCTGTGTAACTTGGAGATGCTCTAGTAACTTCAGTGAGAATTATGAACTTATTACATCATTCTGCTTTGCAATATTAAGCTTTTGTTTTCTTGCCATGATTTCCTATACGCAATACTCTTCAGATTTTGCCTCCTCTCATGTTGGGGCATGTTTTGACTTTAAACCATATATGCACTGGGAAAACTAAAGGGATATTCTATCAAACACTGTGCTTCACATTTGTACACTGTGTTTGTAATACGGTAAGATTTCCTACCGTAACTGTAATATATTTGGAATCATAAATATGACTTACTGATGCATTTAAAATGGTAACATTTTTAATTGTGAAGCATAATTTCTCAACATATGCAGAGCACTTCTATAGCACCTGTGCTCCAGTCTTGCAAAAAGTTATTGAGTAGTCCCATTGTGAATTCTTTGGGGCAGTTTATTTGCATGATCAGAGAACATCTGGTCATTTGTAAAAACACCTTGCTGCATTGTAAAATAAACTAGATCCAAATCCTATGCAAAAATTATATATATATATATGTATATATATATATATATATATATATATATATATATATATATGGCTTGTTTACAAAGTTGCATCTATTATCAGTGTTTTGAGAAACCTAATGCAGGCTTACCTATGGAAATTGGTGGAAAACTGTCTTGAAAAGAGTATATTTTTCTGTGTTGCTGTAGTGTAATTGGTAGCACTTGCATCAGGAATGAGATAAATCGTCCAAGAGGTATTTTTTGTGTGGCTTTCTAGATTCTTGTCAGCATTCTTGCAATCAAGTTGTCATTTACGGAAAAGTTAAGATTCCAGCTCTTGTTGTAAAAGTAGCCTTGCAGATCTAGTGATAGAAACTAGAAGGCTTGTAATTTAGCAACAGATGAGCAGTGTGATCTTTTGCATGTTTGTTAATGCATGGTTACTTAAAAGCACAAGCTGCTGAGTTCAATGAAGCTTAACTGACTAGCAAAGATCATATAATTGCAACCATAATTATTTTGTCCCTTGAGGTGGCTTAAGTGACTTAATCATTTGACATCCTAATCTGAGTTTGTTCACATTTGGAGTTGTTAATTCCAAGATCCATACAGCACAGAATTAACACAGCTTGTTCACCAGATGTGCCTTGGCTTCCACACTGTGTTTAGGAACTTAAATTATGCCTGCAGTCTATATATTCAAACATGGACGGGACAGAAGCTTGTACTGCTTTTCTTTCTTTCTTTTTTCATTTTTTAAGGCAGATAAGCTGGAAGACTTACAAGTTTCCAGTATGGCCCTGGTGCTAAAGAAGTGGCACATCTTTGAGTCTGATAAGTTCTCACAGTTTATTTATATGAATTACTTAGGCTGTAGTCTTTTGCATACTTATTTGGAAGTAAGCCCCATTGAATTCATTGGGGCCTAATTCTGAGTAAATATGCATAGGATTGTGCTCTTAATTGAATCCTTTGAGATAAATTGCCACAGAGTTTCTAAGCTGATGGAAAATATGAAAACTATTGTTTACATTATCCGGATCTTTATATTTTAAAGTTTTATGTGATGATAGCACAAATAACTTAAAGTAGTAGTTTAAGTTAAGCTGTTCAGTACTATGCCAGCATTTAGTTTGGATTCACTTGCTGAATCTTTCTTTGAGAATATGACCTTCCCTCCCCACACCCCCCATTGTATTGACCTATACAATGGAACATTTTCTCTGTAATAAATCAAGGCGTCATGATTATGCAAAAAGCACCAATTAATAGATGAAAGCTGTTTTAGTGTTCAGTAAATTAACAGAAATGTTTTGCTATACTTCTTTTGATTTTCCATTTCACTTTTAAGATTGATTAAAATGTGTACTTTTAAAATAAAATCCTAGTGGCTCAGCAGATTAAATTGCAATGCGATGAGCCCTAGTTTAAATTTATATATAGTTTAAAATAATTATTTTAAAAAAATCTAGTCCCTTTTGGAGAAATCCAAATAAATGGTGTTTTATATTAGAATAGTTTCATTGATATTTGGTAGGACTTCATAAAATGTGCAGAGTAAAATAATGATTTAATTTCTCAGGAAAAGGGAGTTTGTATTTCCATTGTTCTCTTGCACAGGCAGCTATCAAGAAAGATCGTGAACATTTTTGTACTCTTGGGAGCGGATTTTATCTGATAAAAGCATAAGTGGGTGCAGAGCACAACTTTCATTATGTTTTTGTTCAAACAGATATGTTTTCAAAATTTTGAATGTGTACACTATATAATTTTATTGGTTACATTTTGAAATAGGTATAATATGCTAAGTAGAGAAAGTAGTATAATAATAGTGATTAGAGATTAAGTGGTACAGATGCAGTTGTGTTGCCATAAATGCTTTTATGGTATTGTTACTTGCATCGGACAATTAATTAGTTTAATAAAATGTTATTACTTTAAGTTGATAGAAAAAAAATACTAAAAGCGTGAAGCAAATAATTTCTTATGGCTTGATCCTGTTTAGTGTTCAGTCTTTCAGGCAAATGGATATTGTTTCCTGTCCGCAGTGCAACAGAACTGGGGGCAGGGCTGTGGATGACTCCCTTCTCTGACTAATTTGTTAATTGATTCTCCAGGACACCAGTAAGGTTGGTGCAATATTATTTTAGTAAACTCCTCCAGTGAAGCTAGAAAACTTTGTTTTTCTTTGTTTTCATTTCAAGAAAAAATGTTATAATATATTTACAGAGAAAATATTTGTATCAGGTATACATAAAAACAATCCATATACACTATTACATGGAGGAAGCAGGGAAGATGTGATTTTGAGGAACCAGGCAGGGCGGGGGCGTTGCAAGGAAAAGGGGAAATAAATGAAATTTTCCATCTGCCTTTGGGAGAATTCTGTTCTGGGCAAATCTGGATCCTACCTGATAAACCAAACAAGGATAAAATGTAAACCCCAAATTTTATATGATTAATCAGGGTTTCTTTTCTACTAGAGTAAGCAATGTAAACACACAGATACTGGTATGGCTAAATATATAATTTTCTGTTGTGTTTATCTTAAGGCTTATATTGCTACAAAATAGAAGATAATGTTGATTTGTGGCATGAAACAGAATTGTTATGATAGTTATCTGTGTGCAAAGCTTGTTCCCCTTAATTGGTTTTGTGTACTTCACTAGTTAATGTTTTTATGCTAAAATCCTTTACATGGTTAACTGGGAGTAAGCTCCCTTGAACTCTGTGGGATTCATTGCTGAGTAAATATACATAGGATTGTGTTATCCATAATCCTGCATAGTCAATTGAATGTTTAATTCAGTTGAACTAAAATCAAAACAATAGGCTTTATTTACTTCCATCTCCTTTTTTATTGACTTAGTCCATCCAGCCCAGTACAGTCTGAGTGGCAGTAGTAGATCTCCAGGATCTAAGGCAAGGCTCTTTTCCAGTCCTGCTACTAGAGATTATTTAAACTGAGTTGGAAACACCCCCTTTCTAGTCAATTGTGGCACTAATATAGAAGAGTTTGCCACAAAAGGTTGATGTGTTAGGTGACATAATACAATTCCGACACCCTTATTTGTAATCCAGTTAGCTCCATTTTAAGCATGTTTGTTCAACTTGCTGAGAATTTTCTGTCCTTTTCTATTGTCAAAATATAATAAATGAAAGCATATTGTTTGCTAGATGTTAAAGATATGCACTAATTAGCCCCTAACATTTCTAAATAAAGTTCTTAATTATGACAAATATTTAGAAACAGCATAGCCAGATCTTATATGCTGTTTTAGGCTTATGCAAAAGGCATGAACTGAAAGATGTATAGATGGATAAAAAGTACGTTAAATGTTCATTGGGATATTTCTAGAAGTTTAGGAATAATTAGTGCTTTAAAAGTGCTTTTGTTTTTAAAGCCAAGAAATCTTTTTGATTGATTGGTCTCTCCAGTTTTATATTTTATATTTATATAAATTCTTCTTACAACTGCCACTCCTCTTCAGACTAGCCCAATAGCACATTCTGTGTCATCTGTCCTGCATCCCTCTATGGGTGACACTGCATGTTTGGCCAAACCTTCTCCATGGGATTGGGAGACTCTTCAGAACAGTGAGGGTGGTGGCGTAAACAGGGTGGAGCACTTAGAAATCTCTTGAGGAAGCCTCAGCCATTTTAAAGTGGTAGAATGAATGGGAAGGATGAAAAAGCCATGTCTCGAGAGAGCTGCAACTGCTTGCAGCATATTTATTTTTGTGGTGGAAGAAAGTTTGCTTTGCACAATGGAAGGGGATATATCCAGCACATTTAAAAAAAATAAAATCAGTACAAGTTCTCCCAGAATAATTGGGAGATTGATTTTTCACATTTCCAGTGATGTTATAAGCACACCTTTAGATTCTTATGATGCTTGTACAATCCCCTTCCTCAAAACACTTGCAGTGACAATGGAAATGCTAACTGCTGGGGGGGGGGGAGTGATATCCCCTAACCAATGACCAGCATAAGAGATAAGTATGTTCCTGAGATACTATCACAAACATCATTTTGACTGTAATTAATTTGGATGGCTTTAAGAGCAGGTTAGACAAATCCATGGAATACAATGCTGTATCAGTGGCTACTAGCCATGCTGCCTCCACTGTCAGAGGCAATATGAATGCCAGTTGCTGGGAACTGAAGGTGGGCAGAGTGCTGTTGTGCTTGTGTCCAGCTTGCAGGCTTCCCAGAGGCATTTGGTTGGCCACTAGGAACAGGACTTTGGACTAGATGGGCCATTGGCCTGATCCGAAAGGCACGTCTTTGGACCATTGGCTTGTCTTATGCTCCTAGCAACTCCAGAGTTTTGTACTGGTATGTTCTTCAGAGTATGTGCTACAGTTCACCTACTTGGCATGTGTAGCAGATCAGGGTAAATAGTGTTCCATAATGGTTTTATAGATTTTAAAGATTTTATAGATTTGGTAAATCAGAAAAATAAGAATTGAAAGGAAAACTAATACTATAAGAGAGAGAGCTTGTCTCTTAAATTATGACATTTCATTTTCAAAGGTTACACCCAAGAATAATGACACTTCTAAATAACTTATTTTTACATTTGTATCATGAGGCACAATTTTGGTGTGTACTCTTGAATATAATTCCCCCCCTCTTTATCCTAAAATGAATGGGTTTCTTAACAATTTTATTTCCTTTCCTTTGCGTTGCTACTCCTTTATTTCTGAAAGCACTTGGATATAACTCCCTAATAGTTACCACAACATTAGTCAGAGTTCTCCAAATATCCTTTATTAACAAATGCTATTTGTGTTGTTCTAGGAGATAGTGTATTATTTATTGTATCTGTATTTAAGTATAATGTACAGTTGAAACCCACAACACATTTCCAAGTGTATTGTGGTAAATGTAATGAAGCAGTGTAGGATAAATAGTGGGGTTTTTCTGTAAATGAACGATCTTCTTATCTCCTATTAAAACATATGTAGAGTCAAAGTACACGTGTAACATGGAAATCAGTGTGGGTCCTTCCCACACCCTGATCCAGTGACAGGATTGTAGTCCTTATGTAGCAGATTAGCTTGATAAGAGGCACCTGAATTAATCCTTGACTGTAAAGGTCTGAAGCCAAGGTGAAGCAACTAAAAAAAACATGGACACCTCTAGCACCAATAACCTGGAGGAAATGGGAACCTGGACTGAGTTGGTAGACCCATGATTCACCTGCTTGGTGAATGCATAGACTATGCCTGCCTTAAATTTAGGAAGAAATCAATATACGGTATCCTAATTCGATAAAATGCTGTGGAAACATGGAAAAGGGAATGTCAGGCTGCTTCCTCCCCATAACCAGCTCTGCCCATTTTGAGTACAAAAGCAGCTTTGGCATGAAGACCTATTTGATCATCATGGTTGGATAGTTTCTAGGATCAGGGTATAAGAATAATTTTTCCCTTTGCTGTTGGCCTTTCAAAATGATCAGATGTGCTCATGTAACTTTATGAATGCTCTGTCACATCAGGAAAGGGGCGTATGGGAGTTCTGGTAATTCAGCAAGTGCATTCCACTAGTCTTCTATGTCAGTCTGAGTAGGGCATCTGACTGCTTTAAACCACTGCTGTTTTTAGCTTTTGTAATTGGATTGCTTTATTTGTATCTTGGACATTTGTTTTACAGTCTTAACTATATTTTGTAAGCTGCCTTGGGAGGGCTTTGCCCTGAAAAGCAGTATATAAGTACTATTATAGAAGTCTGCAATCCTAATCTAAATTACCTATTAGAAAGCCCTATTAGAAAGCATGGCTAGGGTTGCACTGTAAGTGTGTTTAATGGTGTGTGTTAAACTTGAGACTAATTTCTCATATGCTGAGGCTACTGTGGGTACAACTGATGGATGTGACTATATATTGGAAAACACATCAGGAAAAGGGAAGAAAAAAGAACAAGGTGCATCTGAAGTACTGAGTAAGCTGGAAGCTGTTGACAGAGGATTGCATTGTGAAGCACAAGCTTTTGCTTTGCTTAAGGAGATAACTATTTTTAAACATTTAACTGTAGATCAAATAAGCAAGATCTTTGTGGTTTTCACAAAGAACCTGCTTGTTTTGTAAACTTTAACACTCTACTGATATTTTAAATGTATATTTCCTTCGTACGTTATCTCTTTCTATTTGTGAAGTTGTTAATATATAACATTTTGGGAACTATGATAGAAACATATCTATCCATAGAATATCTTTTTTTAAATATGCAAACTTTGTACCATGATAGAATTTTAATTTTAATTATTAATTTACAGGTTCTTATTAGATATATAATAGGTTTTTTCTTTTTTTCATGCAAATATAATATATACAATAAAGGCTTTTATTCAGACATCTTCCCAAAGTGTAATATTTATATGGTTTATATGCAAACAATTAACAGTAGTTTTAAAATGTTGGGATTGTTTCATTCTAGCTGGGCTAGAACTTGCTAACTTATTGTGTACAGTGGAACATAGGCTCCTTTAGAATTATTTTGATGAAAGAAAAATTTATGTGTTTTTCCTCCTCCAGCATCCCAATCCCCAGGGTTACATATATATCACACATTAAGCTGTGTTAATCTTTCTTGGATTCTTTATTACTGTTACAGTCGATACTGCCATTCAACAGTTTCTAAATACTGAACACAAATTAAGGGATTTTATATTATTTACTTTTAATTGTCAGTGTTGACAAGTATTTGTGTAAATGTTAACAAAGATGCATGCTTTTTACATGTCTTTAATTTGGTCTCCCTTTACTTGGCAAGTCTTGAATGAGTTGTATCAACTTCAAAAAGCAACAAAGTTGAAACTTGCATTTGTCAAAAAATAAAGTCTTGAAGTTTGCTGAAATGTTTTATGTGTGGATTTAAAATTTAAAAGCAGTAAGGGCTTATTACAATTTCATAACTGTGCATATGTTCAAATATATTTGTTCTACCCTCAAAAAATAAACTTGTCTGTGTACAAAGTACTACATGTGTCATCAGTTTATTTGTTAACTTATCAACAATGTATTCTTTGTAGTGTACACTTTGCTGAAATACTAGTGTTCTTTACACTTCTAAAACTAAGAACCAGATGTTGGGGGTGGAAAATGTTAGATTTACATCACTGCTGGAGCTAAGGCCCTTTCACCCCAGTGCCTTGCAGGCTAGGGTCAATGCAGCTGGCCCAGGCTGCTGCTCAGCTGGAAGGCAGGAGGGCTCCCCCAACCCCAGCTGGGCTAGCCCCAAGACCTTTGCAGCATCAGGTTTTGCTCAGCTGGGGTGTAGTTGACTCCTCCCCCCACCCCAGCTGGGTGATCCAATGCTCCTGAAGCACCGGGGTCACTCAGATGTGGGGGCAGTTTTGCGGAGCCCCCATCCCGCTGCCGGCTTGGGCAAGCCAGTGCCAGACTGGGCTAAATGCTTGGCTGGGTGGTCCTCCAAAAAAATCCTGCAGCAACACACACCCCAGGACAAATATTTTCCGCAGCCCAAGAAAATGCAAGGAACATTAGTTGGTAAGACTGCAATCTTAAACACAAGAGAGCACATGGGGTGCTTATTGCTAGTATAGCTATGCTTCCTTATTTTCAGTGGCTTCTGGTTTTGAATGGATACACTTCTGATTTGAACTTTTATTCATTTGCATTCTACGCAGAAGTGGGATTTTGGTGCAACACACATGCAATCTGAGCAGCTTTACACATCTGTACTACATACCCCAGGGTTGGGGAGCTTGTGGCTCTCCATATATTACTAGACTTCAGCTCCCCTCACCTTTAACTACGCTGCCTGAGGCTTATGGGAGCTGGAGACAACCATCTGAAGGGCCACGGGTTCTCCACTCTGGATGTCTGTACACAACTAAATCCATACGACAAGCCCAGGGATCATTGCAGTAATATTCTCTGTTTATCACAAGTGGCTCTTTCATTTTCCTTTTGCAGGGACTAGAGGGACAAACTGCTGTAAAACTGAAAAACAAAGTTCTTACTCAGAAGATGGCAGACAGAACACAACATCAAGGCAATTGTGCATGTGCAGGGCAGCCTATTCGTCTTTGAGAGATATGTGTACACATGATTTTGCAGCTTTGGATCCCAGTTCCAGTGTGAACTGGAAGTAGAGTAGGGTAGTGTTGCAGAAAAGTGATGCCTCTCTTAAATGCTTCCTTTCTTTGGAGAATGGGTAGAACCCTCCAGCCTATTACTGATCGTTGCTTTTGAACTAGACTTCTGCTAGACCAGGCATAGGCAAACTCAGCCCTCCAGATGTTTTGAGTCTACAATTCCCATCATCCCTGACCACTGGTCCTGTTAGCTAGGGATGATGGGAGTTGTAGTCCCAAAACATCTGGAGGGCCAAGTTTGCCTATGCCTGTGCTAGACTTACTAAGAACTTACTAGGTATATATTTCTCAACCACATCTATCTGGCAAAGTAGCTCAATGTGGAATACAAGGGTCTTTCTTTGTATTAAAAAACACCCTGTATCTGTTGAAATTCCTTATATACATAACTATTAAAGGGACAGGGTAACCTCCTGCCCCTGCATGCTCACATTGCCTAGGGCTTGGAAACATGCCCTTGTGGTTAAAAACAAAATAGAACATAAGCAGAGCCTCCTAAATCAGGCCAATAGCCTATCTAGTCCAATATCCTTTGGTGGCCAACCAGATGACTGTGGGAAACCCAAAAGCAAGATTCAAGCACCAGAGCACTCCCCGCTCCTGTGGTTCCCAGCAACTCATATTCAGAAGCATTGCTGCCTCCAGCTGTGGGGACAGAGCATAGACATGATGGTTAGTAGCCTCTGATAGCTCTCTCCTCCATGCATTTGTCCTCTTAAAGTCATCAAGCTTGGTGGCCAGGCACTCTCATGCAGGCCTCAGGCAGCAGATTTTGGAGTACCATTAACAAGCAGCTTGGCAGATGTTTTGTTACCATTTTTTACCACCATGAAGGCATTGCCTGGATATTGTGTTTATATATAAACAAGCAAACAAAATTAGTTTTATGCCAGAAGTACAATCTTTACCTTATGGACTCTGTTTCTGCCACAACATGATTATGGCCAGACACGATAACTGTCCCCTTCCATTGCATGGGGACAAGGGCTTTGTGGCTAACACCAGTTCAGGGTGTTTGTCATTCAAATTTTTGTTTTTATTGGATGTGTAATACCAGTCCAATTCAAAATTGGGTTTGTAATGGCCAGAATTCTCCTTAATGCAACACCACTGTAGGCAGCATGTATACCCTATTTGGAGCACTGTGTCCAATTCTGGACACCACAATTTAAGGAGGATGTTGACAAGTTAAAACGTGTACCAAGGAGGGCAACCAAGATGATCAAGGGTCTGGAAAGCAAGCCTTATGAGGAACGGTTGAGGGAGCTGGGTATGTTTAGCCTGAAAAAGAGGAAACTGAGGAGATATGATAGCCATCTTCCAATATCTCAAGGGCGTTCACATGGAAGATGGAGCAAGCTTCTTTTCTCCTGCCCTGGAGAGTAGGACCCAGATCAATGGATTCAAGTTGCAAGAAAGGAGACCAGGAAGAACTTTCTGACAGTAAGAGCTGTTCAACAGGGGAACAGTCTCCTTCAGGAGGTTGTGGACTCTCCTCCTTTTGAGGTTTTTAAGCAGAGGCTGGATGACCATCTGCCATGGATACTTTAGCTGATAGTTCTGCATTGCAGGGGGTTGGATTAAATGACCCTAGGGGTCCCTTCCAACTTTATAATTCTATGATTTCTAAGTAAGTCCCTGTGACCTCAGGTCAGTGGCTACCGCACTGCAGCCTTCACCAGCAAGCCACCTTTCAAAGCACGACAACTCGCGTCAGCAACAGCCAATAAGGGTGAGGGTTGTGGCCACAAGCATCTGGAAGGCATCAGGCGGGCGAGGGCAGTTCTGGTGGGTGCTTTGAGGCTTGTACCTTCAGCCTTTTAAGCTGGCCAGAGAACCTCTTGTTCTGATGCTGCAACCAGCTGGCTCAACTCCCCCCAGCTACCCCTCTGGGGAAAAAATGAGAGTAACATGAGAAGGAAGGGAAGACTGGTGATCATTACAAACCCTCCAGGTGCCCCAATTTTCCAGGGACAGTCCCGGATTTACAGAAGCCGTCCCGGTTTCTGATTTGATCCCGGAATGTCCCGCTTTTCCTTAGGACGTCCCTATTTTCATTGGAGAAATCTTGGGAGGGTATGGAGTTAGGCAACCCCCTGAACCAAGGAGATAAGCAGCTATATACCTTTAGAAGACACCCCTGCATGGGGAAGTTGTTTAATGTTTAATTATTTTTTTACATATGTTGAAAGGCACTCAGAGTGGCTGAGGCAACCCAGTCAGATGGGTGGGGTATTATTATTAATCAGTGTTTTTTCTTTGTTACGATTCACATTTTGTGAATCTAAGTTTGGCCTCATTGAAGGGCAGTATTTCAATATGAGTAGGAAAATGAGAGTACCCCTAATCATTTTTTAAAGAAAAGAAGCACTCATAATAATTAATAGAATAAGATGTTCCTATTTTCATCTGAGAAATGCTATGCTGCCTGTTTAGCAGTAATAATAAACCATTCATTCATTCATCCATCTGAGAAATGCTGGAGGATCTGTACTGAACCGAGGCATCCAGTTATTATTATTATTATTATTAGTTGTTTGTTTGTTTGTAGGTATTGCTTTCCCCCTACAACTCTACAAATATCTGTGTCTATATAATTTTATTGCTTCTCAATATGAACACCGTCAGATGGTCAATATGAGTTGCCTCCCCCAGCCCTGAGGAAAGAAGGAGCCGAGCACAGCAAGCAGCTCCGGCGACCGAGCTCTTCTCCCGCCCGTCCCGTTTTTCCCGCCCAAGGAGCCGCTCCTCCTCCTCCGCCCGCGCCGCCCCCGCCTCGTTCCTCCGAGCGCCCGGCAGGTGGCGCTGCAGCGAGCGGCGCTCGGCTCCCCCTCCGGTTCCCGTTCCGGGGCCGCAGCCGGGCTCGTTCCGCCGCCGAAAAGGCGCCCGCTGCTACTGCTGCTGCCGCCGCCGCCGCGCCCCCTGCCCCCACCCCTGGCCGGACCCCGCGGCGCCCGGAGGCCGCCCAGCCTCCCCTTGCCGCCATGGCCACCAAGAAAGGGGGTTCGCGGCTGGAGACCGAGATCGAGAGGTGCCGCTCCGAGTGCCAGTGGGAGAGGATCCCCGAGCTCGTCAAGCAGCTCTCGGCCAAGCTCATCGCGAACGGTGCGGCCCTGCGAGGGGGGGGGGCGGGGGAAGGGAAGCCGCGGGGCCGGACCCCCCTCCCTGACCCACCTGCTCCTCCTCCGGCGAGGGTGGAAGGCGCAGGGGCGGTGGAGGCAGAGCTTCCCCCCAAGTAGGCAGCCGCGGTGCGTCAGGGGATGGGTGCCCTCGCGTGGCAGCGGGCAGCCCGCCTTATCGGTTGCACAACAACAAGAGGGGCGCCTCTGGGCATGTGCAGAATGCGGCCCTCCGCCGCCGCCGGGCCACTTGAGCGCCCCTGAGGGCAGAGGCTCCCAGGTCGGAGGGGACGGCGTCGGCGTCCTGCCCTTCCCCACAGAGGAAGCTCTGGGTGCTCAATTGAGTGGGGGGGGGGCGGGTGGCACTTCTGTGACCCCTTCCCCCAGGCTGTGGGTGGTCCCCTGCCACCTGAGGTGCCTTGTGTTTTTGCGTGTTGATGCTGCGGAGTGATGTCGGTAGTCTGTGCATGCTATACGGTATCTCTCTCTCTCCTTTAATATCGTCCCCTGGCATAAAGTCTGAAGTATCTTGGGTTGAAAACTGGCAGGGAATTTCCTGCGGTTAATACTGTGGTGTTAGGCCAGCCTCAAATTTAAGCCTCGAAGAGCAGCGTTAGGGTGTGAACTGATGGTTCTGGTTTGTTTGTTTTATTGGTCAGATGCTCTAATGCTTCCGTTTTATTTGTTTCATACATGCAAGGAGTAGCGTATAAGTATTTATGCCTTCAGGTCTTTGAC